AGTTGGGTGGGCCACTAGCTTGTGCGGGCCACTAACTTGTGGATTACGTTAACGCAGGCTGTTCGCTGACTGAGTGCCATCGTTACGTCGTAGAATACTTTCCTCTTCATGCATCTCTTCCTCAAGTCTCAGGTGTTTTACTCCATCATTTGTTCATTTGTAGTACGTTACTATTTCTCGGGAATTGACGGACCCTCCCCTTTTGTACACAACATCGCTTTCTGCTGTAATTCCATTACTTCCACTGTTCTGTCATTCTCGTGATGCCCTCGTGGAACAGCAATGTCAAATTCTCGAGATCATGTGCAATTGGGTATTGCAGCGATCAACATGCGGAAGTATCTATCAAGACTCGTGATCCCCTTGAGCGACTATGACAGAAGTTGTGCTACATTGATATCCACAAGCCTGCCAAATAGGCTACTATGGCTGCATCCAATCTAGTGATCCCCTTACCACTAGAAGAAGTGTATTTAAGGGTTTGGTTATCCTCATCATATCTCTTGCTGCAACTCCAGTGCATTTACTTCCAAAAGCATCCCAGATATCATGCGTATCGTACTTGTCCTCTGCCTCCTCGCAACAGTCTGCCTCGCAGACCCTCGTTTCCACAGACGGGACGATCCCACTTCCACTCCCACTCCAACAGCAGCAATCACAACCTCCGCCAATGCCGCTGTCACGGCCATTCCAGCCATCCCCTCTCCCACCCAGCCCGGCTTAAGCAGCTCTTGTATGCGTACCGCAAGCCACCCTCTTCCCTCCCCACCCCTCACTAAACCCTCACCTAGGTATATCCTTCTACAAAGTCCAACCCTCCGACACCTGCCTCTCTATCGCCGCCCGCTACAGCATCAGCTTTGCCGAATTCTACTTCTGGAACCCTTCCGTGGGTGCAGACTGCAGCGGCATACTCGCCGGGTACTGGGTCTGCGTTGCCGTAGATGATGCAACGCCGCCATCGACGACGAGCACATTGACAATAACGCCTGTGGTTCCGAAACCGACGCCGACGCAGCCTGGGTTGATTTCGACTTGTAACAACTTCTACAAGGTTGCTAAGGGCGATACGTGTATTAGTATTGTAGCGAGTTTTGGGTATAAGTTTACGGTGGAGGCGTTCGAGGCGTGGAATCCGTCGGTGGGCGCGGATTGCACGAATATGTGGTTGGGGTATTGGGTTTGTGTGGGCGTGCCTGGTGGCTGAGTTTGTACCTTACTTGGCACTGAGTAGTAGATAGGCTGAGAAGGGGAGTATTCTTCTGCAGGTAGTAGTATCAAGCAGAGGCGAATTGCACATCAGATCACAATAATTCGTGAAGGAATTGCGTATTATGACTTTGATTTTGACCTAGGCTCGTACAGACACGATTTAGCTCCTCTCCACACTTCTTCGAGGATTTGACGTCTTGGTAGGAGATTCTATGATGGATATTAGTATGGCATCTTTCGGTTGATTATTGCAAAATATATACGTACTGGAAACACCACGACGACATCCTCCTCTCCCTCGACTACAATGGCAAGATAGAACCTAACCTCGAATCCCTTGAAGGCCTCGTGGATGAATATATCTTGAATTGAGGTTGTGGGTATGAATCGCGTGGTGGGGGTAGACAAGTACGTAGGTGAAGACGTCGAGGTTTGGATTCCCAGTCCTCTTAGGACGAGTAGTGATTCCTCTTGAATACGAAACGAAGTCAGCGGCGCTATTGCATTTTAGGGCTTGTGAAATAAAGGTCGAGACAGAAAGACTTGGAATTCTTTCAGGTTTTGCACTGAGTTCTAAAAAATATAACGTACCGGTATACCCCCTCCGACAAACACCCCACAGCACAGTGAGTACACCTGGAACAAGCCAAATCCACGGTATCCTCTGGACTATTCCACTCGCGACTACGCCCAAGCAACTCTCCAAGGCCCACGCATCCAGCAATGGAGCATGTATTATGGCCCCTCCGATTGTTTCACTAGGTAGCTTCACCCAAAGGAGCCCTAACGCCAATACCCCAAGGAATATTCGCAGGAGAAGGGATAACGAGAAGAAGAGACGCGCGGCTAGGGTACGCGGAACTGGGCGCGTAGATACGGAGAAAGAGACGGTCGTCGATGTGGGCCGGTAAGTCGTGAGAGTCTGCTGTGGCGGCGAGGTAAAGTGTGCGAGTATGGTGAGAGGATCGAGGGTAAGGAGGGCGGATAGTGTAGGCATGATGGAGGTTTGATGGATGTAGAGTTGGTAGTGCTTTAAAAACGGAAAGTGCAGATTAAAGTGCGACTCATATTCACAAGTCTGTGCATTCAGAAGGCAACGTCTGAGGTGGTTTGTGACGGTGGTAGGGAAAGTCGTGATGCAGCTTTGGTGTTGAGCGATCGCTCGTCCCAAACATTCAGCCCTAAACGTGGCCCAAGCTCGAGATTTTACTTCAGCTTCAGTTCAACTTCGCCTTCACAACTCCAAATCTAACACTCACTTCCCAAAATGTCTCCCTCACCTCCCCCCGCTACCTCCACCGCAGCTCCTACCACAAAGGCCAAGTCGCGCTCTCGCTCACCGCCTCCCCCCCGCAAATCCACCTCCCCCCTACCCCGTCGCCGCTCCCGAAGCCCTCCCCGCCGCCCACGCAACAACAACGCCTCTGGCTTCCGCTGGAAGCAAACTCGCCGCGACGACGATGGCAGCCGAAGCGACGACCGCCAGCTGAACCGCGGCTATCGCCAAGAGCGCAACGAGAGGGACGGCAGAGACGGAGGACGCGACGACAGACGCGACGGCAGAGATCGAGACCGATTCGCGGGACGGCGAGACGAGCGGGATCGGGATGGCAACAGAGATAGGGACAGGAACGTCCACAGCGACAGGCGGCGAGAGGACCGTCCCCACCGCGACCGCGACACAGATCGCCCCTCCAAGCCCAAAGAGAAGAAGGAAAAGCCCGCGCCTGTAGCAGCAGCCGGCAATGAGCCGATGATCATCGTGACGGTGAACGACCGGCTGGGCACGAAAGCGCAGATACCGTGTCTCGCGTCCGATCCAGTGCGGGTGTTCAAGGCGATGGTGGCGGCGCGGATTGGGCGGCCGGCGCATGAGATTATGCTGAAGAGGCAGGGGGAGCGGCCGTTCAAGGATCAGTTAACGCTCGAGGATTATGGGGTTAGCAATGGGGTGCAGTTGGATTTGGAGCTGGATACGGGGGATTAGGTCGGGCTTTGGGGGATCCAGGGAGTGCTCGAGAGAGGGAGAGGCAGAGGCAGGTTGGGGATATGGGATGCGGCTTTCTGTGTCTTATGGAGCAGAGGGCAGACCGGTTCTCAAGTTGGTCGACTAGATGGATATGCGACTTGGGAAAGGGGTATGCTCGAGATGTTCGATTAATGCTCAAATACTGCAAAGAGTACCACTCTTCACGGTACTCCACTTATCAAAATCAAAAGTAACAAAAGGAAGCACACAATCGTCAAAAGTCATCGGTATAGATCATCCCCCTTGATTTTGATTATCTACTACCTATGCACCATATCCAGCAGATACTACGCCTCGCATGCGCTAAACATCTTGCGAATAGCCCCTCTTACATTCCCCATTTTGAAAGTTCAAAGCCTCGCCCAAAAAATGCAGAATTCCTTGTAGTCACGAATGCACTTGTAAAGGCCCCCAAATATTACCAAATCTACTAAAATAAAGACTGACACCGTTCCCAAACGCCGGCCCACCAGAAATTGAGAAATCTGAAGGAGGGAAATATGGATTTCAGCCAGATTATTAGGTTCCGAGAAGTGAGACTCCAGCCCCCGAATGTAAGTAACTGGAACGCTCGTTCCCGGTTTTTCCATGTGGCAATGATGTGGATACGATCAGACTCCATTAGCAAGCAGCGATTCGACTGCGTGGCTGATGAATGCACGTTTTGGCGTCAGATCCACATTGAATCTAGCTTTGATGTTAGTAAAAGTGATACGAGACTAAAAACTGATAGAAAGACTCACCTCCGCTCCAGCTCATTCTTTACATATTTCTTTGTAACCTGCATCAGGTCTGCATTGGAAAGAATGACCCTGATCTCCGCTAGGATGAGGTCGTCCGCTGGGAGATTCAGATCCGCCATCTCCATATCCGAATACCCAAGCCCGCTGGGTGCAAGGCTCATTCGTGAATTGTTTCCAAACCTCGGCAGGTCTAGTTGCGACATTGGCCTCGACGGCGGGTATCCATAGTCCGAGCCAGCAACAGAACCAGGGCCTGGCATGAAACGTTTCGTACCATAGGAGACACCGGACACCTGCGATGCGTCATCACGCATGGTGTGGGCTTCCCACAGATCGGCCTGATATTCTTCCCATTTCTTGTGAGGAATCGAGGTGGGGTCGAACTTGCCCTCGTCGGTGATAACAATCTTTTGACCCTTTTCACCAGTGACAACACGCGTGTTGCCCCAAGAGAAATCGTCCATGTGCCAGAAAGCGTAAAGGGGGAGACCGCAGGCGAAAACGGGTGTTGCGAGGACGTAGATAATCATCCAGCCTATCATCTCCCATTTGCGTCGCAAGATGAAAATGATAGCTTGCAGACCGTAGATAGCGCCGAGCAGAATGAAGGCTGTCACAGGAATGACATTTGGATTGTGGATCACCAAATAGATGAGGTAAACGATATAACCCACAATCACAGGCTGGACAATGGTCGACAGGAGATCGATGAAGACAATGAAGCGCATACTGAAACAGCAGAATCCGCAAAGCTGTTGCAAGGGGATAAGCTCGATGAGGTTGTGCACAGTCGAGTTGATCCAGCGACGACGTTGAGACATGAACACAGTCCAGCTATCCGGGGCCACGGTCCAAGCATGTGCTCGGAAGAGGTACTTCGTCTTGTACTTGGAGTGGTGTTTGAGGAGTAGCGTTGTAAGGTATCGATCTTCGCCAAGATGCAACAGATTCTTCATGTGAAGAGTGTCGACGCGAATCTCTGAATACGCCTCGACGACTTCCTTGCTAACGAAGAGGGGTTTTCCAGTTTCGGCGGCGCGGATCCGGTACATGGTGAAACAACCTGGAAGACAAGTGACGGACCCAAACAGACTCTCGAAGGCCTTGGTAAGGTTGTGGGAGATATAGTATTCGTAGACCTGCATCATGGTGACGAGGGACGATTTGGCGTTGGTAAGAGACGTTTCACCGCAAATGCCAATCAGCCGAGTATCGTGAAGGAATGCCGCAACGAATCGCGTGGCCGAGTCGGGAGCCACGACTGTATCAGCGTCAATCTGAAGTAGGAACTCGTAAAATGTGGGGTTGACTCCGATAATGTTGCGGATCTGATGGTGCATTTCGAGCTCCATGGGCGTCATGGGAAGGTTGTAGTGGACTCGATTCAAGAAGCGCATCAAAAGCATCTGAGAATCACGCTTGCCACGATTTCCAGGCTTGGATACTTCGGAAGGCTTTCCGACCTTGACAACGACCAAGAAAGGTACAATGTGTCCCTGGACTTCGTAGAGACCCGAGTATATCTTACCCATGTTATGCTGTTTCATACCTTCGCCCAAACTCTCGAAGCTGAGGGGTTCAGGGTCCATGGTTTCAGAAACGCCGAGAATGTCCAACACGATGCGGGGAGTTGGCTTGTCGTTGCCTTGACCAATAATCATTCCATCGCAGATAATGACCAAGAGTTTGCGCTTGTCATCATACTTCATCCTGGCGGCTGAATCGATAGCACGACGCAGCGAGTCCTCGTCTTCGGTGTACGCTGGGACAGTGCAAATAATGAACTTGTCGAGATTCTCCGGTAAATTCTTCTTTCCGAATTGAAGAGCTGCCAAGAATTTGAATCCGATGACACTAACGAGAAGAATAGAGATGGCGAGAAGAAGATACTTGGCGAAGAGGCATTTGGTAGAGCTTCGCGTGTCCAGATCTCCTACATAGAACAGGTTGTCAAGGCAGACCTTCATCCTGTTCTTTTCGTCGACTGGCAGATCGATTGCTTCCCAGAGCCTCGTGACATCGTTACCCGACCGCTGTTGGAACAGGTCGATAACGGGCTGCGACATGAAATTGGTATCGACGCTGTGGGCGTCTGTACCAATGGGAAATTCAGCTCTGCGACCTCCTGGGATATACGAAGTAAAGTCATAAACCTTGTTGTACATGTAAGCGATGGAGTTACCCTTTTTCGACAACGTCTTCAGATACGTAGGACTAAAACCAACTCTGCCCTTCATGTAGTTCGACTTTAGATAGATCTGTTGCTCATACCACCAGTCTGGACGAGAATCGTTGGTGGCCCATCGGAAGTCATGGTATCGTGCATTGTTGTCAGTTGTGCTGATAAGGTTAACGGAGCTCGTATAGTTGGTGTTCTTGTAGTTCAGTTGCACAGCTGGATCCACTTTGCCAGTGGCACCATCGCAGAGAGCGGAAACCTGGACAGGGAATAGGTTGGTTGCGTCGGTGCCAGCGTACTTCTTGAGACTGGTTTGTGGTATGATTGATGGATAGTGGTGAGGCATGAATGATCCGAGGTCGTAGACAATACCACGCATGGCAATGTAAGAGCTATGGCCTCCTTTCCCATTGAACGATGTGAGTTCCGCGGTTGAATAGACGTGCTGAGTCGGACAAATCAGTTCGGGAAAGCCTATCATGAAGAACACCACCAGAGCGCAGCTGAGCCAGATGAGGAAATTGATGGCAACCTTCTCACGCCATGCGGTTCGAACATCGGGCCGCTTCATTTTGCCGATCCACTTGACGAGGATATCAGGGATCCACCAGGTCAACAACCAGACCACAAACATCCAGCGCTTGCGGCTACCAGATGTGGGCACCACGTCGACTTCCTCGAGCTCTTTCTCTTGGACCTTTTCGTCTATTTCCTTCCGGGTTTCAAGGTCGCGGAACATGTCGCCGCCATTCGTAATCCCGGACGGCGCTTCCGATCGAGCATCAACGTCATGACTACCAAAGTAGTTTCCAGCTTTGTCGTCGTGATAAAAGGCGCCCGGCGAGTTGCCATTAGAGTTCAAGAGACGGACTCGAGAGTCACCAAATCCTCTAGCAGCATTTCCTGGGGTAAGGAAGCCCTCTCCGTCGTCGGTCGATACTGCGCGTGCAGGTAAGGTAATGTCATCAATGTTGGCGATTTCTAGCCAGCACCTCTCGCTCAAGAAGACTCCCGTAGATCCTGCCCTAGCTTCATTGTCTCGCCACGGCTTCGATTCTAGGATCATCTCGGCCCTTTCACGCTCGCTGCCTACTACTGTGTCACCTTCGGTGAAACCGAGGAACTCAGCAAACGGAAGGAAGACGCTGAAGTCGGCGTTTCGTAGTCGCTGACTTATTTCGGCGATGCCGAAAGTCTGTACTTGGGTTCGTACACATTTGCTATCAAATTGGTTCGCGATTCGCCGGTCGTTTGGCTTCAAGCAGAAAACGAAATAGGAGTTGACTCCACTGGCACCGAGTGATTTCGTAATGTTGTTCAGGGAGGACAAGAACTGCGCAGCCGCGCCCTGTTGTTTACCAGCAGTCTCCCCACCGTTGGGATTGCTGATCATGCTTTTGGAGTCATGGTCAGACGTTTCTTCGTCGAATGGCAAGGCTTTTCGCGTTCCTCGTCTTTCTGGTCGACCACCTTTACGCGCTGCCATGCTAGGCTTCCTCATAGGCTTTGAGCTAACAGATGCTTGCACAATGGCGGACTTTTCCTTTGGATGCGTGACCGTTTTGAGAGCATCCTGGCCGAATAATGTACGAACAAAATCAGTCTGGGTGGATTTGATGAGGTTCATCAGATCACCAGAGATGACTTCACCGTTTTCCTCAAGCAACCCTTCGATCGAGTAATCAACATCTCCGGCGAAGTGCCGTACAGTAAAGCTCGCGGCATTGTTCTTAGTAGGGAAATTGCTTCCCGGGAGGACGGCTGTGAGGCTGCCCGCAACAATGGACTTATTTTTCCCATCGAAACGCTTGTGGAGCGACTCCAGGAAGGACACATCCGTCTTTCCGCGTCGCATCTGGTCGTCCAAAATGCCGAGTAAACCATTACCGGGCTTGAGCAGTCCTCTAACCGTTTCTGTGTTGTCGAAGTATTCAGTCATCGGGACGTTGATATCTTCCGCTTCCATGTCTTCAGCTTTGCGACCAAAGAAGCTCTGCAGACAGAAATTGAAGTGTGACTCGGCAGCCGCGTTGTTGAGAAGCTGATCCAAAGTTGAACCAGTGGCGGATACTTGGGCAAAGCCAGGGAAATCAACAATGGATACGGTATTGGCAACAGTCTCCTCCATGGCGCAAGTCCTTAGGTTAATCTGCTCGATGACATAGGCGACGAGCAAAGAGTACAGCGTTCGGGCAAGTTCGTCGGCGTTACTGCGTGCACCTCGAGGGTCGAGCATGACAGTCACACGCTCCCTATATAGCGTCTTCGTCTTGTATCCAAGACTCTGTTCAAGAGCTTGCGAGCTCACGCCTAGGAATGCTGCGACCAGATTCAACGTATCCTTGTTCTTGACGGTGGTAACATCCTCTCCTCCCTCGTGGGAGTACCCGCCGCTATCTGCACCAGCAGGCGATGTAGATTGGCTCTTGACGAATTCCAGTTGTCCGATGTGAAGGATGCTCGCCAAGACTTGACAAATCTCAGCAATTTCGTTGCGGCCAAACTCAAGTTTCCTCAGCGCTGTTTTGAAGTGGTGGAAACCTCCGTGGTCGTCAATGCCGACTTTCAGCTGGGTCGGGTGGCCGAGATATCGCCAGCGCTTCTGACCACCGGTCATCGATGCTCTGGCGCCCGCTTCGTTCGCTACAGTTCCAACCGAATCAAGACCCAGGTGAGCCTTTTCTGCAGGACTAGTCCCAGCAAGAAGGTAGTAGAGGATGTGGAAGTTTCGCTCTCCAGTGGGGACTGAAGCAACACGACTCCTCTCGAGCCTGTGGTCTAGAATTTTGCCACCCAGCAACGTGGGACGCATGGAGGTGGATGTTTCATATTGCAGTTCGAACAGGAGACCTGATTTGGAGGCCCGTGGGGTTGTGAGAGATTTCGTGGTTGTGAGCGTGTCGAAGACAAAAGCAGCATACGACAACTTGCTCGACAGAGGCGTCGACGAATAGTTGAGCAAGGCTGTAAGAAGATGGGCGCGGATGGTAGTCTTGCCAGCACCTGATTCACCACTGGTCGCTTGTTAGCTTTCGCAGGGGCAATATCATCACAAGACAGTATACTCACAGGAAAACGACAGCCTGGCTTTCAGAGCGATGACCCAGCCGAGTCCACGCCCGAAGAGCAAGTTCTTCGGCCGCGGCCATTGCACTGCCCTCTTTCCCTCCATCTGGGCCTAGTGACGAGTCTGTGTAGGTGTTTAGTGCTATTATGGCGTGCGACGAGAGATTGGCGACAGGAAGATGTGCGTGGAAGCGGCTCGCAAGGTGAGCCGTCAGGTGGGTATCGGATTGCAGATGTGGTGGGAGCGCGGGCAGCGAGGGTTGCGCATATTGAGGCATGTGGCCGCCCGTTAGGGGCTGCTGGTGTGCCATTGTGGGCAAATGCGTCCCCTAGGGAGCGCCGAGCGAGCGTAAACTACCAGGGAGACCAGCGGAGTATGGTGGGGACGAGAGTCGTGATGTTGAGGTCGATAGAAGCGGTTGGCAAGGGGCAGCGGCCAAACAACACGCTGTGGAATGCAAGAAAAACACGAGGGTGACTCCGGAGCGTAGAATTCAAAACACAATCAGCGAGTGTTGTGAAGATGGTAGAACGGGTCCAAAAACGAGGGTAGGGAGCCGAGAGTGGTGTTGGGGAGGAGGGGAGGTGTGTGTGGACAGCAGCAGTGATCACAATGCAACTTAGTGGTGAGGTCTCGCAATAGGACCGCGTTGCCCCGTGCGGCGAGAGGCGCTAGAACCTCCCCTATTGTGCAAGGGTATGGTGTATTTTATTATTCTATTTTTGATGCACGCCTAATACGAGCTTCTTCGCTGGGCGTGAGAAAAGTGGCACACTCATCAAGCACTCGGTCTCGTACACTTGTCTGCCACTGCTTGGGGTGCTTCAACGAGTTTCCACATAGCCCAAAGTGAAGAGCTCCTATCTCCTGAAAATGCATTGAAGCAAGCCAAACAGTGGCAGTACGCACGACAAGACTTGTTCTGGAATTAGAGTGCTGGCGTGATTGCTAGGTAGTGCTGAATCATCCCACACAGGCGCAGCTCCAGCATCCACATGCCCCGATCGCCAGTTGCCGAGCTCCATCGACGGAACAGCACGAAGGGTCGGCCGACTCGAGAGTCAAAATCAATCGACAGGGCGAGGCCGGCGGCGTGGGCGACGGACGCGTGGTCGATTCTGGGGAAGATCGCTGCGCGGCCTAGCGTATTACATAGTAGGTAATGGTTCATGCATCAGAGCTGGATTGCATCAACGATTCTAGAGGCCGCGCCGTTGGCTCGCTGTGCTGCGACGCGGGAGAGACATGGCCAGCGTGAGCAGCGCTGAGTTCCAGCGTAGCGGATACCGCAGCAGCAGCTGGCAGTGGGTAGAGGGGCGCCAGGAAGTTTCATCTTCGGCTCTCCGAGAAGTTCAACAGTTCAGGGGCGCGGGCGGCCGCGGGACCACCATTGCAAACACGGCGGCCCATTTACTTGCCACCAAATCCACGCTGGGCACTTCGAGAAGCAACTGCCCGTCGTAGAGACAAGCATGCAGATATTGCTGGTACCGTGGGCGATGGATCTAAGGGTCCACTGCACCCATAGTTGACTATCCACGCCTCTGGCATTACAGCCGTGGCATCTCCACTCTCTTTCTGTGCTTCTGTCCGCGTGTTTAACACGGCCTGAAGTCCTCTGGCAGGCTGTAAAATTCGTAGATGGCAGCTTTGACAAGCCCGATAGCTCTGCGGGCCACCTCAGACAGTATTGGACTGCCTGACGGTCAGCCAGCGATTCACACGGCCTGCGTAAACGGCACGGCGCTGGGCAGCTGGGAGCCAAAAATAGAGCGATGGCACCCCTGTACCCGCAGGAAATCGTCGACGCCGTTGTATGCATCTGTTGCTAATCGGGAGGAATTGCCACCGCCCGCCTCCTGGAGCTAGCTTGTTGGGTCGTAAATTACAGCAGGGGAATGAATGCAACTCTCGCTCACCCGCCGTCAACAACATCCTGCCCACACCATTACGTCTCCCTCCTACCTCATCCCCTCTCTGTCTTCACTCCACCATCGCTTTGCACACTTTTCTTCGTCCTCTCGTTTTTCTTGACCTGCTCTAATTTGACCGGCTTGCCCTCGTTGCCAGGTCACCGATCCCCGTTGCCCGGCAAAACACCACGCTCGTTCTCCCACCCCTTCCTTGAGCACACCACTGGGAACTGCCCCGACCTCCACACCACCATCAATCGCGAACAACGCGTTCTTCGCAGCTGAGCGGGCCACGTGCCTCTGCAGCTCGCAAACATGAGCTTCGTCAACAACCGCATGTCGACCTTCTCCAACCTGTCCCAAGCTCCACGTCCTTCCAACGCGACCTCGACTCAGGTCTCCACCACCACACTTCTCAATGCCCTCCACACGAACTATACATCCGGCCAGCCATACTACCTTGAGGCCAGCACGAGCCTAGTCGTGAATACATGGGTCAATGCCAGCAACGTTGGGGCAGATGGCCGCATTGGTGGCACAGTCGACATGGAACTAGGCCGGAAAGCCTGGGAGCATGCCCGACGTAGAGCAGAGGACGGGTGTATTGTGCTAGGGTGAGTTCGTTTCTTTTGCAAACCTCATCACATATTAACTAATTGCTCACAGCTCCCTTCACGAGGCTACACCCTCTGCCTTCGCCCCTTTCATCTCTGCGCTTCCACTGTCTATACCCGCAAGCTTCTACACCTCCCTGGACATTCTCAAGGCTTTCACGCACTGCGTCACCCCGCAGAATCCCTCCTACCCGCGTCATACAGCTCTTGGTGCCACTTTCACCATTTCCTCTATGGGAACTGTCACTGGCACGTTAGCTGGAGCAACCATCCAACTTTCAACCGCCGGGGTTGACACTACGCAAGGTCTACTCAATATCCCTTCACAGCCAGGTTTCCGTGCCTTTGACGTTTTCTACTACCTCAAGTCGAGCTCCGCTACACGAGAGGAAAGGGAGTGGCTCGATCTGAAACCGTACTCCCAATATACCCTTCTCAACAGGTCCGGAACTTATTCTCCACCCTCTTATCTGCCAACTGCAGACGATGCTGCGGCCGCCGAGGACTTCCGGGATAATTTGAAGGCCATCGGCATCGTGGGCTCAGAGCTTTCAAACTTGATCTCCCTTCTGACAGGTCTGCTCAAACTGGGTAATGCTCTCGGGATACTCGTCGATGAGGAGGTGCTACAAGACGTTTGCGAGGATGCTGGAGCTCTTATGGACATTAACCCCGAGTTTCTCATGAAGAAATTGTCTTCTCAAGACCGTGAGATGGCTCTCTCTGGCATCTACGAAGCTGTCGTAGACTGGGTTCTCTCCCGTGCCAATGCTACCATCCGGAAAGACATCATCGAAGCGCGAGTCGCGTATACCTCGGGCAGTGATTCTGGCGAGCCTGGCATGATGACTCCACCTTCCGAGGAAGATGGGGACATTGTCAACATAACGGTTGTTGAAATTCCCAGCAAGAATCTAGGCAAGGCTATTGCTCTGAAGACCGTCTTTGATGACTCTGAAGGCATCAACGCCGAGATGAAGGAAGATGGGGTGACCGTAGTGCCTGCGGGGTCTTCCGTCATCGAGGCTATGAAAGAGGCCGTGAAAGCCTGTGAACCCGAACTTGGGATCTTGTCCAGTCCCGCTGGGCGCCAGAGAGAGCATGAACGCGAGCGACGTGAGGTCACCCTTGAGAAGATCGCCTACGACATTCCGGAAGACGACAACTTCATGAAATCCATCATCATGCCTGTGCGAGGTGAAGGTGTCCAACTCGGCAAGTTCAACCGCTTTGAACTGCAGTCAACAATTGCGAGTAGTCGGGTTTGGTACCAACTGGCACTCCACCCGACCGATGACTCTCCTGCTTCACTCTCAGCTTCCGCTTCTGGGTCCTGGTCTGCCGCTGTCGTATCCCGTCAGCTTCGTGACTGGAGACTTCCAGAGTGGGCCAACCGCCGCAATCGTCATCTTGACTTCACTGCTGACTTTGATGTTGAGGAGTTTCATATCCGATACAAGGACCTGGGATGCCTCGACGGCAAGGACGGAATTCGAAACTGGATTCTGGAACGCGGATGGAGCAACGGTGAAGTAGTTATAGGCGACAGCCGCATCTGGATTAGAGAGGCTGCGTGGTGGGAAGCCGAGACACAGTTCGATTTGAAAATTCAAGAGCTTGCATCCTCGAACGGTATTCTTGGAAACATGGTTGGTGCTGGTGGTCTTGAAAGCGGTTATTCGGGACAGAGCCCCGGGATGGGCAGCGGCTTTTTCGGCCCAGAATTTGCGGAAGGCACCCCCCAAGGCAGTCGGGACAACCTCTTACAACGTCAACAGAGCACAGCAACTTTCGGAGCTCGTAGTGCCCTGGGAGCCCGTTCTGTCGCGCCAACTGCAGCACCAACTTACCATAGCACCCGGCCTGGAGATTACGGCTTAGGCGGAAAGGGCGACGAACGAAAAGGTATTTCCTACGGCGACGATGAGCTTGGCGAAGGCAAGACTATTCAAGAGTACAAGATTACCACCAGTAGGCGAATCTGGATCTTCTTCGTCTGGGTTCTGGCTGGGTGGATTCCGTCTCCCCTCCTACGCTACGTCGGCCGCATGAAGAGACCGGATGTTCGTATGGCGTGGCGGGAGAAGATAGTCTTGATCATGATCATCGTTCTCATGAACGCCACTATCATCTTTTACATTGTTGCATTCGGCCACCTGCTATGCCCCAGGTGGAACAAGGCTTGGGACAACAAGGAAGTTTCCTACCATCAGGGCGACAATGATTATTGGGTCAGCCACCACGGTTACGTCTACGACCTTTCAAAGTTCTGGAAACGACAGCACAGTGACACCAGTATCGAGACTACCCAGGATCAAATGCAACCGTTCGCTGGCACAAACGTCGACGAATACATTGTACCCCTGCTCTTTACCGCCTGTCCTAATCTTGTCAAGAACAAGCTCCTAGTCTTATTCCCAAATACTACCATCACCAACTCGAATGCTCAGCATATCTCCGGTTCACTGTCACCAGATCGGACAAGCGCACTATACAAAGATGATTGGTACCCTAACGTCTTCATTCCTAAAATGAATGAGTTCAAGAAGGGCGACCTGGTCTGGGACTCCAACAAGATTAAGAATGAGGGGCAGAACGACAATCACATGTGGTTCACAATGGGTGACAAGGTCTACGATCTGACCGATTACTACCACACTCTCAGTTTGATGGACAATCTTGACTCGTACCGGTTCCTAGATCATAAACTAGAGGCGATTGTTTCGGACTATGCGGGTACCGACATTACGAGCCAATTTCAGAATCAGCTCAACGAAACCGCTCAGATGGCCAACCAGCAATGCCTTGACAACTACTTCTATGTCGGCAAAACCGACTTCCGCAAGTCCGCCAGGTGTCAAGTCAATAATTGGATTCTTCTAGCGTTCACTATTATCCTCTGCCTCGTCATCCTTGTCAAGTTCTTGTCTGCTCTACAGCTCGGTTCAAGGAAAAGGCCAGCCACTCAAGATAAATTCGTCATCTGTCAAGTACCAGCATACACGGAAGGCGAGGATCACTTAAGGAAGGGCTTGGACTCTCTGACTGCGCTCAACTACGACAATAAACGAAAGCTCATCTGCGTCATCTGTGATGGTATGATCGTCGGCGGTGGGAACGACAGGCCGACGCCGAAAATCGTCCTTGATATTCTTGGTGTCGATCCCAAGGTTGATCCTCCTGCTCTGCCGTTCCACTCGGTCGGTATGGGCAGCGAACAACTCAACTATGGAAAAGTGTATTCTGGTCTCTACGAGTTCGAAGGCAACGTCGTGCCGTATATTGTCGTGGTCAAAGTAGGCAAGGAATCCGAACAACGCAAAGCAAAGCCTGGCAACCGCGGTAAACGAGACTCTCAAATCTTGCTCATGAGCTTCCTCAACCGCGTCCATCATCGGGCTCCCATGAGTCCATTAGAACTGGAAATGTTTCACCAAATCAACAACATCATCGGTGTAGATCCAGAGCTTTATGAGTATCTTCTGATGGTCGACGCCGATACTATGGTAAAAGAGGATGCGCTGAACCGCCTGGTCGCAAGTTGCGCGAATGACTCGAAGATCGCTGGTATCTGTGGTGAAACTAGTCTAGAGAACGAGGAAGGAAGTTGGTGGACTATGATTCAGGTTTACGAATACTACATTTCCCATCATTTGGCTAAGGCCTTTGAAAGCTTGTTCGGCAGTGTTACCTGTTTGCCTGGATGGTAAGTTCTCCCCTACTTTCTTGTAGTTGCCACGCTAACGACATCAGTTTCTGCATGTATCGTCTTCGTACCGCAGACAAGGGCAAACCACTCATCATTTCTGACGCCGTTATCCGCGAGTACGCCGACTGCCAGGTTGACACACTACACAAGAAGAACCTACTCTCTCTCGGTGAAGATCGGTACTTGACCACATTGATGACAAAACACTTCCCCTCGATGTCGTACAAGTTCGTCCCAGATGCGTACGCCCTCACAGCCGCCCCTGAGACATGGAGCATCCTTCTTTCCCAAAGGCGTCGTTGGATCAATTCCACAATCCACAACTTGGCCGAACTGGTTTTTATCAAGGACATGTGTGGATTCTGCTGCTTCAGTATGCGATTCGTCGTTTTCATCGACCTTTTTGGAACAATCATTCTCCCTGCTACCTGCATTTACCTCGCCTATCTCATTTACTTGGTCGCATCTCATACTGGCCAATTCCCAATGATTTCGATCATCATGATTGCGGCTGTGTACGGATTACAGGCCATCATCTTCATCATCAAGCGACAGTGGCAACACATCGGCTGGATGATTATTTACATCATGGCATTCCCGATCTACTCTTTCGTCCTGCCAGTCTACTCGTTCTGGAAACAAGACGACTTCTCGTGGGGAAATACCCGTGTCGTTCTCGAAGAGAAAGGCGACAAGCAATTGGTCGCTGTCGAGGAGGAAGGTTATGACTCCAGAAGTGTTCCCCTACAGTCGTGGGATGACTATGCGGCTCAGAATTCTCTTCCTGGTCGTCGTGGAGTTATTGCTGCGCATTCCGAGAAGGGCATGCACAGCACCTACGACGATGACGGTTACGAAATGAACGACATGCAGTCCGTCTACTCATCCGTTAAGCCCCAGTCGACCATCATGTCCAACATGCACCACATCTCGCACATGCCACCACAGTCTCCGGGTCCCTATGTCGGCATGCAGCAACGGGCATCTCACTACTCCAACTTCTCTCGGTACACAGATAACCCGCAACAACAACAGCAACCAGGAGCCGACGGGCGTTTGATGTCCATGGGCGGCATGAGCGACCACTACCAGGCCTCGCCGTACGGCCAGCGACCAAGCATGGGCTTCCAGAGCTCTGACAACCTCATGGCCATGCAATCGACGCCGCCAATCGGCCGTTCTCGCAGTCCACTTGGATTCGGCGGCTCTCGACCTGGCAGCACTGCCAATTTCCAAAACATGATAAATGGGCCATCGGACGGTCAAATTGTGGAAGCTATCCAGGCGTGTCTGATGGAGGTCGACATGGATAATGTTACCAAGAAGCAGTTGAAGGCGCTCACGGAGCAGCGGTTGCAGACTCAATTGAGCGGAGAGAGGCGGACCTTTTTGGATCAGGCGATTGATCACGAGCTTGCGAACATGTAAAGCATCAAGTCACGGATTAGTAAGCGTTGAGTGAGGTCAGTTCAGGTGAATAGGCATTGCATCTATGGTGTTCTTTGTATGTTTTCTCTTTTACTTCGGAGTTTTACCGGATCTCAGGGCTGGAAGGTGAAGTGGTTTCTACATCTGGCACTCGAGCCTGGTCTTCAAAATGGAGTCTTTCTCTACAACTGCATATTGGTTCGTGGTAATAATAGGAACGAAGCTCAAGGAGGATCTAGCTTAAATATGAGGATCTTTCACACTTTATGGCTGTTCTTAGGCTTGGTGATTTTGCTGCTCTTGTTTACCAATTCTACTGGTGCACATTGCCTTGGGAATAGGCCGTTTCGTTATGTATGACCTCTGGTCCTGGGCCCCGTGTTAGACCACACGGTTCTCACATAGTGTACTCGGAGTACCCGATCCAATACCAATGGTTGCCCCCTCAAAAGACCAGAAGATCAAGCAGCCATCAAACTCTCCTCCGCAGTCTTCCCCACTCCTCTGTGAATGTAACGCATATACACGCTCCCTCAACGCAACATGGCTGAGCAAGCCCCCTCATCTTCTGTCGCCATCACAACCAGCGGCAAAGGTCGTTAATGTCCCCCTCCCTTACCTCCCATATGAACTAACAACCCTACTCAGACTACCTCTCCCAAAGCGTCACCGTCTTCGCCGACCTTTCGCCCACGGACCCCCTGTGATTACGTATCTACTCAATGTCTTGTCACCCTTCAAGCAAGATCCCTCTCGCCACATGCTCTTTAACGCTGTCTTCACAGCTGCTGCACTGAACGGAGCGTCGTTTGCGGAGGCAGACGGGTGGCGCTGTGTAGGCGTGCTGATGGCGCCAGGGAAGAGCATGGATAATCCACTCACGCTGGTGCAGAGTGGGTTGTTTGGGGTGGCCTGGAATTTGGGGGTAAATGGGGTGTGGGTGAGTGTGCTTTTCTATCCTCCGTATCTACTATTTTCTTTATATATTGCACGATTTCTTTTAAAGTCAATAGAGGAGCCCTTAATAGGGGTACCATATGCACACGACCTCCACCTGTTTTTTCTATCTCTCCCCTACGCATCATATACTTACATCCTAGAGCGGGTTTATTTCTACCTAGTCTCTTCACCACACACTAACACCCCCCGCGCATGCCTCCCAAATCGCCTCTCTCAAATTCCGTACACTGCGAACCCACACTAAGAAAGCCTACTGCATCTTCAACCTCTGCACGAAGGAAGAGCACCGAGGGAAGGGTTAGCCCCCTCTATGTCTCTACTTCTTCTATAAGTCCCATTACTCCCATTACTCCCCTCCTCCTCACCCCTCACTTCTCTTCTCCCTCTAACCTAAAACAAGGCCTCTCAACCCATCTGATCCACCATTTCCAATCCCTCGCCGCCGCAACCCACGCCCCTATCTGGCTCAAGGCTACGACCGCCTCTTGGCACGCATTATACGGAAAACTAGGCTTCAAGACCGTGGGCGAGATAGCGCTGGGTCAGGGCGTGGCCGGGGCAGATGGGTCAGTTTCGAAAGGCGGCGAGGGGGTCAGGATTTGGGGAATGGTGTGGTGTCCGGCTTATGATCAGGAGGAGTTGTGTGAGAGAGATGAGAAGGTTATAGGCCAGAGGACGATGGTGAGGAGTGTGTACTACAGTCTAGTTCGGCATAGATAGTTCTTAGACATGTGCGAGAGAGGTCGATGAGACTGAGATGGCTGAGATGCGTACACGGGAGGTGGTTCGGTACTGGAAGTGAAGCCAACCCAGCGCGCTATCTACATGACCTGAATAAGACTAATGTACTTGACATCAATTAAGGTGCCTGATCCATACCTTCTTTTCGTACTTTACGGGTTGTTTGGAAGCACAAACGGGAGTCAGTCCCCTATTTACGCCCCACGTCAAATTCATGCAACAAACACCCCAATTTAAAGTGACCAGCAATCGCATGCCCAAGCAGAGTGTAACCCGCGCCGACTGGCTTCCCTTTATATAATGGATCTCAATACTGCCATTTTTAGCCTACATCTGCGACCTAGTTCAGGAGCCTGGCAATAATACACCAAATGCAAGGGCAAGTCGCACGGACTAGCGCCTGTTCATACGTCTCAATTTCTCTCTCAAGATATTGACAGTTTAACGTCTGATTCGGCGTCTCGTTGATTTTACATTGTTCAAGCGCTCATTTTGTACTCCCTATGCGCTTATGCAATCCAGATTCGCGGAATTGAGCTTCTAGTATTAGTTGTTGTTGAGTAGTCAGTAGTATAACCGGGTGCTATTCTGGTAGTTAAGACTCAGGTCAGCAACATCGCGGGTGGTGTAAGATTTGAGACTAGAAGAGAGTATGATCATGGATTGAGGCTTGTATCGTTGATTAATTCCGTCATGTTGGGTTTTATAGACTTTGTAGTGACTCATGCACATCTTTCTGTCAAGAGTCTGCGTCACCTCCCCGCTTTCGCTTCTTCAATCTCCCGCCTCAAATCACTCAGCACCTCCAACCTCCTGGAAAGATGCCCTTGCAGCCCCTCAACCTGCTCTTTCACTGTGTCAATCTCCTCCCTCACACCGCCAAGTCCCTTAACCGCACCCCCCTCTCCACTCTCCAGCTCCCTCAATACCCCCCTCTTATAATCCAACATCAACTCCAATTCCCGCTTCACAAGCGCCGGCTTGGTATCCCTCTTCCCCCCACCCCTCCTCTCCTCCCCATCCTTCTCAATCCGCTCGATCTTATCCTCCAGCTCCTTCAACTGCTTCCTCAACCTCACCTCCTCCCAATCCTCCGTCGTCCTGCCCCCAAAATCCGTCCCCTTTGCCCGGAACGCCCCCGCCTTATCCCCCACTCCCAGGCGCGTGAGATACGCATCCCCAAACTTTGCTTTCCGCCCCGTGCTCGTATCATCCCCGCCATGCGCCGCCCACTTCCGCTGCGGCTGCACGCGCTCAACATCGTAATCGATATGCGCGCTCTCGAAGCTCTGTCTTAGACTCGGCGGCACACTCCTCGGCACCCTAAACCCCTCGCTCCGCCCGTTCAGCACATGTAAGAAGGCGAGACACGCGTCCTTCCCAACAGTCTCACGCGCTTTCGGGTTGACAAGGTTCCACGCGGAGCGGATGTCGGTGTCGGGGACGTCGTCGAGGCTAGCAAAGAGGGGTTCTAGTGCGTGGAAGGAGACGCCGCCGCCGCCGTCGCGGTTCGCCGTGTAGATTTCCTCGTACTTGGCTTTGTCGGTGGGCGACATGTACCAGTCGAAGCCGTCCATGAGGCCTGGGGTGTCGTCGTCGTCGTCGACGGTCTCGAAGGCGGGGAGGGAGGAGGAGAGGGCGCGCGAGGCTTGCACGAGGTGGGCTTTGGATTCGGGGACGAGCCAGTCGGGGAGCGTGGTGGGGACGTCGACGGCTTCCTGTGGTGGGGGGTTGTGTTGTTAGTTGCTTTCTTTTGGACAATTGAGGGTAGAGTTAGGTAGCATGTGTATCAAATGTCCCAGATATTCAGGCTCAAACGAAGATAGACCAAGGTAGCAGGAAAGATCAAAAAAGGGCATGCCCTACATACCCCATTCACCAGATCGAATATCAACCGCATAGCCACACAGAACTCTTCAAAGTCCAACTTTCCGTCATTGTCCACGTCGGCAAGGTCCCACACCCGCTCTAGCTGTTCGTCTCGTAGCTGCGAGTTCTTCAGCACCGAAGCAGCCTGTGCGCCGTCGAGATGTGTGCCGCCGTTCGCGAGGCTGCTGAAGATCTCCCAGTACTTGGTCACCTCCCATTGCTCGATCTTCTTGGTTGACATGATTGGCGTGGAGCGGGTATAACAAAAAGAGAGAGTTGGAGTGGTAGGTGGGTGGTATAACGCTTGGGAAGTGTTGGAAGCTCACAGCTCACCCTTGAGGTGACGTTCGCGCTAGGATTGGATCTCCGGCACTACCGAGTCACGTGAAAAAGCACTACTATCTGCAGGAATGTAGTATATTAGGTGGGAGTGCTCCTCTGAGCATCACCTGGCTGTCCCCCTCCCATTCGAGTCAAACTATCATAGCACATACCAGGTAGGCCAAGGATTTAAATACAACAACAGTCGCATATCCAATTAGATTACCACTTCAGCATCCACATCCACACATCAAGAACACCTACTATACAGCCGCCACGCAGCACACACTTTCCGTCTTCCTAAAGATAAGCAAAACCAAAACAGTTCCAATTCATCAAATCAAATTCGCCATAGCATCGCTAAAAGCCAATCAAATCAAGCAACCAATCTGGCAATTTGAACAAAATGCATGCAATGACGAGGTACTATCATTCTCACCCCAGATAGCAGTAAACAAACACCAACCCGACCTAACCCAACAACCAACTTCGCAAGTAAGGAACACCCAAAAGAAGCGCTTGAAAAAAAGATCCGTCTCGTACATGACATGATTCCCTTCCCAATGTGAGCTGATTTAGTCCACAGGTATTTCGAAAGGGGGGAGTTGGGGAATATAAAAGAAGTTGGTATATGAAGGCGCCTTCACACCGCTTCGAAGTATACAAGAATTTGAATGCGAAGGAAATAGGTAAGAATAAGCAAAGTCTCTAGAAGCCCACCGATGGAGCCTCCAGAGCAGAGGGGAATCGTTAGAGTAGATCGCGAAACTACAGTTTTCGTATCTTGTGACGGAACCCCTAGAAATACTGCAGATGCAAAGTAGAAGCTCGTGGGTGGAGCATCGCATCGTGTTTAGTCCTCAGAGAAGACGAACTTGTGGTTTTCAAGTAGCGCTTGGACAGCCACACGTTGTTGCTGCACGTCGGTCATTTCGCGCTCCAGAGTCATCGGGCGCATGATGGTAGGTGCGAAAACCACAGCAAGGTTGAGTGGAGTCATCTGTTATTGGTGAGCGTGACGTCTCAGCTAGGAGATTGAAGGTTCAAACATACGAGATTCTCCATTTCATGCTGAATAACCCGGGAAAGATGAAATACGAGGAATTGGAGGCAATCGCGATGGGCTCGTGGCAATTCGTTAACCGCTGCCAGAATCGAGTTCGCTTTTTCCTGGGTATCTTGCATTTCTGTCTCGTTGTCAGCCACGTTCTACACAGAATTGGGAAGTGTTAAACATACGCCCTGCTTCAAGGAATTGGTCATAAACATCGTAAGTGATCAACGGTACAGGTAATCTCCGGAAATACTGCTTCAGACAAGATGTGACAGCGTGGATATCTAAATCCGGGTCGGAGATGTCGTAGTCGGGACTCTTCTCGAACCCACCCCGCACGATATTAACTTGGCCGGAGCCGCCGCTCTTCCGATAAATACCTTCGGCGTCCATGCCTGTTGATGAGCGTTAGTTGAGCTGTGCGAGGCTATGAATAGCGCCGACTCACCTCTCAATTCAACCTCTTCGATACATCGAGTCACAATACTAGGAATAACTCGTTTCTCGAAGTCGCATCGAGCCGTCAGATCAGAGCCAAACAAAACTAATGAGTAGTTAGTATAATGACGGTCAACATCAATGATATCAACGCACCTGAACTGTGCTCTCCGGCCAAGTTGGTGTTGCTGTTGTTGTTTTGTGAAGTCTTCTGCAACCTGTCCGGCTTGCCGGGAGCTCCCTTCTGTGAGAACCACCCTCTGGCGGCCTCGTTTCTGGCAGCCTCGTCTCTTGTTCTGGCGGCGGATGCCATCGAGGAAGTATCCGAAGATGGAGGTATCGATCCGTAAGGTGTCCCAATGACGTTGATGTTGTACTGGTCTTCACGGCGATTTTCAGAAGCAAAGGCGCCCTTGATGCCCTTAGTCACGTTCTTGGCGAGGCCTTGACCGCCCTTTTTCCAATTGAACTTATTCGGCTTCCCCTTGCGGATGTTGACGACCTGAGGCGCGGAAACCATTGTTGCTTCAGCATCTGCCTCTTGGATCAGGTTCGAGTAAGAATGCTCGTGTGTGATTGCGTGTAAATCCATGGATAAGTCGGGTTTGCCCTTTTGCTGAGCATGATAGATCCCGAGCCCGTTCGCAGGCCGTCCGCCATCAATGGAGTTGCTTCCATTGTGGTGCTTGTTTTCTTTTAGAGACCTTTGAATGGTTTCGATCAAATCCCGGTTCATGTTCGAGAGCTTCGTGTTCTGGGCGCTCAGAGACTCGTACTCTTGGAACCCTTTGTCCTTCATCTGGATAAGATTAGAAATTTCGTTAGTCAGATCCGTCCGTCTCGTGATCAGCTCTTCGATTTGTCCTCCAAGCTGGTCTTTCAATTTTTGGAGCGAAGCCCCAAAGTCTCGCAGAATGTCCGACTTGAGCTCCTTGATATCCAAGGATTGGTTGTTATCCTTGGCCTTTTTCAAATGGTCGGTCATGATTTCTAGCTCTCTAATAACCATTTCGCGCTGGGTATCCAGGACCGCCATTGTGTTCCGCTTTTCCCTTAGCATAGTGTTGGCCTGCTTGAGGTCCGAGGCGTTGTTGACAGTCTCGCGCAAGTCATTCTTCTCAGCTTCCAGTTCCGCGATTCTTTGCTGGGCTCTCCGCAACTCGTTTCGCAGATTGGAGTTCTCTTCCTTGGAGTCTGGGGAGGGCATGGTGGGGCTGCTTATAAGGTCGATCGACCCGTTGGCGGGCCACTTCTTATGTCCGCCAGCCGACACTCGAGACCCTCTGTCGCTGAAACTTCGTCCGTGCTTGGAGACAGCGTTGGACACCCGTCGCAGCACAGACGGATCTTTGTCGCCGTGCTCTTGGCTCATCAACAATCGAGCTAGGTCCTCGTCCATTGAAAAGTCGCCTTGGGTACTATACCGCGGGAGGCCTGCAGAGGCGAAGCCATGGGTGTGGTCGCTTTGCACCGTGCTGACAGAATCATTCATCCTGTGTTGGTGGGGTGGGGGTGGTGGTGGAGCGGGCGGAGCGCGAGGTGAGGTGAAATTGTCGCCGGTCTGCCCTGCGCCAGGGCGGTCAGCGGACCGAGAGGGCGGATCGGGCGTATTGAGGATGCTCTTTGACGTTGGGGACTCAATGGGACTGGAGATGGTGTAACCGCCGTTCATCTGCGACCTAACTCCCCCAGCAGATATCTTCCGCTCATGCGCTGGGGCAGTGGGCGTGGAAGGCGAGGATTTGGAAGGGGCATCTTTCCGCGCGAGTCCCGGCTTAAGAGAGTCCTCCCGCTTTGGCCGCTCCACCACTTTCTGTGTTGAGCTGTACGAAGAGGCCTGCGAAGATGTCGACTCTTCGCGAGCCCGCGAATCCGTAGCCACAGGTGAAGACGACAGCGACGACCCTTCAAGCTGTGGACTCAGCGTCCTGCCTGCCGCATCTACTGCAGGTGAATTTTGCAATGAAGACCGCAGCTCCGATCTCGAGCCGCTTCTAGATGCGGTTTTCTTATTTTTAGGCACTTCCTGCAACTTGAATGCATCGCTCTGGCTTGAAGATGCTGTTTGTGGGCTCGCCATTTGCGTACGCGACCGGTCATTCCCAATGATAGGCGACGCGGTGGACGAAGGCGGCGGCATTGGCTCCTTCCGCTTCCGAACAGACTCCACCAGGTTATCTGAAGTCGCACGCCCCTTCTCCTGATATGCAATGTGGGGACTCGCTGCCGCTGGTGAAGGCTTCGCCGACGGGCGGTCTCTCTCAGTTGATGCTGATCGGGACGAGCCTGGTCTATTCTCTTTGAGCATATCGCGATGCGATGTGTTCGATGGCCGATTGAAATAATCTCTCCCGGTTTTGGAGTCCTGTCCCCTGGTGTGGCCAGCCTCCACCGGGCCTTCATTGAATTTGCGAGACTGGCCAAGCGGGGACGGCCCTGGAACGACTGTTGGGTCAAGTGCAAACGGGAGGAGAATGCCATCGTCGCCGTTGTCGGATGGATCGGCTTGTTTGGGGTCCTTGTAGGTGCTTGCGGGGAGGGTCTCTGTGGGGCTGTTAGGACCAGAGGGCTAGATGTCGAGACTAGAAACTGTACCTTTCGGCGCCTCAAGAGACGCAGGAGAAGCATCTCTGCGGAAAGTGCCAGGGGAAGAGTCTTTCCGCATACTGGAGCCACGCGGTCGGGGAGAAGTGTCGGTGGTTGGTGGTTCCGAGTACTGTTCAGACGAGGGGGTATCCATGTCGGGGGTGAATGTGCTCGACGGAAGGGCACTGGGCGGCAATGCAGGTAGAGACTTGTCGAATATAGCCCCAGTTGACGCTGGAGGGGCTTTCTTGGACTTTTTACGACGTCGAGCCATAAGCGATTCATGACACGACATGCAGAATATGCCCTGTGACGTGCGCGCATAGCGCAGGTTCTCGATTTTCCGTTTACAATTCCTGCAGCGGAAGCAGTTGGCACAGAATGCCTGGTCCCCCGTGAGGATTGCCAGATCCTCGATCTTGTTCCCGCAGTGATTGCAGCTGTATGTGCAGTTGTTGCAGATGAGGGAGCCATCGCCGAGGAGGAGGAGGTTCGCATCCGAGTCGAGGAGAGTGCCACAGGTATTGCAGCGAAAGCAATCGATATGCCATCGGTTCCCAGCTGCGCGAGGGTCAGAGATGTCGGTCGAGGCGCAGGCACAGCAGCGAAAGCGAGAGACACGGAGGTGGGTAGCAGGACCAATAGCGACTACTTACCTAGTTCGAATGCCTTGCCCTCTTCCAGAATCTTATAACAGCACGATTAGCAAAGGTCCAATTGCTCGGACGGCAACGCATACCTCTCCGCAGTTCTTGCAAGGGTAGACAACGTCATCTGGGTCCAGAGGGGACTCTGGATATGCACCGGGCGACTCCATAGCGGCGGCGGGTGAGCACCGGTACGGTGTTCAAGGAGCGTGCTTGTCGAGGGCGGAATGAGAAGCCCCAGGCCGCACAGCGAGGCCGTTACAGACACAGATACGGAGGAGGGCGTGCAGCGATCGACGAAGGGCGGACTTGGGGGCGCAACAGCGGACTTTGCATGGCACTCCACGGGCAGGGTGGCGCTCGCGGGCGGTGGAGGTGCGGTCAGGGAGGGCTGGGCGCAGGGTGAGGGCGCTGGCGGTGGTGCTCTGCTTGCGCAGACGGCCTTGGTGATGGAGACAGAGGCAGAGGTGTGGAGGGCAAGCGTCCAATTGGGTGTAGTGCTCTCGTATGGCGCTGCGGGCGAGCTTAGAATTGCTGGGACCAGCCAGGAGAGGCGAGGTTCAGGGTCTTGGTCGTTCCCAAAGCACACAACTGCTGGGGCAGCGTCCTGTGTCGAGTGCAAGAGCAATGGACGCATGCACCAGCGTATGGCCACACAACCCATCGCCAGCGTGCCCTTCTGTCCACAGCACCGCCAAAAACTGCACTCCCACCACCCACGGCAGACATGAAACTACGACAGCCCGGGCCTCCTCACGGCAGTCCATCGCGGCCGGGCAGCGGCCGAGCAGCAGGCGATCCGGCCGCGTCGAGCACGCTCCCACCGCAGATCGAACACGCCTTCAGCTTCTTGTCCAGCACTACTCCCACCAGCACTACCCGTCGCGAGCTGGATTGGCCCATCGTTCGCCGGAGACCAGGCCCGGCTCCGCTGCACGCGCTGCTGCTTGCGATGCCCAGGGCGTGATGGAGGAGTATAAATCGGGTACAACCCCCTCGCCGCGCATTAAGCTAGACCGTCCGTCGAAAGCCACACAGACACGCCCGAGCACGAAAACCCGTTCTCCAGGGCCTTCCCCACCCAACGCAAGCGCATGAGACGCCAGGGGCATCGAATCCGCGGGTCTGTAAAAATAGACGCTGCCCTGCCGCAGCATCATGGCAGCTCGCCTGAAAACACCACACCGCACCACCACTCGTCAGCCGCGAGAGAACCTGCCATCCTCGAGCCATGGCGCTGAGCGCGGCGGTGGCTCGACAGCATGGGCTGGTTGGCGGTGGGACACCCTCAAACAACTCAGCCATCAGCGAAATCAGCCGTACGTTTCAGAACACCAGTGCGGTTGGACCAACACGTGTCCACCTTCCCTCTGCATCACCAACCCCGATGTTTCCCAGTCGCATCGAGAGTCCAGACAACCGCTCTGTCATGCTGCTTTGCGCGTAGTCGGCAATGATCCTCTCTTCCTTCTGCTCCCACTCCCAACATGCACCTCGGACGCTCTGGGCCGCCCTACCGAGCTCGCGCTCACCTCCTTGCTGAGACAACTAGGTACACTGGAGGATCGTGGCTCTTGTTTCACCGTGCTGAGCGGGTACCTGGGCACCTGGCGCTCGGGAGTGGTCCTACCGCCTCAGGTCCCACCAGTCACATGACCAGGGGTATAGCACGCGCCGTGCTCCTATACCACGTCTTTTGCGACCCTTCTTTGCATCTCTACCCAATAGACTTCGACTCTGCACTGCGTTGGCGCAGAGGTACCGTACTATTGACAGCGGACAGCATGCAAACGCAACGCGAGACCCTCCTACCGCAAGCATCGCGGCCGTCGTTCATCCGCAGGATGTGTCGAGGTTAGTTTTGGGTGGTGGCACAGCGTTTTGTTCATGCGTGGCACAGTCATACTTTAATTACTTCCTCATCCTGCCGTTCTCTCTCTCATTCGCGGAAATTGTCAAATTGTGTCTGCAATTACATTCACGTGGGGACCTTGCGCATCATCTTGCCGACGCAGCTCCTTCAATGCGCAAAGGATTGCGCAAAGGATTGCGCAAACACTTCCCCTGTAAACAAAAATATCAAACACCCCACAATCTGTTTGCTGGACTACACTGAGAACCTGAACGTCGCCACTTACATCTACCGACCACCTTGGACCACCACCCTCGTCAGATAGGCCCACGTGCTGTCACCGTTTACATGACCACAAGGATTGCAAGCGTCGGAATACACGTTTGGCAGACACCGGCATGTCTCGCCCGTCTACTGGTTCGGGTAACCTAACACATCTAGGGGCACTGCAGCCAGTACAGAAATCTGCTCAGCGTGTGAGCTTGAAGAACGTCGGTCTGATCAGCGACTGCAACAAGCGTATGAAACCCTTATAAGATGTTGTAAATTTCTTGTAGCAAGGTTGTCTAGAGCCTCGCTACCGTTTGAGGTGCTTCAGCTCGGTATACAAACTACGTTGCGATATAAGGTCCAAGAAAGCTTGAATCGGAGAACTTTCACACGCTTGCGACCGGCCTACCTGGCCGCTGCACGCGGTGCTTCAACGCATCATCAGGTCTCTAGAAAATATGCAAGAGACAGCGTGCCCAAACTTGTGTCCTAGTACTGTACTATTCAAGGACGAGGTTGAGAAGACCTCGTACATAGTATCAATTAGAACGATCTAAATGCAAACCAAACATGTCTGTCATCTGCTATTTAAGACTGCGAACTAAGAATGTTACGCTCTGTCCATAATGTTGCTCCGGGACTTCACGTAAGTGAAGTTCATGATGGCAGATGTGAACGAGCCTAGTACATGTGGATCTCTATAATCTGTTTAACTGCATACTGTACTGCTTGTGCAACATACCCAATATCTTTTTATGAATTACTAGATTGACATTGAAGATCTAATCCTCAGCTGGCACCGCCCCCTGGCCCGGCCCTCTTCGTAACCAAGCGCGCAGGCCGCGTTCCAATTCGGCATGCCGAAACGTCCAAGTACCGCTCGAACCACTCACGATCGCTGTCTTCCCGCCCGTGAAACCACCTCTGCCGCCTCAAATTTGCACTTTGCCACAACCTTCCGCTGGTCTACTCGGCCTCTTCCGACATCAGTTGCATCCTACTCGACCACTATCTGAGGTGGCTTAGCAAGTTTACTAGTCGTTAAGAACATCTTGTTCCAATTGCCAAAACCCCTCAGGGCACCATAAGCCGCAGTGAAAGTGTGCACATACGTCGATGCCCTTACTCTGCTGCAGAAAAGAGAGGGGTAGAGAGAACGAGAAGACGAGAGCGCTCTGCAACACCAAGGTTCCTCGCCCTGCGTGTTCCGGGCCTCCAGCGGCCCGCGTCCCCTTGAAATCCCGAGAGATGTCGACTGAAGTATGCAGGCAAACACCATGGCGATCCTGCACTGTGGCGTCCAATGCGACTATCCTGGATGCCGCTGCACGCGCTGCCAACTCTAAATACGAGTCGCGGGGCGAGGCTTGAACTGTGGCTGTCGATCCTCCTCTGCATTGCTTTCCTTTCGTCTACTTCTCTTCGCGAGTCGTGTTGTGAATCCTCCAATTATTCTCTCATTTCATTACTTTTGAGAGTACCTCTTGAGGCGTCTGCGCCAAGCAGATACCCGGGTACGATTCATCATGGATCCTACAGCCCCCGTCACTCCTTTCGACCTGCGCGAGCGCAAGCGTCGACATGCGCGCGTCTGGGTTCGCTCAACGACTCTCATCATTTCGACGGCTTCTCTGATCGTAGCCATCCTGGGAATGATTCAGTAGGCCTGGTACTTCAATGCCATCATGTCCATTGCAGTTGTTAGAAGCCCTTCTCTCGTTCAATCTGTTTCTCAGCCTGTACACTCAAACAGCCCTTGACCGACTTGCTTGACCCAACCCTACTAACATGACTCTGCTTATAGTTTGCTGCAGCCGTGGCATGGGAAATAGCCGACCTCATAACTTACTGCGTCAACAAACGGGGAATTCATCCAGGAGCACACGTCGGCGTGGAACTTGTACTATGGCTAGCAATGATAATCTGCACCGTCTTTTGGGGCATCAACGGAGCTTTTTGGGATACCTACGACTACATAACTAGTTCTTATAGTTTCGCTCATAATGGGATTGCAATTGCAGCTGTAATTACAGAGGCGCTGTCGACGTACGTACCATAGTCTGATCTCTTTCCATGGCGCAAACTCGCCCAATCAGTTCGTTGATGCTCGAGTACCTTCTCAATAGGTTCGTGGGTAAAGTTTCAACCATTCGGATGCTGACCAACGCTCTTCTACCCGCAGAATATTCCATTTTACCCTCTTCGTCTGGGCCTGCGTCGACACCGACCGCCGCCGTAAAATGCGCTACGCCGAGATGGCCGCCATGGCAAACCAAGCGCGTATGAGCATGGCTGCCGCCACCATAGGCGGCAATACTCCCTACAACTATCCGCCCCCGCCACCAGGAATGGCGTATCAACTGGTTTCTGCCCCGCGACCAAATGGACAACAACCGCAAGTGCAAGGTGGAACGCAACAGAGTGCGCAATATTCACAGGCTCCATCACAAGTCCTCCAGCAGTATGATCAAAGGAACAGTAACGGATCGCCTCTACTACAGTAGCGGATTCAGAGCTTCCACTCGTCGCTGGTTTATCCGCCCCAGTATGCGAATGTGTCAGAGATCGACCAGGGGATGCTTAGGCCGACTGTGATTGGGATGAGCGCGAAGAGGGATTGAAGAGGAGGAGGTGAGCATTTGTATTAGAGTTTTTGTTTCAAGGGTCTGAGCGTGGAGTCTGAAACTATGGTAATTTGAACCGGTACAGTGATAGAAATAACCGAACTTTCCTCACACCGCTTGTAGTGCTTCAACGGACTCTCAACGGCCGAAATCATATTGAAATCTATCCATTTGACAAGCACGAAATCCTGCCAAGCCACCTCAGGCGGTAGCATAGAGTTGTACAAAAAGCATTGTTGCTCCCCTTAAGAATATATTACCGCGGGACAGCACACGCATTGGACTATGGTGAACATTGCACGTGTGTAATTGAAGGATTCACCATAGGACGTATTGGAGCCGTGCCCATTCTTTCAGAGCCCACTTCTTCTGTACAATTTTCTTGTTCTTGTTTTCATCACTGTTTGCATACCATACCAAAGACAAGATGCGTTCTCTTTTCGGACTCACCTCCATTATCGGTCTCCTTGTGGGTTCGACGGCCGCCTACACGGTCAAGAAGACCTGGGATGCATCCAACTTCTTCGAGGAGTTCAATTTCTATTCGGTGAGTGACTCCTCTCACTCCCCGAAGAACTTGACCTGTAGAACACAAGCACTTACTTCAACGCAGGACGTAGACCCGACCCACGGCTTCGTCAACTATGTTGATAAATCTACGGCATCGAGCGCTGGACTAGCCAAAATCACCAACGGCAAAGTCATCATTGGCGCTGACAGCACTTCCGGCTTGGATCCCCATGCAAAGCGAGGCCGCAGAAGCGTGCGTCTCGAGTCCAATGCCCAATTCGACCGCGGCCTCATCATCGGCGATTTCGATCACCTCCCCGGCAACGCTTGCGGTATCTGGCCATCTTTGTGAGCACCCCCGATCCCATCGAACCCACCGTCCAAAACTATGCATGTGGCCAAAACCTATCACTAACATCCCCTCCTTACCTCAGCTGGGTCATCGACCTCGACAGCGACGCCTCAAACGACTTGCCCTACTCCGAAATCGACATCATCGAAGGCGTCGCCCTCCAAGACTACAACGAAATCAGCCTCTACACCAGCCATCAGTGCACGCTCTCTGTCAACAACAGGCGCGAACTTGGCAACCACCCCCGCTTCAACTGCTTCCAGACCGCCGACGAATCCCTCCCTGGCTGCGGCATCAACGCGCCCCCGAACACCTTCGGCGACACCTTCAACGCCCACAACGGCGGCGTCTGGGCACTCCAAGTCGAAGCCCACGACATCCGCGTCTTCTTCTTCCCGCACGGCAGGGTTCCCACTGATATTGCGGCTGGCAATCCGAACCCGGATGGATGGGGGAATGCGGTGTTGGACTGGAAGCCAGACCAATGTGATATCGGGAGGGCATTCAAGAAGCTGAATACTGTATTCAATATTGCGTTCTGTGGGGATAATTATGAGGATGCGGCGTGGGGTGGGGAGGACTGGACGGGATGTGCGAGGAAGACGGGAGTCAAGACTTGTGAGGAGTGGGTGGCGAGGAATCCACGTGCGTTCAAGGAGGCGTACTTTGTGATCAATTCGGTGAAGTGGTTCCAGAGGTGAGAGGTAGAACGACGAGGCATCAGGGGTAAGCAGCTGGGCTGCGCCGCAGACCTGATATGGAAGCTCCTGGTAGTTCGGCACGTTGACGAGCTGATTTACAACCTCATGGTATATGGGTAGGTAGATGAGCCGACATCGGGGCTCCGGAATGACATCTATACTTCTTCGTATTGAATATCTTCGGGGAGGAACGACGATGTGTCTAGGTAGGTAATTAGATTGTGTCGGTGAGCTGATCTGAGGGATCCTAATATCAGGATAGGCACACGAGCTGATTTAGAGGCTCTTAGTCTTTGTATATAGGGGCTGTGGAGATAACAGCTGACTTCTCACTGTTAAGCAGCATAGGAATGGAACGACTACACGGCTAGGTAGGCAGTTGGGCTATGTCGGAGGTCTGATTCGAGGCCTCTCGGCAGCTAAGCAAGTAAACGAGCTGATTTAGAGGCTCCTAGTATCTGGGTAGGTGAATGACCTAATATCGAGGCTCTGGAAATGACATGTAACTATTTATTGTTGACCCCTTCGGAGGTGGAACGACGGTTTATCAAGGTGTGCAGCACCCTAAGGCGAACGACCCAATTTCCATCTCACCTCCCATTACCATCTTTGTTTCCATAGTAACCACGTGCTCGGCTGTCGTGGTGTTCCGACTTCTCACCTTCCGTCCTTCTCGTCAGTCTCGTCACTCTTGTTCCTCTCACCGTCAACACCAACATGAGCGACGACAACCACGCCACGGCCGTTCCGGCCACCCTCTTCGTGGTGAACGGCCTTAATCACGAAGAAGTCACCGTTACCTGGCCGGAAGTCCTGGCCAAAGTCGCCTCCGTCGCCCCCCGCTTCTTCCTCGAGCGCCACGCCTCGGATAGCCTCGCGGCGAAAATCCTCATGAACGCGTCTAAGGAACTGCCCTACCTGCTGCTGGTCAAGCCCTTCGGCCTCACCTACCAGCAGTACATCCTCCCATGGGCCGATGCGGCGGTGCGCGAGCATCCCAGCGAGCTGCAGCGTGCGGTGGAAAAGATGGACATTAGGCCCGAGAGCGCCGATGATGCGGACAAGATAGACAAGAGGCAGGCAATGCTGGCACTACACCACCGAATCGACGAATACTACGACGCTGTCATCGCCTGGCGCCGCCAATACTACCCGCGCAACAAGGAGCCCGCGATTCGCATCTACACGTCTGGCCTCGCGCAGAAGGCGGGAAATATGGCACTTGAAGAAGCTAAGGCGATTTGGCTGGGTAGTCGCGACGTGATCCAGAACTTCGACATCAACTTCGAGCAGACTATGTTCACCTACTTCAGTCTGAAGCTCGCGGAGGACATGAGCATACCGTTGCGCCGACTTGAGAACCTGTTCGTCATCGCGGTCGAAGAAGAGATGAACAAGACAAAGCACACGCACTTCCGCACTGCTTTTGTCAATGCCTGGCACAAGTCTCCGATGATGGAAGATCTGTACCTCTGCACTCACGATCAGCTGGCTAGATGGGCGATGCTGGTCGAGCGATTCAAGAAGCTGAAGGAGAGATCGAACGACTTCTCTGACCGGGGAGATTCTGATATGGCGATGGACAGTGACGACGAACACGACATTCGCGAGACCGTGGAGTCGTCTGAGGCCAATACCGAGATCGATCTGCGAGAGATGGAGGATCTTGAGGGCGACGAGACGTTCTATCCTCCCGACTGGTTCAACTGGATAATTTTTCAGGCAGCTCGGATTCTGGAGGCAGATGAGGAGGATCCCTGGGGAATGCTATATCCGTGGTCTTCGTGCCATGACTGCCAACGCTACGATGACGACAAAATGATCCAATGCGAGGGCTATCACGAGAAGAAGACGTGGTTTCACTTTGGTTGCGCACAAATCAAGAAGGTACCCAATGATCGTAAGTGGTTTGTGCACACTCGTTTGCCGCCGCTTGGAGGTCTTCAACGGCTTTTTGGAAATCTGAGCAGGACAGAAGTTTATCATTTTGACCAATTAGTAAACTCGCTGGGCCACCTCAGACGATGGTGCCCTAGTACGATATTGACATATGCTGGATACTAACTGTGTAAAATCAGGATGGGTCTGCCGTACCTGCAAAGCCGCAGAGGCAGTGATGGAGGCCCAACACTCTGCTAGAGCAACCACAGCCTCACGCAATACCGTCCGTCTGCGAGACGTCCAGCAACAGCATCCACCACTGAGTACCCAGGACGCCATTCCTCAAGAGGTAGATGAAGGAGAGGAGATTACTCAGTATCCCTCCACCAGCCCATCCCGATCCCCCTTTAAGCGCCTGCGAGCTCGGAGAATCGTAGAGAGCTCATCGTCGGATGAGGCGGACGATGAACAAGAAGGCACTCTACGCTCATTCCGTATGTCCCGCCGTGCCAGGGCTCAGCCGGTCCATTCTAGTATCGCGGAACGCGTCAAACTATCCAAGGCCGCTACCAGCTCCGCCAGTGCCCGGGAGAGCGCCACGCGTCTAGCACAGGTTCATCCTCCCCTAGGCGATGCCGCCCGAGAGTCATCTGCATCTGCATCTGCATCTGATAGCAGTGGATTTCCCCCGTCTGAAGACTTGAGCCCATCCCTACCGCCGACATCTACGAACACCGTCCGCATTGCTGATCTTGTAAAGGAAGGGAAGGTCAAGGGATATAACATGGAGTTCGGTTCTGGTGCTCCACGTCATCAGTCAGTGAGCATTACACTGCCTCTCACCAAAGTAGCGGCCAAGACCCCTCTAGCGAGGCGTGCGTCGTCCCGATGGGACCGTCAGCCTGCTCCCCAGATGAGCCAGCAGCCGGCGAACTTGAACGCTCTGCGTGGTGAGCTTGCGGGCATTCTGGATACTAAGAGCAAGACTACTACCACAAGTGGAGGCCCGCATACGGAGAAGCTCGGCGCAGTTCTAGGCGCGTGGAAGAAGGGAGAGAAGACACCAGACAAGACTACCCTATCTGCGCTGCTGGATGGTGAGCGAAAGAGGCATCTCACCGAAGAGGAGTACGCAACTGCGGACGAGACGCCGGAGAGTGCGAGCAAGAAGGCCAAGCTCTCGAACTAAAGGTAGGGGAAGCTGTGAGATGGGATTGTCTTTGGTACTTAGTATGGTCTGCACGGTATAATGCCTGTCATTAGGCTGTGTGGTCTTGGTTACCATTACCTGGATGCTATGTCTTGGTTGTTTTTAATGGCATGTCCGTTTCTGGCACACGCGGATTCGGAAAGAGCTTTACTGTTACTGGTAGTTCCGTAGCCTAAATGAACCAAGTACAAACCTTACTAAATGAGATTCGAGGGGGCCTATGAGGTAGTGGTGAAGTCGCGTACATCAACGAATAGCGTAGGACTTGGTAGCGAAACAGATATCCGTACACTCGTTTGCCGCCGCGTGAGGAGCCTCGTAGTATTTTCAGCACTACCCCAGACAGCGTCAGCAGGGTATACGCAGATTAGAGTTATATCCGCTGCCCCCAGTTTCTATTAGTACGTTAAAAGCCCCACAGACAGTGACAGGAAAGCGTACGGATATCTATGGCAAGGCACTGTAGATAATACCACTACCCATAGTCAATTACCTCACTGTGCCATCGCCACCATCTCAGCCTTGCTATCGATCCGCTGAAGCGACGACCACTCATCCATCAAGAGGTACTCCGGCAAATACATGCTCTGGAACCACCTCTCACCCACCCTACCACCCGGCACATCCTTCAAAAGCCTCGCCGGACCTTCCATGTGTTCCATCGACGCAATCGCCCACACCATCTCCTCATTGCCCCTATAATGAGCTTTTAACCTTGCCCTCCTTATCGCCTTCCGAAACCCCTTCTCCGCACCCGCCCACAGCTTCGCCGACCAAACCAGCTGGTCCGCCTGCGTCATCTCTCCCGCCGCGACCTTCCGCCGACTCTCCGCCATCTGCGGCGCGACCTCTCGATGCTGCGACACACCCAGTGAGCTCTCGGCGCGCAACCCATTCGCATCTGCATTTTGGAGACCTACCCAGCTGTCCGCCAGACGGCGCATGCGCTCCTGCTCGCGGAAGAACGCGTCGAGCATGCGCCGCCACTCAAACGATATCTCCACGCCGGTATACTCATCCAGTTCTAGTCCAGGCAGCTCGGTATCATTCACCATATCCCCGATCTGGATCACGTAGTTGGGGCACTCGGGCCGGATGTCCTGCACCTGCTGGCGCCAGCGCTCGAGGAGGAGCTTGCGCAGACAGGCTATGTCCGTCTCTTTTGTTTTGCCTCTGCCGCCTCGGCCGGTTTTCTTGATGCGGAACTCTGGGATCTCGTCGTCGGTCTGGTTGTGGGCGAAGTAGACGCGCTCTTTGAGCCGCGAAGACGAGAACCGCGTGAATGTGGTCACGACCTCCGGCCGCCGCGTGCTGCCGCCTAGGTTGTATTTGTCGAGGTGGAAGTGGATCGCGGTGTGCCGGAGGTGCGTGTCCGCGAAGGCTTGCTCGGTGAAGGCGCGGAAGGATTGGGAGACCTGCCGGCAGGTGGTCCAGAGGTGGGTGAGGTCGGCGTTGTAGGTTAGGATCCGGATCCAGAGTTCTGGGGGGAGGGAGGGGATGTAAGGAGGCGGTGGAGATGGGGCGGGAGTGGAGGGTGGAGGCATGGCGGGAGGATATGGAGTGTTGAGCCCTCTCCTTAGGTCTAGTAAGAAGAGGGATCTTGGAGGATGTCACTGGTGACGGGTGTATGTGGGTTGAGCTTGGAGGCAGCGATAGTGTCTTGAGTCGTGATGTGTTGACTCAGCGAGGGAACTGACTCGATGCATACCTCTTTTTGCTCGTCGAGATTTAGAAACGTAGGGGTTATGTACACTTGCCTGGCACCGCTTAAGGGCCCCTGGTACGTTATCAAAGACTGTGAAGCGGGAATTTTGACAAGTCTGAAAGCTCTTCGGGCCACCTCAGACGGAGTCAGAGCAGACGGCCACTTTACTTTCAACAAAGCCTGATAGGTAGACTGACCCTCTCTCACTAAAACAAAAATCACTGTGACTTGCGAGAACCCTTTCATTAAAAAGTATATTTCCTTACCACAGCATGCTCATCCTACACCGCAGCCCTATGATACTTAAAGAGGATCGCGTCAAGAAACTCCCACCATTCTTTTGGTCACCCCAACGAAAGAGAAGAAAGAAAAGAAATTCACCCAAAACACCTTTCGGTCCAAGCCGGTCCCTAATCCCAACAGCCCAGATGGGACAGAAAGTAAAGAAAAAACCCCTCAACACCATCGACTGCCACTCAATGCCGGTTGATTCAGTTCCAAAAAGCAACGCCCGTGACGTCCCCAAAATTGACTCCTAGCACTAGCAGGCAATACGCGGTGCTCACACTTAAGCCTTACCCCGCCGAGCAAGGAAGTACGTGATCAAGTTCAGATGCTGCTCGCGGGCGCCAGCGACCGCCTTCCAGAACACGTCCTTTTCGCCTCCGATCCGCTCATGCAGGGAGATGCAGAACTCCAAGTCCGCCTTCCGCACATCCGGGTCGGTATCATCGAGGAATCGAACTGCCAGCCGACCGAGGCGCTGGGTTTGTACATTCGTGATTGTAACGTTCTTTGCTTGTGCCACCTGGAGGAGTTGTGCGAGCACGCTGAGGCCCATTGTTGTCGTACGGTTTGGAACTGCAGCGCCCTTGGGCGGGGTGGGAGATGAGGCAGCGGAGGAGGCTGGAGATGGCGTGTCACGTGCGAAAGAAGGGGAAGAGGACTCAATTAGATCCAGAACAGCATTCAAGCTGTCGCTGGTCTGTCCGTATCGGACAATCTCATTGGCCGTGTGCTCCAGGTCGGAGGCGATGTGAGACGCCGAATCGTAGTGTGATCGGGTCTGGAGAATGGCGCAGAGAGCGCGGGAATAGTAGACTGCGGTCTCCTTGCGATAAAGTGCAAGCATTGCACGGATCGTCGCCAACACCTGCACTTTGAGGTTGGGTGCCTTGCCTGGTGGAGCCTTTAGAGAATCGTTAGGAGCCTCGAGATAGTCCAGTAGAGCCAAGAGGAGATCCCCAAATCTCTCGCCATCCGAACCCCAGATATCTTGATCGTTCTTCACTAGATCTTGAAGCCGGCGGAAGCCATGAGCATCGAGGGTTTTGGCCCGAATTCGTTCGATGCCACTAGCCAGCAGCCTGCGATTCTTAAGAACGTCGGCGCGGTCTTGGGTGACCTGTGAGTCGTTGCCATTTGTGAGCATGACACTGCCAGTGCTTGTGGTTTTGTGATGTCCTCGCGATGGCTCATCATCTCTGGCAGCTCCATCCCCCATCATTGTAGCACTCTCAACACTATCGCTGCTCGATCGTCGCTCGACTTTCTTCTCATTTAGTGGGAGCTCCTCCAATACAGGCTTCTCAGGGTCTGTAGATGTCGCACTAGGCTCATCGCCTACGAACGGGTCTTCATACACCTGAACCTCGTCTGCTTGCGCATCACCGCCGGCCTGTCCATATGTGCGATCTGGCGAACGGAGTCGGGGACTGCCTAACAACCCAAGGGCAGGTGTCTTGTCCAAGCCCCCTATAACTCGGGGACTTCCAAGCCCTAATTTGGATGCTGACTTCGGAGGACTGCGTTGGTGTGCCGGCTGTCCTGAGGGCTGCGGCAGAGACATACTAGGGATGACCATTGTGAAGCCATCTTCATCTGCTGCGTGAGGAATGCCGCTATCCACAGACATTGTCTTCTCCAATCCTGCTCGCTTTCGGAACGGTATAGCTTGAGATTCACCACCGCCTACCAGGACTTTTCCTCGGGGCATCACCATGGTCAGCTCCTCATCCTTCGATGGACTCCCAGCTGGACTAGCTGTGCGAGTGCTATCCCCGCTCGGCGTCCTTCGGTGACTAGAAAGTTGCTCCAGACGTGACTTGCTCCTAATGGGACTGATATTCGGGCTTGGACGCTCTGGTCCGGTTCCCGTCCTGGGGCGAATCGTGCTCTTTGTTGTTGCAACTGATTTCTTCGTAGCGGGGGTCTTCTCAGGAGTCATCGAAGGTGTCACGTTCTTCCCTGTTCGGCGGTGATACGGATCCGCTGTTGCTGGTCTGGCTATTTCCGGTTTCCGCGGTCGACGCATCGGTGCAGCCATGAGGGCACCCGACGCCGTTGTGCTAGACGAAGTTCCTAATCCTGATCTTGAAGCAGTGCTCCCAGACATAGCAGAAGGTGGCCTGACCGAATGGGGTGTGTTTGAAGCTGTAGAAACTATGCGAAGATTGGAAGTCGATTTAGCCGTCTTCATAGGAGAAAAGGTTGCCTGAGCGGAGCTTGGACGCTCGGGCATCTGTTTTGCTAGTCGCTCTCTCTTCTGCTCTGCGATCTTCTCTTTGAGAGTTTGTCTAGGTCCACTAGCTCCGACTGACTTCGAAAAGGAGCTTGGGGCGCTAGCGGTAGCTTTTGGTGGGCCATTGGGATTGCTAGGGGCGTTTTCGAGGAGACCCTTTTGCTTGGGATCAAGGTCTGCCATAATACTGTAATCATGATTAGTCTCATCCAAATCTCGAATGGTTATCAACATACGCTTCAGCCTTCTTAGGCCAGACAGGGGCAAACGTCCAGTATGCTGCCCGCATGCCTTCTCGGACTTTCGGATTGGCATCCGCAAGGCCCTTTTTAATTATCTTGTCCAGCTGATCCAGACCACCTGAGTGCTCTATATGTGATTTGTGCCTCTTGATCATTGTTTTGATCCAGTTGGCGGAGTATATGCGAGGTTGCACGTTCTTGTCCGCAGCCGCGAAAGCTACATGCTGTAGCAGTCTGCTGTTGTATGATACGTTTTGGAGAATGGCATCGACCGTAGTGTTGCCGTTGTCGGCGGCGATTTTCTTCGTAGCCGCGCACATCTTGACGAAGCTTTGCAGGAGAATCTCGGTCGACGGGTCTAGAGCAGGTCCAAGTGTCTTAGCCAACTCCTGAATCAACATACAACCATTGGTTGACATGGTCGTACGCAGCGAGTTAGCGACCTTCAGAATGCCGTCCAACAGCGATTTGATGTTCGTCACGAACGCAATGTGAAATTCGGACGGAGCATTGCCCTTGGTGATTCGACGGAGCTTCAGAGTGTCCTTGTCACGAGGTAGCCAGTTTCCTTCTGACTCTCTCCCTTCGAAATGTGGCGCCATTTCCCGGAATATGTCATCGAGGTCTCTCTGGGTGTGAACGTATATCGGATCCATTGGCACGATTTCCATGGGTGGAGGGGCCTCCGATATCATGCTGTCAGCAAAGCCAGCATTTGTATCAGCCGATGTTGTCGATATAGATATCGCCGACGTTGTTAGGTCTTCAGAAGGGGCAGTGCCGCCAAGGTGAGCTACGATATACGACGTGATGGATTTCCGGACGTTGAATGCGACAAGTTGCTTCTTCAAGTCGGACTTGGCGTGTTCTGGCGCAGTCCTATACGCAAGTTAGCATCCAGTCTATCGCAGTGTAGCGGGAAAACTCTCGCGCAGACGAGTTTGGCATGGAACTTACTTGAAGAGCTCGACCACGGCGTTCTTGGCGGTGTCTCTCACGATGCCATCCCCATCTTCTAAATTTGCGACGATTCCAGGGACGAAGCTGCGGAACGGCAGAGCCTCCGTCTTATTCATCTAGACATCCTGTTAGCTCTGGTATGATCTGGGCGTAACGGGCTTCGGACCTTGACGACCCATTCCATGGACATCTCCTTAGCGCGTGGATTGCTCCCCTTCATGGCCGTGTCTCGCATCAGATTCTCCACGTCGGCATGGCACAAGGGCCAGAGGTCGGCCAGGAGCTGCGACGAGGCGTTGCGATGGCTCTCGCGTGGATCGCCCAATTTATCGAGGAGTAAAGGGAGGATGCGGCCGCTCTGCGATGTGATGATGGACGTCTGATCCTGCAGCACCAATCGCTTGATAAGGTGGCCGAGGGTTGAGAAACCGGTCGAAACGAGGGCCGCCGAGGTGGAGGCTGTGATAGCGAGCTTGATGCACTCGAGGATGGGGGCCTGGGCGGCTTCGGGGACGCGGAGGTGCTTGATGTTGGACTTGAGGTTGTTGAAAAGGGCGAGCTTGGTGTCCACAGCGGTGGAGGGCTTCTTCAGGGCCGCGAGGAGGGTGGCCGCCTGGTCCTCCATGTTGCCAGTCGTGTTATTGGGACGGTGATGCAGTGCGGGGAGAGAACATGGGGTGGAGTGTCTTCTGGAGGGTGCGCGCTGGGTGCCGTGTTGACGTCCAGGCCGCGTCTGTTTGGTGTCTAGCGCGGCTGTTGCCCGCGACGACATTCACTCCGCAGGGTCCACCACGGAACCCCTGGGTACCACCACCGTTAGTCTCTCGGTGCCCTAAGTGTCTTCACAGTGTGAGATATCTGAAACTATGTCTAGGTTTCGACCTTGCTGGCCTTTGCAGCTTTTACTAGCATCTCTATCTGTGTTTACACTCAGATACTAGACTTCCTTGAACAAAAAGTGGCAGTTATGCATGTGTGATCCAATTCTAAAACTTGATATCGTTTAGATATAAACGCCCTCTAGAGTTCTGTAAGCTTATTTAGCACCATTTAAGGTTCCCTAGTACGTTGTTACGAACGGTGAGACGACAGTTTTAACAAGTCTGATGGCTCACCAGGCCGCCTCAGACGATATCGGATAGCTACTTCTTGCTCAACGGAGCCTAGGTATAGCTTGAAAGCGTAAACCTGTGCGCAAATATTATGTCTAACTATGCGGTGTGATTCAACATAGGAGCAGGAGAGATTCAAGTAGTTGGAGCTCACTTTTAAGACTATTTCAGACTCGTTCACATCGGATACAAAAGAGTGACATTTTCTCGGTTCTAACTATTGCTCTCACACAAAGCCAAATACTAGGTAAAGACAGTCTCATCGTGTCTCTTACTGCCATCTCTTATCTTGTCTCATGTCGTTGCCGTTTGGTCCGAACCTCATTCCTTGTTCTCCAACTTTCTCTCGTCGAAAACCTTCAAAGCCTCCTCCGCAGCCTTGACGCCGCTAAGCACCATGGCTCCAAATGTCGGCCCTGATTTCGTATTAGCATTGAGTGCTGAGCTGCATAAGTAAATGCTTACCCATCCTATTGGCCCCATCCACCTCACTCAACTCCATCCCTCCCACAATCATCCCCTTAACCACTTCCCTCGTCCCCTTGACGACCGCGTCCTCAGCCCTGTTCATGTCTAGCCCACGCATCCCGCCCAGCTTCTCAAGCTGCTGCATCGAGACCAGACGCTTCACGCTGAAAGCGCCGAAGGGTCCATCATGACCCGTGGTCGAGATGACGATGGGTGCGTTAATAGTGTTGGGGTCCATGCAGGACTGGGTGTCGTGGTTCAAGGCGACGAGAGTCCAGTTCGTGACAACGCCCGCAACGCGGACGGCGTGAGGATCGGAGGATGTAGGGGCAGGGCGGGTGATCAGGTCTTCGACGCAGGTAGCGTTGAAGAGCTTGATGTTGGGAAACGAGAGGACCTTCGAGAGAAGGGTCGAGGTGAAGAGGGCCTGTAACGAAGCCTATGTCAGTCCTGAAGCGATTATACAGTGCTACTTCATAAGTCTGAGCGTATGAATACACCACTGCTTGAGTATCACTCTGGTAGCTGGGCACCACTGTGAGCAGCCCCGTTGCCAGGAAACAGGCCAGTGGAGAGACCGTTCAGAGTCCATGGCATGGAACTTGACATCGCAGCTGGTTTTGGGAAACCGCCCGACGGCGCCTCAAACAGTGGCAAACCAGTATACACAGACTTGTAACCTGTCACTACATGGGATGGGAAGGGCTTACCGCATGCTTCACCACAACGAAGTCCCCTTCGTCGTCATACTCCACACCCAGATCGCGCAAAAACGCATCCGCAGGCTTCCGCATCACCATAGCGGAGAACAGCTGGCCGCCGAGCCAGGCACCTCCACCTGGAGAGACCGATGCCTCGATGAGGGCAATCTTCAAGTCCGGACGCTGCTTACCGAGCATGTAGGCGGCGCTGAGGCCACAAGAGCCGGCGCCGACAATAACGATGTCGGACTCAGCGTAATTGTCTAGGTCCTGAAAGTAACGGCGAGTCATAGCTCGCGAGACCTGAGACTCGCGGATCGGGGCGAAGGTAAAGCCATTCTCCCAGTTGCTGGCCATTGTTTCGAGGGTCTGATGAGCTTTGACCTGACCGTTGCCTTTGGTATGGACCGGGAGGTCTTTCTTAATGGCAAAGCTGTTGCCATTGCGGCTAGTGTTGACTTCGTCAAAGGTGGCGACTGGTGGAGACATTGTTGCTTATGTTTGGAAGAGTAACGAGTATCACCCTTTGTCTGTACATCTGTTAGAGGTCTCCAAGGTGAATGGAAGGCATGATCCTTTCGCTGGTATTATCCAGATCAAGTTGAAACCGTATAATCTCAGAACGGACCCAGTGCCCCTACTCCCGAAGATAGGAGAGTAGAAAGCACTAGGAACGAACACCGGTTCATGCTCAATGTGTGCACATTGAAAATACCTTGATTGATTGGGGATAAGTCCCGCGTTGGTTTCATGTCTTCCGCCATTGTGGTGGGCAGTACTTTGTTGGTTGCTTTGGTACCTGAGACACGTCAGCCATTGAGACCTGGGATGGGAACAGAAAAAAGCTACAAGTCTTGGAATCTTGTTTCTGCGAGTATTGTTGAAGTGTTGAGGGGGGATGGGGTGGGATGACTCTTTTATATCTGGAGTGAAGTGGGGTAATATTGGCTCAACGTCAGGACCCACTCTTCTTCGGTGATATCGTAGCACTTATCGAATGAAACACTGTGTATGCAAATTTGACGTATGCAGTGCCCGTGTACCCGAGAATTACCTTCAAGTGCCTCTGCAATACGAAGGGGCACAGGGTTTATTTTAAGTGATGCATGACGAAACCCGCATACCATTTCCGCAGCCTTCTTGGCCTACCCCGGGACTAAATAAAGTGCGAAAAGCACCCTACATCTTCCAAGCATACAGACGGACAAACTTCTGACTAGGCACCTTTTTGTTCTAGTAGAGTTTGCGATCCATGGATATAGGTACGGTTGCTTATAACGTCTTAGTATTAGTTTAGCAATGAATAACGAGAAACGAGCTCCTTCCTACAGAAAGAGGTTCAAGTAGCTCTTATGCTCTGAAATGATCCCAGCACATGCCTCCGAGGATTACCTCTTGCTTTTTCCCTTCACCCAGCCTCCCCAATCTGTCTTACCCATTTGTTCACCCAAGCCTGTGATACCCTGTCCCTCTTCCCAACTTTGCCACTCACCTAGTCCGAACAAATGTCGCATTGTGGGCCTGCCGTGCGGACAGCTCCACGGCTTTTCCATACTACCCATATGCCGCACCACCTTCTCCATCTGACCGAGGCTCAATGTTTTGCCAATCATGACGCTCCCTCTGCAAGCTCTGCTGGCAAGCAAACGCCTGACTTTGGTTGGACGCGGGATCTCCTGGCCGATGTGGCCGTGGTCGGAGAGAAGTGCTAGCAACTCTTCGAGGTCAGAAGGTTTGAAAGTAACTTCCCGACTCATAGGTAAGGAGAGCAGTTGACAGCGCTTTCCTACTGGCGAATCGCCAGAAGTGTCGATGCTGACGACGAAACCGTTTGCGAGAAGAACAGATTCATTGGCGAGAATGATCTCCTCTTCGATAGCGGTCAGAGTCAAAGCATGTGGGCGAACAAGGCGCTGAGGTACAAGAGTTGTCGAGCCAGCTAGCCGTTCGAAGTTGTATTTCTCGTCCGACGCATGCTGATCGATGATGAAGAGGTCAGAGGCGGTTTTCGAATTGTGGCCTCTAGAGACTTTTGGCGACATGAAAGGTCGAACGGCGAGGATGAAGCCAAGATTGAACTGCCCGATTATTCTCATACGGTCAAAGTCGGATTTAGCAACAGTGAGAGAAAGTCGCTCCTCAGGTGTCGTGAGTGACGCTAGGTCGGCATCAATATCTTCTTCTTCCACGGCATTCGCGAGTCCATTCATAGTTGCGCCGTTCGCCTGATTCAAGGACGAAAGTCTCTTTCCCAGGCTTTCAACAGAGATCTCGACATATTGGACGAGCTGGAGTGTGGAATAGCGTTTGCTAGTGCTTTTTAAAACAGTGGCTGCCCGTTTAATATTGTCCTGGGAAGGTCGTGCCGCCGCTTTCTCCGCTGCTGCAATCATTTGTGCGACCTTAGCGTCTTCGCGCAACTTCTTTTCTTCTTCGCCCACATACTCTCCATCAGAGTCATCTTCGCTGCCATCTTTTACTACTTCTTCACCAATCTCGTAATTCTTTTCCGTGCTATGGCTTCTCCTATGTGGGGTTTGGTCGACGTCTTCGGCCTCGGATTCCCCATCAAGCATCTCGTCTGCATCCAGATCAGCAGATGGGCTGTGTTTTTCACTTTCGACAGAGCCACTATCCTCTGGCTCGGCACTGTCTCCTCTCGCTGCTGCTTTACCATCACCTTCGTCGCTTTCCTCTTCGCTTTCTACTTGAGTACCCGGAGCGGAAAATGCCTTTAGTGCGCTCCCGAACAACGGCGTCGGCGTTGCATTGACTCCATGTTTTGGAGTATGAATGCGGCGGCGTTTCCTTGGCATACTTCCGACAGTTGCTATCGTAGTGGTGTCTCCGACAGTGATTGTAGCTGTCTCTGTCGGAGTCCTTTTGAGTCTCATCCGATCAAATGCATTCTGAATTGTACTTTGGGTGCCTTTCTGCGGGGTCTGCTTAACTGTCGCGATACTTTGCTCTGGTGGCGACTGAGGCGACATGGTAGCTTCTTTTTCCATTTGCTTTGAATGCTGCGAGGCTATACGAGCATTGAAGTCTTGGACCTCTCTTGGAATCATCGGTGAAGCGGAAACTGGGAGGTCCTGAGGTTTGTCCTCTTCGAGGACTTGTCTGTCCGAATCATCTATAAGCACTCCATCCTTCGGATGTAATGATTTTATGAGTTTTTCTTTTTCCTTTGAGATGGCCCCTGGTTTGACAACTGATGGTGAGCGTTCCGTTCTTAGGTCTGCGTTCCGTCCAACAAAGTTCTGAATGAGACTGATTGGCGTACCATTGTTGTGCGCTGCTACGTCGCTACTTTTGGACGACTGCGGTTCGTCGCATTCACTTTGTGTTGCATCATCCTCATTTGCATCAGGCGGGGCAAGGTCAAGCTCCCGAGCTACGCTTGGAGATTCCCGCGATACCGTCAAAGGACGATAGTCAGGCAACTTGCGGACCGAGAGTTGTGCTTGAGGGACGCTTTGATCCTGTCCTTCAAAAAGCTGGGTCAAGGAGGATTTTAGTTTTTCTAACAGGGTGGTTTGGTCATGCAGAAGAATGGTTCTCTTATCAGGAGACACATTGACATCGTAGGCGTTAGTATCAATTTTAAGATCGGCGAAAATGAAAGGGGATTGCGTAACGTTGTACGATTTGTATACTTCGTTGAAAGCCTTTGAGACTTGGGGGAGAGCGCAAGGACGGGAGTTGACGAAGAACATTTGGCGATCAGGAGTCTGCCGACCTTCGCCTATTACAGGGCGTGATATATGACCGAGAATCTCGACACCTCTTGACTCGCCATCCTCCTGTGTGCTCCAGTTCTTGGCACTCTTGGTTGGCCTTGCAGAAGGGTCCATTTCGAATTTCAGTTCTAGAGGAACCAGGGCGAGCAACGTTTTGGCACCGTAGATATTTGCTATGTTGTCCCGAGTAGTCGGATTTGCCTTGGTAGAGAATGCAACAACTTTCTTCCTAAGTTGAATGTCAATTTTAGGACGACTTGAGGTGTACTCGGACTCTTTACCCTTTCGGCATTTGGTTGCTGACTGAAAAGCGCACGCTGGCGCTGACACAAGCGTACGCGTGCAACAAGCCCAGGACTTTTCCATATTCACGCTTTATGTTCCTTTCCAATTCTCTTCGTCGAACTGGCAAGTTGTTGAAGAGACTCTCGACAGTGACTGTCGTTCCTTTCTGGCTAGCAATGACCGATGTGCCCTTCAGCTTCCCTGAGACCTCAAAGTCGAGTTTCGTGCCTTTGGGGCCATCTACCGCTCTTGCTGTAGTGATGGAGAAGTTGGAAAGCGCACAGAGGGAGGACAAGGCCTCGCCGCGGAAGCCAAAGGTCTGGAGGGAAGAGAGGTCATCGTAGGAGGAGAGTTTGGAAGTGTAATGCTTCAGAGCTGTGTAGGTAGCACATTAGCGGCTTGGTACTTTCCGGGAGACGGGAAGAAGTACGGTACCTATTGTCTCGTAATCATCCGGCGCAATGCCCTCGCCATTGTCCTGCACTTCAATGGAGTCCAGGCCATGGTTCTTGAAGCGCACCTCTTGAATGGGCCGAAGTCAGTATTAACAGAACAGGACGATATCTCTATTGGGCATCACGGGTGGACATACCAATGGATGTAGCTCCAGCGTCCAGGCCGTTCTCCACGAGCTCCTTCACGACGGAGCAGATGTCGACAATGACCTGGCCGGACTGGATTTGGTGTATCTAACAGGGAATTAAAACGGCGTAATCAGTAGAAGGAGACGGCACTCACCGACCTGCCCTCGATGGGCTTGATAGTGGCCATTTCAGCCCACGGCGGGCTTCAGAGCTACGCAGGAGCGGCTCCAGGTGGTGGTTCGTCTACGCGTAAACTCCGGCACGCTGTCACGTGATGCATCAGATCCAACCCCACTTCATCCCGTCTCCAACATGCCGCCACTTGTCCCACACCACCATTCATGACAAATGGAGCTGGCGACGAGCCTCGACCCCTCGGACACGGAAGCCATTTGCAGTCTGCCGCAGCCGCCACGTGCGGCATTCTTCGTCGGCCTCCACACAAAGATGCCAGCAGGCCCAGTAAAAGCTGGACCCGTCGCCATGGACTTGTGATCATGGCCGAATCTGCAGCGGCCGGCGTTGGCCTTCCCGGTTGGTGTTCTCTCGCAGATGCAGTGCGTCCCGACCGTGCGTCGGCTCTCCCGGCCATGGTCTTGCTGTGAATTCCATAGGGCCCAGGCAAGCCTTTGCCGTGAAGCTGAAGTTTGTGCACCACCTGGACACCCTGTCGACACCCTGAAGCCGCCCGACGCCCTGGTCTTTGGGTCCTGCCGAGACGAGCCGTGCTTTTCACTGTCTTCACCACCAGCTCTTCAACTCTGTCCTTGTAGCTCCTACAAACGACCTCTTCTATACTGCTACCATGGCCCTCACCAGAAGCATGTGAATCCAACATCACGCGGCGCGCCCTTTGCCAACCCCTCCGTGCGATATGGCGTCACAGGCTCCGCCCATCTCGGCCATCTGCAGCCCGCAACCTCTTCCGATCACTCTTGCTGAGCGCGAGCGCCAGCGGGAGATCGCAAGGTACCGAGCAATGAGCAGAGCACTTCTTGCCCACGATAAGCTAATGCTGGACACTGCCATTAAGCTACTTCGCCGCTGCATCCATCACTCCCAACTCACCAGCAACTGGCCTTCGCGTCCAACCCAGCATCTCCCCAGACCACATCTTGACAGGCCTCACCCAACTAGGTGCTATTCGTCTTAACTCTAATCGCGCATTTGTGTCGCTCATTGATGGGAAACACCAATATATTGTGGCCGAGGCTACCAAGACCGTCTCGATCAAGGATTCCAAGCGATGTAGGCCCGGCGACGAGGTCTATTTGGGCACCACAGCGCTTGACATTGATTGGGGCGTGTGCCCCGGAACTATGCGTCTATTCACCGACGAGACAGGAAAACTGGCCATTGACACCAAGAACATTACTGCTGACACTAGTCGATACATAATTCGTGACTTCCAAGCGGACCCAGCCTACAGCGAACGGCCGTACGTCAAAGGATGGCCCTATATGCGCTGCTATGTCGAAGTCCCCTTGATTTCTCCGGCTGGTTATGTTATAGGAAGCTACTGTATAGTCGACGATAGGTAACTATCTCCTCTCTTTCGTTCGGGCAGGCAAAGCTCATATGTATTGCTTAGGCTTCGAGATGATCTCGACGACGAGTGCGTGAGCATATTGACTGAAACATCCATTGCTATCATGGAGCATCTGGAAAACATGAGGATAAAAACCATGCAGTCCCGCACTAATCGTCTTCTGGAAGGTCTAGGAATGTTCATGGATGGAGACTCGTGTCTCAATAGCACAGCACGAATGCACAAAAGACAGCGCAAGGGGCTCCTCCGAGTTGGCGAACCAGACAGCTCCAGGGGTGCTCTTCCGATTGCCAACTTCCAGTCCAAGGACGCCATCGGGACCTTTACACTGCCAGATTCTGGAACAGCGTCTTCGTTCCTTTCGTCTTCCGACGGGATCGCCGTGACGCCATCCACCGTCCACACCAATACCAGTTCATTACCCCTGACAACGCCTGATAGTGGGTCGCCGGATCCAATCGCTCCTCTTGATCCTAAAAAGAACCCAAAGGCTCCTAAACAGCCTGTTGTTCCTCAGAAGTCTCGCAAGCGCAGCATTGTCAAGTTACCAAACTCTCGCCAAAAGCAGTCAGTCGTCACACTTGAGATTCAGAATATTGTGGGCGTCGCAGGAAGTCTCATTCGTGACTCAATGGATATTTCTGGCGTAGTTTTCCTCGATGCCCATTCAACCCATCGAAAGACGGCCACTGATCTTGCATCTCCTTCGAAACAGTGTCGCGAAGCTAGTCTTACTACTCACAGTGCACTTGGCACTGAGGATACGGAGGATCAAATGGTTTGCGCCATACTTGGTCTCTCGTTGTCAGCGCAAGCAGCCAACGAGGACTTACAAGATGAAGACCTATTCAATCTCCCTGAAAGGCTGCTGCAGCAAATGATTGATTCTCATCCTAATGGGCGCATATTTTCAGCTGACGAGTTCGGCCTGCTCTCGGATAAAGAAATAAAGACAGCTGTACCCGATCTCATGAGTCCGTATGAACCCAATACATCTCAGAGATCGTTGGAGACCTCAAAGTTCTTTGAGGCATTCGAAGGGTCACGATCAATCATTTTCCTCCCATTATGGGATGTGCAACGAGCCGGTCGGTACTTCTTCCACTGAGATTGCATTTCAAGCTAACGAAAGTGTGCTTCAGGCTTCTTTGCAGCTATAATCGCATGGACAACTGGTGAGTATCGAGTTTGGCTACAATGCTCCATCAGCTAACATTCGACACTGTAGATTTCGAACGTCTCTTTGGACCGACAGACCTCACATACTTGTCTGCATTCGGCAATTCGATAATGGCTGAGGTGGCAAGAGTCGAGGCTATGGCCACCAGCGTATATATTTCTTCTCCCAACTTTCATCATATACAACTAACTCGACATAGAGGGCCAAGTCTGATTTCATATCAAGTCTTAGTCATGAGATAAGGAGTCCGTTACATGGAATTCTCGCCAGCTCAGAGCTTCTCAGAGAGTCTCTAGGCCCGTCAACTCATGATCATGTTTCAGACATGGTTGCCATGATTGAATCCTGCGGCAACACTCTTCTTGATACTTTGACTAATCTTCTCGATTTTGCTAAAATAAACAGCTTGCTTAAGCCTCAGTCAAGCAACCCCGACGTCCCTAAAAAGTTGCAAGAAGTGGACGTACGAATGAGTATCAAGCAAGATGTCGATATGAGCCTCCTAGTTCAGGATGTCATCGAAGGGGTATACCTTGGATTCAATGGTTATTCCTATAGAACCTCTCCCAACATGGACCAACATAGCCGACATTGGATCCACTCACAGAATCCCTCATCTCAGGACGGTGTAACGCAAGACCCGCCGCTAGTCACATTCGACATCGAAAATCGGCCATCATGGATTCTAGAGCTCGATGTCGGGGCATGGAAGAGAATTGTGATGAATGTTTTTGGCAACGCAATCAAGTACACACCCGGTTCCGGCACGATCCAAACGTCACTACGAATTGAAGCTATGCCAGGCACCACAAACGCAGTTGACGCTATTTGTTTTGAGGTTGCCGACACAGGTATAGGTAATGTCTATCTTAGCAAGGACGCCTTGAATGGAACTCACAATAACACAGGAATGAGCTCCCAATACCAGAAAGACCACTTGTTCAAACCCTTCGCCCAGGTACGACTTTAATGCAGAACTTTCTGACGTTACAACGGTGTGCTAAACGATTGCTTTAGGAAAATACGCTCAGTGTTGGCACTGGTCTCGGACTTAGTATCGTACACCAGCTCGTGACAAGCCTCAAAGGGATAATTGAGGTCGAAAGTGAAGCCGGAGTTGGCACACGTGTTAAGATATCAGTTCCGCTTGTCAAAGCTCCACCGGCTCGCATCGTAGAGCTGGATCTTCCCAACGTTTCGTCTTCGATCCAAAGCCGCCACATATGCATTATAGTACCACCTACAGACTCGTCACCAGATGACAACAATGCCTTCAACACATCTAGACGGACTCTGTCTCTTCAGAACTCTCTCAAAACTCTGCTGAAGGACTGGTTCGGTGCCAACGTTACCCTTGATACGGAAATAGGTCGGACGGAGGCTGATCTGTACATTACCGAGGAATCGACATTGCACTCATCAAAAACTTCCTCGGTGCTTCGTGGCACAGGAGCTGCCGGCCACGAGTTAGCGCCTTTGCTCGTCCTTCGCTCGAATTCCCACGGAGGAAAACCGAACTCGGGCTCTGATGGGAGGAAAGTGATCTTCATGCGCTATCCGTAAGTCGACCACTTTTCATAACTGCAGCATCCGGAAGTGACCTTTGGTGTCTTGAATTGCTTGGCTAATTGGCCATATTTTAGGGTTGGTCCTAAAAAGATGGCAACGTTCCTCAAGCAGGTGTTCGATGGAGCTGTCGCGTCAGAACCACAACCGAGCACTACTGCACTAGAAGAGCCCTTGAGTGAACACAACCACACCGGTGCCGATATCGATACTTCAAATGATGAGGAAGCCGTCACCGAAGCCTTAGTAAACGGAACCAAGTCTAGCTTCAACACTTCAAAGCTCGAAGAAGCAATGGCTGCCATCCACATCACAGACGTCACCTCTCCGATCCCAGCTGAAATCAGTCTCGAGCCCATCACCTCTCTAACCTCCGCACCCATTCCTCCCTCGCCCTCAGATCCACCCGCGCAACACGTCCTCTGCGTAGACGACAACGCCATAAACCTCAAGGTAAGCCCAGATCCATCCTCCCCCCTTCTGAACCCCACTAACCGCGTCAAATACACAGATCATCACTACGACTGTCAAAAAGCTCAGCCTGACCTGCGCCGCCGCCATTAACGGCCTCGACGCCCTCAACGCTTACAAAGCCACCCCAACCCCCTTCACGACCATCTTCATGGACATCAACATGCCTATCATGGACGGCTTTGAAGCGACCCGCAACATCCGCGAGTACGAGCGCGCGAACCAACTGCCGCACTGCCAGATTGTGGCCCTGACGGGCTTGGGGAGCGCAAGCTCGCAGCACGAGGCGCTGAACTGTGGGGTGGATCTGTTTCTGACGAAGCCGGTGCCGATGAAGACGCTCAAGGGCATCTTAGGGGGCACCGTCGGGAAGAGGGAGAATGGATGACAAAGAGAGCCAGTAAGTGGGAAGGAATAGACTTCATGGGATTTGCGTCTCCCGTGTTTTGTTTCAAGCAATATATACCCGTAGTTCAAGGCTCGTTGCACGCATTAAAAGGGAAAAGATCAGAAACGAGGGCGCACATCGCGCCCCTGCCACTGGACGGGAGTGCCTACAGTTTCGGCCGGAGGATAGGCATAGATAGGTGTTCCATTTTCGGCTAGTTAATACCAGAACGTTTTGCTCATGATATCTGCTTGGTTGAGCCTCAAGGTTTTGATAAGGACTAGCGTCTTGGCGTTTGCATCCATCTTCGGGCATCGATAGCCTGACGTAGCGACTCTAAACAATCATCACGCTTGTACACACGTTTGTTCACCTCATTGTCTTGCTTGCGCGGCGCCTACCCTACATGCCTGTTCATCATTAAATGGAGTATGCGCCTGTTCACTACCAGCGGGAGTACGCCAACACATTTATCAAAGACGCCGACAAACACTGCTGCATTTCCTAATTTGCTCCTGCACGAGACCGCAGTCGCATCATATCCAAACTACTCCTCTGACTTCCGCTATATGATCTGGCTAAGCCGATCAAAATAACCTCCCATACATACCACGTCTTTGGAGCCAGCCCTCACAGCCGCGCCTCCCCTCTAAACACGGAAACCAAGCATTATAGGAGGACAACGAATGTGGCCAGCGGCCAATATCAACTCAAACACCGATACCGTACACAATTAGTAGCGATAGCTGACTCTTCTCGGCTCTCCAGCGTACTGATCATGCGCGACCTCGATCGGCCGATCTTGCTCATCCAAATACCGTCTCTGCGGCGGCGGCGCGGCATACGCATACCGGCGATCGTCCGCAGCAGCATACGGATCTGCCGGGACCATACTGACCTCACGGTATCGCTGCGGAGCCGGATCGACTCGCCTAGCAAGGCCGGGCTGGACGCTCTCGTGGCGTGCGATATACTCACCCGGTGCCTCGCGCCTGACAGGATCAGGGCGGACGCTAAAAGACCTGGACACATACTCCCGTGGAGGCGGGCCCATCTCCTCATAGGCCGCGACTGGCCGTCTTTCGATCGGCAAAGGCTCTCGCATCGGGAGGTATTCTGGTTCGACTGGCCGCGTAGAGAAGCCCCTTTGTCGATACGACCGAGGCTCGATCATCTCGACGTCCGGCTCCACATATCGTCGTGAAGGCGGCGGAGGCATCCTGTGGTGATTGTCGCCCTCACCATAAATATCTGGTATGCGTACCGGTGCTCGCACCAAAGGCTCTCGTGTAACCGCGCGCTCGTATGGGTCGACTTCGACGCGTCGGCTAGGTGGCGCCATTGATGCTCTCGGATCCACAACTACGGGCGAGGCATAGTACTTGTTGCCATACTGATCGACAACTATTTGACGAGGTGGAGGCGCCATTGCCTGAGGACTGTGTGCTCTGGGTAGATATTCCTGAACGGGTGATCGGGAACGATCGCGGATGTACCGGGGCTGATCTGCTGGTGGACGAACTGAGGCTTGGCGAAAGACCGGCTGCTGTGCTAGGCGATCGTTGAAAGCATGGGAGGCAGCACGAACATGTCGAACATCAGTAGGAGAGTACGGTACTGGCTCCGGGCCCGCAGGAGAGTACGGACGACGCGCATACTGAAGGCTAGCAACCCGCCTCAAGTCCTGGTCATCAACTTGGCGATGGGTTGTACGGGATGGTACCCGGACGAAAGTTGGCGATGCGGGTTCCTCCATCTGCTTGTATGTCCGCGGCAGTGGATCTTGCTCCCTGTAATATACGGGTAGTGGTCGAGCATCGCGTGTGGAAACAATCTCAACATCGTCCGGTAGTTGTCGCAGGGGTCTTCGATTGGCACTGTAGGGATCGGATGCACTTGCAGCGAACGGAGGAGGGGACATAGGCTCCTCCTTGATATATGGTTCGATCTCAACCTCCGTCTCTGGCTCAGGTGATCGTGCCATGCGCTTGTTTCCGCCTTGACCTCTGCCATTCTCGACCTCCCTTCTCCGTTTCCTGGGATTGCGAAGATTTTGCTGCGGTCCGGCAGGACTCTGTCTCCTAGACATTCGAGGGGACGGATGATCGCCTTGACCTGGCCCAGAGTGGTTGTTCCTTCGGTTGTCGTCAGTGCGAGGGGAGACTAGTCCACGTCCATTATCGTGCTGGCTACTGCGACGGGGCTGGTCCATTCGGGGCAGCTTCGTATACGCTAAAGGAGAAACTCTGGCAGGCTGAGGGGCGACTGGTGATCGAATGTGATTTCTGATGACAGGCACTGCAGAAGTAGGAGAAGTGGGTCTACTGAAGCCATACCCATTTTTGCCGCGGGTTTCCTCTTTATCATTGCCTCTCCTCGCGCGCACTTTACGTTTTTGTGTTGCGGTAAGCTTCTTGTATGGTTGAGGTGCGACGAACGTGTCTGCGGCAGGTGGTGGAGAGTAATCCGACTCTTCATCTTCGTCTTCGTGGACGGTAGCGGCCGGGGGCTCGTAAAGCTCGAGATCGTCGGCGGGTTCGTACGGCTCATCGTCCTGTGGTGTAGGTAATGAGGTAGCGGCGACGTTGGAGGTAGCGGCAGCTGGTTTAGAGAGTGGAGCTATGCCCTGCAAATTGGTAGCGCCAGCGTCAGCACCGTTGTTGAAATTCTGGGGTGCCTCAACGTCGTCCGAAGACCAACTGGTATTTACTTGACTGGAGTAGTATGAGTTCTCGTCGAACGAATCACTCCCATTTCCCTCGCTGTTGCGATTAGTGGCAGACGGCAAGCCCGATACTGGTTTCACAAGCTGCAAGGCCTCCGCAAGAAGGCCGTCTACGTCAAGCCGAGACTCAGCGTCGAGGTCTTTGAGATGGGCCTTCTTGTCGACTTGGTCCTTCAGCACTCGTTCTACCCGCTGACGCTTCAGCTGCAACTCTGCCCTGACCAAGTCATCAGACTTTGTGAGCAGAACAGGATCAATGCTTGAGGCAGACTTTGCATTGAAGGATCGCTGGCCGTTAGGAGCTTGGGGTTGATAGGGGCCAGGTTGATACTGCAGCGACGAATTGTCCGGGTAACGTGGAGGGATATTGAGGGCCGCGTAGGCCCCATTGGGAGTGCCGTTAGTGGTTGGTCTCGATGAGTGCGAGTAGTGGGAGTTGTTTTGAGGCGGACGTGGTGCGACCTGTTCAAGCACGGAGTCAGGGAGTTTGATCCGCGGGTGTTTGCCAGCAAACACTTCATCTCGAAGCTCAAAAAGCTTCGCGTAGAAGTCGGTCCAGCGCCGCTCCTCGATGGAGGCTGGACTCGCACCATTCAGGTACGGCGGTGCTGTGGCCCCGGACACCATCGCATGAAAGAACGGCTTCTGCGCGGCGGGTATCTGCTAGAGGCAGTTGCCTTGTCAATCTTAGCTGCTGAAGTTATGATTTACGGCGAGGCTAGCACATAATGGCCAGAGGGCAAAAAGAGAGATGAAGAAGACGGGTTGTGGTGGGTGCAGGTGGAGATGGGAGGACCCATGGACAACTTTGCCAGACGCTAGGAGAATCGCCAGCTCTTGGCGCAGTGTCCACGTGAGGTGAATCACGCACCAGCAACACCCCTACATAAACATCAGCAAGTTGGAGAAGCAGCTGCATTCCTTTTGGGTCCACCGAGCATCTCTTTTCAAAGCATTGGCACTATATATTTCTCGGTCAACTCTGCATACGCAGCCTCAAGGTGCTCTCGACGTCGAGATGGCGGAGCCGATTCATCAGAAGCCAGTATTCTTTTTCGACATCGACAACTGTGTAAGTTTAATGAGCTTGGAGCCTACTCTCTCACTCACTGACTCTGTCCGATTTCAGCTATATCCGAAAAGTGGGATTACAACCTTTCTGCCCATCAGTCACTGTCTTAACCTTCTCTTTTCATCTAGGCACCAACATAGCCCACATGATGGGTGTATTAATCGGTAAGTTGATGAGTGTTCTCTCTGCACCGTGTGTGTCATTCAGTATGATTTGCCGGGACCGTCTTGTCTCATCGCATACAGACCAATACTTCCAAACTCATCTGTCGCTCTCTCAGGAGGATGCCAACACGCTACACTTCAAGTACTACCGAGAGTATGGCCTTGCAATCGAAGGACTGGTGCGGCATCACAAAGTGGACGCCCTTGAATACAACAAGAAAGTCGAGTATGTCTTCTTCGTCAAAGAAAAGAGACATAAGATGCTAAAGCAACAAGCGACGCGCTGCCACTGGAGCAAGTCATCAAGCCTAACCCGAAACTCCGCAAGATGCTCCAGGATATTGACCGTAACAAAGTCAAGCTGTGGCTATTCACCAATGCTTACGTAACTCATGGAAAGAGAGTCGTAAAGCTACTTGGTATTGAGGACATGTTCGATGGCATCACGTACTGTGATTATGGAGCGGAACGGTTCCTCTGCAAGCCTCACCCAGACATGTTCGCAAAAGCCATGGAGGAGGCAGAAGTCAAATCCCCTAAAGAATGCTTCTTTGTTGGTCAGTAATATTTTCAAAATCTCACTTTGCTCCAAATCCATGCTCACAGCACTCTCGGTAGACGACTCCCACCTCAACGTCAAAGCCGCCGGTGAGCTAGGTTGGACAGCGATACATCTTCTGGATGAGGCAGACCCAGAACCCGCACATCCAGCCAGCCAACATACAATCCGAGATCTTGAGGAATTGAGAGGGCTTTTTCCCCACTTCTTCATAGGGTCGTCCACGGAACTAAGGGAGTAAGGTAACAGATTCCTTGCTACCAAGCCTAGCTGTTCATATGATTGCCAAGAAATCATGACCATATAGTGGCTTAAGATGAGATCATTTTCGGGGTGTGATCATTAGAACATTAGAAGTGTTCATCAGGTGGAGCTTTGAGCTTTACATAGCGTAGTGCCAGATCTCCCATCTGAATTGAACTCGGCAGCGTACCTGCATACTCACTGCGAAATAGACTAATGGTAGACGAGCTATCGAATCAAGGAATTGCATTACCTGCGACACAGACAAAATATTCTGGTCACTGTTCCATGATCATCCAAAAAGTGAATCAGGGTGTGCATGTGCAGGAAATGGGGAGGCCATCCTGTGGACGTCGACTGCACATTTCTTACCTGCATTGCGGGAGTAAAAAGCAAACGTTCTAGGACGTCAAAATGGCAAAAGAAATGGGGTTAACCGGGATCGAACCGGTGACCTTTAGCTTGCAGGTCTACTGTGCAGGACCTTCAGGCTAACGCGCTCCCAACTGCGCTATAACCCCTGTGAATGGAGGTAGCGACAAATAAACTACTACATCATGTAGAGACCCAATCCAAGTCAGAAATCTGTTTCTGGGTGCAAGGATCTTCTTGGGATGGAGATTATCGATAAATGTTGCTTCACTACTTACAAGGGTAGCCTCACAATGAGCTTGCAATACGGTCAAACGTCTCCGTTGATAGCCAGATCCATGAAGAGACCACAATTGCATCGCCAACTTCGATCAATTACATTCCATTAGATATATACTTGTAATAGCTATGGCGTTTCAGTACTGTGGCTCGTTGTTCAAGCTCGTAAGCGAAGCTGACGCCTGCCGCTTTCTCATGAAGCCTGCTTGTAACCTGTCCAGATATCCCAACTTCCAAAACACCAACAAACTTCGCACTCTTCCTCTGCGTTATTATTCAAAACCCCACCTATGACACCTCCCACACCTACCTATTTCCAACAAGCCATGTCTTCCACCACAGACGACCCCGCCGCCGCCTCGACCTCTCCAGCCCCCAAACCAAAACGTACCCCTCTCCTCCGCCTCGAGCTCCGCGACCTCTCCCAGCCCGGCACCCACTCCTTCCTCAAACACCTCTCTGCTTCCAATGCCATCGAAGACGCCGTGTCGGGCGTGCTATACTGGCTCTACAAAGACCTCCCCACCCACTGCATCCCCCCAACCCGCTCCGTGACTCTGATCCTACGGCCAATGGGCGGCGTGGCCTACACCACCGGCAAAGACTTCGACGATGACCACAAGGAGATACACTTCTCAACAGATTACATCAATGGCATCGCTGAAGGGCGGAAGAAGGAGGAAATGCTGGGCGTGATAAGGCACGAGATGGTGCATTGTTGGCAGTGGAACGCGCAGGGCTCCGCGCCGGGCGGCCTGATTGAGGGTATTGCGGATTGGGTACGGTTAAAGTCGGGATTTGTCCCGCCGCATTGGAAGCAGGAGAGTGACGGGGATTGGGATGCTGGGTATCAGCACACGGGGTATTTTCTTGAGTATCTAGAGAAGACCTTCGGGGAGGGGAGTGTTAGGAAGATCAACGATGGGCTAAGAGGGCAGAAGTACAAGGATGGGGAGCTCTGGGAGGAGCTTTTCGGAAAGAAGGTGGATAAGTTATGGGCGGATTATGGGAGCCATCTGGGTAAGGAAAAGGCCGAAGAAGAGGCAAAACGGGTTGAAGAAGAGGGCAAGAAGAAAGATGAGGCCACTAGCAACTCCCAAGGCTCGGAACAGAATCCACAGAAGATGACGCATCTTGGTGGCAACATACATTACCCAAGGAGAGGCCTCCCCTAGATCCTCGACTCACACCGTGTTCCGTTCTCCGATCACGATCCGTACAAAACCAGCAACTCATGTGCCTGGTCTTTTCTTTGGGTTTTGCGTGTCTCCATTGGAAACAATATCACGTGTATCTCCATCTTCCCCTTTCGAGTAGCATACAGCTACGCCATAGCGCGAAAATCATGCAAAACCGAATAGTAGTGCTATCATCATCCCAGGTGGACCAAAGCTTCCCGTTCAACGATCAAGTCAATACCTGATATTCTCAGTTTGGTCCCTTGTGATCAATTTTCGCTTTCACCACGGGATGATCATGTCAGAATAGAAAGATCAATGTATCACAGCATTGTATTTCACGATTTGTCTAACTCATCCTCCCAGGCCTCGGTCTACCGCTCATAAATCTCCCCCAAAGGCAGTTCCCTCGTGGCAAATCTTTCAGCCTTCGGAAGACCTCAAAAGATCATCAAGCACGCCGCGGTACTTGGTAAATGAAGCCATTGGTCACTCAGGCGTCTGACTTCTTAGCTGCCGCTGCTATCGCTGTTATATGTTAGCAGCTACCATTCTCACTATTCTTCATGACTTACCCGCCTGCACCACCTTCTCCTTCATGGTACCCTCAAAACTCCTCTTCAACACCTTCGAGACTGACTCCAGCTTGTTCATCTTCTCCAGCCACGCCTTCGCGTGCGGGTACTGATCAAGGTCATACTCCTCCTTGTTGGTCACATGCGCAATAACCCCCTGCCAGCTCACGAAGGCAAGGTCTGCGTAGCTCAACTTCCCGCCTACGAGCCACGGGCCCCCAGCACCCGTATCCTGCTTCGCGAGCCAGCCATCCAACACTCCCGTCACCCTGTTCACCTCCGCCAAATACCTCGCTATTGCGCTCGGCACCTTCTCGTGATGATACAACTTGAACCACCCCAGCTGCCCGTAATACGGTCCCTGCCCAGAGGCTTGGAAGAACAGCCACTGCTTCGCGTAGAACGACTCTGGCGTGCCTGGCTCGAAACTCAGGCGACGGTCGGTGTCGTAGCGCTCAATGAGGTATTCGAGAATCGCGCCCGACTCCCAGAGCGTGAGGTTGCCGTTGTTGGGGTCGCGGATGGCGGGGATGCGGCCGTTAGGGTTGATGGCGAGGTACTCTGGCTTCTTGACCTCGGAGAGGGGGAGGGCGGTGATTGTGTAAGGGAGCTTCAGTTGCTCGAGGATTATAGCGACGCGGGGTGGGTTAGGACCGCCGAGGCCCCAGACCTGGATGGGCTGGAGGTTGGATGTCGACATAGTGGAAATGGGGAAGATAATAGTGAGCTTGGTTGAAGTTGAAAATGGGAAGCTGGAGATGAGGCAGTAGTACTCAGGCGAGCTGAATTGAGCTGTGGGATAGTCTGTCAGAGCGGGAGAAGCATTCGTATTTATATTCGTAGAGACAGCAGGACGACGAAATCACATCATGTTGAGCTGATTAACGCGGAAGCAATCGTTTCCTTGCCGGGCTCTTGAATGACAAATAACCTGTAAGGCTCTGACGCAGTTCGACTCTTTTCAACAAAGCTTGTTGGAAACTCGGGAGAAGTTGAGGTTCAACAACCGACATTCACATAATCCCAACTTTGATCCACGTAAGCCAACTGCCGACCAACGTAAGCCAACATCAACGTTAGCATTCCAGCAACACGACTAGGGCAGCTCTAGATTTCACACTTATCGTAGATTCAGTATTGCAAACTTCGTAAAGCTACTCGCAGCATTCTTTTTAGATTATCTAGAACCCGCCTGATCGACATCCCGCGCAGCAACCCCTTCCCCTAATTTCTGTAGTATGGCCTAGGAACATTATCGTAGTAAGGAACAACAATCATATTCTCATCCTCTGTCATGCCTACCATACTCTCCGTAATTGGATGCGTAGGACGTCGGCTCACAATCAAATTCATGCAACCTGGCCCGTCACCAGCCAACAACTTCGTCACTGCTCCCTGAACATCTGCCAACTGCTCGACCTTTGCGCTCTTATTACCTAGCCCTTGAGCAACAACATCATACGCTGTTTTCGGGCTCAGCGAACTGATAGGTCTCGCGGGATTCTTGGTACCATATATAAGCTCCTGCCCATTCGAAGACATCCCCCACGCATGATTGTTTACCACAATCGTGAGGATCCTTAAGCTGAATCTCGCATACGTGTCGAGTTCCATGAAGTGGAACCCTGCGGAGCCATCCCCTTGAATGTTGACAATGAGACGACTAGGGTCTGCGAAAGCGCAGCCTAAAGAGTATCCGAAGCCGTTTCCTAGGAAGCCTAGGTAGCCTGTGGCCGAGATGATTGCATGAGGGTTTGAGATGGTAGCGGCACCGCTAGCCCAGGCGCCACACTCACCTCCATCGGTGACGACGATGCTACCGTCTGGGATTGACTTGAAGACGGCGGCGAGGGCGTGATAGGGATGGAGCTTTCCCTCGACAATTTCTGGGTCTGAGGCGTAGGACATGGGTATATTCTTCAGATCAGTAGCGATTTTGACCCACTCATTTGGTGCAACATAGTTGTGCTTGGGAAGAGCAGCGTTAAAGGCGAGCAGAGCTTCAGTAGCGTCTGAGACAATTCCGAGATCCACTGGCAGCGTTCGGCCGATCTCGCCGCCATCGGTGTCAATTTGTACAAGTTTGCAAGAGTCTGGTGATGGGATGATAGCTCCAGAACGACCGCCCATGTACATACCGGTTCGGGCACCAAGTAGAATGACCAGATCCGGGGTAGGAGATTTCATGTGAGGGAGCAGTGCTAGATTGCCTGCAGAGCCGGCATACAAAGGGCTTGACGTTGGGAGAGAGAAGCAAATCTTCGGGCTGTGAAACAGCGGTATTTGAGTAGCCTCTACAAAGTCGAAAAGCGCTTGAGTGGCCTTCATCAAAGTCAGTGGACTTTCCTCTCTAGTAGGGCAGGACATGAACGTACCTCAGACGAATGAGTCCCCGTGCCTGCAATGATGACAGGCCGTTTTGAACCTGTGAGTAGCGAGAAAACATTCTCAATGGCTTTGGTGTGAGGTCCGGGCGGGTATGGGAGTGGTGATGTGATAGAGCCCCATGAAATTCGGGACGCAATAATCGGCGAGAACAGTACGTCTATCGGGAAGTCGATGAGCACAGGTCCTAAAGTAGTCAGTCACCTGTGACTTGTAGTTCTATTGTCTTCAATCGCCCCCCTGGAGCACCGCAGGAGGAAATTTTCATTGCATGAGCAACGAGGCGGGGGATGTCCTCTGCATGAGTAATTAGGTGGGCAAATTTAGTGATTGGCTTAGCAACAACGACTTGGTCAATTGAGCCCTGAAGAGAGTTGTTCTCTCCATCCCTTAGAGGAGGTGATGAAGTGATGCAGAATATAGAAGAGCGGTCTGCGAAGGCGGTTGCAAGGCCCGGTAACCCATTTGAATACCTATAACTAACGTTACAGAAAAACCAGAGCATAGTAAGTGATAGTGAGAACATACTCGCTATTTGCTATAACTATTCTGTTTCTTAGCGTATGTGCAAGAGGGTTTAGGTTGAGTGGGAGACATACCAAAGCATGTTCCTGTAGTTCCCGTCATTTTAGAATATGCTTCTGCAGCTTGGACCGCAACTGTCTCATGCCTCGTGTCGACCAATTTGATATCTGTCGACTCACACCCCATCAAAAAGGCATCAAGATGGCCGCCGTGGAGACCAAACGCCACCTTGACTCCAATGTGATGAAGACATTGTGCAAGTAGATCACCACCAGTGAGTTCACGTGTGCTCGGCTTTCGAAGTTCGAAGTTGGACATTATGTTTGATGTGATGATCGAGGCGACGTTCGATGCTGTTCCTATCGATTTGATGCTTGTCATATATACTAAGACACATGCATTATATAGATGTAGACTAGTGAGGTGTTTTTAGAAGCAGTGGTGGAATAGTAAATGCTGACTCGCAAGTGAGAGCGGGGTCTGTGTGCCATGAAGGGTGCCTCGTGGGGTAAGCTTATGAATGTCCGGGTATTACAGAAGCTTGACCTTGTCGATCTCAATCCAAAAGAGACGAAGGAAAAAGTCAATTTGTGAGTCTACTGGAGAGGATTTGTGATGTATCTTAAGTTATATGAGCGCGTGACTTTTGAGCGGGTTGATACACCTCGGAAGCGATTCTATGAATTAGATAGCGCTGAAATGATGCCATAACTCATAGAGTTCTTCCATAGGTATAGACCATACCACCATCTACGAGAATTGTTTGGCCGGTCGTATAGTCGGAGTCCGGATCAGATAGGAAGCTTACTAGATTGGAAGCATCTGAAGGCACACTGGTTCTTCCAAGAGCAATCAACTCTTCCGACCATTTCTTGATCGTTTCGCCTTTCTTCGCGCCCGTTTTTTTGCCCATCTCTTCGTTTATGAGATCCCACATAGCAGTGCCGACAACGCCAGGAGCATATGCGTTGACGGTGATTTTGTGGGCTGCTATTTCTAGTGCGAAAGATATTGTCAAGCCACGGACGGCCCACTTGGACGCAGTGTAATGAGACAACATGTGGCTTGGTTTGAAGGCCGCAACGCTATCTAGATAGTAATGTTAGAAATACGATATATCTGAGTGACTGGTGCTGAAGCACTTCGTGAATGGAGTGGACTTGAATCAGTGTACATACCTTGCAGCGCCTAGTATCTTCCCTCCCCCTCCTTGCTTGATCATCTGTTTGGCAGCGGTTGAGTAACAGTTGTATGTGCCACATACGTTTATTTCGAACATTCGATGCACATCCTGCTCGGTGAGATCCAAAACCGCTTTGACCTGCGAGCGTCAATTGATGAATCATCTAGGCTCGATGACCTCTCCGTACCTACGCAATGCCAGCATTCGTGATCATTATATTGAGAGGCCCAAGTTCTGAAACAGAGGTCTCGACCATCCGCTCGACCTCATTCAGCTTGGAGACATCTGCGAGATAGGGAAAGGCATTCCGTCCCAATGATTTCACCTCTTTCACAACTTCGAGCACTCCCGTCTCGTTTGTTTGAACATCGTTGACTAAAATATCGTACCCATCTTCTGCCAAACGGAGAGCTATTGCCTTGCCTCTGTACGTGGTGGTGAGACTTCTAGCATGCTTAAGGTTGTACTGGGTTCGCCGTCTTACATTCCTTGACTAGATCTTGTGACAATAGCGGTCCTGCGTTTTTGCTTCGACGGAGTTGCATACGCTCGAGCCGATAGCGAAGTTTGTGAAGAGACTGTGGGAAGATTCTTAGCTCCTTTCAGCCCGTGCCTCGATAGCCTTGATATGGGGAAAGATGACATTATGGTATGCTGATTTATAAATACTGAAGGGGAGTAAGTAGAAAGGGTTCCCTGGGGCACGGTAATCTATATATTTGTGGTGTGGATCACGCATCTGGCCTTCATGGGTGGGACCTAGAAATTTGTTAACCTAGGAGGGAATCTAAATCGAGTACGGAGAACTGGAGGCGGCGCTATCAACAGCCGCGATCCACCACAGTGCATGATTTCGGTTGATTGCAGGTGTATACATTGGGACTGGTTCTTCTATTCCTCTTGGAGCCTGGTCGGCTGATAGGTGCGGTGGATGCGGTGGGAGTGAATTGAGAGGGGCAGCCCAGGACGGAAGGCCTCCTGAGAAAAACGCTAATGCCATAGCCGGTCAGGTGTGTGCGGCATTGTTTCAAGACGACATGATCTTGGGTTACCTTGGCAAAAGGGGTGTGAATGAAGAGGGTAGCCTAGGACTGAAGGTCTCAATACAGTATCAGATTGCTTCTCCGTGAGTCTTTCTATGTCCTTCTACCGCTGTCAAACGTGCTTTGCGATGTCTTCAAAAACATTCATCAATCAAATACTTGTGTTGATGGCCACCTCAGTGGACAGTCGACGTTAAAGAGGCACGTGGGCTGAACCTTTGAGATTTATTGATCGCTAAACCACCACGAACGCGTCCCCCCGCTGTGTTTACCAAACCGCCACAATACCAGATCAGCATTTAACAACATGTCGCGCCAGAGCATGGCCCCGCCGCGGAATCTGACTTTAACAGAAGAGTTAGAGAAGCTGGAGCAGTCAATCACGCTAACGTTGCAAGGTACGGCACGCCACCGCGATTCATATACCCCCACTGACCCGTCTTCGCAGAAATCGACCAAAACTTCAGCCGCGCACATCGAATCGTGACGACAAGTATCCTTCCAATCGTTGAGCAATACGCGAAGCATTCTGAAGCGGTCTGGGAAGGCTCAAAGGTAAGCTCGCCATCAGAATATACTGGCGAGGTCTACCTCTAAATCCTTTAATTGTCAGTTCTGGAAGCAATTCTTCGAAGCCAGCGCCAACGTCTCTCTTTCTGGTTACGAAGAGGCGGCCGTCGACGAATCTACCACTCAAGATGAATCGCAAGAGTCCCACGGTTACGATGATCTTACTGCAGACGATACAGTGACCGGCGCATCCGCAACCCCTCCTATACCTTCATCCTCACACGCCGACGATGACGAGCTCGACACTTCGATCCTTTCCTCGCCATCCCTCGCGCATAACCATAGCACTCCACGTGCACCCAGATCTGGCAAGAGACCACAAGCCAACCACGCGATAGCTGGTACTACATTCGCGGATTATTCATCCCCGTACGAAGCGTTGAAACGCGAACTACATGGCGGCAAAGCATCGCCAGGGCCGGACCCTACAACGCCGGGGAAATCGCAAGCGCTACCAGACATGAGCATGACCCCGGAATCGTCCCCCTTCGTGGCTCCTAATTCTCAGTTCAGAGGGAGCGGTGCACCTACGAATGAAGATCCCCTCTTTCATCGAGTGCTGGACAAAACATACCGCATCGCTGCAACACCCCATACAGGCCGAAAGCAGCAGAAGCCGTCTGTGGGATTCACGCCCGGTACGGCTACTCGTGCGGCACCTTCAAGATGGGACGATTCTTCTCCACCAGATTCTCCCGCCCCGCAGCTTCGTGCAGAAATATTCTCGTCGCCATTGAAGGCCCCTCGAACACCAGGCGTAACCGTCCAGCGGACTCCAGCACGTGGGCTAGGTAACTCTGTCAAGGCACAGAATACTATGACTACCCAGAAAGGCATGTGGGATAGTGAGAGCGACGAAGATGACGACGACTTGGGGTTCAGTCCTCCCAAAACGATGCAGTTCCACGTACCGCAGAGTCGACTGCTGCAGACACCTGGTAAGCAGTCCTGTCCTTTTGAGGCTATAGCAGCAAGCTAATTTATCTTCCCAGCCCGTGAAGCCAGCAAGCGAATAGTGGAGGATCTGCTGCTGACTGCTGGAGGCGACATAACAGAAAGTTTCGAGGGTGACGAGGAAGAGAGTCCAAGTGTTGTTCGGAGGAATCACGAGCTTGATGACAGCTTCTAGCTACGCAGCGTGCGATACGTAAATATCGAGACGATGAGACTGTCAATCGCAGCTCATACAACAGTGAATATAATAGAATTTGGCATTATCGCGTGGTCGTGCTAAGTTGCGTGGTCGTGTTAAGGAATGATGGAATCGTGCCTGCTTCTTTTTATGCTGGCACTACTGCCTTGGACTGAAATTCTCTGCTTTCCTTCTCAGCAGAAGAAATCCTCCGACAATAACAGCGTTTATTTGACTTCCGCTTGAGGTTAGCAATTAATGGTGGATGAGATGCATGCCAAGAAACCGGGAATACCGCCGATCACGCCGAGAGCTGGAAGCTTGAGCCTCCGTCATCTCGTGTGTAGGAAGAAAGACACGACATCTCACGAAACCCTTCCCCTCGCCGCCGTAGAGATGCCTCGGAAACGCCCTCCCACATCTGGATACGCGAGAATTGCTCAGGCTGAAGAGGAGGAGGATGAAGATTACGAGTCGGAGGAAGACGAGAGCTCCCTATCCACGCCCCGATATGCTCCTCTCCAACCAAAGCGGCAGACCCGTATGAAAATGTCCGGCCAGTCGTCTCCTACACTGCGGAGAGGTGCTCCAGGGGATAAACGACCTAGGAGTAATTCGGGGGTGGACATAAAGGCGATAAATGCGCGACTGGAGCGATGGGCTGACGAGATTGCTCAAAAATTCAAGATTCGGAAAACGAAGGGCAGGTCACCAGAGGACGAACAGCTGGAGATACACCACTCAGTCTTTCAGGCGCCGGATTGGATCAGGCCTGCTACCGCTGAGACTCTCACTTTCGATTGGGCGGGCTCCGCAGACCGAATAACCAAGTTGGAATTCGACGACACCGTAGAAAGCGTCAGGGTAGCGATAGAACTCGGCACACATCCCAAAATGATCGCGCAAGGTAGCTCGGGGAGCTATTTCGCGAGGAATACGCACGGCAAAGTTGTGGGCGTCTTCAAACCGAAGGACGAGGAGCCTTACGCTTCGCGGAATCCCAAATGGACAAAGTGGATCCATCGAAACTTGTTCCCTTGGTTCTTTGGGAGAGCTTGTCTTATCCCCAACCTTAGCTACATATCTGAGGCCGCTGCGTACGTCTTAGACACCCAACTCCGAACGAATTTGGTCCCCTATACCGACATCGTCTCACTCTCATCGAAATCCTTCTACTACGACTTCTGGGACCGAAGGGCATATTATCGGAAAAAGAAACCATTTCCCGAAAAGGTTGGGAGCTTTCAGGTGTTCTTGAAAGGGTTCAAAGACGCGAATATATTCTTGAAAGAACATCCTTGGCCAGATCACCGTGATTCTGGAGCTAGATCAAGCTCTGCGCCACGACGCAAGAAGCGTCGATGGGCAGAGGAGTGCAGACCCGGAGGCCCGCAATCCGACGACGAGGAAGACGAGAACGAAAACAGACAGAACGCGACAGACGAATCACAAAGCCGAAACACTTTCTGGACCGATGCTATTCAACAGTCCTTCCGCGAGCAGCTGGAGAGGCTAGTGATATTAGACTACATAATGCGAAACACTGACCGAGGACTCGACAACTGGATGATAAAAATCGATCAAAAAACTCAAGAGGCAACAATCGTTGCTGAACCACCAAAACTGAATGGCCAAACTGATGGTGGAGATGAACCGAATGACTACACCCAGCAGTCTCTGACAGATTCCGATCCATACAAACGCCAAGAGCCGATGACTGCCACCAGCCGATCTGTGACGCCAATGGGTAATGCTCCGGTTCCTACCGTAACGATAGGAGCAATTGACAATAGCTTGTCATGGCCATGGAAACACCCAGATGCTGTATGCTATTATTATCATTCCTGACTGCAACTTACTGACTTCTGTTAGTGGCGAAGCTATCCTTTTGGCTGGCTGTTTCTTCCTGTGAGCCTTATTGGACAGCCGTTTTCAGAAGCGACACGGAAACACTTCCTCCCCCTACTTACGTCGAAGGAGTGGTGGAGTGACACCCAACTAGCTCTACGTCGCTGTTTCACACAAGACTCGGACTTTAAAGAACGGATGTACGTGAAGCAGATTGCTGTAATGAAGGGCCAAGCCTGGAACGTCGTCGAAACCTTAAAGACGGCGGATCACGGACCGCTGGAGCTAACGCGAAGAGCCCGCGTTTGTGTCTGGGACGATTTGGTCGATGTGCCCATTGCAGTACCGCTCCGGGCACCTTCTGCAGAAATGCGACGGCGTCAGCATCCCGATTATCATAGACCAAGTGGCGATCACGAAGAGATGGACATCAGTGCGGCACTCTCTACTCCACCGCAGCAACCACAATCCGACCTTCTAATGGCGTCGCCGCCTTTGGATTCGGCGAATAGTAACCCGTTCAATATCTCGCGAGAGTCGAGTTCGGCAGACGTTCGAGCAAGCGAGGATAGCTTACGAGGCCCATTATCCCCGGCCACAGTGCATGCTGCTTCTTGGCACACACCAGCGGCAGGCACGTTACCAGCGTCTATGGGAGGCAACAGACCCGATCAGAATGTCCGCAAGAGCTATGACGAATCTCGCACCTGGCGCCGGCAGCGAGAGCGACTGGAGGGCAGACAAAGACGACTCTCATTATCTACCCGACACAGCAAAAATCCTATTCTTATTGGCGACGATGATTTGGAGGGAGATCTTGGGTACGCGGCGAACGAGGATATGGAGGGCAACCGGAAGTGCGTCATTGTAGAGCGGCTAGAGATGGTCAAGAGTAAGAATCCAGTTTTCACGTGGTGCTAAATAGAAAAATCAAGCGCTTTCACGAGCTTCTTGTTTCAAGGCTTGATTTGGCGGCATGGCATATGTCTGGGCATCTAGGAGGCGTTGCATGATTGTTCAGCGATACAAATGAGCGTGTAGGATAATAGAACCTGAGCGGCACTCGCAGTCGATATAGAACTATACTATATGAAGGCCTCGCGATTAGGAACATATTTGTATTGCGTATGATGGCTCCTTGACTCTAGCTGTGTGATACCAGAGTGTTGTGTAGTCAAGACCTGAGTGATATGGATGACGAGAGCCACGTGCCAAGGACTTCCTGCGCCACCCGGCGGCAAGCGGACAGCCCTACAAGAACTCCAGATCGACCTCACCTCGACGACGACCTCCACCACTTTACTTGAATACCAGCTAGTTATCGAGAAACATCTTGTAACAGCTGACCAGCCGTCAACCTCACTAGGCTTACATATATTCTTGCCCTGCCGTCGCACCAATCCTTTCAAAACCTAGGCGCGACCTTGGTAGATAAAACTCGGCACGTTGCATCAACAACCTCAATTGATGCCTTCACAACCACGACTTTCAGCAGCAACAGCATTCTCACTGCCGTGATTGTAATTCTCTGCTCAAAGGGCTCTTTTGTCGGGCGAGGCTTTGCCTGATGGATCCACCGCCCCCCGCCGCGCAGCTTCTCAATCCGAAGGCCTTCAAGAAGGCAACCGGTACTGCCCACTCTCCTTCACCTTCTCCATCTTCTACCCCCTCTCTTTCCTTCGAGCACTCCCCTTCCGCCTCCGATCACTCTTCTTCGCAATCAGAAATGGACGTCGCCTTGCAAGATCAAATGCAGGTCGACTCGCAAGATGACTCAACGCCTCGACTATCTATTTCTTCTCAAGACACCATCTCTCCGTTATCCAAGGAAACATCTAATGGACTAACGTCAGAAGATGAAGCCCAGTCCCAGTGGTCAGGAAGCGCAAATGGAGCCTTTGCGCCACAGGCCTACAATCCACAGATGCTGCTCAACCCAAGAGCTGCCCAGAGGCTGCCTGTAAGAGAACAGGCCCCAGGAAATAGGAACTCACCCGCAAGTGGTATGAGTTCTTTCATTGAACGCATGCACAATGTCGAAGATCGCTCCGCACACCCATCAAAACGCGTGAAGCGAGAACACGACGGTCCGAAGACGTCTCTATCGGCCGGACACAGTTCCGGGGGAGTGCTTGACTTGCAAGGAAGCCGAACTCCAGAAGACAAGCCACCGGCGCGAGGACTGCCTGCAGTTGTGGACTTGACCCTTGGTATGTCGCCTACTTTCCAATGGCTTATCCTCAATCTTAGTCGCATAGCTAACAACTCCTCAGACGACGATGAAGATGACGAGGTAGTCTTCGTCAAAGATCTTGGCGATGAGATTGTCTGTGTTGGCAAAATAAAGCTCGCATATGTCCAAGCATCGCAAGTCCCCAAGCAAAAAGTCGGAGGCTACCAAGGATCTTCGAACTGGCAGCCGCGCTTGAAGATATCTCTCCGACGACGAGCCGGCCAGAATAATACCGCCATCGGAGCGATAGATCCATCCGGTATGCAATATGGCTGGATCGATAGAAAGACTGCCGCTGGACTCGCGCCACTGATGGACAGTGAGCCGACAAGCAAATTGAAGTGGATTGCCGTGACAGAAGCTGTCAAACGAAAAGAACCTCCCGGTGCCGTCATCTCTGGACTTCTGCCAATCATTATCCAACTTTACTGCCCAAGGAAGAATGCAGGTCACGTGGGAAGATTTCTTAGAGGCCACAACATCGTTCTCGACGCCCCGAGTCACGAACCCCACAAGTTCCCCTACGTCAATCCGCAACAAATGAAGGTTCCCCTGGTCAGCAGCTCGGTTGCGTACCAGCCTTCTGGCTTGGGCCAACCTGCACAGCAACCCAACAACTACATCAACCGCAGCGTCGAGGAAGTGCGGAACGACGTACAAAAAATGTTCAACAGCATTACAAAGACGGAAGATATACCTCTCAAAGAACAAGACCCAGCGATCCTTACTCCACTGTTGGGTCACCAGAAACAGGCTCTCTATTTTATGAGCGAGAGGGAACGTGCTCACACTGGAGATGACGACGAAGACCAAAAAGACGCGATGTATGAGCTGAAATACCGGGACAATGGTCGCAAATATTACTTTAATGTTATCACCGGACAAGAGACTCAGGCCAAGCCAGATCGAGTTCTAGGTGGCATACTCGCTGATGAGATGGGCCTAGGCAAGACTCTGAGCATTTTGTCCTTGATAGCGCAGTCAGATAGCCGCCAAGCAGCCGACTTATTCGCCAGACAGGCCGTTGACAGGCAGAACGAGCAACAGACCCTGGTCAGAAACTGCAAAGCAACCTTGCTCGTGTGTCCAGTCAGCACGATAGCCAACTGGGAGGACCAAATCAATACCCACGTTGCAAAGAAGATTCTCAGGACGTACATCTACCATGGCTCTGGCAGGACCCAGGACATCGATGACCTCGCCAAGTACGATCTGGTGCTCACGACCTACAGTACAATTGCTGCGGAGTATATGCGCGGGAAGGCCCTTGAAAAGATCAACTGGTTCCGCATTGTTCTTGATGAAGCGCATAGCATTCGTACTCAAACTACTCGGCAATCTATCGCAATCTGTGGACTGTCAGCTGCGCGTCGCTGGGCAGTGACCGGCACACCGGTGCAAAATCGACTTGATGATTTGGGTGCTCTGCTCAAGTTTCTTCGCATCAAGCCGTTCGATCACAAACATGGCTTCACTCAATGGATCTTGAACCCTTTCAAGAATGCAGACCCAGATGTGCTACCGAAGCTTCGCCTCCTGGTCGACAACATCACTTTACGTCGCCTCAAGGAAGGACTCGTAGATCTGCCCCCTCGGCACGATCATATCGTCAAGCTGCAATTCTCGTCAGACGAGCGGACGTTGCATGACTGGTTCGAAAAGGATTCTGCTCGCCAAGTGAACGCGGTCACGACTATGCGCGCCGAACAGAAGGGATTAGGAGGTTCTGCATACGCTCGAATTCTTCTCGCAATCCTCAACCTTCGTCTGATTTGTGCGCATGGACAAGAGCTTTTGAGCGACGAAGCTATGAAATCCTTGGAAGGGATCAGCTATGAAAACTCTATCGATCTAAGAGACGACGATGAGGAAACAGAAAAACCCTCACTCTCAGCTAAACAGGCCTACGATTTCATGCACCTTTTGCAAGAAAGTGACAGCGTTAATTGTCAGATCTGCGATTGCAAGCTGAACGAGCCGGACGAGGAGGATAGAAATGGAAATGCGAAGAACACGCTCGGCTTCATGAATCCTTGCTACCACGTCATCTGCACTAGCTGTGTAGGCGCGTTCCGCCAGAAGCTCGAGTCGATCGCTACATCAGATGGCTTCTGCCAATGTCCCTTGTGCGAGCAATATGTTCGCATAGGGCTGTTCGAACTGAAGCAGAAAGATTGGGACGAGCACGAGGAAGCCCTAGAACGCGTGAAAGAGAACCCTAGGCTGGCGAAGAAGATGGGCAGATATATCGGACCGCACACGAAGACGAAAGCGCTGCTAGAGGAGCTGAAGAAGGACCAAGAATGGAGCGAGGCTCACCCCAACGAGGCGCCAGTTAAGAGGTAATCTATTTCGACTTAATCACGTTACTTTTACTGACTCCTTTTCTAGCGTCATCTTCTCCTCCTGGACGACCCATCTAGACCTCATCCAAATCGCCCTCGAAAATCACGGCTTCCGCTACACCCGCCTCGACGGCCGTATGAACCGCCCGGCCCGCGGCGCCGCCCTTAAAGCCTTCGCCACAGACCCCGAAGTCCCCATCATGCTCGTCTCCATCGCCGCCGGCGGGCTCGGACTGAACCTGACCACTGCAAACAAGGTCTACGTGATGGAGCCGCAATTCAATCCCGCCTCCGAAGCGCAGGCTGTCGACCGTGTCCACCGTCTCGGCCAAAAGCGCGAGGTCTTCATCACGCGCTATATCATGGACAACTCGTTCGAGGAGAAGATGCTAGAGCTGCAGCGGAAGAAGCGGGATCTGGCTGATCTGAGTATGGGTAGGGAGAAGATCACAAAGGCGGAAGCTGCGCGGAGGAGGTTGGAGGACTTGCGGAGCTTGTTCCGTTGATGAGAGATGCACGTATGCTGGCTTCACGACCTTTCTTTTCACGACATCGGAGCACGCTATAGAAGCGCCGCTGGTGAGCAGGTAGGGAGGCAGCTATTGCGATGTTGCCGCGGCAAGGCGTCTTAGACGGCCTTTTCTTCTTCTCTTTTTCTTTTCCGGCTGTGCGTACTGGATGGCGTGGCTTTACTACTTTGCAGGCCCAGGTTTTGGGTTATTCTTCTGGTTTGGTCTGGTTTTCTTTCCTGGCTTTCTCCGGGCTCGGTATTTGCATTTGCATCTGGCTATTTCTGATAGCCGGCCTTTTCTGAGTCGGGCATTTTCGGAGTCACTATGGGAAGTAGGTATGGTAAACAGATACCCCAGATTAGGTGGATGAGTTAGTTCTAATGATAATGGCATGCTCTGCAATTGCAACCTTGAATTGTGGATGAAGAGGTCAATGGTGGTCGAAAGGTGTACTGCGAAGGGTGCTACACGAACACAGCATAGCACATATGTCACACGAGTTCGACACACTTCCATCGTATCTTTCACCATCTCCGTCCATTTCCACTCACTACTACCTAAACGCATCCCATAAGGACTTTTTTATGAACTCCAGTGCGTGCACAACCCGCACCTTCGCTCCGGATGGATCAATCCCAATCCATCCCGACCCAACCCCCGATCTATCATCTTCTCCACCCGTCAAAACTTCATCCATGGCCGCATTCCCGGCCAAGCAAGCTAAGCCAACCCGTACCATCCATCTTTGGTATCGCAAGAATCACCATTTTCCGCCATTCGTTCCATCCAGATGTGTAATAAAAAAAAGAAATAAGACTCCGTCGCACTCCGACCCAGCCAAGGAAACACAAGAAAAATTTGATTAGGTAAGGTCGTAGGGTTGGAAGAGATTCAGACATTAGAGCTCGGGGAGAGCATGATGGGGGTGAACTTTTTTGGGCGCGGCTGACGCTGGGGGTGGTCTAAGTGGGTTGGTAGCACCGTTCAGGTAGGCCTGAAAAATGGGTGATCAAGGGGGTTAAGTCAAATGGGGCATCGCAGCTCCCAAGCACCGGCCGTGGGCCGTGGGCGAAGTAGAGAAATGAAACCCCATAGGCTGGGTGTCGAATAGGCGAATAAAAGGCAGGTAGGAAACGTCCAGTTCCGGCAGTGTCGTAAAGTAATATCGTTAGAAAAGAGAAAGGGGCGTGTAAAAAAGATTAGGGCAGAGAGGCACCCTCAGCCCGACCAACTACTCGGCCGTCGAGCTGAAGGGCGTACTCGCGCGACTTTCGTCTATAATGTCGTTGAGTCGTATCTTCTTGTGTCGAGGACCCCCCTCCGCCTCTAGGTCCTCCAGCTTCCGCTTGAGCTCAGCTTCTCTTTGTCGCGCGTCCTCGAGCTTGGCTCTGAGGTGTGCCTCGGTGTCCCGGGCTATATTCTCGTTGTCTCGCGCGTTCTGTTCGCTCTGTTCGAGTTCGTTGACACGTCCTTTGAAAAGGCCGTTGATCACCTCGAGCTCGCTGACGCGTGTCTTGAGCGACGTGTTTTGTGCCGCGAGGGCTTCGTAGGAGAGAGGCGGCTCGAGGTGCGAGCCGTTTACAGATGAGGTCGACCCCGGAGACGGCTGGCGGATATGGAAGGACGGCAGAGACGGAGAGTGGTAGACATCGCCGTGAATGACACCGTCAAACATGTGCTGGGGGGCAATGTTCGACGGGTGCTGCAGGCTCGGGGTGCCTGTGCGCGAGATTGGCGAGTTGGAGCGCTCCGAATTGCCCGACGACATCTTTTGCGACTGCCGTCGATGTTGTGTCAGGGCGGAGAGGGGGTCGGCGTCAGGGTGGGCAGCGGGGAGGCCATTGGCGTCGGTCGACTTGTTCTTCCGAGGGCCCTGGCCGGCAGTCTTGACGCGATTCCGACTCTTAATGACATCGGTCTTGAGGCTGATAGGCCGAGGGCGGCCGTGAAGCTTCAAAAAGAGGCCACAGGCGTTGCAGAGAACAGAGCCAGTTTCGTCGCGGCGCCAGAGCGGGGTGGTGCTCGTGGTGCAGTTCTGGCAGACAGGCTGAGGGTAGCGTTAGTACGTGAATGCACTGAAGCGCCCCAAACAGCAGCAAACGAGGTCAAAGATAGACTTCGCGCAGCTGCTCCGGGGTTGAGATGATGGATGGTTATCGCGATCCGATAAGGACATCCGTGAAGATTTCTTGCGATCATCGGCCCGTGTGCGACTCACGAAAACACGAAAACTTTGTCACTTACCGGCGAGTTGGCCTGGCCGCCCGAGGTGGCTGGAGCTGAGGTTGCGTAGGTCATGCTGTGTCCATTGAAGGGCCTGCGAGAAGAAAGAAGTTAGACACAATGTGCGAAAAAGATAACGCAAATGTGGAGCCATGCAACTCGTCCGCGGCAGGGCTACGGGCGACTGCAACCACCACGACTGCACTCCACTAAATAAAAGTTCCCATGCCCACTCAACACGTCCCAATTGCACGCACACGCACCTGTGAGGGGGGGTATTGGTGTCCGGATTGACGACATTGCCCGCCGCCGGGCTCGACGACGCGATGGACGCCAGGGCGGACAGGCCGGGCAGCTGCAGCGACGAGTTGCTGCCCTGCCGCTGAAGCGAGTAGTGCTGGCCCGAGGCCTGGGTCGAAGTCGACGACGGGCGCGAGATGTCGTGGCCAATGGACGGCAGCGAGGGCCGCTCGTCGAGTGTCTGCCCCGTCGTGAAGGCGGGCAGGTCGAGACCTGGCGAGTGACGGAATGTGTCGAGGGCCGCCGGCCGTGGGAGCAGAGCGGACGCCGTGATCGTATGAGGGCGAGGACGCTGCGGACGCGTGCCTCGAGGTATTAGGAGGGTTGGAAGCTCGCTGGAGCTGCGGCGGCGACCTGGAAACAAGGGCGCTGTGGGCGATGTGGGCGTAGACGCGAATTAACGGGGCGTGTCCGTGGTATGCCAAAAGAGCGAGGGCGTGCTGAGGGAGCGAGGGTGGGTGGTAAAGAGCGAAAGGCAGCAAGGACGGCCAATTGTGCAGAGAGCGGGCAAAAGAGCGTGCGGGAGCTGGAAAGCTGGACTGGAGCTGGAGCTGGAGGTTGCTGGACCGCCGGGCACGGTTTTGGGGTTGGTCGGTGGCATAAGGGGGGATCCTGCAGGCATGCCAGGGTGAGCGGGCACTATTCACCGAGCTTAATCTGCCATGCCAAGGTGAGATGGCCCTTGATGCCCTCGATGCCCTCTAGATGGCCCTCCTAGCCCGCTGCCTTCAAAGCCCGCTGGTTTTGCGTGGGTGTACGGCGCCGCCACCAGCCTCTCCCTTGATGTCCGGGGCTGCACCGGGCGAGCAAAACATGTCGAGACCTTTGAACCACCTGCCACCGGTGGATCAACGTCTAGCCGGGCGCATGCAGGGCTGACGGGACGGGTGGCCCTCCGTTCTCACGAGCTGGTCCAATTGGTGCAATGCTATCTCCGGGGGCGTCTGCTAGTCCCACGCCTCTATCGATCCCCAGCATTCAGGGGAAAACGGCTGCCAGGCGCTCTTCCGTCACGTGCGGCACATTCCGACGCCTTCCTATTTTTCTGTAGTACGAACTTGTGCTTTGTATACATCGAGGGCGAGTCTTCGTACACTATCGACATTTACAGTGGAGAAATTCAAGTTGCAATGGAGTAGTGTCGTAAATATGCTGGGTAGAAAATCTCGAAGCTATTGCAAGGAACATTATATTGCAGCTACCTAATATCCCGATCAGTCACATTGAGCTTTAACCATATCAACCTTAGCATAGTGCATGATAGCGCCCCTGGACATGTCTTGTGATCGTTTACATTTGCTGCTACTCCAATTTCCGCTGTCGAATTACATACGCTTCTAGAGCTGAAGTGCCCCGAAAGGTATTGCCAAGTTGTTCAAAATAGCTCCGCCAAATTTTGAGAAGGACGAAGAGAAACTACAGGTATTAGGGTTAGATAGACCATTCTCCAAGTGCTAATCACACTCTTAGCGGTGAGAATAGTTCCTAATTTGTAAGAAGATCGACATCGTCACGTGATGCTCATGTACGTAACAATATCTAGCTTCGCGGTCCACGTCTTTCGCGACCCACTAGTATTGGCCTATCTATATTACGACTGTAGTCTAGCGCGTCTGGCCTACCGCCCAAAGAAACCCCATCCCTTCTTTGCCGGCTTCTGCTCTTCCCCTGTCTTCTCCACCCCCTCCATCGCCTCCGTCTTTGCCTCAGCAACAGGCGTCGCTCGCCCAGGATACTCGATGTAGTTCCACGCGACATCAAAGAACAGCGGCTTGACGGGTATTGGCTTGAGCCGCGGCGGCCACGTGACGAGGTTCTTTAGATCGACAGTGCCAGAGGCGGGATACTCGTTTAGTTTCTCTGCGAGGGGTGCGGCGTTGGTGGGATGCGCTTTTGAGGGGGCTGCCGAATTGTCAGTTACGTGGGAGAGAGCAACGAGGCCACCGTAGTGGGAGATTAGATTCTGAAGATGGCGTGATAGGGTCGAGGCTTCAGAGATGGTGGTGATGAGTTTGGGAGGCGAGGAGGGGGGAGGAGCTGTGGACTGAGGCGCCGAGAGGGCCTGGGAGGAGAGCGAGAGGGCGCGGTTGCTGAGGGCGAGGGCACGGTCGGGTGCAGAGAGGAGAGCGTGCGAGTGCGAGATGTTCAGGCATTTCAGAGCTTGGAAGTAGGCTCGTTGGCCGTCGAGCTCGGCGATGAATGCGGTGTCTCGGGCTGCTCCGGGCAGCTCCTTGACCGAGTCGATGCTTTGCAGGATCGCATCGTAAAGAGCGACGCGCTCTCGTAGTCGCGCGAGCTTCCGGCCTGTGGGCTCTTCCCGCTCCGCCCACTCCTTTCCGTCTTTGCGCTCTCGCCGTGGTTTCTGCTGAGGCAAGGGAGAGAACGCCATGCCGTCGTCGGATCCTATCAGCACGCGGTTGCGGCCGACTCGCCAGCCGATCAGATCGTAGTTCAGGGCGAGACTGGTTACTCGGAGGTCTTGCATGCGCGAGTCACCTTCGTCGATGCCCTCCTTTTCGAGCTCGTCGATGGCGCGGCGGGTCGCATCTGTGGCGTCTTGACTTGCGATGAGCACATCGTCATACGCAGCTGCCCTATCCTTGGCTAGTATGGAGGGAGTGCACGATGCTAGATACTCTGACAGCTTGGTCGATGCTGTGTACACGGATGCAAGGGCCTGGCCGATGGCTGCGTCAACAATATTCGCGGTGCGTCCGCGCCACGTGATGGTGTTCGGGGCGCTGGATGAATCCGAGGATTTGGTCCCTGGATGAAACGTCAGACTCGCGAGTGGGTTATAGGGTGCTGCTGTCTAACCTTCTGCTGCCGGTGCCTCAGCAGCCAAAGCGTCCTTGTCTAGCTTCTCCACCGATGCGAGCAGCTTGGGATCCTCCCGCGGAAAAAACTTCTTCGACACAGCCGGTACGCCAACAGTCCGAGGTATCCGGTGCTGATACGCCGCATACCGTATGCTGGGGTCCGTAATGCTGGAGAGAATATCCTTGAACAATTCTTTCTTCGTCGCCTTTAGCAAGGCATTATAGATAACCCGGGCCGCCGAGTAATCTGTAAGACACTTGATCCACCTCTGGGGCGACGCGTCACTGCTCTTTATGCCTTCCGACTGCTTTTCGAACTCTTCTGACCCGGAAAGAGAGTACGCATATGCCCGCGCCTCCAGCAGATCGATGTCGCTTGCGCCGGCCGCCGTATTCGATAGAAGCTCCACTAGCTGCTGTGCATATTTCGCAGCTTTGTTCAACCGGGACACTATGTGCCGTCGAGTCGAGCCTGTGATGCCCTTGTCTGCGTTGTCTTCCGCGTGCGATGCCTTCATGTACATGGCGTGGGCCCACGCACGCTCCGCCGTGAGTAATTGCAGGTGGAGGAATCTGGACACTGGTCAGGCGCTGACACCCTTGTATCTGACATTGACATACTCATGGTTCCTCCCAATATCTTCAGATGTCACTGGCGCCTTCGGGGCGTATTTTGCGTTTTTGTGTGTTGCCCGGCCCAGTTTTTTGTTGCAGGTGAGCAGGCGGCGGGACAGCTGCGTGCGGTAGGTGCTGTAGTCGCCTAGCAGGAGCGCGGCGTCTCGCTGCGACGTGACGAAAGTTGTTATATCCATTGCGGGCTCAAGTTGCCATGTGGTGGTCGCGGAGCGGGGAGCATATGTTGAAGTGGGATGCCCAGACGGGAAATTTTCGGCAGTGAATAGACTACTTTAGCCGTGCCAGGGTGCCGTCCATGGTCTGATCGACCTCAGAAAGTCTTTGACCACTCCATCCCATCTGGCATCACCTCGCTCGCCACCACCCCCGTACACTCCCTCCTCTTTTCTTGTCATATATCCTCGCTCTTTCTAGGCGTTGTCGGTTTTTCCCCCTATTTGTGCTCTTCCATTCCCGCGCTCCCCGCCGCTTGCCTATTGTTGAAAGGAGGCATGAAGCACTGTAGGCTCGCTCAAGATCCACCGAGCTATCAATTGTCACTGACACCTGCTGCCATCACTAGATCCTACCATTCCACGTTCGACCCGATAGGCTAAGCAATTGTGCCATCCAATTCTAGCGCCCCGTAGGTGATGCTGGAGCGGGCATCGGCATGCCTCGAATCCGGCGGTCGACAGCTTCTCCGGAGGACCAGACGGTGCTCAAAAAGCCGTCGGATGCTGCACTCCACATTCTGGTATCACGCAGCAGGTGACCTTGGCTTGCCCATTTGGTGCGCTCCCGCTGCGCAATTCGAGACGACTACCATCTCTCACGAGTCATTGCGCGAGCGGGCCAACGAACATCGCCATGGGGGCGTCAATACTGGGCAATCGAGTATAGCGCTCGAGTTCCTATACCCTGCGAAAACATTGGCCTTCATACAGCACCTCTCCAATATAGGATGGGACAACTCGAACGATCGGCGTAAGCTACACTATCCTGCCAGTGGAATCCGACATTTCTCCTCCAGATCCGGAAACGTACAAGAGTTTACGAGCCTGGAAGCAGACCCCAGCTTGGCTGAAGAGAACGAAGAAGTGGAAGGCCTCCTCAAGAACACCAACGCGCTGCAGGCGCTCCAAGCGTTGCTCCAGTCGTCCAACGATCACCGCCGAGAACGTGTGGTATGGCGCCTTTACGAGTTTGTGGGAGAAGCCGATCGCACGCCCTCGCTTCGAGCAGATCTTCTGGATTACCTCGCATCATCGAAGAAGTCTGTCGACGCATATCGGTTGATCCAAGTCTTTGAATCCCTCGCCAATCAGGATCGCCGTGCATCATCATATTGTGCAGCCATTACCGCATACCTGAGACTCAACATGGTTGGCACCGCGGTAAAGATACATGGAGAAGCTGCAGGTCGTGCTACAGAGCTTAGTTTCGGCTCGGATATTCTTCTTGCTCGTACTATCCAAGACAACCAATGGGACCTTGCTTTTCAAGTACGGGAAGCTTTCGCGTCATCCTATCACTGTCTCAATGACAAGACAGAAAATTTCGAGCAACAGTCCTCTTTTCTCTGGTCTGGGGTTCTCGCGATACCTGAGCTTCTTGAACGAGCTGCATCTTTACTTCAGTATGCACAACAATTTGCCCATAACCTAGCGCCTGCATCTGATCGAGGGAAGAGCTTTAAAATCTTCGCGCGTGCATTTTTCCCAAGTGTCATTAAACAAGCGCTGAAATCGAAAGATCCTGACGAAAAGTCCCTCCTTGACCTTTTCGACCGTTTGCAGGAACTAAAATTGAGTCGAAAAGAATACTATGAGCTTGCCATCAGCACGATGCTCCGTCATTCAAAATACATGCAGTATACGAACGAGGGCAAGCCTCACTTAAGGCTGTATTTGATGTTTCGAACAGCATATCTGGAGAAAACGCAGGGGGTTTTTCTGCCTCCTAGCGAACCGCTTATACGGGCCTTGATGAATCACCTAAGTAGATTCCAAAGCTACAACGACCGGAGACGATGGATGATTACAGTAAATTCGCTTGTAACCGATTTGCGTCAATTTCACAGCACTCCAGGCCCCAACAATGACCGCAGACTTAACCCTAACAACCTAAGATTCATTATGGGTATGTATGCCCGGGCGGGAGATGCCGAAAAAGTTCACCGAATTTTTGATGAGCTTTGTAAATCATACGACGAGTCTACTACATCGACACGACATCGTAAACAACACATCACCAGTGGTGCCATATGGCCACTTCTTTACGTTCACGCCAGACGAGTTGAGTTGCATGCTGTGGTGGAACAGTTCCAGCGGATTTCAAACGAATTCGGACTGCAGCCTGACACCAGGGCTTGGAATATACTGCTTCACGCCTATGCACGAGCAGAGGATTTAGATGGTCTTGTAAAGACCTTCGAGGACTTTTTAGAGAGCGGAAATGCGCCTGGTGTGGATTCATTCGGCCCAGTTCTTGATATCTGCGCCCGAAGAGGGGATGTCGACTCTATTGAAGCCCTTTTCTCCAAAGCTCGTTTACTCGGCATTCCAATCGACAGGTCCGCCATACTGAGGGGAGCACTGGTGCTGGCGCACATAAACAGTGAAAATCTACCAGCCGCCGAAGAGGCCATGGAATTGATGGTCCAAGATAAACGGGACGGAAAGCTGGACGGTCAGTTGACAACGACCGCAAATTTTCTCATCACGGCCTACGCTTTACGACAAGATTCGACCTCGACCATGAAGGCTTACGGTCGATACAAGCCACATGATATACCTTTAGACTCGTACACCTACGCCGCTCTTATGCAATCACTCATATCTATGCGCCAGACAAACGCCGCGTTCACAATACTAACTACCACCATGCCAAACAATAACGTACAAGGACACGCCTTTCATTATGCTCTAGCCATTGCAGGCTTCTTGAACGAAGGGCAACTTAATCGAGCAAAAGATGCTCAGAAAAGAATGCTGTTGAGAAACGTCCCTCATTCTGTCAGCTCCCGCATGGCCTTTCTCCAGGTCAAGGTCCTTTCAGAGTTAGATGCTCTCAAAAAAGAACGCCCTGCGATGGCCAAATACCGTCTGCCTCGCTTAAAAGAGGTTGAGGAAGAGCTAAGACAAGCTTTGATGGAATCCGATCCCTCGGAGCGTGCACTGAAGCAGCCGCGTCAAGGTATGCGTCAGACGCCTTTGAACCAAATGGTGCTTGATGGTTACTTCGAAACCATGGTCTTGATATACGGAACACATGGGGCTTATGACCTGTGCAAGGAAATGTTTGAAAGTGCTGCTATGTATCGGCAGAGCAATCCGGACGCATTTGAAGCACCAATAGGATTGTTAACTGCAGTGATGACAGGCCATCAACGTGCCCACGAGCATGCTGAAGTGGACAAGTGCTGGGAGCTCGCGAGGCTGCAAGCGGCAAAGTTGACGAAATTAACTTCCAAATTTCAGGACGCCCCAATGCCAGGTGCTCCTCCTTTAAGAGTTGCTCGGAACCGAAGTCATTTGCTAGTTCCTACAACTCGAGTCTATTTTCGCGGTCTAGCCTCTCGCAAAGCTCATATCACTATTGGAAAGATGCGAAATGTCGTCTCATCACTGCTTGACGAGGGCTACACAATCGACAATCTCACATGGAACGAGTACATCCAATACCTGGCGCGATCTGGTTATTTCCTGGACGCCTTTACCGCTTGCGAATCATACTTGATGCCCGACTTCGTTGGGTGGCGCTTCGCCGCACCCCATTATCTTCGAGTAGACCCGCATGGGTATTTGAGGATGGATCTTCGACGAAAGGACACTCGAAAGCATACAGTCATGCCCCGATACAAGACCTTGGTTATCATGGCTGCAGCGCTTGGGTACATACGAAGGCAAGAGGAAATGGGCATAGAGCCTGAGCCAGTACAGAAATGCTCACTTCGTAGGCTTCAAGAAGTTGCCCCCAAGACGATACGGGCTATCGAGACCATGCCTGTGCTGCCAGACGAAAAGCTTCAGAGGCGCTATTTGATGGGTCCAAGGACCTTGTAGATACGGGAAAGATCCCGACGACGGCGGATCCACGCATTCCGAGTCTGGACCTAGTATTCCCCATATCTGTATAATTTTGCTCTATTGTCTTTGTACTGTACATTAGTGCATGATTGATGCGCATGTAAATAATCAAAGATGGCCCATGGTCATATGTATCCTGGCATTGAAGACGGTGTTCTTAATCTCTTTGGTTAATGTCTGCTGTTTCGGCACATAATCGTTCTGTCTTCTCAAACCCTTACATACTGATTCAACGGCACATAATTACACAAATGGCTAACCTTTTTCAAGCAGGGGGGAGACATGAAAGAAACGTTGGCCCACATTCCCAAGCCAAAGACGGTCTTCCTTACGGGTCCCAAATTGGACCATACGCCAGAATCCCCGCTTTCTCCAGATCTAGCACGAGTCTGTTTGTTAACCTGGGGTTTGAAACAACGACGACTTCGGCTTACCTGTTCTCATGATCATTTCCATTGTACATACAGCCCAGTATCCATCTCGAACATATGCTGTTGGTCCAAACGTTCGTGCTTATGAGTACCGTGGATTTTTCGCTTTCATGTCTGCGCGCTTGACAATATCCATGATGTCTGTCCCATACGTCCTCTCTGGTTCCCGGGCCAACCACAGAATTCGGACAGAGTGTTCCGGATGGGGAATGCCAGCATCACAGCCAAATCGATGAGATAGATGATGGTGAACATTCGCCGGTACAGGAGAAGAACTCCAATCGGAACCCATGGGACATGTCTCTTAGCTTCTTGCGAGCCCAAGGAAGTAATTTTTTTTGGAACCAGACACGTAGGTGGTTCAGATGCTTGGTGATCCCTTTTGGTGTGGGATGGTGTTGTGGAGGCATCGTAGGTTGGTCAGATATCTCCGTGGCCTCGATAACATTGTCTCTCTGGCCATTGATCTTGGCAACGTCTTTCCGTCCTAGTGGAACTTCGACTTGAGGGGGTCTAGCAAGATTATCAGCTAACATCTTGTCAAAAAGAATGCTGCGCAACAACTATTGAATTTCAGATCTGGATTTCCTCCCCGTAAGAACTCCCTGCCTTTTTGTAATTCACCTTAATCAGCTAACAATCTCCCACGTAGGGCCACGTGATATGAGCTAACCTCAAGAATAAAGAAAGTTTCTTCTCGTCCGAATCTACTCTATGTTCTATAGTGGATTACTTGAAAGACGATGGCGGCGGTGCTGGTGGGATCTCACCAAAACAACAAATAATACCCGCTCTATGATCGTGAAAATAATTTGGGACAGCTTTCAGCTTGACTGTCAAAACGTGAAAAAGGAAATTCTCTGGCCATTTGAAAGCCTCCGAGGGACATGATTCCCTTGTCTCACTGTGAGATCTACAAAGACGCGAGGGCTTCAAAAGTGTGGAGTACGCACCCCGTCCCCCCCTCTCTTTACTCAAGCGCTTGGACTAATGTCTTCTCCAAAAATTGTCCATAAATACTATATGGCTGTGCGAATCGCGTCCCGCTGTCAGATCTCACCTAGCTTGCGCGGTTGGCGAGCTATTTGTAAAAAGGCTCAAAGACGGCGGGAGGCTCGAAAATCCTCCTACCGGGCGGCGGCAAAACAAAATTGCGATCTTCCTCTTCAGGCAACTCTTGGCAGCCGTGATGATTTCGAAAAGTGTGTAGTACGCAACCCCCTCTCTAACTTAACCACTTGGGCTATTCTCTTCTCCAAAAGTCCTTCAGAAATACTACTTGTTTGTGCGATTCACGTACCGATGTCAAATCCGTGCTAGCTTGCGTGGTTATTGAGTTGTGTGTGAAAAGGCTCAAAGACGGCGGAGGGCTCGAAAATCCTCTTTCCCGGCGACGGCAAAACAAGCTCGCGAATCTCCTCTTCTGGCAACTCTTGGCAAGCCACGTATAAGAGAATCCATTGACACTAAAGTATCCTTTTACGTTCCGCAGTTGTGTCAAGCCCTCCATCATATCTCTTCACCAATTGTCCAAGTAGGGAAGTGCCTGCCAAGTCGGGAGCCCTGTTCAGAATACGAGGCTCATGCACCTGTGAGTCAAAGTTAGTCACATGACAACGTGTTGAAGACTTCGCTCCCACACTCATTCCATCTATAGCACCAACAGGCCAAAATTTCACTTTCCAAGTTGAAGACCCTCAGACTAGACTACTAAATCACGATGCCACGCATCGCCCTCTTTGTCATCGACATCCAACGCGATCTCGCTCTCAACCCCCAAACGGAAATTTCGGCCGCCGTCCGCATTCTCGATGCCGGAACTTCCATCCTCGCTACCGCGCGTGCGAAGATCGAAGCTGCACGAGACCAGAGCAAAGATTCTGATTTAACAATCGTTTTCGTTCAGCATGAAGAGAAACCGGAGGATGGTGTGCTGATTAAGGGAAGCGTGCCTTGGGAGCTGGTGTTCAAGCCGATAGAAGGGGTGGCGGAGGAGAGGCTTGTTGCGAAGAGTGTTCGTGAGTAGGATTCATCTGATTTCAGGCTGAAAAGAGCTGACGAACTTTGCGGGTGATACGTTTGAATCGAACCCAGAGCTCGCGGTGCAGCTCAAAGCGGACGGTGTAGAGGAGTTAGTGGCATTTGGTATACAGAGCGAGTGCTGTGTGAAGTCGACTTGTGAGGGGGCGATGGCAGCGGGTTTCAAAGTCACTTTGCTCAGTGGGGCCCATTCGACCTACAATGGGAAAAGCAAGACTGCGGAAGAGATCGAGAGGGATGTAGAGAAGCACCTCATCGACCAGGGTGCTAAAGCTATTCCTTGGGAAGATTGGAAACCCTGAGCATCAAATGCGAGAACTCGTATATCCTTATTTGAGGTCTGTATCTAGGTTTTCAGATTTCTCGTCCACCTCTGGTAGAGCTCCCTCTCTCGCCGCCTCCGCAGCATCTGAAGTTACTTCTTCCCGGGTACCGTCACGCTTGTCACGATACAGTCTTTCTACCAATTCTTGTAGTGTAGCAAGCCTTTCGACTATTGCTTCCATCATATACTGGACATTTGCTGCCCTGGAAGTCAACTCAGCTAGCTCTAGCGCGAATTGTACTAGAAGGTCGAGCTGGCCCTCCTTAGTTGTTGATCTTGTATCCTCTGCTTCGCTATCAGAGTGATCGCGCTGAAGTTCGATGGAATGTTGAGCTTGGTCGGCTATGAAGCTCCCTTCAGTGTGGCTATGGCTTGGAGTATCCATTTTTCACAAACTCTCTGCAACGGAAAGAGAACCAGCCTGCGGGGTCTACTTATAGGACGCATTCCCGCCTCACTCATCATGATAGGGGCTCCATGTACACGACACCAGCAAACAGGCCATCCACTTTTTTTGTAGTGTGATCAAGAGAAGAAAACTTGAAAAGGTTGAAACTTGCTCGAACCAGCGCAAATATTTGCATGTCACATTTCTTGGACTTTCATCTCGCCTCAATAATCCACGGCCTCCTGATATTTTCTAGCTTAAGCTTTGACTCATTCGATAGTCTCCTGTCTCGCTTTCACGCATATTGCGTCGAACATCAAGATAGTCAATCACCGAACTCTAGGTAATTAATAAATATGTTGCATTACGTAGCATCGCTCTCTAAATCCGAAAAGCTTAACGCCTACTTCATCAACTTCCGTGCCTTGTTTCTAGTTTGCCAGTAGGTTGGTTCTATCTTCTGGGGGCCTTTGGTGGATCCAGGTTCAGACCTTCAGATACTTTGCAGTACATACGAGCTGCACTTTTCCGATTCCCTTCGCGAAGATACCTCTTCGCCAACTCCATATTCTGCTTAGCCACCCCAATAGAATATCCTGCCCTATCACAATACGACTGGTGTTCCCTCACGCGCTTCTCTGTATCCTTGATAGATAGCTCTGCGATTCGTTTGTGGTCTTCCGTACCAACGCCTCCGCCGTTAGTAAAGGTTCCGCGGGAGGAACGATATGGGGTATAAAAGTCTGAAGAATGGCCTCCATAGTATTGATGATTTCGACCTCCGCCCCCCAAGTCTGTACAGGTGCGTCGAGTTGTATAGATTTGGATCATAGCCCCAATAGTTGGAGTTGCGATGGTCATACCAATTCGCCATGTTTTGGGGAATAATCGAAGGGCAGAATATTTCACGCTGGACTTAGGTTGACAGTTGAGAGGCGCAGGAGATGAAGATGAAAAGAAGCGGGTTTGCAACCGTGTGCCCTTTTATGAGTGTCAGTCTCAGGGGCCTGGCGATCGCGTGGCTTGGTGTTCGCCGCAAACGAGACCGAGGACGGTAGCTATCTGCCAGCTCATGCTGGCGTTAGAAGAGAAAACGTGATGACGACTGAGGTTGCCAAACACACGCTGTCACGAGTCCGTTTCGTGTCATGTCGCTGGGGTTGAATGAATATGGAAATGGACTTTGGTCGATAAGAACAGCCACCCATGTGCTACTCGACGGTATCCAATGCCCGTAAAGGAATATTGCAACTCTGCATTTCAAGAGGCTTCGTCGTTATTGTGTCCTGCATAGATATTAATGAGATGAGCTTCTAAAATGATATGAAATAACATGTAAAGAAGCATTACTGGCAAAAATCTCTAGTAGCATACCGACATAACTCTACATACATGTTTAAATGAGTCATAACTACGAGCATTAACGCTCCAGACCACAGATCCGAGTAGCTCTCCCCGCAAGGACTTACCCAGATAATTGGACATCGAGGCATTTCGAAGTGAAGAAGTTGGTAGCGCGATGCGTTTCACGAGAAGGCATCGCTGTCACGTAGTATAATCAGCTAACAGATCAGCGGCAATGACCGTTGCTAGGTCCCAAGCCACAATTCACGACTTCGTATCGTTGACCGTTCATCTCTGGATCTTCAGGATGTTCCTACTCTCGTCTTGGAACAACGCCGGCCGTTGCTTCCGATGATCACTATACACAAGACTAATGTATTCGACATTGGCTTATCTACTTTGCATGTCTTAGTGCCCTGAAGGCGTGATGCATCTACGGGCGGGTGGCCCAGTCACCCATATTCCGCAGCACCTTCGACGTCGCCTGATGCTGTCTGCTGGCCTGCCAGGCTCCCGAATACACCCTGGTTGCCAACATGTTTGCCTGGGCCTGATGCTACCGACATATAGGTAGCAGTACACCCTCGCCCGCTCCTGCGTTCTCTTTGTGCAAATCAACCTCCGACGACTCTCCCGCTACAGCCTGTAGAAAGCTTCCCGAACATTATAGCACTCATGGCGAAAGATCCAGTCCCAGCAGCTAGCTTGCCCGGAGAGATCAACGCAGCATCGAGGTACGCTGAAGCTCCCAGCCAGCACCCCTCAAACCCACCCATTCTAACACCCCAATCCTCCAGATCTCTCCACACCAACCTCAACCGCCTCATAACCTCGCGCCTCCCGCTCTGCCTCCCTCCCCACACCGCCTCGCCACAGCTCTACACCACCGGCCTCCTCCACTTCGCCCACGTCTACCTAACCTTCGAGTCCCTCTGGCAGGATCTCGCCCTCTCCACCCAGCAAGGCACCCCCACCTCCCCGCTCCTCTCTTTCCTCCTCGTCGACCCCTGGGACGCCGATACCGACTCCGACCCCGAAAACGCGTCGCCGCCTTTCCCGCGGCCCTCCCCGCGCATGCTCGCGTTCCTCGCTTCCCTGCGCCCAGCCGGCCTCGCGCGCTCCAGCCGCCTGCGCAAGGATCTAGAGACGCTGACTAGGCTCAGCAGCACCGATCTCTCGGTCTCGCTGTCCCAGTTCCCGGGCGCCAAGGTGCAGGAGTACTGCGCGCATATCCGGAAGGCGGTGGGGAAGAAGCCGCATGTGCTGGTGGCGTATGCGTGGTGCTACTACATGGCTGTGTTCTCGGGCGGGCGCTGGATTCGTGGGGAGTTGAGGAAGGGTGGAGAGGAGTTTTGGCGGAAGGGCGGGGCTCAAAGTGGTGGAGAGGCGGAGAAGAAGGAAGTTGTGCCGTTGGATGAGGCTGGGTTGTCGTTCCTTTGCTTCCCCGGGTTGGATGATGGGGAGGATATCAAGGCGGAGTTTAAGAGCAGACTCGCTGCTGCTGAGGAGCTTTTCACTCCGCAGGAGAGGGAGGATGTCATCCAGGAATCGCAAGAGATATTCCGCTATAGTGTTGGTCTTGTGGAAGAGCTGGATGAGCTGCTGGCGACTAATCTTGAAAAAGCAGCTGCCGTTGAAGCTGCTCAGAAAACGAAGGAGACGGCAAGGCGCAAAGAGGTGCAAGACGTCGGCAGCTCCGGGTTTCTACACTCACGATGGCTGCAAAGTCCAGATGTGTCCACAGTGGTCCTCAGCCTCGGCTGCGTGGCATGGCTTGCGGTTTACTTGTTTATGGGCTCTGACCGTATACTTTGACGGCAACATCGTCCACACATATTTGAGGTGTTTTGTTTTGATAGTAGATATGAGACGTCGAGGCTCATTACGATTCTAGCGTTTTCCTGAAGGCATTCACAGGGGTTAGAGCGCTGGCAGATGGTACATCGGTGTGGGTTACTGAAGTATAATGATACCCCGTAGTTTCATTTTCGACTGCTAAGAAGTATATCATTGTCGTTGCCATATTCAAGCCTTTCGCATGAGCCGTCGCCACGAGTGCTTCCGTCCCTCGTAAACCGTCACCTCGTGAAGTGACCAGATGACGACTATCTCGTGTGCTGACTCAAGTAGTGAGCCTCAGTGTCGATGAAAATTCGGCGCCACAAACTTTAGCCGCAAGGGAAGTGTCGAGTGCCTTGCGAGCTACTCAAAGCTCACCAGGTAGCTTCATCGCTCAATCGAGATCAGCATCACGTTGCTGTCGCAACCGAGCAACTTCAAGAAGCAGAGTGCGTCCAACCTCCCGAATCTCCTGTGCCCCCCGCCGAGCCTCTCCTTCAGTCCGGCGAGCTTCCTGGCCCTGCCGCTGAAGCTCCTCGATCTGCCGCTGAAGCTCCCCTTCCGTTCGCTGAGCCGTGCGCCGTTGCTGCCTACGCTCCTCGCGACCTTCTTCTCCGAGACGCGTAGCCGTATCCACCATGCCCTCCAGCGTCTCCATGCGAGCCACCAGTCTTCGTAGGGAAGCCGTCAGGCGGACAATCTCATCTACTGACGGCAGGGCTTTTGTGTAAAGGATCGTTCGGCACATAGGGCATGTGTTGTTGTTGACGTTGCTGCTGGAGATCCATGCAACTAAGCAATCGTGGCCGAATACATGACTGCAATCGGGGATGCCGGTGATTTGACTGGCTGGATGGTTTGTGCCGAGTTCTTCGTGACAGATGTAGCACTCGTCTAGTAGTGCGAGATTGCTGGCGTCGATGTTGGTGAGGTTGTGTTCGAGAAAGTCCTCGGAGTTGGAAGGGAGGCTGGAAGGCATGGCTGAGATGGGTTCAGTCGACGATTTGGTGGTTGAGGGTTGGGTGAGAAGTGTGGAGGGTGAGTAGGTTCAAGCTACTCGAGCTTGAGCTGAGGTTGTACTTATGTCGAGCGCGTTGTTTGATGAGGTGAAAAAGAAGTGAGCGGGAAAGGTTTCAATTCATTGCTCATCTATGTAGTGAAAGAACGACTAGTTACGAAAAGAGACTTGCAAAGACCGAAATAAGCGTTACTGATTTTGGGATCAGGACAAGCCGTCACTCCTTTTAGATCAAATGAAGAGTGAAGAGAGAAGAAGGAAAAACAGATATGATATCATTGTTCGTTACTGTAATTTGGTTTCGGGTGAGCTCTTAACGAAAGTGAAATACGAGGAAATCAAGGGAAAAGAGAGATTTAGAACGGGTTTCCTTACAACACAAAAAAAACTTCCCTCACAGAGGACTGGGACATTCTGTGCAAAATCATATACCACCACCTGAGGTACCCACTCTGAAGCATTTCCAAATTCCCCACCACCTTGACCACGTGAAACTGCCTCTTTTTGATTTCCAACACGTGGGGCAGCCCCACAAGGTAACAGATAGGCCAAGAAGGTACAATGAAATTTCATCCAGATCTCTGAAAATATATCAAAGGCACACAAGCAAGCAGTGGCAAGGACGTGTACGCAGACAGACGTCCTAGTCCTGCAGGGAGCTCGACTCAAGCCTCAGCGTCGTCAGATCCTGAGACCGCATCCTTGGCGTGTTCTTTCTGTTGGTGCTTGACAAGGTCACGCCTGCGGGAGTACCCTTTGCCTCCAATACGGTCGCAGCCAGGCTCGGCGCATGAGAATTCTGATTCGTCGTGGACCTTCTTCATATGTTTGGTGTAATCGGAGACCTTGCGGAAAGAATTCGCAGACAGGAAGGAGGATGGAGATTTATACTCGGGACAACCCTCATAGGGACAGGATCTACCACCAAACACATTCGAAGTGCCTTTCTCCATGTTGTGGTAGTTCCTCAGGTGCTGCATCAGGTGATCCTTGCGTTTGAAACCATTGGCGCCTCGATGTTTGCGACAATAGAAGCAAGGAAACCTTTCGCCATCGTCTTCGTGGAGGTTCTTGTGCCGTTCGTAGGTATCGAAACGTGTGAACGTAGCCAGGCAGTCTTCGGCATCACAAGCAAAGGCTGCATGGCTCATCTCTGTAGCATGTTCGCCTAATGCTATTGGAGACAGCAACTCTTCCGTACATTCGTGGCATGGAAACCTCAACTTAGGGTGGGTCTCCCTAACGTGATGGTCACGCGGACCAGACCAAGAGAAGGTTTCTTTGCATGTGCGATGATAGCACCGGTACCTCCGATAACGTACCAAGCCACGTTCATGATGTGGCGAATCCTAATTAGCTTCGGCAGCAGTTGGCACAGTTGAGTCCAAGTACATATCTGCATTTTCGAGGGGTGGAGATGAGATGTTCCTTTCAACTGGTAAGCTAGTGTCCATCGAGCGGCGGACATGTTTGAGCTCACCCTTGTCCGTCAGAAAGACGGCTTCCTTGGATGTCAGAAGAGCCAGTCACAATACTTGATATGTATTGATATTGGCTGGATGAATACTGATCGCCTTGGTACAGCTGTCCAGAGTTCTCGCCTATATTCCAGTCAAAGAGAGCATCTAGAGCCCTATTCTGCACGGTGGAGCTGTTGTTGGCTTCGAAGGATGCCGTATGGTTGGCGCCGACGTTAGGATAGATTACCGTTCCAACCTCAAAGGGTATATCGGTACTTTGCGATGGACGCAGAAAAGTATCTGGCTCGTGAGGCCCAACAGGCTGGAAGGAATGATTGTAATAGGAATTACTTGGGTAGTCGGCATGATTTGGCCGTTGGTCGGAATGACAGAATTCGTGATAGCCCCCTAGGCTGGGAAACGGCTCGTTCAAAATGTCTGATGTTCCGCTATCCAGTGGTGCGGGTCCCCAAAAATGCTGGTAGGGGACAGCAGAAGATACGTTGGTCCCTGATGATTGACTGTACGACGAATCTTTTGGAGGAGGGTGACGTTGCTCGAAATGTTGAGCTTCGGGAATGGTTACCGGGCTCCACAAAATCGGCGGATGCGGCTCGTGAGCTTGCAGGACTGGCCAAACTAGATCTGAAATAAGGCTGAGAGACCACGCCCTTTTGTTAGCAGAGGTCGTTTTTTAAAAGCTTACCAAGACTCCGGGATGTTGTCCGTGTTGCAGGAAGCTAAACCAGAAGAGTTCGGTGGCTGAAGTTCAGCCTGGTCGGATTGTTGCATGGTTCCGGTTCTCAAAAGCGGCGAGGTGACGTTTGGCTCGGAAGTGGGCTGAAATGATGAGGAGGGAATTGATGGGAGGGCCGCAAACTCATACTTCGTGCCAAGAAAAGATCGCTGCTTTACCAAGGTATACATGAAGGAAAAGGGCGGTGACATGCAAGGCTGAGACACGGCTGCGTGGCCTCGCATAGAAAAAGGGCGAGAGTAAAATCTGGCAGAAGTGTTCAGTTGGTTGCCTCGTTGTGCGGTTTCCAACAAAAAGGGCGAGTTCTATGCACTGGCTGGCTGTTCATCGTGAGCTACCTTGGATGTGATCAGACGAGAAGGTCAGGGAAAAAGGAGAGCGAGAGAAGATGCAACAGAGATGACGTTCATATTTGAAGAGCGAGACTTGATCATGATATGGTGGATGCTCCTCATAGATATGAGGAAGCTTTATTAAAGCAGAGGCACATCTCATTGAAATTGAAATGACAACGATGTCAAATCCAGATGGACTTCCCAGTAAATGGGCTGAGGGATAAATCTACACTATTCTACGGCAAGCCGGACAGACCCGATATGCAGAAATAACGTCAGCCGAACAACACCGCGCCGGGATAAGTAGACAGTGAAACACCTGTCCTCAAGTCAAGCTCAATTCACTCCCAGCCTCTTAGTTGGTGCTTCCTTAACTAACTGACTCTTTCAATGTCTTGAATCTCGCCACGAACACACCTTGCCGCGAACCCACCTCGCCAACCGCCACCATGTCGACTCGCGGACAGTTCAACACCAAGAACCCCACGATAAAGCGAATACGTACCTATACTCCGTCCCAGCTCCTCCAACCTTAGCTAACCAATTCTTCTAGTCAAAGAAGCCTCCGAGCTGGCCTCCAACCCCTCATCCGACCTCCACGCCGAACCTCTAGAAGACAACCTCTTCGAATGGCACTTCACACTCCGCGGCCCTCCCGCGCCCTCGCCGTATGACGGTGGCCTCTACCACGGCCGGATAGTGCTCCCGTCCACCTACCCACTCCGCCCGCCATCCTTCCGCTTCCTCACCCCAACCGGCCGCTTTGAGGTCAACCGCGAGATCTGTCTGAGCATCAGCGGACACCACGAGGAGACGTGGCAGCCAGCTTGGGGCATCCGCACTGCTATGGTTGCTATCCGGAGCTTCATGGATACGGATGCGAAAGGGCAGGTTGGCGGGATTGAGTGCAACGAGCAAGCGCGGAAGAAGATGGCTGTGGAGAGTGTGGAGTGGAAGTGTGCGGCGTGCGGGAAGAGCAATGCGGAGATCATGAAGGAGAGGGAGGAGACGGTCAAGGAGATGGGAGGGGAGAAGACTGAGGAGGTTGTTCCGGAAGAGCTACGGCTGGCATATCGGGACGAGCTGAATAGGGTTGCTGAGGGAGGCGACGCTGCTTCGAAGAGCGAGACTAAGGAGTCGAAGGGGAAAGAACGGGCTACGGAGACAACACCACCTGTAACATCGGAACCCTCACCTCGACCTTCGGCGCCCGTTGCTTCGTCACCAAGAGTCACATTACCGCCCCCGCCAGCGCGGACGATACAGCTTCCCCAAATAGCCACTCAGCAATCGGCCGAAGCTTCACCAGCTTGGATAGACCATGCGATATATGGTCTCATAGCTGCTATTTTGTTCATGGTTCTGCGCAAGGTCATTTGAAGGCCTTATTTTCCGTACATAGGCGTTTATGGGTCAATATCTTGCAAAGCAAGCGATGATTCGGAGTTTATAGAGGTAGCTGGGTTACCTTGGCCAGGAGTCTAGGTAGGATACTGCACAGGTATCACTGTCACTTTCTTCTCCATTTCAAACTAAGATATGCTGTATCGATTTCATCTGCAACAGTGTTGTTTCTTTCGTCAAGCTCCTTACAGTGACCAGCATAAGTCTGTGCACACTCATTTGCCACTAGCTGGGATATCCCCATGGTTTTTCAATTGTCCAAGCACGATGTCAAGTTTGATGCAGCCAGATCTGGATTCCCTTTTTGACTCGCCGGCCGCCTGACAACTGGGCCCCCCCTGGCGGTGGTGCCTGGCTTCCAAAAGTGCTACGAAAGCAGCGCTATATCTAGGCGCTGGGACTTATGCGATGCCACGTTCAATTCAGCGGGATTTCAGTTTCCTTTTGACCAGTCAGCTGGCCAATAACGGGGGTACTCCTGACAGCGGTGTCAGACTGTCAAAAGTAACACGAAAGCAGAACTATATCTAATGGCCTAGATTTATGGATGTCAAGTTCAATTCAGCAGGATATAAGCTACCTTTTGGCTAGTCAGTTGCTTGACAAGGGGGGCACCCTTCACAGTGGTATCTGGCTTGCAAAAGTGTCACGAGAGTAGTGGGATATACGATTGTTCAGAATTATGACCAGGAAAGTATCATACAATTACGACTCGATGGTTACTGACGCCATGTCCCCTATCGGACACTTCCCGCTCCTAATTGTCGGTAAAAACAAATAAAGTACCCAGACCGCTTTTAGACGCAATTTTCAGCCACCCCGGCTGGTCTTAGAAAGTTCAAACAGCAACACCCTCGCTTGTCAGCCTCCATTCAAATGCAAGCAGAAGGGGAAAAAAGGAAAAGAAAGGGAATAAGAAGAAGTAGAAGTCACGCGGCGTTCACCCTACGCTTTCGCATTGGCTTGATAGGGCGCCCATGCCTGCTGATATCCGTTGAACCCACGGCCTCCAGTACCTTAGACTCCTGCGCCGCTCCACCCGACGTGGTGTTCTCCGCCAGTTTGGGGACTTCTCCACCAAACGTCTTCTCCTCCTCCAATTTGGAGACTTCTCCGCTCAATGTCTTACCCTCCTCCTGTTTCGGCTTCTCAACCTCTTCAACGTCCCAATCTGCTGGCTTGTCGATTGGTCCCCATGACGCAAATGCGAGAAGTTGCATCTCTTGACCCTCGTCCAGAACCCCCTCTGCGGCATTCTTACACACAAATGCGCAAAATTCGTCCTCATTGCTGCCATTCTTCTCCTCAGCCTCATCCTTCGGGAACATGTTCTTCTTGATGGTGTCGAAGACGTCCCTCTTCAGCAGACCAAGGGCTGCCAACGTCTGAAGCTCCAACAAAAGCCCAGCTTTACGGATTACCCACTCCTTGTGGTACTTCGTGGCCTGTTCCTCGGTACCGATCTCTTGCCCACTCACAATGATGTCGCTAATGTCATCATTGTCATCCTCAGTATCGGAATCGTCCCACTCGCCGGGAATCCGTGGAGGAGCGGCAGTGTACTCGAGGATTTCCGAGTCATCGTCGAGGTCGCTCAGGGTATCCTCAACTCCGTCCGAGTATGTGTAGTCGTTTGGCGAAGAAGTGGTGATCTGGGGCCTACGGACGAGAGGTTCGTATAACGCCATAATTTCGGCATGTGCCGCCTTATCTCCGTTGACGGCCATGAAAGCCAGAGCCCGGAGCTCTTTGATCTCTTTCTTGTCTTGAATAGACATAGGGGTCTCCGGCATCGACTTCTCAGGCTCGACGGTATCCTCCTGGGGTTTGTCAACGTCTTTGGGAGGCGTGCAAATGGATGATATAGAGCTCTCGATCTGAAGCTCAGACTCCTCTTCATCTTTCTCATAGTCCGAAGTGAGAGGCGAGTCAATGGTATTAGATTTCAGACTCGAAATCGGGCTTGTGGGCTTCGAGATCGGGCGGTACGGTGAATACCCTGGGAGACGCCCCGAGATGGTAAGAAATGGTAGGATCATCTCATTCCTTGGCTTCTGATCTGGAAGCCAAAGGCACAGCAATGCCATCATGACCTCATCCTATTTCATGTTAGCGTTGTCTTAGCCCTTCCAGGGGTATTTTCACTCACTTTGGTCATGCCCATAGCAAAGTTGTATTCGACGTCTTTGGCATACTCCAAGAGCCGTGTATCCGGATCACATTCAAAACGAGGCGTCGGGCGGAGCATGATCTGTGGTGCCGTAGAAGGGGTCCGGACTGGCTTGCGGGGGATGGAGTGTCGGGCAGAGACAGGAGAGAAGCTGCTTAGAATGGAGTGGGTAGGTGGGATAGGTGAGCTAGGCGTACGCGGGCCTGGATTCGAGCTGGTTAGTGAATGTCCTTTGCTGGGCCTCGCAGATTGCTTACGGTTTGTGTGGACTGTGAGGACACTCTCGCTGCGCACGGGTTGGATGTAGATTGCGCGCGCTGTGCCAATCTCGACGGTTGGGGCGTCCAATTCAGCGAGCTGCGCGGAGGGGGGGTGAGAGAACCGCTTCTTTAATGACGCTTTGAATGTTTGAAAGGAGGCGCCCTTTGATTCAGGCTCTGTGCGCTGCGCTTCTGTGACGACGCTGGCAGTGGAGGAGGCCTTCGGGCGGCGGTGGAATGGCTGCTTCGCCTTCTCAGCGAGGCGGTGGAAGGTGGACTTGAACCCCATCTTTGATGGTAGTCCAGGTCTGGAGAGAGTAGCTGGTATCGCAGTAGAAGGTACGTGTAGCTTGGTAGGCGGTGGGCAGGTGAGGTGAGACGACAATCAGTGCAGACCGAAGGTGTGTGGCTGCAATGTTGTGGTGTCGAGGTTACGGAGGTCGAGGTCAAGGCGGAGCTTTAAAGCAGTTCGGAGGACGGATTATCTAGTGAATCCGGGCCGCTTGAGCAGGTGTGTATTTTCTGTTCGTGATTTTGCTGCCGTTGTTGGCCGCTGCTTTGACGTCACGGCTAGATACCGCAGTCCGCATTCACTCGCCACGAAGCATCGGGATATGATAGAAACTGTTCGCGAATGCTATGCGGAGAGATATATATCTATATGAGCCGTGAAATGCGTAATCTACTCGGCGTCGAATGTGGGTGGTCAATATGGAGCTCCGCGAAGCTCACAAAATGTCAACAAAGCTATTTCGGGTAAGTGAATGTCACAGCTCGGGCTCCTTTCTTGCTCACTAGATGCCAATGTGAAGGGCAGCCCAGCTAGAAGGTAGGTGAACGGTCAAAATGTAGCTTGATGTCTACTGCCTCAACTTTTATCGTTTTCAGAGCTCCGAAAATACGTGACGATAGATATACCACTGCTTAAGCTTCGCTCTTGCTTGCTCGACACCACTGTATGGAGTAGCCCAACTATCGGATAGCCAGTCAGACAAGAGGTAGCCTGCTCTCTACTGCATTAGTCTTCACATCCTATTTGAAAACCTTAAAGCTTATAGGGGTACCCCAAGCACGGCTAGACCGTTGGCAAGACACTGGAAGTGTGTACATCTAGTACGAATCGCTTCAGCCTCAATTTCGGGATCCATAATCTATCCATTCAAGACAAGCATGCTCACTAGATATCTAAAGTCCAAAGAGCCACCTAAACTTCCCCAACGCTTGAAACTTCCCCAACTCAGCCATCACTCCTCAGCTTCCTCAACCTCCTCTGCATACTCCTCCCGCGCTTCCTCCAGCTCCTCCCGCTCGCTGCTCCCAGCATCGGACCGCGCAGCCGCCTCCTCCGCTTCTCGCAGGGACTCTCGAGCCGACGCAACCGACTCGGCGTCGCTGCTTGACATCTCGCCCTCTTCCCCTGAATCTTTCAGTCAGCAATCCGCACCAAAAGCACACCAAACATATCTAACTCACCGTACTCTCCCTCCCGACGCTCCTCGCCATACTCCCCCTCGCCCCGCTCCTCGCCGCGCTCCCCTCCACGGCGCTTCTTCTCCTTCTTTTTCTTCAACAACCCGCCAATCCCCTTGATAATCTTTTTCTTGGGATCTTCCTTCTCCTTCTCCCCTTTACTCTCTTTCTCCTCCTTATGCTCCCCCTTTGGCCCCTCGCCCGGTGGCAGCGCAAACGGCGCCTCCCACTGCGAGCGCCCCGTCGCGACCTCGACGTAGAACCAGCGCTGGCTGCCTTGGTCGAACTGCGCGGTCCAGCCGGGCGGGAGCTGTTGCTGAGCTGGAGCGGAAGGGGGCGTAGGGGCGTAGGGCTGTTGCTGTTGCTCGCCTGGTCGAGTGAGTTAGAGGAAGCTGAAGTGTAGTTTATGGGACTAAAGGGAAATGGGCGGAAGAGGGAGGGGGAGCCGTACCATACTGCGCCTGGGGCTGATATCCCCCTTCATGCTTCTTCTCTTCTTTCTTGTCGTCCATGGAGGCTTTCAGCACCTCGGCTTGCTCTTTGAATTTTTTGAAGAAGGCCATTGTGGGGGTTTTGGGGGAGATTGTTTATTTCAGGGGTTTTAGAGGAAGGATGGGGTAGAGAGCGGTAGAGGGCGGTTTGTGGTATGGTTCAGTTTAAGAAATGGGTACAAAGGTAGGATAATAGAGCGGATTTTTATAGGATACAAACAGACAGCGAAGCACGAAACTCACTCTTCCTGCAGCTAGACCCGCTATATATACTTCGTCGCATGGCTTGATCCTCTTGGCCCTCTTGGCTCTGCAGCTCTGCAATCTGTGCCCCGAACATCCCAGCCGGGGGCTGGTGAGCAGACATATATGCTCCATTATCCGTTCCGGGCTAGCTCCAACAACCTGTCCAGGGCTGGGTCATCAAGGCATGCATGTTCAGGACCTGGAGCCGACTGACGATCCAATCCGGATAAAGCCCGGAGCGCGATTCGTGCTTGGGGTGCTATCTGAGCTGAAGGCTGCATGTGAGTGAGGTTGTTGATAGTCAGGGTAATGGGCCGCGCTAGATAGGATCGAGGTGGTGGGGCGCTATTCTAGGTAAGCTTCTGGCCGGGCACCAGGGGTAGCTGCTTAAAGTAGGGGTGGTATAATGCAGGGAACTGAGGGGAGCAAGAGGCTTGGTTCTGTATTTAGGGACGTCAGAGAATGAGAATCGTTTGACTACTTACGGCTTGGAGATGAGCGGTACTATTTATGTCGAGATATCTAGAATCTTCGAGTACTTCTTGAAACAGTTCACAACCATTCCAAAATGAAACACAAGTCGACAAGGCTCTTGTAATAATAAGGTCTATTCGTGGCCCAACTCTGGTCTATTCACTGCGCGATAAATATCATATCCAACAACACCATACTACCTTTGTACAGCCCTGATACAGGCGTCCCCCAAATTTCCGAAATGCCAAAATAAAAAAGCTGCATACATCAACAATGCGCAAATGCAGCCGTCCATCCATGCACGAAAATGATCCCGAGCGCCGATTATGATAGTGATGTAATGCATCACCCCAATCCAACAATGCCGCTTCAAACACCCCCATAGCTCCTCTCACCACCACTACCACCCAACAACGCCCGTCCTTCATGACCGCTTCCGATGCTAGGATTGGGGCTGCCGACCCTCGGCGTCCCTGCAACAGACACACTCGGCACCCAGCCTCTCATCCACCCGCTGACCCTACGCCACCTCCAGCGCATGCCTCTGCTGTCCGCACCTCGCTCTCTGTCAGCTTCCGATCCATCGACGACGACCACGACTTCGCTATCGCGTTCGCTACCTCGTCCACGGCCTTCGTCCCCAAAGTACCAGAACTGCACTCCCACCGCGGCGTCCATGACTAGCACGCCCGCCGCACCGAGGAAGAAGGGCGTCGCGCGCGCAATCCAGTCGACTTGGACGGATCCGGAAGGACCGACCCAGCCGCCGCCCTCGCCTGGTGCATACGTGTGCCAAGCGCAGGGATTGGTGAGGATGGAGGATGAGTAGAACAGGTTTCCGAAGAAAGCTGCGACGAATAGGGTGGGCGAGAGACCGGCGGTTGAGCGGCGAAGGTGGTTTTTATAGAGTTGGGGGAGACGCGAGCCGAGATAAAGGAGGGTGGAGAGCCACGAAAGAATTGTTCCGGCGGCTTCGATGGGAGAGATATGAGAGTCTATGGGCTCCATGGAGATGGATAGGGTGGGCTTGGTAGGGGAAGCGGAAGTATTGGACACTAGGGCGAGAAGAAGCGAGATGTAGAGAACTGTTCTCGGCGATGGCATAGGCGAGTTACCTCGAATGCGATGTATCGTGCGGTCCGTCGGTGTGGGCGTATTGTTTGCGCTCGACCTCTCCTTGGTAGAGCTCGGCGAGCGGGCAAAATTCGGAATCCGGAAAACGTCCATAGGGTTCGAGCGGTGCACAGGGACGTTTAAACTCGAACTGGAGGATTGGGGCTTCTTGGTTTGGCTGCTTGGCGTATCAGGCCTGGTGGTAGTAGGGGTGCTGCCAATGCTAACACCCTCTAGCACTTCTTCCATTCCAGCTCTTCTGTCACCGGTGGCATCCGAGTTGTTATTTGAACGAGCCCATGCACTCCGGAGAGGTCTCCCATGCTTCAATTGCTGATACCAGATCCATTGTCCCACCAGCATGCAATCCACGAAGCAATAATAACCCGCGATTATTATTTGCCAAAGCGCCTGTCTAGTGAATACAGATCCAAGCAGATTGGAGACATCCCCAAGTAGCCATTCCGCCAAAAAGAATATGCTCAGTCCCGATGTCGATTTCAGTTGATAATTCTTGTATATCTGGGGTAGCTGGGCGAAAAGCCACGACACTATGCTCAACGTGCCTAAGGTGGTGGATATGAATGCGAGGTTTGTTGGCACGCAGGTATGGAAGGTCGAGGAGACGCGGTATAGGAAGTCGTTGTCAGGTTCGCAGTGGGCAGGTAACGCGGGCGAGATCAAGTGGAGGGGAGAGTATTGCGACATGGTGTCATAGGCGGAGGGGATTGCGGGATCGATGTCGTGTGCAACCCCGGTATGGGAGAACAGGAGCTATCTATAAGACGCGCGCTGCCTGCACCTCCAACCCCCTTCTGCCTTGGCTTCGTTAGATTCAGTTCCCCGACCCCTGGTCTCTCTCGAAGCCGCAGACAGTCAGATGCTGAGGACAGGTGGTGACTGGTCTTGGAACTCAGCTCCGGATGTCTCAGCCACCGGAATGCAGCTGATAGGGGTCGACGAAGGCCAAAGTTTGCGGTAGGAGGCAGTCCGAGGTCCTGAAAATAGGCTTTCTCTCCCAGTAAGTAAGGTGAAGATATCGGGTGCAGGGTGCAGGCTGTAGGTATATGTTGACGTTGCACAGTTGGGGTTCCGGAGATAAGCGCCTGGCTCAGCAAAAGGAAGTAAGAATGAGTCAAATGGAATGATGGGCAGATTGGCAAGAAGGGAGTCAGCAGCGAAACTCTATCGAGAAGAACAAAGCAGAGGAGGACAGGACGTGACGAGGAGAGCGACTCGAGCCGTATGTGAGCGAGGGGGCTGCATCTCTCGTGGACGCCCTCGGCATCGGATGGCCGGTTTAGGCATGATGAGGAAGCGGCGGCGGGAAGCCCCAGAGTTTCGCGCATGATCTGGCTTGGGCGGCGATCGGGGCGCGATAAGTGAGTGATTGCGGCCTGTCACTGGGGCAGCTGGACGGAGAGCGTGGTGGTGGGCGGTCTGCTGCTGATAAGCCGCAACGCGTTAGCCGCGAGATATTGGCGATACCGGACCCTGAACGGCCAGGCACGCGACAACCTCCGCGCTGCATCGTGAGCCTGCGAGAAGACGCTATTACTCATGCCGACATCCACCGTCGCCTGCACACACCTGCCCCGTGTTATACAGGAAGTCTCCTTCATTCCCTCCCGAGTATTCTACCGCCGAAATGCGCGCCTCAGGCCGGTCGCCGAGGTCCACTCCTTCCATCGCGCTCGACTCACAAATAGACTCCTACACAGGCACGGATATCGCCCCGACATTCCAACTAACAACCAGATCCCACGCACCCTTCTTACACGCCCTCTTCCTGGTTTACCCCCTCATACCCCACCTCCACCGTCTCCCTTACATACGGCGGACTGCCACAATTAGCCTCACTCCACACTCACCCCAGCACAATCACACCTACTAAACCAGGTTCTTCGCCGCCACAATCGCCGCCGTGCCCACCGCATACGCTCCGAGCAGCATCCTCCAGCCCCCGCTCTGCCCCGCCGCGAGCCCCGCCAAGTCGTACACCAGACACCCGCCGAAGATCCAGTCGCTCATACTAGCCGCGCCCGCGAACCCAACCCCAGTCACGATCTTGACGAGCGTGCTCGGCGGGACATCCTTGAAGTAGGCGGCGGAGGTGTTGTGGAGGAGGTCGAGAACCCCGATGCCGGCGAAGGTCTTGGCGACCACGTGGGTGAGGATAGAGGGGGTCGAGTTGACGTTCATGGGCTTGAGCGAGGTGGAGATGAAGAAGAGCTGGGAGAGGGTGTTGATGACGACGAAAACGTTGGAGGTTTGGAGGTTGTTGGCGTTCCAAAAGAACATCCATGCTGGCGAGATGCGTTAGGATGTGAATAGTGAGGGTAGGCCGAGTTGGGATGGAACTCACTTCCTATGCAGACATTGCCAAGGATGTAGTAGGGCGCGTAGCTGGTCATTTCTTGCACTTCTGCGCGCGTCCCCTGGCCCTTCCAGAGCTTGTAGAGCCATACCAGCTGGAAGATCTGCTGGGGGAAGAAAAAGCCGGCGATGGCGAAGGGCTGCGGGCTGAATGCTGCGAGGTTTGCGTCGTGGATGTCCTTCATGTTCGGCGATGAAAACATGCCGTATTGCTGGAGTGCGAAGTCATAGGCAAACGACGCAGGGGCGAGGTATCGCGCGGTACTGTGAGAGATGCCCATCTTGATAATAGATGAATTATTGGGATAGAGATTATTAGATATTCAGGAGAATAGGAGAATCTACAAGTTAAATCTAAAAGAAAACAGACCCTTATATGCGAAGATCCACGACTTACATCTGTCGGTTTGGTATTCCGTCAATGCTACGTTCAACTCTACGTTCAAAGTGTCATGCACGTCATTAATGGACCCTTAGTCCCATGTCACGGGATCTCCCCTAGATAGGTAACTCCCTGCACTCCATGCTCTCTCTGCCCTCCATGAATTTTGAAATGTCAATCCCATCTAGGACAGGTAGTTCAGCCACATTCCCCGCAATTGACCAGTCCTTGCACGGTGCTCTTCAAGTCCCAAAAACCACACCAAGAACTAAAAGTGGACAGCCTTTCTATTCTATAACTATATGCAGATGGTATCCTACGTAGCAAGACCGAAATCATCATGACTCATTGTCATGTCTAGAAGTTATCAATGATCGAAAACCTTGTGATCCGATCGCCTTCATTTGGCAACCTATTTTCCCCTTTCTCTTGCCGCAAGCACTCCCTCGGCCGTCTCCACTAGCACATCGAAAACCCGCCTTAGATACTTCTCCTCGGCCATCGGATTCGCACTAACAACTCGAATCGTGAAGATTCCCTCCATTGTCGTACTAGTCAAGAAGAACTCCCCTCCCGAGTTGATTCTCTCGTACACCTCCTTCGTGACAGCATTTGCATTAGCCAAGTACTGGCTCTCTGCGTCCGACGTGAAGTCATTCAGATACGCTTCGTGGTTTGGATCCGGGCTCGAAGCTGGCGTCACCCGCGCGCCCCTCGCAGCGCCCCGCTTCTCCGGGTTTACAGTTAGCACTGTAAGCGCGAATGCAGGTCCAGCAACGACAGTGAAGAGGTCGGGTCTAGATACGACGAGAGAGTGGAAGAGCTCGCCGAGCTTGATGGTGTTCCGGAGATGCGCTTGGATGCCATCGACACCGTACGTTCGGAGCACGAACCAGATCTTCAACGCCCTGAAGCGGCGACCTAGCGGGATCTGCCAGTCGCGGTAGTCGGTGACGAGGCCTGAGTCGGAGAACTCGTTGCGGAGGTATGAGGGGGTGATGCTGAGTGCGTCGGTGAGAGAGCGGCGTTGCTTCACCCACAAAACGCTTGCGTCGAAGTTCGTTAGCAGCCACTTATGCATGTTCGTGTTGAAGCTGTCAAAAGCAGCGAGAGGGGCCGCAAGATACTGATACTCCGGTAGAGCAAGCGCTGCCCCTGCGTAGGCTGCGTCCACATGGATCCAAATGTCGGGATAGTCTTTAGCTACTGCCACGATTTCCTCAAACTCGTCGACGGCGCAGGTGTTAGTCGTCCCGAGAGTCAGGCCCATGAAGAAGGGTTCTATCCCTTTGCTCTTGCATTCTTCGATCTTCTGCCGGAGTGATTGAGCTGTGACCCTGAATCCTGAGCTCTTCGGTGCGGGTACGGAGCGGAATCTGACGCCCGCAATGTTCGCAGCCTTTTGCACCGAGCTGTGGGAGTGCTCACCCCCGAGCGCAACCAGCTTTATCCGCTCCTCGCCCATCTTCTGCTCCTTTTCTTCTCCATCCTCCATGTGCCCGCACCTCCTCTGCACAATCCGTTCTCTCGCTGCGACCATGACCGTGACAACCGCCTCGCTCGCGCTCCCCTGAATGACACCGCCTCCTTCTCCTTTACTCAGATAGCACTCCGGCAGAGCGAAGAGCCCTGCAAGCCAGTCCAACACCACCGTTTCCAGCTCCGTCACCGCGGGCGAGCACAGCCAGTTGAACGCCGGTGCTGTAAAGGCCGCACTATACATCTCGCCCAGCATGCTAGGGAAGGTCGAGCTAGCCGGGAAGAAGGCCATGAAGTTGGGCGACTGCCAGTGGGTGAGGCCCGGCATTATGACGCGTTCGATGTCGGACTGGATCGCGGGCCAGGACTCCCCCGTCTGAGGAGGGCCATTGGGGAGCAGAGGGCGGAGGTAGCCCGGCGAGACGGTCGAGAGGACTGGGCGGGAGGCGAGGGTGTCGTAGTATTGTATTACTTAGGGTTGGGGTTAGTGGGTCAGTGCAATGGATTTGAAGTTGGGGAGATTTACTCTCTTCAATGGCAGCGTGGGAGGCCTCTCGGAACTGGGAAGAGTTCATGGCGGGGTATCTATTAGATGGGGAGATTGTAAAGTGAAGGGAGTAAGATTTAGATAGTGAGAGCAAAAGAGAAGCGTTTTCAAGGCAATTATATATATATTTACATGAACGAGAAAAATTGAAGGGGCAAGATGATGACCTGCGGCACAGAGCATAATTCCGGACATCCAAAAAGTTTCCCCTCCACCCCTTGCATAAGTCTGCTAGACCTGCTCCTTCCAGCTTGGTAGCGCGCCTTATCGATAGTAGCAACTGCGTTACGATTGGTGCGCTGTTCGAAATGTGCGGAAATAGTGGGGATGGTGCGGAATATCGCCGTTGAGACTTCAACGTCAATATGCAGTATGCTTAGTGATGTAGTGACGGAATAATCTATACTTACTCTCGTTCAGGAGCATAGATCATAAGATATCAGTTCTCCGAGCTTGCAGAAAATCCGATGTAAATATGCCAATGTCCCGTTTCTGTAGCGGTAGATACCGTCGTCTGAGGTGGCTGGCGAATTTACATATCGTTCAAAGGGGCTGCTGTATGCGTCGTCTAGATCTGTAAAAACTTGTCGAAGGACTTCGAACGGTGGGGACAAATGCACGCAGGTAGGGTTATAGCTCTACATACTTCTTGACTGAGCATGACTAAGTCACTTTCAGTTAAGCGCCGTGGCGCATCTGATAAGCCGTCTGAACTTGACCTTCCGGTCAGAATCAGAATCAGATTCTGGGGATGAATTGAAGCCCCTCAGATAGCGGCGAAGCAGTACACACTGTAGTCAGTCTGAATTGAATTTAGTACAAGATGATATATCATGATCGTCATCCGCATTTTCTTTTTATGCATCTGGGCCCCAAGTACTAGTTTACAATTGTGAACAAAGATCAACTTCTTGATATCGAAGAAGGGTGTGAGGCACAAGGGAAGGTAAATGGACTCCGGAACGCCTGGCCCACCTGAAGGCCCCCAGCCGTTACCAACCCTTAGCTAATCATGCCTGTGCCAGTTCAAGTTCCGTGGGCTTGCTCTGCCATTGAAGCCCCCTGTGTGTTATGTCAATCCACAAACCATCCGTGAGTGTCAACCCAAGGAACCTCAACATGAGTGTCAATCCGAGGAGACTCAACATGAGCGTCAACCCGAGGAACCTCAACATGAGCGTTTTCGCCAGTCTCCTACAGAAACGCACAGGTAGGTTAGCCAAGTGCTGAATGCTTGTCCAATGGCTTTCATGTACCAGTATCTTCAAGATGGCCTGCCAGTCACTCAGGTCCAGATAGAAGTAGCCGGCGAATCTCTTGCGAACTGAAGCGTCCAGGTATTGAGTCAGTGCTTCTAGGACTTGTCCAAGCATCTTGCCGGTCTGTTCTTCTTGATAACGAGGCGCATTCGTCGTGATCTTGAACGATGACTCTTTCTTGTCTAGCACGACACGAATTCTGACGTAGCTGTCGTAGTCACGGCACGGGGTGATCCGAATACCGGTCCAGAAAACGATGTCGCGGATGCAGTTGACGCCGTACTCGTCTTCTGCCGGGTCCTGAGCGTCGCCAATGTCGTTGAACCATGTGCGAATGAAGCCAATGTTCTTCGTGTTGTTGAAGTAAGCCGCAAAAGTTGACTTCAAGAGGAACCGGGCCAATAGTATGTCGATGTCTCTTGATATGCGAGGATTATGGGCCCTTTTGAGGTTCTTGATCATAGTAGACTCCATACCACATACGTCCGAATTTGCATCGAGAGCCTTGTCGCGCTTGCGGGACGCATGTGGGTTTTGTTTGTGAGTTGGGGGGAATAGACCCAAGAAGTCGCCAATTTCCAGCCAAATCTCTGTAGGGAGGCCAATCGCGCTCACGGTGCTCACGAGAGGTGCCTGCCTCATAAGAGGGCGGTTCCCCATGAGCAAAGATAGAGCTTTGTTTGGCGCGGCGGCGGCGACGACGTCCTGATCGCGAGTCATATTCGTGGAGATCTCAGGCGCGTTTTTGGAGGAGTTGACAGGGCTGCTTCGGGATGAGAACTTCGTGGTCAAAGAGCGAGCTGGTTTGGTCGCAGCTTTGTACGGCGAGTAGCGGTTTGTTACTGAGCGTGGAACGAACAAACGATGAGGTGCCATCTCCACCGACGACCTAGGACCCACGACTGAGCTCTAACTGGGGTGAAACGCGACGCTCTCAGCAGCGAGAGCAGGCGGAGGTGGGGTTGTGCGGTGCGCTCCAACCTTGGTTGTCGTCACCTAAGAACCACAGGACTGGACAAGCGCTAACCCGATTGGGCGATTCGTGAGAGATGCAGCCTCAAGGAAGATACCTCTTTACAGACCTGTGTAAAGCTTCTTGCAACTGTCATCAGCGCCTGGACCTAATTTCTAAACCTGCATGTGATGGAAGTCCATCATTTTGAACGGTCGGTAAGCTCGCCAGGCCACCTCAGTGGAGGATACGTGTACACACGCAGGAAATACAAGAGCTTGCTGACTCACCACCTTTATGGAGTATCAAGAGAGGAGAGAAACGTCTTACCGAAATAGAGCGATGGCCCATGGAAACCAACTACAGTAACCTCATCACATTTCTGTGTAAATTGTCTTGCCGCTGTCATGGGCGCGTCAACAAACTCTCATAAATCTGAACGCGATTGAAGTCTATCATTTTGAAAAACCGGCAAGCTCGCTGGGGTACCTCAGCCAGCGGCACATAGGCGCAAACAGACTCACCATGTGACCCATAACTTGACCCATCATTCTAGATTCTCATCAAAACATCGATATCGCTACAGGCAGGCCTAACAGGACCAAATGAACTAGACTGTTCTGGGGTCCAAAGTCTCAAGGAAATCCTATGGACGTACTGCGCCCACACATTGCGAATACTGTAATAGAGCTGAGAGATGAACTGAGCTGAGACCTATCCGTGGACCTTTCTACCTTTAACAATCCAGGGAGCTCGGAGCCTTTTCGAACTTGTGCGTACGTGAGTATTCAGACGTCTCGCAACGAATGGCACAACTCTCTGATCGTGCAGAAAGCCTCCGATGGAAAGAGTAATCATGCTTTGGAAGTACGAAATTGCCCCGCGATGATTCCAAATCGACCCCGCAGTCACGTACTACCATAAGGTGCGTCATCATATATGAATTACCAAGCCTTTCGAACCTACAAATAATAGCTAGACGCCTTTGTCTGACCAGCTGTCGTCTTCCCCAGTCTATGAAACGTGCACAGCAAGCTTTTTTCGACGCCCATCTGCTGTTTGCAAGATCTTTTCCGCACGCTCAAAGGAGGTCCAGCACTGTTTCGAAAGCAACCATGCCTCACGCAATAGCAAAGGTCGGAGATACCGTCGTTGCAGACACGGACAGTTATGAGGTGGTGGAAGGCAATATCTACGTGAGTTCGTTTGCGTTGTGGTGCACTCTCACATGACCTTGCTAATGCGATATGGCAGTTTCCGCCCTCGTAAGTCTCCAGAAATGCATCCCGTCACATACTATCATACTGTTGATATGTGAAGCGATTGGCAGTGTAATCATCTGAGACAATGCTGATGCCGCACCATCTAGTTCAATTACCAAGTCCTACTTCACACCTACCGACACCACCACGTTCTGTCCTTGGAAGGGTAATGCATCCTACTATACTATTGCAGTTGATGGGAAAGAACTGAAGGATGCGGCGTGGTATTACCCGGAAGTGAAGGAGAAGGCGAAAAATATCGAGGGATATGTGGCGTTCTGTGAGTAATAATCGGATCGGTCGTGGCCGGCAGCGTGGAGGTCTGGAGCTGACAGAGTATAGACAAAACAAAAGTCGATATTACTTCCGAATGAAAGAGGCGAAGGGTGGACGCTGGCTGTTGCAGTTCTGACGAGAGTGTAAGAGGCCTCGAAGAAACAAGACCGAAGCGTTCTTCACGTCCTGGAAAAGGCGGAGAGATACGAACTGAATGAATTAGTAATAGAAGCTTCTACTCAAGTATGGTTTTATTGCTTTCTCCATCGCGATATCCCTTCCTTAGATAATAGGGGCCGTGAAGCGGCCTGTTCTCGAGTGTGCTGCCGTAGACTTCCGTAAAGCTGCTATTGTGAAGATTTGAACAGGGCATGGGAGTATGCTGCCCAGCACGTTTGTATGTAATCGATATATGATTTGAATCGACTGTTACCTTGAACGTGGCAAACCGCAAGGAGGAGGCAGGATGGACAGAGTGACATCTGGGATGCCACGATGCGTGGATGCTTGCAAGATAATAGCAGCGGCAGAACGCTGGCAGCCGCTTTGCCCACCGCCCAGCGGTTTTATGCACATCCCTGGCCTCCTTAGGCGTACCAGGCTCGGCTGGTGGTCCGCTCACCATCATCGTTGCTCAATTTCCCCTGCGCGTTGCCATCACCGCCGCTCAACAACAACTCCCTCAATCCGCCCTGCACTGCTCGTCTTGCCTTGGCGACGCATTCGACACTCCGGCCGCCAATTCCTCTACCTCCATTTACCCCGGCCCACCAGGTCCATGTCGCCATCATAGCTCCACAGAGCTCGTGATTGAGGCGTAAGGAAGGCTCGCGTCTTCTACGACAACTTGAGACAGTCTGCCCGGCAGCCGTTCTCGAGTCCTCCGAGCTTCGTTCTTCTCCACGCCCTCTGCATCTCCAGAGCTATGGCAGACAGTCGAGACGTCAGCGTCTCGCCTGGTACTCTCAGCCCTCGCCCAGTATCTCCCTTCACCGGCGCAGATGGCGTCAACGCCAGAGGCAAAGACTACACACACGCCCGGTCTGCCCTCATGACTACCCAGACGGGGTCTAATGCGCAAAAGCTACGGTTGGATACAAATGGCAGCACTAAACAGTCAGCACCGCCTAAGGAGCAGACTATATCCACCTCACAACAAGTGGACCCGGAGGGCTTTCCTTTCGATGCACCGAATGGCACCGTTGGTCCGCACCCCATGGAGGAAAATATCCATGGTAGCCGGCAGCAGAACTTGCCCAATGGAACCCACAGCAATGTTCCAGAACAGCCTTCTGCGTTCCCCGAGAAGCCGTCCTCCATTGCACCAATCTCGAGGAAAGATACTGGCGAGCAGGGAACGATGACTCCCCCGGGTCGCCGCAGTGTGCAATTCGCTCGTGCCCTCACTACCGACCCAAACGCTTTCCACTCGAGAGAACAATCGTGGGAGGCCGATGGCGGAGATACAAAAGGGAAAGACAGGCAAACATCTTCACTGATGACAAAACTGAAGGCACTGGCTACACCAATATCTATGCAAAGTTATGGAGGCCATACGAGGACTCAAAGCACCAATGCAATAGGTGCAAGCTCAACGCCAGGCGACGGCTTTGCTTTGTCCCCTCCTTACGAAAGGGACGAACCCAGATATATGGAGGGCGACAGTGAAGCTGACGCTGATGCCGAGGAAAGCGCTGGGGAAGGCCCATCTCGCCCTCCTCGAAGGAGAAGAAAAAGCCGCCGGGCAACTGATGAGGGCACTCAGACTGCACCCACGACCCCCAAGGCTACGAAAGCAGGCCAATTCTTCTTTCGAGATTCGCCTGGCACTACCCCTACGTCGTCTCGACCAAACATCTTCCGCCGCGGTACCATGAGTGACATACCCGAGAACCAAAGGCAAGGCGTCTCGGAGGACGAAGGACGCGACAGACTTGCCAAAGAAAGCACATGGACGAGAGGCCTACACAGCGCACGGGGACTATCGTATGGTGGGATTCGTAGACACCACGATGATAATCAAGACGCAACGGGTGAAAAGAGACCTAGCAATCTGAGGCGACTGACTGGATTCGCTACCAACAATGCGGACGGCACACCGTCACACTGGAGAGCACGCAGTGACCGCACCCAGAGCATGGGCGCGGCAAAATGGTCAAGAGTCATAGCCGGGTTGAGGATACTGGGGCAGAAACACAAGGCTGAGAGGACAGGCGACCATCTCAAATCTGCAGAACTTATGGCCGAGCTCCTCGCAGGAGCACCGGCAGCATTGTTCCTCGCTAGTATGTTTCAAAGAGACGAAGCTGGCCATAAGAGAATTCCTGTCCTTCTGGAGCAACTCAAGTTCAACATTGTGGACATTACCAAAGAAAGTGACACGAAGGGCGGAGAACGACACTTGAACTTTCGAATCAATCTTGAATATGGAAATGGCCTCACCCGTATGAAGTGGTTCGTGAACCGGACGGTGGGAGATTTTTTTAATTTGCACTCAAAATACAAGGCACAGCAAAATATCAGACAATATATTCAGCTGAAGCCGGATGATAAGAAAGGAAAGATTCCCCGATTTCCCAGATCGACTATTCCATATCTGCGAGGAATAAGAGGAATGATGGATATCATGGACGAAGATGAAGACGATGAAGACGATGCAGATATCGATCGCGAAGCCAGCGGCCCAGATGGCAGTGCCAGTGCAACAGATCGACCATCGAAAGCTAAAAGGAGGCAATCTTCGTTTGCACACAACCGGAGAAAGTCTAGCATAAGCAGCCCTCAAGCGTCTGGTATCACCGGCCAGATGGTAGCACGTACTGGTAGTTTTGCTGGAGTTGTGGGCGCAGCTACACTCGATAAAGCAAATTACGCCGAACGAGTGCGCAAGAAGCTGGAAGCTTACCTTCACCAGCTAATCACGTGGCTTATCTTCCGGCCTGGGAGCAACAGACTATGCAAATTCCTGGAGCTGTCGTCACTCGGTGTACGGCTGGCTACCGAGGGGGGCTATCATGGAAAGGAGGGGTTTTTGACCGTCATGTCATCAGGAAAAGGGACCGATCTCCGGAAGAGAATGGTGCCGTCGTCGTTCAAAGCTCGGCATACCACTAAGTGGTTTATGGTCAGGCAGAGCTACATCATATGTGTCGATTCCCCAGAAGAAATGAACGTCCACGATGTCATCTTAGTGGACCCGAACTTCACGATACAAGCAAAAGGCAGACTCCGAGACCAAAAACCAAAAGAGATCGCAAGTCAAGCAAAAGCATCTGCTACTCACCCTAATCATCACCGCCTTCGCCTCCAAAATAGTGAGAGAACGATAAAACTCTTGGCCAAAAGCGAGAAGCTATTGGTGCAGTTTGAAGATTCTATCACCTTCATGCTGCAGAATAACGATTGGGCGAAGCCACATCGTTTTGGCAGCTTTGCACCCGTTCGTCACAAAGTATTCGCACAAGCGCTCGTAGACGGACGCGACTACATGTGGAACGTTTCTCGCGCTATAAGCATGGCTCGCGATGTCATTTACATTCACGACTGGTGGTTGAGCCCCGAGCTGTACATGCGCCGACCGGCTGCGATCAGCCAGAAGTGGAGACTCGACAGACTTTTAAAGCGGAAGGCCCAAGAAGGAGTCAAGATTTTCATTATCATGTATCGAAACATCAATACGGCAATCCCAATCGACTCGGAGCATTCCAAGTTGTCGCTTCTCGGGTTGCATCCCAATGTTTTCGTACAGCGGTCTCCCAACCAGTTTCGGCAGAACACGTTCTTCTGGGCACATCACGAGAAACTTCTGGTCGTCGACCACGCCATAGCGTTCTGTGGCGGCATCGATCTATGTTTCGGCCGATGGGATACCCCTCAGCACGCTGTAGTAGACGACAAGTTGACAGGATTCGAGTTGAGCGATGCTCCGAAGGACGCAGACCACTGCCAACTCTGGCCTGGAAAGGATTACTCGAACCCCCGCGTACAAGACTTTTATGGTCTTGATAAACCATACGAAGAAATGTATGATCGCACCAAAATTCCGCGCATGCCATGGCACGACATATCGATGCAGATGGTCGGGCAGCCAGCCCGAGATCTGACCAGACACTTTGTGCAACGGTGGAACTATATCCTCCGGCAACGTAAAACCTCAAGACCGACACCTACTCTCCTACCTCCTCCAGATTTCGTTCCTGCCGAAATCGAGGCACTGGGGCTCGAGGGAACCTGCGAAGTTCAAGTACTCCGATCTGCCACCTCTTGGTCTATTGGCACGACGGACAAGACCGAGCACAGCATTATGACAGCATACGTTCAAATGATCACCAATTCAGAACATTTCGTGTACATCGAGAATCAGTTCTTCATCAGCAGCTGCGATGTCTTGGGCCAAAAAATGGAAAATACGATTGGCGACGCCCTTGTGAACCGGATAATTCGTGCCCATGAGAACCAGGAGGACTGGAGGGCCTGTCTTGTCATCCCCTTGATGCCGGGCTTCCAGAACACGGTGGATAGCCAGGACGGTAGCAGCGTACGCCTGATCATGACATGCCAATATCGCAGTATTTGCCGAGGCGAGACCTCTATTTTTGGCAAGTTGCGAGAAGCAGGCATCGAGCCCGAGGACTACATCCAGTTTTACGCTCTGAGATCATGGGGTGCTATCGGTCCCACGAAAACACTTGTCACCGAACAACTATACATTCATGCCAAATGCATGATTGTGGATGACAGAATTGCGATCATTGGCTCGGCCAATATCAATGAGCGTTCCATGCTTGGATCAAGAGATTCTGAGATTGCGACAATCGTAACAGACACAGAAATGATACCCTCTCATATGGGTGGGGAATCCTATATGGTTGGCAGATTTGCTCATGAGCTTCGTGTCCGACTCATGCGCGAACACCTGGGAGTCGACGTAGATGAAATATCAAGGGCTGAGTTCAGTGATGAAGAGGCGGATGTAGACTCTGATCGATTCGATTCCTCGTCTCCACCGTCCCCAACAGCCGATCGCGCGACAGAGCAGACCTTAATTGAGTCACGACACCGCGTCCAGGACGAATTGATTGCGAGAGCTGAGAATCTACACAGCTTCAACCATGATACTGATGGGGAACACGAACCCAAGAAGCCCAACATTTTCATGAGAAGGAGAACAACAGCAGACGTTCGTGCCGCCAGTAACCGCGAACAAGAACAGGACTTCAAAGGAAAATCGCCCGTCCCCATGCGCCACATGGATGAGGCTGTCTCTGAAAGCATTCGAGTACGTGATCTAAACCATGCGACCAGCCATGAGGTCCTAGTGTCAGATGCCGCATCAAAGGGCGCAGAACCTGGCGCTTCACCGATAAGATCCTCGAAGCTCGTTCGGGAGCGTAGCAATACAGCAACGACACGTACATCGAGTGTACTAGGCAATGCGTCGCTTCCACCGCCAATGCCTCCGCGAATGAATACAGCCGCGCTCGGCTTGTCACAACTCAGCCAACTGCCTGCTCTCCCTATATCTGACGACACCGACATTGGCGGTCCACCACTCCATCGCGCTGTCAGCTACTCTTCGTCGAATACCGTCAACCCACTCCTCGCAGATATGCGTCGACCTGTTGTCTCAGATGATTGTATGCGAGACCCGCTGAATGACGCCTTCTACCTCGACACCTGGCATGCTGTGGCGGAAAACAATACCAAACTTTTCCGTCAAGTTTTCCGGTGCATGCCAGATAATGAAGTTAAGAACTGGAAGGAATACAAAGAGTACGCGGCATTTGGTGAACGCTTCCAACAGGCTCAAGGTGGCGGTAAGAGCTCGACACGCAAGCAACAAGAGGCTCCTGGGAAGACCGGACCTCCCGGATCGGGTTTCGCAGAAAACTCGAGTCACGCAGGAGAGAAGCTTGCAGAAAAATTATCCATGGAGAACAGAGGCACGAATGCGCCCATGGGCAAAGTTGAGGACTGGGCAGCCGCACAGGAAAAGGACGCTGCTATCCCTGCGGCTCAGCAAGTCAATAGTCCTACGGCGAATTCAGGCGATGAGAAGGTATCATTCATAGCCGAGGACGACAGACCATCAGGCAAGACTTCGCCGTTCCCGCCACCTCCTCCAATTCCAAACACGACGAGTGTAGAAGACTTTGCACCAGATGTAGGAGTCGGCCGCTCGCGGACAGTAACATACAGCGAGCCTAACCAAGCGGCGGACCGCAGCCATCGAAATACCATGAACTCGCAAGGCTCGCAGAAACGCCGAAGGCGCGCAACCACAAAGTCTTCGATGCGGCCTTTCCACGCTACCGACGAAAATGCTTTGTTGGAAAGAGAAGACGCGGAGAATGTATTGAAGTTGGTACAGGGCCATCTCGTGCTGTGGCCATACGAGTGGTTGGTGACCGAGGAGAGGGGTGGTGGTTGGCTTTATACTGTTGATCAGCTCGCGCCGCTGGAGATCTAGTAAGTGATCGTTCACATCTCTAGAAGTATAGTACTAACAGATACGTTAGTTCCTGATCATTTCTCAACGTGAAATATTGACCGGCATGGAAGTTTTGTCTACCTCGTTTCGCATAGCTTTAGCATGGCGGGTGCATTGGGGTACCATTCAAGCATCAGGGAGTTTCGGGAGTCATAACGTTTGGCTCTGCTAGAGGGCTAGTGTATACATAATTCGGAGTGGAATATTAGCATGTCGTCCTGAGGCAGTCTTGTTGCCATGAAATTGGTGAGAGACGAGCAATTCCTCTGATGCTATCGCACGGAAGATCTGCGTGTCGCTCATGTTATACTAGCTGCTCACAAAAACAGTCAGGTACCATCACTTAGTACAGCTCCGCCACAACACGACGCGTCGGCCTTTACGGTTCTTCTCGCGCCAAGACACGAGTCGGCGTCTAACAGCACCATCGCTCCAGTGCATTTCTAAGCTGCTAACCCAACACGGAAATGTCATACGAACCGTCCAATAGGACGTCACCAAACCCATCCCCTTTTCGGACCCGGGTCCACATCAACTCGGTTCTGGAGGCTGATACCCAAGCGAAGGGTATTATAGGCATATCAGAAACGACGGGCGAGGCACCCTTGCGCCGGCCAGGGCAAACACGCTGTATCGACCGTGGCCGGGGGTTCGGTGCGCTATCCCCAACCGGGACGAGAGTACGAGTGGGCCAATTGCAGAGCCGAAAGTACGTCGCGCTAGGCCCTGTTAGGGAATTAACGAAGTGGACGAGGAGAGGATGAAGTCAGGGAAGACTGGGAGCCAAGAGATAGTACTGGATGGGTGGTTATTTTTGGACCTATATAAGAGTTTGAGGGGGTGCTGTCTGCTGGTTTTCGGTGTCTTGCTTTTGCTACCGACTGTCGTTTTCTAGAGGTCGAAAGTCCTGACATACTGTCTTCACTTCAACGCAGACGCGGACGCTTTTAAGGAGACTACCTTTGTTCATATCGGATCGATTCTACTCATTGTTGGCTTCAGTCTCTTCACATACGATATCCACCCAACGAAGCATCGCGGTTTGAACCACGACACCTCTCAACCCGCTTCGCTCCCCCTCAACACCTCCCGAGCACTACATCACGCACTTAAGACTCTCTCGCCACCTCCTAAACACACCCTTACCGACTCCTCAGCCTCTTCGCATCACAGATCCTTCGGGAGCTTTACATCACGCGCTTGAAACTCTCTCGCCACCTCCTAAACACCCAAATACACACCCTTGCCAGCTCCTCGATCTCTTCGCGTCACAGATCCCTCAAAAGCTCTACACCACGCACTGAAGACTCTCGCTACGTGCCAAACACACACCCTCACCACCATCTCAACCTCGTCGCGTCACAGAACCTCCAAAATGGCACCCACGGCCCTCCTCCACTCCCTCGCCGACGCCGTCTCCAACACCGCCGCCCAGCACCTCCACAAACGCGACAACATGGGCTACGCCATCCCGCCCTCCCTCATCGTGCTGATCTGCATGCTCGGCGCCGGCATCTGTGTATGCCTGGGCTTCGCGGTCCACAGCCAGTTCTTCGGCACGTCGAGCAACGAACTAAAGTCAATGTCCCCGGAGCAGATGGACTACATGCGCGAGGTCCGGGAGCGGAACATGGCGGCGCTGCAGGGCACGATAGGGCGGAGGGGCATGAAGAGGCCGATTGTGAGTAATATGAGTTGAGCGGGAGGAAGGGAGGTCTAGAGGAGGGATGATGGGGATAGGTGTTGGACTGAATGGCGAGGAGGTCGCGTGATTATACGACAGCGATGGGTTCCGGCGTTTGAGTTTACGGTTTTTGAGAGCTTTCTTTTGTAGATGGTAGTGAGAGAATGTGCCACGGCGAGTGAGGGCGATAAAGGATACACATGGGCTCTGTTCAAGGCGGATAATGGGATGCAGATGCAACACTTGCTGGCATTGTTGCCTTTGGACTAGACGTATCTGAAATATAATGCAAGAGAGTGACGAACATGGATCATTCCAATGTGAAAGAAGGTTGATAATTATGAACAAGAAAAGAGGAAATGATGGGGGCCTAGTACCCACACATCCCAAAGCCTGTCAGTGAACTCTCGGGGAACAGCACGCGTGGCAGCCCTCCGTTCATCCGGATGTTTACTTCACCGTCCGAATTGGCGGTTGACTTGTCACAAGTGAACACCTCAACTACTGTTTCCCCACTTTCAAAACCCATCCCCTCGGTTGTGAGGGAGTAACTGCCACCGGATTCGCCCTGGTTCGTCAGAATAGTGCGTACAATGTCGTTCCGCATCATGATGGTATCAGTCGTATAATTGGTGACCCAATTCTTGTATGTTAAGTAAGACGACGATTGACTTTGGGCGAAGTTCCGCATCTGGTTGAGGTACGCGATATGCCCGTACAGGGGCGTAGAAGTGTTGTACCTATTTATATTGGTCAGTTTTTCCTGATCGAGTTCCGAGTCGTAAAATATCTCGAGAAAGAAACGAGGTCGGAAAATCCGCGCAGCTTACCCAGTTGGCCAGATGGCCTCTCGGCATCCAGGGTCATCAGCTCCAGCCAGATGCTGTTCCTGCCCTTGGTAGATGATTGGAATCCCATCACTCAGGATTGTGAAAGCGATGGCATTCTTGACGAGACTCATGTCGTCCGTAGACCAAGGGAATCTTGGGTTATCGTGGTTCTCGATGAATGTTCCAAGCAAAGTGTTGTCCTTTGAGCCTGTGCTTCCACCGTTTTTGCTGAGCTCAAGGTTGTATGTCAGATCAGACATGTCGGATTGTTGTTGGAATGTGCGATTGATGGCAAAGTACAATGGGTAGTCGAGTATACTATCCATGTAATCTTGGTATGCGTAAGCGTAGGTTGCTCTTCCGTCTGCGACCTCACCCATGCAAAAGACACCGGCAGCAGCGCAGAATCCTGGGAAGAAGCCCTTGTTCACGCTTTTGGCAGAGTCCATGCGGAGACCATCTATACTGTAGTTGCTGACCAGTGACTTGATCCAATCTTGCATACCAGTTGCAACTGTTGAGTCTTCGGTCTTGAGGTCGGGCATCTCTGTGTTACAGTCACCTAGCCAGCAGACTTCTGTTTCAGTCTGGTTGTCGTAGTTGAGCAGCGGGCAGTAGGAATGGTAACACGAAGCATCGCTGAAGGGATGGAGTTGCGAATAGTCGACCGTGTCGGGACATCCCGGCCACCCCATATGATTGGGAACTACATCGACCATGAGATACATGCCTCTAGATTTGAGGTCAGACGCAAGGGATTTGAGATCATCAGCTGTCCCGAAGTGATCATTGAGGCGATATAGATCCGTTTGATAATATCCGTGGTATCCACCAGGAACTTGTAATGTGACCGGAGATATCCAGATCTGGATTCAATATCAGTACAACTGCCCAAGCGCTACAACAAATCCTTTTGTCACTCACAGCAGTGAATCCCATTCCTTGGATGTAATCTAGCCTGCTTTGGATCCCCTTCCATGTTCCCCCGCAGTACTCATTTTTCGTCACATCACATGCATCAGCTGAATATGCATTTGTGAGAGAGAATCTGCCCGAATGTTAGTTGTCCGTGGTGTTGTAGCGGCGTACAGCCAACGCTCTTGGCCAAGAACGAACCTATCGGTAAAGACTTGGTAGATCGCCTTTCCTCTCCAATCAGCTGCTGTAGCTGCCAAACCGACGCTCAAAAAGAAGGCTAACGATAAAAGTCGGCACAACTTCATCATTCGCAAGTGTTAGAAATAAGGCCTCACTGACCAGCAGAAAGAATGAGACCTAACGATTCAAGAAAAGGTGTCGCCAAAAGAAGGTAAGAAGGGAATAGTTAACGAAAGTAGTCTTCAATGTGAGAGGTTGAAGTCATCCTATGGCCGTTGAGTTACATTCATTGAGTGTGATTGCTTGGCCGCGCAACGGATAAGCCTAGCCACGGTATCAAACAAGCTAGGCATTAGTACCCTCATAGGCTTAGACACAACAGGGGGACCTTCGAAACGGGGACGTTTTGGCGATGATTCAAATTGGAATACGCTATGAAACATATTGCTGTGGTCGACTCTAGGAACCCTCAATGTGTCGACCAATCTCCAAACATGTACAGTACGTGAGTGTCTGATACCTATCGAGAATCTCGAGTCCCGCGTGTTCAGTCCGTGATGGCACTGTCGTGCGTCGAGGTTCAGCTCCACGAAAATGTCCGATGTACTGTAATTTAGAGGCTGCAGGCCCTGAATCCTTCTCGAATGGAAGAAACATGCGACAGCGGCAAAGGAAGCATCGACGGTCAGGAAGGGGTCCGCAACACCAAGAGCCGTGCGGGAACCCTCTAATTTCGGCCTCCACCTCGGCCCGTTTGCAGGTCACAAGACTAGGACGTCACCTCACCGTTCTTCTTCCTTTGCACCCTCTCGAGCCTGCAAGATTCCCCATAAATACAGCTTTCTATTTGCTAGTCACTCAACCTCATCATGCCAGACGAAAGGTTTCAAAGCACCAATGCCTACACGGACCATCACCAAAATCCCGAATCTGGGCCTTCTATAAACCTCGACAGAGCTAGACAAATCTCATTCGCGCAGTCCACGGCTACTACAATACCTCCCATCTGGATATTGCTACTGTTACCGCTTCTCCCAATCATCCCGGTGCTTTTAATTATCCAGCTAGCCACAGCTGGTTCTGGCGAGGGAGGGATCAGTAAATGTACGTTCGTCGGTCTCTTCGCAACATATCTCTTGCACATCTGCTTTCGAAAGGCCTCTATACAATGCTTCTTTCAAGAGATTGTCTTTCGCGTATTTACTTGAGAAACTGTGCATCATGGCACGTGACTCACTCATGTCGCTATCATCATCTGAAGTACAAACAAGCTGACCAAATGGCAGTCCTTGTCGGATTTGAGCTGGGGTTGTTAGCGGTCGGGGTGATAGCATTTTTGGCAATACGGCGACTGCGACGAACGGACCTGCCGATGGTAGAGCTAAATACTATGGAGCAAGAAAACGACCGATCATTAAGATCATTGCGACGCGGGAATGAAGCTGTGCGTATGCAACTAGCCAGGAGGGCAGATTCATAACATGCACTGAGAAGGAAGTACTGCTTATCACGCTGGTTTAACGCATAGCAAATCCTATTCTGATGAAAATGTTTTTCTCGTCGGACTACTATACGGGCGCCCCCCTCCCCCCCCCCCCCCCTTCCGTTGGAGCATTGCTTAGAGTCCACAAAACTTCCAACGCTTCCCAAAACTCCTGATCAAACCTTCTGCTCCACCGCCTCGATGTCGGTACGCACACCGACAACCTTGTCTGAATTCCTCCCGGGAATAGGAACGTTCACATTCCTCGTGAGAAGCTGATTGACATTCGGTGCCCAGATCGTGATAATCATCGAGACTACGCTCAACGATATCGTAGTCAAGAAGACAGTGCCATACGCCGCAGCGCTAGCCTCTTGATACGCTCGAGCGCCAGCTCGTGCGATAGCCGGCGTAGCGCCAGATATCGATCTGAAATTGGCACTGGGGTCTACGCTAACGGCCAGGATGAAAGCAGGAATGGATGAGGCTGGTAGTCCGGCCTTAAGGAGCGCTGGAGGTACTCCTTTGGGTATGTTTCATGTCATTCGGTTAGACAGAACGGTCGTAAAGATACTAATAGGCGGTTAGATTGTGATTGAGTAATGTAATAACTCGTTGAGACTACTCACGGGCCACCAATGACCGAGAAGAGTTGACGAGTCGCCCCGCCGGTTCCTACTGCTGTCCTAATCTCACGCTGATAATCGATACTAATAGTTGAGACAGTAGAATTGATCATCTCGCACCACCCGATGAAGTACGACGCTAGGAAGATTATGATCGTGGATCGTACAACAGAGTCGGGGTTACTGGTCGCCACGCCTTCAATTAAATATCAGCGTTGTTCTACCATAGCCCAAGTGCGGGCAAAGATTCTCCGATGAACTCTCTAATGGCCAGACGCAATCGAATTCAAGGACAACTTACATGCTAACAGAACGCCAACAATAGGGAATAGGATTCGTAATTGGACATTGGTGTATTTCTTGAACAAGGGGCTGGTGAACTCTCCGAGGACGATTGCTGCACCTGGAACGCTGGCGAGGAACCCATTGCGGACCCAGCCATGACCTGGTGCATACAACACTGAAACCATAGCAGGCCACAAGATTGCGTTAGCGTAGTGCAGCGCAGAGCCTGTCCCCCAGAGAAGCGTGGTGGCGACCCATCCGCGGTTCCTGTACAGACTTAGTGGAACCAGAGGCTCTTTCAGATCTGCGTAAGCCTCATACACGAAGAAAGCAACCAAAAGGAAGAACCCAATGACGATAGTCGAGATGACATGCGCAGACTTCCACGGATGCAAAACTCCTCCCCAGGAAAGGCCCATGAGGAGTAGCAGAAGTGCGGATATTGCAAGCACCATACCGATATAATCGAAGTTCTTGACGAATTCCCACTTCCGAGCAGTATCGTGTTTCATTGCGAACGAAGGCGGATGGTAGAAAACGTAGAAGAGGATAGTCGACAATTTATTAAGTGCAATAAGTATGTAGAAGATTCCTCTCCAGCCCGCTTTAGTGTTGAATATGAAGGCGTAGCTCACTGCCGGGCCTACTGCAGAGACAGGAATGATGAAGATGAACACGACTGCAATCGCTGCAAAGCGGTATCTAATGGGCACAAGCTCGCCAACGACGACTTCAATTCTATCAGTCCGGCAATCAAAGCTAGGGCATTCGGCGCGGTTGCGCACACGACGATGGCACTTGCTGAGATGAACCACCATCGCTGACCGAAGATAATCCGTTACTCGGCCCACGATAAGGAGACCGATGGAGGTTATGAGGAGGTAGCAGAGTGCGACCCAGGTCAGACCGCTGTCGGGCCCAATGTCTTGGTTGATTTGAGGAAGCACAGGAGCGATGAGAGAGAAGCCTCCCTGACCGCAAGCCATTGCTACACCTATTACTAGAATTGCACCCACAAATCGGAAGCTTGTCAAGTAGCCATGTGGCATTTCCTCCGCCGCCACCGTGAAGTCGCGGCCCTTCACATCAGCGGGGTTGAAGGCGTGGCGTTCAGGGCTACTCTCCTCGATATGGAAGACATCTTCATTTAGGACTTTCTCTGTTAACATAATACAAGGACCAGGAAGCAAGGACGAAAAGAAGTTGTCCCATGTAGAGAATTTCAGTAATTGAGAGACATATTAGTCCCATATATAGGACGACGATCGCAACGTACCCGCAGCTCCAAGGCCTTGGATTTGTTTTTCTGCGATCGAGATCGTTCGCTGAGAATATGCAAACAGCGAAGTCACCACACGGTTAGAAGCGAAGATTATATGTAGCCAAGGTGCTAGCGTTGCTGTAGACGGGGTACCATGGATCCACTTTCTCGCACTGGAGATCGTTTGCGGGGTAGAATCTGGGGTAATAACATGAGGATCTGTGTATGTGATATCTGATAGCTGTGCTTGGGTCACCAGTAGCGAGTAACTGATCGTCAGGTGACCCTTGGGCCCTCCTCGGTTCGACACTCCGCGAGCCTCGAAATAAGCCTCAGCCTAAGGTAAGTTCATCGTGGCGCTTTCACGCATTGTTAGCATCAAGGCCCCGCAAATTAACTGCAGAGTAATCAACGTGTGGCCAATTCAGCCAAATTGTTGGAGCTTACCTATTGATCACGGCATCGAAGCTCGTAGAAACCCGAGGTTACTCCTAGCACGTACAATGCCTCATAGAACTTCGTACACTGATTCACCACTGCATGAGGAACTTCATAGTATTTTCAGCATTCCAAAAGAGAGAGAAGTTCGGTATTTTGGACAACTAGTAAACTCGAGGGGCTACCGCAGACAGCGTCAGTAGGGCGTACGTAGATTGGAACTGTGTCCGCTGGCCCCGGTCTGTCTTAGTAAGTTAAAAGTCCCCAGACAGTGGCAGGAAAGTGTACGGGTATCTATGGCGAGGCACTGTAGTTGCACTTTACATACCAGTCGCTCGAGATAATTGCAAGGATCAAAGAGAATGTATGGGATCAACTGATCTTAGTTCAGACCAGGTGCCGGTTAGAAAACACTAATCGACTTCATAAAGCTCGGTGACTGATGCTCGAGCAACCCCTCCTGGTGCCTCTTCGGTTGAACGAAAGTGAACTATCTGTCAAAGACTCCATCATCTCAAGCGTCTATACTAACTACCCATCAGGGAATCCAATCCCTTCGTGATGGTTGTGGTATTCGAGACGGACGGGGAACCTTTAAGCGGGTTGGGCGAGGTAAGCGAGATGGTTTACGAGACGGATGGACAGGATGGAACTGACTGGATTGGTTCTCCTTAAAGACATTAGGCTGAGTCTCTACTTGAGTAGAGCATGGAATACTGTTTCGGAGACTTCGGATCGTTGTCGACGGCGATGGCGTTCGGAATTGTGTCGCCAAACGGTCCCACGTTCGGGTGGGCGTAGACAGATTCGACGCGCTATGTCTGGTAGGCGTAGATAGGCCCGACACCCTATGCTCGTTAAGTCGACATTGCATTTCAGCTAATCTTTTCTCTTCAGCGATACACTCTGAAAGCACCAGGCCCTTCATTCCCTTCCAGATTGGATCTCCCGGGGACGGTTGTCTGTCCGCGAGGCGTTGTCTTTCAAACCTGCGTTTCTCCTTGAGTAGAAGTTCTTCTTCAACGTTCTGCCGTCTTCTGATCTCCCGTTCGACAAGTTCCAGTTTCCTCGGACTCGTCCCGTGTATTTGAACTGGAGTCCACGATCTTGCTGGTGACTGGTTCGCAATCATCTTCTCCAAAAGCCTTCCTCTGTCGCGGTTCTCCATCTTCGATCCCATGCTCATTACCGAGTCCTTTCTGAACGCCGCCATTGATATTGAGTAGCTTGAGTCATCGGAAGAACGACGTATGTTTTCGCTTTGTCTGTAGTCACAGAGGCTAGCGACTGAGGATTGTGGTGAAATGGTAGGAGGCGGAGTGAATGGGAGAGGTGGCAGATGGGAAACCGGCCCCGGGCAGCTTTCTTTGGGGGTCTGAAGGGGGATTCTCGGCAACGTGGATGGAAGCAGAGTGGGTGTTTGGTTTGATTGTCCATACCCTTGTTGAGACCCATTGCGAAAGGTGCGTTCTTCGTTGGGCTCCTTGGATGTCATGGTGCATCTCACTGACTGACTGAACGCTATGAAGATCTGCTTTCCAAACCCGCTGTGCCGACAAGATGCGGTGCGATGTTAGAAAGTACGAGGAGAAAATGAATGGGCAGCGATGAGAGTGTTCCCCATAGCGGTGTTTAAGTGCTGTGATGATAACAATGCCCTCCTAAGACATCAAGACTGAAAGAAAGCGAAGCCCTTAAGCCATTGTGAATGATTTTGTTCGCTTTATTGATATTGTCGCAGTCGTGGCACGGCGTATTAACCAAAGAGTAGGAGGGTGAGTAAATCGGAATATGACGTGTGGGAGGTGAAAAGTAAGGTTGGAGGTTCAAATAAGGTCCGGATGAGTTGGCATCCAAAGTTACCCGGCGAATCAGATCGCAGGAATCTCTCAACGACCTCGCACGTGAGAATCGGCGCAACCAGTGAAGGGTGTAGAAAAAACTTGCTACCGTCGTAATTGTGAGAGCATTGACCTTTACATTCGCTCTTAGTTCGGATTACGTTACTGGTACACGTCTAGGATAGGACGAGCATCTAATAGGCAAGAGACCAAATGTGCCGCGAGACAAAAGTAGAGCAACTTACTACGCTATCTAAAGACTCTTACTTCTTTATCACTCTGAAGCAGCCACATTTGAGATGATGCAAGCCGCTATACCTAGCGGTCAGGGCGAGTAGTTGTTCCGATTATTCTCCAAAGTCCGAGAACAAATCCCGATACCCATTCATACGCCAAAAAGTCCGATTCCCAAACTCCGTACCGACCTTAGACCACGACTATAAACCCCTTCTCATCTCCGATTCCTAACATTGAACGGACTCTCCTCCGCCGCCTTATACCCATCGAGGGACGCCAAGCTTGTCAGATACAGCGCCACGAATCTAACCAGCATATCCACAACCCCCGGTCCGCCAAAGCTCCCCAAGCTCTGGCCCCACGATTGCGCAACAGGTCGGCTCGGTGCACCCGCGCCTCCGAGCGTATATCCCTTAGACTGGAACACGGCTGCGGTCTTCCCAGGACCCTTCGCGGCATCGGCGGCGGCTTTGCGAACGGCGGCTGTGAGGGCGGGAGGGTTGGCGCCACGGACGGTGTCGACGACGGTGCCGGATTTGAAGATTAGGAAAGTGGGCATGCTATAATAATGTTGTTGTTAGTATATGTTCGTGAAAAGGGAAATTGATAATAGCTCGTTGTCGAGGTTGCGGCGAACGCGGAGGAGACAGCCAGAGATACGTACGCCGAAACCGAGTGCTTCTGAGCAATATCCTGCTGCGCATCGACGTCTACCTTGCAGAAGGCTACACGTCCTGGCTTTGCTTCTGCTGTCGCGAGCTGCTCGAAGACGGGCGCGATGGCTTTGCAGGGACCACACCAGTCGGCATGGAAATCGACGATCAGGTATGAATTTGAGGAGAGGAGAGTGTTAAAGTGCGCAGAAGAATTGACGACAGTGATCTTCGACATGTTTGCTGGTAGGTGTGGGGTTGCTAGGAGATCTCGTGCGGATTAATGCGGAGGTGGTTTTGACCACATTGCGTAGAGGTGAGAGCTTTGAGTACGCGAGTCGGCTGATCATCACGTGCCAGTTTATCTTGAGTCATGAAGTCAACACCACTCTTGATTGATAACGACTTACATTGAATGTTGACACTCTTCTCCGAATTCAGATATCAAAGCAGTGGGAAATAGTTGTGCCCAGACTTAGGGCCGAGTACTATATTCCTTGATACAACATCTTACTACAACTTCACACTTTCTACAGCGCATACTCTTCAAAACCGCAATCATGACCTCAACATCTTCAGTCATCGCCGGCCTCCCAAAAGCCGAGCTCCACCTGCACATCGAAGGCACCCTCGAGCCCGCCCTCGTCCGGCAACTAGCATCCCGAAACAAAATCCCCATCCCCGCTGCCATATCCTCCCTAACATCCACCTCTTCCGGCTACACCTTCAACGACCTCACCTCGTTCCTAGCCGTCTACTATCCAAACATGGCCGTCCTGCTCACCTCGACCGATTTCTCCGACATGGCCTACGCCTACCTAACCAAAGCCCACTCCCAAAACGTCGTCCACGCGGAAATCTTCTTCGACCCGCAGGCGCACACGTCACGGGGCGTGCCCTTCTCCACCGTGCTCGCCGGCCTGCGCCAAGCAATCATCAAAGCAGAGCGAGAACTGGGCATGAGCGCGAGCCTGATCATGTGTTTCCTCCGCGACATGTCGCCCGAGTTCGCCATGGCGACGCTCACCGAGGCGCTGCCGTACAAAGACTACATCGTCGGCGTCGGCCTCGACTCCGACGAGCGCCAGAACCCGCCGGCCAAGTTCGCGGCTGTGTTTGCAAGAGCGCGGCAGGAAGGGTGGTTGGTGACGTGCCACTGCGATATCGATCAGCAGGATAGTATTGAGCACATACGTCAGGTGTTGACGGAGATCCAGGTTGACCGGATCGATCACGGGACGAATATTATTGAGGATCCTAGTCTTGTGCAGTTGGTGAAGGAGAGGGGGATTGGGTTGACGTGTTGTCCGGTTAGTAATTCGGTTGTTACGGAGGATTTTAAGGGGAAAGAGATATTGCAGTTGTTGCGGACTGGTGTAAAGGTTACTGTGAATTCGGATGATCCCGCGTATTTTAGGGGCTACATGAATGAGAATCTGACGAAGATGGCGGAGGAGACGGATATTACGAGAGAGGAGATCGTGCAGTTGCAGCGGAATGCTTTCGAGGTGGCTTGGATCTCTGAGAGGAAAAGGGAGGGGTTCTTGAAACTGTTAGAGAGTCATGCAAAGTAGAACTGTACTTCGTTGATTGGCACTTGTGTTACTCTCTGAGACGAGTACCGTAGGTGAGCCCGTTTGTCGACTAAGACATGCATAGATGAAGCATGTTCCATGCTTTACCCGGCCAGTCGGAAAGAAAAATCCAATACGCCAACTTCGCTGCACGCCGCAAACCTTTTGCAATATCCTAACCCCATATACCCATAATCGCTCGTAGCCCAATACACTGTCATATACACGTTCCCGAAAACCGCGCGAACTCCCTGTAGAGCAGGTGACACATCACCGCCTTTTCATCTCATACACGTTCTTCTTCCACCTATCCTTCCCGTCCCCACTTTCCCGTCTCATTTGCACCTCCGTCTTAAACTCCCGCTCCACCACGATCGTATTCGGTGGTGGGGAACCCACCGCCCCCTCCTCATCCACAGACTTCTCCCGCTCCTGCGTCTCAACCTTGTTCCAGAACGTTGCCGGTTTCGCCTGCGATATCCCTTCGCGCGAGAGCCCGAGCCCGTCTGTTGTGAGCTCTTCTTGCGACGTTGATGCCGGCAACGGGAGCCAGCGGTTTGGGGATTCGTCGCCAAGTACGGGGCGTCCGTTGAGGGAGAGGGATGGCGCCGTGAAGCGCAAAGGATCGGAGCCGGAGTGTTCGGTGGACGCGGTTTTGAAGGAGGCTTTATCCTTTCGTATATTGCGGAGCATGTGGTATATGATTGGGAGATTGTTGCATAAAATACCACCCAGCGGTTCGTAGACGCTGTATGCACCTAGGGGAACAGCTGCCCATGTGAAATCAGGGTCGCCGTGGTTTAGAACGACTCGCAATCTGAGGCAGGAGACAACGCAGGTGCTGCGGGTTGGTCAGTCAGTTTAGGTTGTTCTAACATGTCAAAGGCACGCATGACCATAAGAGACGAAAATGAGAAAGCAGAGGACGTACGCAAGACCGATGGAGAATATGAAGCAGAGTGCTATCTTTTTGTTCCGGGGAAGCTGTAGCCGCAGGATGACTGGAATCGGCAGCAAGAAGACCCAGATGTCGGTGATTAGGTTCGAGATGTTGGTAAAATACGTGAAGGTATCTATGAAAGCGTGTTAGTTTCAAGCAATGATCAGCTTTAGAGGTTGCAAGGCCGCACCTATGTTTAAGCATTTCCCCTTCACTCTGTCATCCCAGTACGCCCTGATCGGAATGCAGAAGACCGCCCAAGCGACGGTTATGCCGATACCCCAACATAGCACGAAAGCGGCCGTCCCAAGGACCACACGCCGGAAAACGGGTTGCACAAAGATTCTATAGTAGAAAGCTAGGATGGCTAATTTTACAGTAGCTAGAGCAATACTTTCAATCGATCAGCTTAGCTCAGTCATTAGAGACAGTGTGTACCGACTCGTAAAAGTGACTTAAGACATAGTCTCCCTTGCGGAACGTCATCAAGTCGTACGCTGACACAGCGGTTACATGGCGACCCTGAAGAATGGGTATGTAAGTACATATTCGGTGTATAGGGCATGTGGGAAGTGCTTACCATGCCATGAGGAGGTCCATATCCGAGCCCCGAAGAACACTCACCCACCAGGCATATCTGCTCAGGTCAATACCATTTCAGATGTCTTATACACCGTAATATGTGTTTTTGGATCTCATTTCTTGTCAGGAATGGCAAAGAGTACGTACTGTCGCGAAGATGATCAGATAATCATCTAGAGTAATGCCGTTTCTTCCAGCCTTCTTGGCCCATAACCTCAAGGCAGTAGTGATGATTGAAACTGGAATGGGTACTGAATAGGCCCAATTTATCGCAGTGGCGCGACTGTCGTTCTTGTGCAGCTCCAGCCACGCGAGCTTCTCAGGCGTGAAAGGGCTAGCCATGCGCGCCAAGCTACACAGGAAGCGGCGATGGCATCAACGAGCCGGTAAGGCTGTACAAATAAGACAAAGTCAATTTGAAAGGAGCGACGGAGCAGCGGGGGCGTCTATTGGTAAACGTCAAATGACGGCCGGGTGACAAACATTTCGAATAACGTGTGAGAAGCCCGGAGGTTTGCAAACGGCGCGTATTGGTGCAGCAGCAGGGCGTATTTGACTACACTTATTACGGAGAAGGAGGGGAATTCGCCATGGAGAGTCAAGACGGGAACCATGGTCGGGGTTCTACAGACAGACCTTGCTTTGCTTGGACCCCCATGCGACGCAGTCGCGTTTAAACAGAGCTCGGAATCGAACGATCTCTAAAAGTGCCAGCATTTCCTCTGCCGGGCCGGGTGAAGCAAAAGGCGGCGGCAGCGATTGGACGAGAACGATGGCTCGCAAGGGTGGCGCCGCAGACTCCCTGAAGCACGCGCGGATACGACGGGTAGGATTATTAGAGCGTCCAGGATAGACGACGAGGACCCGGGGCGAGCTGCCTGTTTTCGATGGCGAGCCTGATCAGGAGGATGCCGTTGCATTGCATCTGCTGCATGAATTGGCTGCATGTGAGGAGCCGGGTCCGGCTCCTTCGGGACGTCTATGTTTCCTGTTCATGGCAAGTCTGGAGCTGCGTACAGCGGAGCTGCTGCTATATAGCGGCCTCCAAGCCATCTCGAAGGCTTCAGTGCACGGTGGCGAACTCGATTCTGTTTACCGCATCCATCCGTTGATCAGCGGGACTTCCTCGCAGCGGCCTGGCGGCTGTCAGATTTGCGAGGAAGGAGGGGTGCAAATCATGCGTGATACTGCTCGCCGATTGCGGGGCGGCCGGTGCTCACCGGAGGGAGGCCAAAGCGGAAGCAGCACGCCATCCCCCCGGTCCAACGTCTGCTAGCCTCCAATCTCCACCATGTTTTAATATGTGACAGGGAAATCTCCCGTCGTGGAATCGAAGAAATCGCGTCGTGCAACGAAATGGGAAGGCCCAAATGAAGCTGGGAACACGACTACCGAGTCTTCCATAGTAGTTGCACTCGATGCGACGAAACAGCCGCCTGAGGGTGCGTGGTGGGACCGAACGTGGGGCCAAAACGGGCTCTAGAATACTATATAGTTACAGTCAAAGAAAGCCTCTTCCATCTACATTGAGACTCGTTCCTCTCCACGAGCTCCATCATTCCAAAACTTAGCCTCACCTCTTTACACCGGTACTTTCGCCGCAACGCTCTTCCACCAATTACATCGGTCCCCTCGTCCCCCTTCCCAGCTTTTGGCGTTCACCAACTTGAACCAGTTCGTGATTCCGGGCTCCAGTAAGACGTTGTATTTGAGGTGATCTGTCACTACAACTGGCGTCACGACACCCCCTGTCGTATTCAAGCTTATCATATTCGGACTTTGCGGAGTGTACCGGGGCCAGTTTATCTGCCCGTAACCGCCTGCGGGAACAGTCGCATTCGCCAGTCCGTCTTTCGCATCGGCAACTGAGATGACTGGCGAGTTCTGCGTAATGAAGCTACCCCAGATCTTCTGAAAGGCGTGGATAAAGGATGTCCCCGGCACAGAGGCCCCATCACTCCAGTATGCACTCAGGTCAGCGCCATGGTATGCAGGAACCTATACCATTATACAGGTTAGCGCTGGGTTACCCCTCTTCGGTCGGTTCAGTCTCGTGCTCTACTCACCACGCTGTACTGGTACTTCCAGGCTTCCGGGAATGCCTCCGCAATCCAATATGACGGGCACACAAATGTGGATTCTGCGAACACGTTGAAAAGTCTCTGCTGTTGCCCGGTCGCAAACCCAGACTGGTTCACTGCAGTGGGTCCGGTGTCTCCCAAAGTGTCGAAGACCGGGTCTGTAGAACGCAGAGGTGAGTGGTCATCTGCGTAGGCGTACTCGTCTTGCAGTGATGAGACATCGGACTTGGTGAACGAGGGCCAAGTGGTATCTGTTGACAATCAAAATCTGGAATATCATCTCTAGGTATAAGTTGCCAGGAATACTTACCCACGTAGTCAAGAAACCCTTGTTCTGTAGTGACGTCGGGCGGGCTGAGAGGGACGCCTTCGTTGGCATTATTCTGGGCGAGTCAGTATTAGGGTGGGACACTGAAGGAGGCAACTCTTACCCCAGACAAGATGCGCTTGCCCTGCAGCTGCTTCGCCGCGAGCTGTACGGTAGGCCTCTGTTGGATGAAACTTCCATCGATAACGGGCAGAAAAGCAAATGTACCAAAAGCTCCGGATTCAGAAACAGTTCCACTGGCGTTTTGAAGCGTAGCAGTGTCTGCCTTCACTAGGCATTGAAAAATCGACTTCGCTGAAGCACAGCCAGCGGCTTTTGAAAATGCTTTGTAATGTGTAGATGGGACTGGGTCGCTGTACTTGTAGACGCTCGGTATCTAATCATAATCAGCAGCTGAACCCTTATCCCAAGCTATCAATCTCAGGAAATAATTACCCATGGGGAGGCTGCAATGATCTGGACACGGATTAGCTCATAGCCGAGACCATCAATGAATTAGAGGGGCCTACATTTTGGAAGAGAGTCTTGTCTCTGCCCCCATATGCCAATGCTTGGTACACCACAGCCCCGGCTCCAGCACTCTCGCCTCCAATGGTTACCCTGCTTGGATCTCCGCCAAATTTTTGGATATACTTCTGGACCCATTGGAGGGCGAAGTTTATGTCTAGCAGCCCAGCATTGAGTGTACCGGAGTCCTTGACATCTGGGGAAGACAGGAAGCCGAATGCGCCTAAGCGGTACTGAATCACGACGGTGATGAAATTGCCGCCATTTTCCTTAATTATAGGGCCCTGGCTGTTGTTAGGAGACCTGGAGGGATACTCATTCGAAGGGACTTACGGCATTTAGTCCCTGCGCTGAGAAAAGGGCGTAGCCACCTCCATCTATAGGTGATTAGAAGGCAATCGTGTAAACTGCATGAGGGAACCCACGAATCCAGAAGAACACAGGCAAGTTCTTTGCATTTGGCGGCGCATAGACATTGAGGAACAAGCAGTCCTCGTCGCCAGGTCCCGAGTTGAATCCGTACGCAGGAGGAGTCCCCGCGGCGCCGGACTGAGGGCAAATTGGGGGGTCGCTTGCTGCTGAGGTAGTTGTCGTGTTCTTCACCGGAGCTTGAGGTGCTTGCCAGCGCAGTTTGCCAACAGGCGCGGCCGCCTTGGGGTTGTATTAGCTTTGCAAAACGCAAGACAGAGGCCGAATTTACGTAGCGGATGCCCTTGAAGACATTGACCGAATAGTCGGAATCCAGATAGCCCTGATACTTGGAGTAGCCAAGATCCACCACCGGCGACGCGACAGCACGCGCAGCAGCTGTAATGGGCTCTGCTAGGACAGCATTGAGCGACGAGAACGCACCGAGAGTCTTCAGGAACGACGCGATCTTCATCTTAGCCGGCCCGGGTGCGTCCAACAGCTCCAAGTCTCCCAGGAAGTTCTGTCGAAGGTGCAGAAGGAAACAGGAACCAGGCCCATGGAGAAAGTAGTACAGAGATGTACCCTGCGTGCAGTGGCATCCCAGCTCGTCCGCTCCGACGGGTCTCCGTCCCACATGATGATTACACACGAGCCTCAGTTCGCGCGGGCAGGGAGTGGCATCACATCCCGTGCCTGGTTGCTGCAGGTCCGAGGCGAAGGAGCAGGGCGTCGGTGGTATAGATGTAAGCAGAAGGTCTCATGAATCGCGCACCGGGGCGCCCATCCGTGCAGGCAACAAGCCGCGCGATGGACGGAGCTTGCCATCTTTCGTCGAAGAAAGTCGCGTCCGCATCCATGCTGTCGGGAGAGCAAAGACACAGGGGCTAACCAAGACGAGGATCAACTGCATGCAGCAGATCCCCATCCTCCAAAGGTACGGTCCAGGCTCAGCGAGATGCTAACTAATAGATCCATGGAGATTTTCCTGTGACATTCGGCGCAGCGAGTATGGGCTGGTCAGAGTCATTCTATCACTTCTGATATAACCACCAGATGCGCAGAAAATGCCCAGGTAGGCCCACACATCCGGAGCGGCGATATGCTAGTTCAAATACATTGATCCCGGTTTCGTCCTGTTACCGCGTCCAATCAATCACGACTACGCGAAACGTCTTTACTCCAAATTTTAGCCGTCTCCTCTTGGTGTAGAATCAATTCTCCCTCTCCTCTATAATGCGTCTACAGTCTTCAGAGCACACACGGCGTGTTCCTATCCGAACCACTTGTTCATCCTCTTTCCCATAGGTTTGTGGAAAACGATCCGATCCTACCATCCCTCAGGATTGCCCTTGGTAAGCTTGAAAACACCATCAGAACCGCCCGCGTGGCTAGCGGAGAGTTGCACCTCAGCCATAGCATTGACCTTAGTTCCATAATTTCGCCGACAGCTGTTCTATTTCTGCTTAGCCAACGATTCGTGGAGCTTCTGACCATGATAGTGTTTCCCACAGAACTGGCTTGAACACTCTCTTAGCCCCTTTTCAAAGGCAAACTCTCCAGCTCAATCCCCTCTTCGCCACGGAAGCTTGCCCTTCTCACCGCACCCTGTCCCTGCTCCCCGTTACCCGTCATTCTCTTCCTCCCAGCTCCAGCCTCCCCTCTCTCCGCCTCATCGCTCTCATCCAATACGGCATCTTCCTCACCCGCAGCCCCCTCAGTTCCAGAAGTATCCGCCTCGACAACCTCCCCAAAGTTGCCTCCCACACTCTCCATCGTGAACGGACTCGCAGTGGGACCATCTAGCACCGCCAACTCGCTCGCCTTGAACCACCTCGGCAGCACCCACGTCCGCAGGGGCACAAGTAGCAAGATAAACACCGGAAACCCAATCGCTGCAATGGTCTGCGTAATCGCAAACGTAGCTCCAAAGCCCACGAGTTCCAGCAGCACAAACGCCCAGATGGCGCCGCGGCGGTCGATGCTCTTCAGAGGGTCAGACCGAGGCGTAAGGGAGGCATCTTTGGCGAGAAAGATGAGCTTGAGAGTGATTCCATTAGCTTCGAGGGCTTGAACACCCATGACGAAGAACAGCCCTGCTAATACGCCCTGTGGGATCAGATGGATGACGATTAGTAAGGGTCCGGTCATTGTTCCAAGCGTGAGGAGGCCTTGGGCGAGGTTTGATACGCGCTGCTCGACGACGTGGTCGGTTACGCGGCGAGTGTGGCCTTTGTGCTCTTCGTCATCATCGGAGACGGTGCGAGTTACGCAGAGGGCTTGGGTGTGGAATGGTGCTTGCGGGATGAGCCCATTTGGGAAAGGGATTCCGAGTAGCCCAGCGACGCCAGTGGTGAGACCGAGCAGGAAAAGGTCCCAATGGAAGCCAGCAGGCTTTCGAAGGGGGAACTCGGTACCTTGGGCCATGAGAGAGGAGACTGCCATTAGTCAGATCATGCAGCTGTATAAAAGTGGAAAGGAGTGGCATACCGTTATGGTCGAAGTAGAAGAGAATTGTGAGAAGAATAGCAAAGGGTATAGCAAGAAATACGTCCCCAACGTTGATATCCCAGAAATGTATGAACCAAGAACGGTCGGTAGTAGGATAAAAAGCTTTGCTGATTGGCAGTGTTAGTAGGTCCACCCCTCGCATCTTCCCAATGTGGACAAAGCCGGTGAAAAAGATGACGGTCAAAGGCGTGCCGTAATCTTCGATAAACTTGCGAAAATGACGCTGGAAGAGGTTGCTATGACCCACAACACCGCATCCGTAAGCTACCATGAGGACCAGAAGAGCGATCATAATTGCAAGGTAGGCCGATTCGCCATCAGCCTTCCACTGCCGGGTCAGGACCTGGACTCCCTTCTGGAGGTATATAGCTGCAACGTAGAAGCCGAAGATATCACAGGGGAATCGAGTGACATAAGTGAGAGCATTGCAAGCGTTCGTAATGGCCAGAATCCAGTGCATGATCAATGACCATCTGTAGCGATGAGTGGGAGGTCCTGAGGCGGGGCTCTGCACTTACAGTCCTATCCAACACATGAAGGAAAAGTAGTTGGTTCCTTGTGGAGTGATGATGTCGTATACTGTGTAATTAAAGACGGTGATGGGACCTGTTTGAATTAGTGAGCCGGACGGAATCTATTTTCCCATGCATCTCACCCGTCACGCCAACGATGACAAGAGGCTGAGCGGCTACTACAGAGAAGACTACAGCACCTAGAACAGATGCCAGGAGAACTTCGTTGACACCAAAGCTCATATTGGTTTTGGCAAACATGTCTAGAGAGAAAGCTAAAGCAGGGAGAATACTGGCAATCGATTAGTCAATGGAGCCCAAATAATTGCGCCCACCATAACGAAAGATAGTGCAGTTTTCAACCTTTACAAATGAGGGCATGTCGAGAAGTCACAGGAAAAACAAACGAAACGTATATGATATCCTTTGCTGGTACAGTACATACTTCGCAAAATACATGTATACGGTTGCTGGTATTACTCGGTAGTCCCAAGCATCCGTCCAGTCACTTAGGTAATATGGAGCTCGCCGCCTCACGTCGTTGATCATGCCTCGGAACAGCTGGACCTTCCACCATTTTTTCTGTCGAGAGCTTGTTGTTCGCGCAGAAGCTCGAGTATTGGCTCGGTTTAGACCTTCATCACTGCCAGTGGCATTGCGAATCTTCGCGATGAAGGGCATACGGTGCTGCCACGGCTTCTTAGAATTTCTCGAACCCGTCGAGGAAGGAATTGAGACACCATGGCGCTGTGTAGGGACAGTCAAGGTCTCGGATGGCGCCATCGTGAATAAGTCGAGCGCAATGGGACAGCGTGCTATGCTTTTAACGCGTCTGTGATCAGAGTACCATGGAGGTGATGAGTTTCGTGGAGAAGGAGATTCTTAACGCTCTCTGCAAGAAAAGTAAAGTAAGAGAGGAGGCGAGGACATGCAGCTGTGGCAGCATATGTGGAGAAGAGCCTTGCAGAGCGAACCGTTTTGAGGCGCTTGGCATGCGTCATGAATCGGCGAGTCGGCTTTGTTTCCGTGATTCGGTATCTCCTACAGGAAGTGCCGAAGAGAAGCGTTGAATTGGCGGTCGAGAAGGAAGTATGTGATTGTGGGTGAATTATACGTTCCAAGGCCGATGGGGTTGAAGTTGGACGCTGAACCAACGTGGGTGTACCCGAGAGGTGTAGTCACGGGGCCAATTCAACCTCGGATCAATCAGGAAGTTAATTCACAGCTTCGAAGCTCCGCAAAGTCCAGTAATATTGCAGCCACGTTCAAACGTCGTGAAACCCGTATTGCCAATTCACGGCCTGCACAAATTTACATTCACGGCCCCAAAACTCTGCACCACGCAGGAGCCCTCCAACACGATATCTACAGCCCATCGCGCAACTATCATTTGGTTCAAACAGAGAGACGCTTCAAAAAGAGATGATATACTAGGAAGCACTCAGTATGGCGGCGTTCTCGCCCCGCCGCTACCAACGTCGTCCTCCTCGCCATTACTATTATCCTCCACCCCAATCGCATCCAACAAGTTGTAGAAATCTATCCTTCCCTTGCCATCTTTTAGCCTCGCGCCATCCCGACTGCCACTCTGTGACCTTATCTCTCCTCTTTTTAGACTGCGGCTTTGCCTTAAGCTGCGCACACTCCCGTTTGCACTTTCCCTCTTGTCACCATGTGTGTTCTTTCCGGGCGCCGTCCTCGGCCTCCCACCTGTACCCTGTGCGGGAATTGGCGCGGGCGAGACTGAACTTGCCCTCAAGCTTGGCGGAAGTGGGGGAACAGGCGGCACTGCATCCCTTTTGCCCGCAAAATCCTTGGAGGACGTGCTCGCAGGTGGCTGCATGCTCAAGACTTTTGGCGTCGCACTCCCATCGCTATTCGCACCGTCCCCGCTGCTGCCAACTGTGGCAGCGTCGGCATCACGTTCCCGATCGTTGGCGGTAGCATAACTCATCTCGCTAACGGAAACCATGCTTTCGCTACCTGTGTCATCATCGTATCCCGCAGAGCCACGAACACTGCCACGCGCCGTGTAGCTGCTCCGGGGCGCTCTTCCCTCCAGTACGCGCTTCAGATCCTCAACACGTACAGCAGAATGCACGCTTGACGAACTGAGGCCACTGCGCATAGGGCTACCGTTGCGATTTGGGGAGCTGCCATGGCCGACGAGACCATATGCTGCAGATGGTGGGCGCGAATGCTGTCTGAAGGCATGGTGAGGTGAGTTGGCGGGATTACTATCGAGAGTACCATTGGGGATGGATGCCGCGAGAAGGTTGTTAGGTCGTGCGGTACCACTGGTAGTGCCAGTACGGGAGTTAGATATGGACGCTGAAGAGGAAGAGTCTTGAGTTGTAGAGGCGATGCAAGCGGCTTTAGACCAATCGGCCATCATCTGGTCCTTGATCTTTGCGGGAAGCGTACTGCTGTTGTCCAATTGTAGTGTTCGTGAAGTCTTGACCATAGAGGCAGATCTTTGGCGGCTAGTTTGGCGACTGGGGAGACCGGGCGAGGCTGGAGGACTGGAAGGCGGCGAGGCGAGAGATGTAGTATAACCGTCTGCTATTAGGTCTACGAGTGCTTCTCGATTGTCGAATGGCTTAAGGGCTTCGGTTTGGACCAGGTCGGGCGAGAGCTTGCCCAAGCCTGGGTATGTGGCAGGCAGCTCAATCTGATTTAACGGCACAGGAGGGATCCGCACTGATCTTAGCCACAGCCCTTTATCTTTCCTCCTTGTGATTTCACTATGCAGTGCTCTTCCTATTGACGAGGTTTCGAAATCGAAGGCCACACTGAGGGCCCAGAAGTAGCCATGAACAAGACTGCCAAGTCTAATCTTGGACCCCGGGTTCTCGACAAGTTGGATATCTTCTTGCAGTCGCATGATCATCGGTAGTCCTGATTTGACACTATTGACACCCATTTTCTCAACTAGGTTGGTAAGAAGGAGGTGTAAGAGCAGTATGTCAGGTTCAGAGTCAGCGTGTTGATGAGCATTCTCATAGATCGCAAGATGGAGCATCGTAATAAAGGCCGCTTGGGATCGTTTCACGGCCTTTTCCCTGTGTGACGCGTTGGAAACTGCTCTCTTCGCAAGATTCGTGTCGATGCCGTTCTCCTTCTCTTTGATTTCGGTTTTGGCCGGGCGAACCTCTTGCACTACTCTCAGGTTCTTCTTCCTAAGCTCTAGGTTGAGCCATGTGAGTAGTGCGTCGGCGTAGGCTTTTCTTACTTGCCCGTTGGGATCGCGTATTAGCCATTGAGTGCCTTCCCAGACTCCTACTTCTACCTGTCTTCGGTTGTCGGATGTTGATGAGCCGTCCGGTTTCTTCGAATTTGCAACTATCAGTATTTCTTTAACAGTCGCTAACGCCGTGATTCTTGCAGTTTCAAAAGAGAAGAAACTATCCACATAACCGGTCTTCTCCTGCAGGTTTGCGGAACTGGCAACAGCGTCAACAGCACCGACAGGATCATCTATTGCTGCTACGGTCGTGGGGATATCTGATTGGGAGGAAGGTTTTAGTCGCGAGAGGACAGCTCTCAGCATGTCCGCTACTTGGTCCGTGTAGTAAACGTGAGTCGCTAGACTTGCCATGCATTTTTGAAGAGTGGCAAGTAATTGAAGGCGATAGTCTGAAGGCGTCTTGACCAGCTCCATCACGACTGCACCGGTCAAGCTTCCGGATGATGTCGGTCCCTTCTCTTTCAATGACCCAACGGCATCTGCTTGTTGAGGGTGCGGGACTATATTGGAGCCATGTCCTCCTAGTTGAAGCAGCAGCAACGTATGCGAAATTAGGCCAATCAAGACATCCATAACACTGAGGCCAATGAAATTGATCTGAGAACTAAGGAGATAGTCGATGATAGTGGCTAAGACAAGCTGTCTTTCGATATCCTCTTCCTTGATTGGGCTTTGCACAAGGGTTTCCATGGCCCCAACGAGGATTACGAATCGATCCTGGACTGTGGCCCAGCCACATATCATAGCGAAAAGAGTAGTTGGCCAGCTGCCGTTATGGCACGGGCGATTGTCATGGGTTTTGAAGTGATCATGAGGCTTGACTCGGCTGGCGATGAACTTCAGTACTGCAGACGTTGCGAGTCGGAGCTGGTTTCGGTTCACTTCCTTGAAAATATTCCTCAACGCCTGTAGCGCTACAAGGCCAACTTCCTCTTCTGCTATCTTGTCTGCGTCTTCGGTAGTCCCTGAAGCAGCAACTGGGTCTCCCTCGGCGGTGTCGGCCGTTAACACCGTAGAAACACTTTGTCGCCGTCGGAGAGTGTCCTGCTTCTCCAAATCCCCCCTCTCCTCTTCTCTGCGCACCAATTGATCCAAATATTCTCCGCTGTCCGAGTATATATTGAGCAGGATTGCTGGTAGAATGGCGGCCAATTGTCGTCCAGTCTCCGATCCTAGAGACTCCGAAGATGCGATTCCGTTTATCGCCTTGAGGCCAGCCTTTCGAAATCTGATAGCCACAGGCAAGCTTATAGGGGTCTTTGCATGCGCCACGGCCTCTTTGGACGCAAATTCAGCATATAGCCGCACTGTATCTTCGTATTGCTTTATGTATTCCTGGTCTGCCGCGAGTGTCGCAGGGTCCTGGTGTGCGCAGAAGGTCTCGAAAGTTGGAACCGACTCTTCCACCATAGTAATATCATGAGACCGAAGGATCGTACGAAGTATGCTCAACACGGAGCCAGCATACAAGGGGAGGTCGCGGGGGCATTTCTCAATGATCGCTTTTAATATCTCGAGGGTGACTTGCACATTGCTACGGAGCAGAAGTTTTAGCAAAGAAGCGCGAACCTGACAGTATCAAACGCGCATACCCTAAGCGGCCCTTCCATACATCGCTGGTGGCCCGCTTGTCCAGAAAGTCGCCAACCTTCTGCAGCTTACTGCGTCGCGTGCTGGCATAGTAGAGGAGGTAGCTCAGTTCGCTCGAATTGGGTTTGACGTCGGTGTTGTTCTTCTGGAATTTGGGATAGCACTTCAGGACCAAAACCTGGTGTTTTGGGCGACATGCCTGCCGTGCAGCGTGCATGGAAACCGATATTGGGCAGGATCGACAAAGACAGGGGAGATACGAGGGATAGGGCGCGGGTGGCAAGTAGGGCGTTTGAAGCTCATAAGGGAGGACAGCAGGATGAGAGTTGGAGATGTGAATGTGGTGGCTGCCCGCAAGCGTCCGTCAGCCCTCTCTCACCTCGCCAAGCAAACCGTGCACGATGACGACGTCCGTAGACAGCCGCGAGTTAATATCAACACCGACTTTCTTCCCGCTGATCCAACGGCTGCGTTTATGTCTGTCTTTCTATCAACTGCTAGCTGAAAAGGCTTCTGGAAGTGTCAGCAGTGCTGTGTTATGATACTACGCGCACTCAAGCAGGCTTCCTTAAGCAAAAAGCGGCAGTCCATGAATCTGTGATATCATCCTACAATTCGTCTTCTAGCGACACTCTCACTTTAGGCTTGTGTACACTTACCTGGCACCGCTTGATGCCCGCTGGTACGTCAGGATGTTTTGGAAAACGACAGATTTAACAGGTCTGATAGCTCTTCAAGCCACCTCAGATGTTGGGCTGCCACTTTATGTTCAGCGAACCTGTTCAAGGACTTTCCGATATGCTGGACTGTGCCAATATACGGATGGTGTAATACTCTCTAAGAAGGAAGCCACTAATTAATTAAGTCACGGCTGGCTCTGTTACTCGAGGTTTTGATATTGGGAAGAGTCTGTAATATAAATTGCTCTACTTTGAACATGTCTCAGCTTCTAGAAAGCCCCCAATTAAAGCGCACTTAAAAGTCCTCCATTTCAATGATGCCAAAACTCCCGTAACTTTGTAACATGATACTAGAATAACTCGATGGCCCGGGCCGGTGAGGCTGGGTCACGTGCAGATTAGATCAACCGCCAAATTAGCGAATACCTAATCCAACGACCACTCCACCTGTAGTGTAGTCTGCACGCAATTGGAGACGATGTATATCATCGTAGCCAGCCGAACTATCTAGGTCCTGATGAACACCAAAAAGATACGCTTTTACTGTCTAGTGCCTTGAAGACTTTCATGTCTTCACCAACTCTCCTGACACTCCCCACCGAGCTCCGCCTTCAAATACTCCGATACGCCCTGACACCCATCCGGTTCGACTGGTGGACCCATAAGTCATTGCCCCTTATCTCGGTGGATGGTCGTGGTATTCCCGCCTGCCACAAGACCCTGAAAAACGCGTCGCGGCTGGGAAGCTCCCGAGCAGCTTCTTCTACGTCAACTCCAATGCTCCCTACTTCCAAGGCACTAGTCCCTCAGACATTCTCCGCGTATGCAAACAGACCCACGCCGAGGTGAGGAAATATTATATACCGAGTTCGCCCTGCTGTTCGTGGTCAACAATACCAAGCGTTTTGCGGACATGATAAGCCCTCGTGCAAGCAGGCTGGTCCGACACGCGGTCATTCAAGTTCCCCTATACGCTGTTTGGGCACAAGATAGAGGCTCACACTGGTCGGAGTTGGGTCGGCGCGCGGCGTGGCTAAGAGAGTGGGCTGGGCAATATAAGGGTGTGCTGAATGTGGTCGTCGTTGTCCAGCTGCTGGGGATGAATCGTCTGGATTATGAGGGCCGAGACGATAGGATAGTGCGTATGATAGTGGATCTTGTGAGTATACTTAGGGATGTACCTGTGCTGGAGGTTAGAAAGGATGGGGACTTTGCGACTCCAATGAAGGATCGACTTATTCTGCTTGCTAAAGACGAGGTTGATCGGTGGAAGAAGGCTTGAACTACCAGCTGCATGTCGAAGGATGGGTTGGAATAGATTGCTGTGCGACAATTTTTCGAGACCGACTCCTTTCTGCACTACCATTTTACTCGATCGTATTTTCACTATTTCATCCTCGTTAATCCTACGAATCAAGTCTTCACTAGCATGCCTATCTCGAGGAACGTACGAGCGGCATTTTCTGTTAACTATTATTCCCTACCAACAACCCCCTCAACTGACTCGTATCCCTTCCACCACCTGTCTCTTGGGCCTATATGTGAGAATTCCAAGTGTTAAGTCATTCGAGCGTGGCTCGCCAAATCCCCTAGCATAAGAGACACAAATTCTTGGAAATTCACTCCACGATGTTTTTCTGCTTCTTGAGCATCTACTACTGCTAGATTCACGTCGCAAAGTCAAACTTAGTTCCTCAAAATCAGTGGGCTGATAAACGATCTCGCGTGCAGTCTAAAACAAAACAGGTGAGCAGATTTCGCTACGCTTGACTTAACAAACCTTGCATGCGGAGTGGTAGAATTGCGTCGTCGTTAGTCATGGTTTTCATAAGTTGATCTTTGAGACTGGCCGGCCGTAGACATGTCTCTGCAAAACTCGGCGCTCTTTGAGCCTCCGCATTGCCCCTCTTCGACAACTCGGCCATGAAAGGTGGCGACAATTCCAGCGTCGTCTGGCCGCCAGAGACTACTGGCGCAGAATGATACTCTTGATCAATCATCCTCAGACAGGCTAACATACCGTACTTGAAGTCTGCCGGGCCAGCCGGCATCATCCCTCATCATCGAAGTTTCCGTGTCAAACTTCTCCCGCCCTAATAATTAGCCCAGCCCTTCTGGGCCCTCTAGTCTCAAATCTATATTTGAACGTACTAATGCAGTGTTGATGCAAAGTTCTTTTGACCAAACGGGTGGAGCTACCATACTCTGCTACACTTGCCGTATTCGTACTTTCTCTTCAAATATGAGGTCATCAACACTGAAGCCTTCCAATTTCACGATGGTGTTGAGGGGTTAGTCAGTCACTAAATATGTCTCTGCTGCATACGGAAATCCGAAGTCAATGGGATGTCACAGCGATGATGTGGAGTCGGGACCCACAGCATCTGTACCACAGTTGAAAAAGCCGTTACACTACCCCTAATTCAATACTGGTCATAAGCATAATGTTGAGCCTCGAGGTGGACCCCTTAGACCTTGGGATGAATTGATCATGCTCTCCCAAAACCGACGTCATGAGAAAACATCCTGAACAGCAGAAGAGAAGTAACGAAACGGGACCCCATCCAGAATCTAAGCTAATTCCACCCCGCAAACTGCAACCATCAGCCCGTTTCCCAGCGCTTTTGTCCATGGCGGCACAGCGGTATGTAGGTTTTGAATTCCCCGCTAGAACGTCATCGTACCATGGATACCTCCGCACCCTACAGAAGGCTAGGGACAGCCCAGTATCAACCATCGCCCCCTCTCGACCCCTCAAGACTTGCAGGCCAGACTTTTGCCCCTCATACCCGAAATCCCTGCTGCTAGAAGCCAATGCATGATTTCGATAGCTCTGATGCACCACTCATGTGGCATCTAGAGTCTTGGCGAACTAACGCTGAGGCCCGTATTGAGGATGTCACCGAATCGCTTTTTTTCTGGGTTTCCATGCACCCCGGAGGCTCTCCAAGAATAGCCGGATGCGGCGTTGGCCTCAGATTTTTCGGCATGATCATCCGCGTGCGAAGCAAAATGTTCCAGGAGAGCATTGACTGTGCGATTGAATGGTCGTAGTAGACTCGGGACTCTCTATTCTCGAGAAGCAAGAGTGATGCTCGATTTCACAATTGGATAACGTTGAAGCTTGGATGACTTTGAAGATTCGTTTTATTACTGATTATTCGTTCAAGATGCTTTTCCTGGTCACTTCGTGTCGATACTGATTATATACTAAGGAATGTGTACCCGCCCGTCGCTACTCGTAAAAATGCCAAGGAATGTGATCCCTTAATCACTGATTGCCCATAAAAACATCTGGAACTGTACTGCGCCGGGTACAGCAGTTTACCAGCCTCCCTTCGCGGACGGGGTGGCGCACTGGGTTACAGCTAAAAGGGCATCAGTGCCTGTAGAATGTAGGGGCAAACGAGATATTTACGGTATGTCTTGGTCTCGGTGCAGACCGATGCCTCCTGCTTTTGGGTGGTGTAGACCTCTGGGTAAGTCTTGTACTCAACCTTGTCGGTCGTGTAGAGAGAGCTAGCACAGAAGTCAGTTGATGTGGCAGACTGTTTTGATGGTGGTCACTCACGTGTAAGGAACCTCCGTGGTCTTTGTCTTGTAGTATGTCTCAACCCAAGTCTTGGTATATTCGCCAGTGCTAGTCTCGACGCATGGGACATCCGAGCTCTTCACAATGTTGGTGGTGTAGACGTAAGGGACCTGAAGATTTATTAGTACTTGGAGGTCCTCGAATGGATGAGTTCGGAGCATAGTACCTCGACAGTCTTGGTCTCGAGGTACGTAGAGGTCTTGTATTCAGTGCTGCAGGTAGTCTCCCCCCAGCCACCTTTGGTGGTCTCTCCCCAGCCCTGTTTGCTGTTCCAGCCTCCTCCGGGCGCGGCAGCAACAAAGGTGGCAGAAGCAAACAATGCGATGAGGGCGTTGGTGAACTGCATCTTGGTGACTGGAGCGAAAGTTTTGGATTACAACGATTGTATTGAGGAAAGTGATGGGTGCTTGAGGAGACTGATCGATGATTGAGGAAAGCGATGGATGGGTTTCAATTTACCTCTGGAAATGGTCCGTCTTTATAGCAACTGCGCAGCCTTCAACGACGTCCTAGTTCGGATGAGCGAACACGATGTAAGCCGGACTAGATAATCCCTAGCCTAGAACTAAGCCTTTCCATGACTGTCGATCTATTGATCTCCACAGGCACGTCGGAGTAGGCCACCGTAAGATCCACGTAGAAGAGCTAAGCGCACATCTGCCGCAGTGTAAACAAAGCCAAGGAAGCCCTAGGAAGGCCAATGAAGCAAAGGAGATAGGGGCCATAGAAGTGGCCTGGAAGCTGTGCCGCCCGAGTTCAATTGGAACAAGCGGGTCGGAGTAACATCGTATTGAGAAAAGAAAATGGCAGAATTCGTGATCTCCACATCTGGGCAGGCATAGTGTGGAGTAGTGGGGTGGGGTACGGCATCGAGGAGCCGTTAAGGCAGACTAAGGCGAGCCAACCGGGTGAGGCTGAGGCTCACAGCTTCCGTGCACAGACAACCCCAAAATAGGAGCATAGACTAAGAAAACCTACCAACCATAAAGAAGGGCTTGAACACAGCATAATTGACACATCGAAATAGGTAGTCTATGCTGTCCCGCGGAGTAAGCGACTAAGGTCACCATACAGATGTTAGAAAGCTAAGAATATAGCGTATCGAATCCGGCTTTGTTACCGTTGTGCTGTTGTCTGGTCAGCTTGTCGAGCCTTTTTGAGGGGCTTCTGCTCAAGTCCCGATGCGGTGTTTGAGTGGATTCAGGAACAGCACACATGGCCATGCAGTTACAGGCGTGGCCTTTGACGACGTCGGGAGTAAGTCAACACTCTTAGTAGCGTATAGAAGCTCCAGCCGAACCCCATAATCTAGCGGATGCATGGCCGTAGCTCTAGCAGCGGCCCGGTTCGATTCACGAAAACGACAGCTAGAAAGAGTTGCCCTGTCAGCTAATTAAGTTAGAAGAAGAAGCTGGCATAAGTGCGTATGCCTCGTCTTCTATTGCCTCGAAGTAGATCCCAACAAGGCCGATGAATTGCTTGATGCTACCTTTGTAGAAAGAGGAACTTAATAATCAAATAGTCTTTCATCGAACACAATGCATATGGATCGGAATAGTTAGAGCTGGTGCTAGATTGTGTGGATCGAATAGGCGACTTTGGGATTGGAGGGCCGGCTATGAAGCGATTCCGACGGATTGACAAAGCGTGAGATCTAGGGTTGTAAGATCACTAGTACAGCGAGAAGTTCGATGTGCCGTATCATCGTGCCTGGTGCCACCTGCACCCTCATGACCACCATGCGCCCTTCTTCCTTAATGCCTCCAGTTCCCCCCTGATCCCTTTCAGTTCTTGCAGCCGCCGGTCCTCCCCTTCCTTCGCGTAGCGCAAGTGCTCGGCTTTCAGTTCCGTGAAGTCGTCATCAAGCCGTTGGTGCCAAGGGTATAGTACAAAAACTTGGAATGCGAGTGCTGAGGTAGCAATGGCGAAATTTGTGAGGGAGAAACCGCGAGTTATCCGCATTGTGGTGTTTCAGAAAGATTGTTTGTATGTGAGGATGGTGTGTAGATGGCGTGGGAAGTGAGTTTCTGCTCGAACGATGAAGAAATACCGCATAGGAAATTTGCTAGGACCGATGGAGATTACTCGGGCCTATTCTACATCACCCCCTGCTTAGCGGCTTTTATAGGGCACTATACCCGAAGTCGGTCCCGAAAGATTTCCGGAATATTAACTACAATTACAGATCTTAGTCAGCCGAAAGAAATTCCACTTCACGCCCACTGCATCGCATCGAGCAGGGCATTCTGCCACGACTGCACGTCTTACGCGCCAATTGCTCCACCTCTACATCTGCGTCGCCTTAGGGCCATATGAGGCTCCCCGCAGATCCATCTTGACCTTCTAAACGAGGCTCCCTGTTCACTCTGCTACGACTCCGCCCCAACTCGCCCACCATCCGACTGCCTCTTCCTGACACCACTGCCCTCGGGCTTTCTTACTTTCGCTATGGCACTACTGCAGCGCGGCTCGACTGATGCCAGCACACCGCCAACCACAGAATCGCCAGCCTCCGCCTCCCGGCCGTCCGCAGATGCTGCCTCGTCAAGCTCCTCCCTCACCTCACCCCGGTCGCGGAAGCAATTGGGACTCTTCGTCGCCGGCGCGTCCTTCTTCATGATCTCTACAATCATCACCAGGCGCTCCATGATCCGAAGATACAAACAGGTCCAGCCCACGTTCTACCAGCCGAACACAAAACCCAACCTCTCCTTCAATGCAGGTCTGGAAGCCTTCGAAGCTCTGAACATCGCGACTATGAACGTCGCTAGCTTTTCCATGTTGGTGACTGGTGGTACACTGTGGGCATTCGACATATCGAGTATGGACGACCTGCGGCGGAAGATACGAGGTGGCCTAGGTGTCGACGGCACTGGCAGGTCGGAGCAGGATGCAGAAGAGGAGATTGAAGAGTGGCTAGCAACAGTGCTTGCCCGGAAGGATGAAAAAGAGCGAAAAAGAAAAGGCGGTGCGGATGAACAGAGGACTAATGAACGAGGTGCGCCTCGGTAGGCTCGAAGGACTGTTACTGTTATGCATACTGGCTGGTTGTACAGATACTGTACAAATATACCTCCCGTTGGAGTTGGGTGATAAAAGACTTTACTTTACGCATTATACCATAATCTCAGGATGGCTTCGAACGTTCGCGTGCTATATTTGAAGCTTGAGATGAAATTCCTTCTATACAACAGCAACGCAGCTTCCAAGATCACAAGAATTAAGGTGAATGCCTTCAATCCCGAGCGCGCCGTTCTTGACTTCGTGCATACTATTACACCATACCACGCCTATTCCGTGATTTCATAGCCCCAGCCCATCCCTTCACCAAACGTATCCCAAACAGCTTCAATCCCCCATCGAAAACACTCATTTATGCCCCTCGCTCCTCCTTCCTTTCCTCCACCTTCACCCCCATAACCCCATCCCGATTCGCCCTCCACACCCCCTCCCCCCCAACAAACCTCTCCAACTTCCAAATCTCCGCCCGCCTCTTCGTCTCCTCCAGCGCCTCCTCGCCCGCGCGCCACGCCGCTTGCCGATGCGGCGCACTCACCGCAATCAGTATGCTCTCCTCGCCCACCGGCACCTCGCCCAGTCGATGCACGATTGCGACGCCGAGGAGGCCGTGCTTGGCTTTCAGCGCAGTGGCGATAGAGAGGAGGGTGGTGAGGGCGAGGGGGGCGTAGGACTCGTAGGCGAGGGTGGCGACGGGGCGGGCGTCGAAGGAGTCACGGGTAGTGCCGGCGAAGAGGACGACGGCGCCGGCTTTGGGGGATTTGACGAAGGTGAGGGGCGTGAGGGGGTTGAGCGGGGAGTGGGTGAGGGAGACGGTGATGCCGGGCGCGGTGAGGGGCAGGGGGTCGGAGGGCGGGGCGGACATTGTGGGAGAGGTGGGTGAGGGCAGCTAGGTGGGCTGGCGCTTTGAGGTTCGTTAGTAGATGTTGATGATATGCGTTGAATTACGCTCAAATGATTGACGTAGGTGTGTTGGATACTCGGGGATTGTGCGAGGCCAGTTCCAATAGACCCTTTGTTCGCAGTCAAATTCGTGGACGATTTCAAAAGGGCATGTGTTTTGGCAAGAGATTCTATTAATTACCTCAATGTCTCGTAGATATGAACCCTGTGCGCTGCCCAGGTGCTCGGAGTTGAAGGCGGAAGAGGCGTTTGAAAATGATGGCGGGGTAAACGCGTAATAGTGGGGCATGGGGAATCTCAAAGCTCCCCAAGTGAGTAAGTGGTCACTACTTCTCAAATTTGTGGATTGAAGTAGGGTTGATACGTGATATAAAGACATAGGTCTGATAAAAGCAAAGAAGACCTACCTAAGTAGGTAGACATGACCGAATCTCGGGGAGTTCTAGACCGACGAATCATGAGCATGCATTGTTTTACAAATAGCCTTTAGGCTATGAATGGGAAGGTACCTTTGGAAATACCTCTAGAGATACTCTGGCAATTTGTTGAGATACGGCTCCGTAGGCATGATCTTGCGTGTATATAATATACATGTGTGCTATCTTCGAAAAATTTACCTTTATAGGCCTCTGAAATCCCCTTTGAACGGTAATATGTACGTATCTGATGTCGTACATGAAAGAACCGCGTCCTAGGCTTCTAGCTCATATGCTATTGGTGAACTTCGCTATGCTAGCTTCGCTTCCCGTACGGTCGACCCAGGCAGGTATCGGAAGCTTTTTCAGTTCTCACATCAACAAAGTCTCTTTCTTGCTACTTGAGCTTGGAAATTGGCGACCAGATCGGGGGCCTTTTCTGCTGCTGTCTATCAAGAGCCCGCGAGTTCGAAGTGTCTGAGAAGGTGATAGGTTCGTGGTGGTTTGGCCGTTTGTTGTTGCGGAGTCTGCCGCCGAAAAAGGCGTGTTGTCAGGGGGTGATTTGAATGAGCCAATTCCTGCTTCGTTGGTGTTGCTACGACTGTTGACCGTAGACTGCTCGCAAGCTTTTTCTGACGAATACACGAAGCAGGTGGAGAAGAGGAAGGTGATAAGTCCTACACCAGCGACAACAAGATAGACGATGGCGATCTATGGAGGAGTCAGAGAGCTGTAACAAAAAGGGGGGGTGCAAGGGGGATGCTCTGTACCTTCGAATCGTCACCCCATGCCTGTTGTCGTATGAATGGTGTGCAAATATACACCGTTAAGCCGGCCAGAAACGTGCACCACGCGTAACTCATCTGCATTGACGGGAATTGCCAGAAGAACAGCATTATCCAATGGCCTATCCCTGGCCTTTTCTTATATCGCAAGATCACGCGTCGTGTTCGTTTGAGGTCGTATTCGGGGACGTTGGCTTCTTCAAGCAAGTCCTTGTCTGGCAGATCATCGAGAATGCTCTTCTGCTGGATTGATGTGATGATGCCCCAGATTGAGCAAGACAAACTGGTGTACCACAAAGCTGGAGCTGCCCAATGTGGAGTCTGCTCCTGGTTCCAGGAAAGCGTTGCGAGGGACGCTCCGGCGCAAAAGGAGGCCTGTACAATTAGTCTTGTAGCCTCTGAAATTACACCAAAGCACCCAAGACGATGGGGATGGGGGCACTCACTGCTACCTGAACTGATTGCAGCTCTTGGTATTTGTCCTCCCTCCAGTCAGTGACAAGCCGGCAGAGGGCCTTGCGGTCTCCATCTGCAGCCCTGATTTCTTTCAGAGGCCTCCATGTGTAGAGCTTGAAGGTTCGACGGTATGGAGCGGTGATGAACCCCAAGAAGATCTTCCCAGGGACAGCATACCAAGCAGGCTTGTGATAGACACGATCATGAGTTGACGATGGGTGTTCGCGCGTTGGAGGGGAGTTCGTGTCGGCCATCCGTCTAGCCGACTTAGTATGGAGGTTCCAGCAGTTTTACGCGACCCTGAAAGTCTCATCCACTCTTCTCTCCTTCGTTGATGGTGCTTGATGGCTTCATGTACCCGCAGAAGCTCTTTGTGCAACGTCGAGCGGTGAACTGAAGTCGGTATACCAAGGTTTGTGCATCAGCTGCACCTTTTGTGAGCTACGGGAAGTCCTAGGTTCGAGTTCGGCCGCCAGCAAAACCATCTGAGGGACCTCGCGTGGTCATGTGGTTTCACGAAACATGTCACTCGCGGGTCTAATAACAACTAGCCATGCACGTCTTCTAACACTATCAAGGGGCTTCGAGAAGGCATTCAACTCTGTAAGGGTGAGTTGCTTCTCTCGAGTTATATTCGAGAGGTCCTCATGAAAAGTTTATCACAGGCTCCTCATTAATAAGCACGTATTAGCTAGTTATTGTTGATTCTGGACTAAGTCAGGCATTGTTTGGCAGGTGGGTCTGACGAAGTGACTCAAACGCTCTGGACTTGGGATACAGTTCTACACAAACAGTCGAGGTTTGCTCAGCTGCTCCCCCTATATCCAGAACTAAGAACCCCAACGTTCGATTCTTCCTTTGTCGTCAATCGTGCGCGCAACAATGTCATCGTCCGGCTATGTCCTTCGAAGTCACACTCCAAGCCCGCAGGAATATCATGATATTCGAAAGGCGGCCGGTCTCACGCCTCCACCACTAGAAGCTAGCATACCAGCCCTGGCCGCCTCTTGGATATGCTTCAGTGCGTTTGAGGAATCGAAACTAGAGACAGAGGAGAAGCCACCCGTTGTGGCCATGGGTCGGGTCATTGGCGACGGCGCGCTGTTTCTTCAAATCGTTGACATTGCGGTCCACCCTGACCACCAGCGCAAAGGACTAGGAAAGGAGATCATGCGCAGTCTCGTCGAGTACATCGACAAACATGCCCCCGACGCGTATGTGTCTCTGGTAGCAGACCCCAAGGGACAGAGACTGTATCGCCAGTACGGATTCGAAGACTGTGCGCCTAGCCTTGGAATGTGGCGGTCTAAGCGCGTTAAGCAGTACAGAGCGGCGAAGAAAGCAAAAGAGGAGGAAGCGGCTCTGCTGGTAGAGTCTGGGAGCTCATGATTGGAGAACCAAGGGTCCCGTTGTCAATGCATCGGAGGTTGGAAGATTACCACGTAACGTGTATCTTGGCAGTCGACATTCAAGTCATCGAGACGACTTGACTACGAGGCTGGATATAATTTCCTCTGAGATCTCGCAAATGCTATTATATCGAGATTAGATAGTGTAATTAGTAAACTTGACGGACTTAGTGGGGGCGTGATGCAGAGCGCGCGGAGCCGTCAGTGAATCTACCGCGGTGAAGATCAACGTTCAATAGTGACAGTCGAAGCCACCGTTCGCGGAGCAGTGACTTTTGAGACGGCGTAGTTGTTGGAATAGGAAGACATACCCCTGGAAGCTCGCTCAGGAACCCCGATGCAGTGAAGACAAGGAGGGGCACTGCGAATCGATAGAATATCGCTAGCACCCCCGCCACGACAAGCGGCGGTATAACCAAGCCAGGAACCACCACTGTTCTACTTCACTGCCGCAAATCCTCTGCTATGCTTCCTCGGAAACCTCACGCGTTACTCCACGCTCTATGATAGACGAGAAAAACGGCGACTCTCATGGCGACTCCTCCCAGTACGTGGCCGTGTGAGGAGCCAGTGTTTCCGGTACGTACCCTTAGGGCATTCCGTGTAAGCCGCGGTGGTACCACTGCTGCTGGCCTTGACTTCCACACACCAGTATCGAAGATATGACTGACACGGCTATTCAGATCTTAGAACTTCCGGATGAGCTACGCGACCTTGTCCTGGGCTATGTGGCCCCGTCGGACCTCCGCAACGTATGCCTTGCCGGCCGCTCCATCTACTCGGCCGCTGCAGCCTTCCTCTGGAAACATGTCGTCTTAGTAGACGACTGGACACTGTATTCTGGACCCCCAGATTATCAGAAATGGGGGGAGCGCGGTTGCGGTGATCCTGACGAGCACGATGATACCCCAATCATACGGCGATTGCTTGTGCTGGCAAGGTACGACACCATGGATATGCCTTCAGAGAGCCTACTAACTCAAGGCAGGAATCCGCTCATCGCGTCAAAGGTCCAGAAGCTTACCCACCGGTGCCATCTTCCTACTCCTGGCATCTTCAACGAGCTCCCCAGGATGTTCTTTCACGCCCAAACGCTTTCACAAGACCCTCGCACTCGACGGCTGGTTCATCTGGCGATCCAGAACATGGTCAATCTGCAGACTTTAAGGATCGTTTTTGGGCATTGGCATCTCACAAAGGCCTTGTTGGAGGGTTTCTTGGACCCAGCACGGCCAAGGCGCGTACCCCTCCGAAAGCTCTGGTTGGAAAGTGTGTCTCTAGATAATGCGGAAATCGACTTTGGAAATAACATGGACCTCTCTGGACTAAAGAGTATCCGGATTCGGCGCCTCAGAGCTCACAATACGAATGATGTCACCATGTCCTTCCCAGAGTTCCAGCTCAATCGCGGAGGACACCCAATGAACATGCACAACGGTGCTGGCGGCTACTACCAGACGACTGTCAGTTTTGGGGAATTGCCAGGTCCGCATAGAGGACGTATACATGACGTCGAGGCGCTCGTGAAGATCGCGGAAGGGTTTGATGACCATATTTACGATGCTCTACCGGAAGCGAAAGAGTTCATTGAGCAATCCATTCGGAATCATCCGATACCGACAAGTAGAAGTGGTCGGACATCCGCGATACCTTTCATTCGAATACTGCAAATGTCGACACAAAGTCTTACTAATCTCAATCTGGACTGGGTGTTATGGCGTAGACTAGACTCGAGTAAGAGCCCTGAAGATGAGCTTAAAGCAGTGGAGATGATCGACCTCTTATCGAAGTTGAGGTTTCCTAACCTGCGAGCATTTCAGATGCGTAATGCGGTTGTGCAACCCACTAAGCTACCTGATGGCAATTACCTTCTGGACCCGAACAACTATGGCGCGACGCCGTTCCTTGACTTTATAGAGGCTCACTCTAAGCTGCAGTGCTTAGCATGGCCTATGGATAGATTCTATTCATTGAGGCGAGTCCCCGCAATTGTGGCATATAGAACCCGCGAGGTCGTCGCCCACCTAGGAAGGACTTTGTTGGACTTGAGAGTTGATTCCTACTACGAACAACAAGGAGAGCCGATGACTGATGAGAGCACAACATCCTCGGGTTTGGAGGCAAAGGCTCGCAGACGACGTTTTATCGCCGAATTTGCTCCACAACTGATGAAACTGAAGCAGATCAAGATGGAAGGCGGGATTCCGCGAGACGAGAAGAGAGAGACTATCAGAGCGTTGCATTATTGTCCTTTGGAGAAGCTCGTCCTCATCGGCGTTTCCTGCCCCATCGGTAACACTTGGGGGTTGAATGCTGAGGATCTCAAAAGGATTGATGAAGGAGAACATGAGTATCCCGGAGTGTTGGAAGAGGAACACAAGGACTGCCTCCTTTCTTTGACCTACGGAGCTCCCACAGTGTCACGCGATTTCAGATTTGAGCCGGCGTACGGATGGCCACCAGGCCCGCCCATGATGTACACCATCGCCGCACACCATGCCTCAACAATCACAGAACTCAAATTTTGTGGCTATAACGGCTCGCCAATCTTATCGCAATCGACCCCAATCACACAAAGCCTGCTTTCGCATCTCCGCTGCTTCCACAACCTAAAACAGCTCGTCCTCTCAATGTGGATCCTCACATACTTCAATCACGAAGACCGCGACGACGAGATCATCTCCTCCTGGCTGAATACCCGCTCTTCCTCGTCCACGGCTTTGGTCGTCGTCACACCCGCTGGTGCGTCCCCGAACCCTTCCCCGACCAGTTCTCTAGAAGCTCCACCGCTCGTCGCGCCCACCGTCGCTCCAAACACCCCGCCCGACGGCCCTGCTCCTGAGTTCGATAGATGGGCCGTCCTTCTCCGCACTAAGTTTTCGCCCTCAGCTCTCGCCTATCGCGTCGCAGCGGACATTGGGCCGTACCTCAGCGAGCAAGCAAAGGAGAACCCTGGAGGCGTGCGCGTGCGTGCTAGCTTCTGTCTCGGGACCTCGACAGGAGACATCTTCGACTTGGATCTTAGGATCGGGCGTGGTGATCAGGTGCTCGAGTTCGTAGGGCCGCGAGAGGAGGGCGAGAAAGGCAGGTGGTGGGATAAGCTGGAGGCGAGGAGGTGGTTCTAGGTGTGGATTATGAGTTTCACAAATGGGTTAGCTACGGCGCTGTGATGTTCATTTTGGGTTTTCCTGGCCCTTAAGTGTGGCGGCAGCTAAGCGTTTTACCTTCGGATGGAGTTCTTTGGATGCGATTCGGCATGCAAAAATATGTGAAGGGCGGGACATATCTCAGTGGCGGAGAAGGGACGGCTTAATGGGGATATGGGGGTCTACGGCCTTTCTTAAGTAATTGTAATAAGAATAGATCGATTTAATTGACTGTCGGTACCTTTGTGATTCGTACTTGATATTAGCACCTTTTTGACGTGCACTTTAAATTAGGTCATAAGAAGTCGGTTGATTCGAATGCTGCGAGAAGCATAAAGGGGAGCCAGTCCGTGCGATTCGGAGTCGATCTGGACTTGTTATTGACGGACGCTTTAAATCGTGTCATTGGAATGGGGGTGGTCTAAAAGTCGTGAGAAGTATGAACGGGAGCCAGTCCGTGCGATTTGAACTTGATTTTGGCTGGTTATTGACGGGACTCTTAGATTAGGACATGGGAAATAGGCTGATTTTAATGTTTTCGCACCGTCAGGAGTCTTCCATAGATTATCTGACATCGATACATCCGTCTGACTCTTGTGACCTTGTGAATGCTAGATGGTATACTCTACAACTGATATACACCCAAACCCACTATGCTATGCCTTCCAGGTTTCCCCAAAAGATTACTATATCACAAACATCCTCGCAGCAGCCCTATCTGCCTCCTCATACTTCTCTTTCATAATGAGATCACTCACTTTCTCTAGGCGTCGTAGCACGTCCTTCTCCTCCGACTCCAACTTCTCAACCTCGTCAGATTTTCCGCCAAGGCCAATCCAGCCCTTCCACCCAGGTGATTTCTCGGCTTTCGCCTTTGCGTCTTTCACTAATCGCCCCATCATCTTGGACCAGTTGTCCAACCCTGCCTCTTCGCATTCCATGCACTTCCTACGAGCCTTTTGATCTACAGGCTCGGATGGAGTGTACGATTTGGCGGTTTGCACGGCCTCGCGCGCCCAACTCAGGCCGGCTGAGCGCTGCGCGTCGGAGGATGCGGTGGCGAAGAGGATTTCACTGATGAAGTTCATGAGCGTGGCTTCTTCGCACACATCTGACGGAGAGCGAACGAGTGGTTCGTCGCCTGTGGGAGGAAGTGCTGGGTAAGAGGGTGTCTCTACAAACTGGCGGATTGAGTTCCATATTGAGGACTCCACTTCTGGCGGAGGTGGCGCAATTGGGGCAGGCGGGGCAGCGCGTCGTGCGCGTAGAACAGAGAGGAAGATTGGAAGAGCGGTGGCGACGTCGCCTGTTGTGGCGTAGTGTGTTGCCATAGTTGTTGCGGCCAGCACGACGTTGGGTGTTACAGATGGCGCGGAGGCGAATATGACGCCTGTCTTTCCGTTGACCACGTTTGTGGGATCGGGGAGGCCGGCACATGCGATGTCGAGGCCCCATTGGTACATTTCCTCGGCCGATTCGTTCAGACCTTTGAATGCTAACCAATCTGCATAGCTAAGAGCAGCGGTGAGCCGTTGGTGCGATGTGAAGCCTGGTGTCGTGAGAATTTTGAGGTAGTATGTTTCCGGAGGTTTCGATATCAGCTCGCAGTTCTCTTCTAGTGGCGGGTCAGGGGCACGCGGAGGTGGCGGTCGAGGTTTTGGATTTGATGCGGTTTTTATGTGCTCCGGCGGCCATGCAAGTTTATGGCCTCTTTTGGTCGTCTTTTCCACTACCCAGCCATCAATGTGCTCCGCCGCGCGTCCCATGCCTATTAACACCTCATAATACCCCTGACGCCATTCCTCGCTTTTCCCAGTGATGTCAAATCCAGCTTTGCCAACCCCAGGCACAATGATGCCTCCCTCTTCCTGCTCAGTCAGCCCAGCACCATCCTTGCTCGTATCTTCGAGCCTGTCGAGAGCGCCCATGAATTGAAAGTACGTCTTCACCCAATCTGGAACACCGCTCTGATTGTTTTCCGCGACTTCCTCCCACCGTCCATTGCGAAAGTAGTATTTTGTTATTAAGCTCCATTCTGGGGGAGAGGGAAAGGCGCGTTCTTGTTGTTCTGAAAGAATAGCTAAACTAGCTATAGTACCAAGTGACGATATTGCGAAAAAGATGATAGAGAACTTGACGGATAGCTTCGCGGTGTCCTTTATGTATTTCTTCCGTTCAGTGGTAAGGAGTCGATTTAATTGCCACTGCCCATTGCGAGTCCGCGGATGCAAACGGCGTGAGGATGGGTATAGGAACGGGAGCTGCGGCCGAGGGGAAGCAGGCGATACGACGAGGAGGAGCTGGGAGTTGTGGGAGAACTGCCGTGGGGTTGGAGGTCGAGAGCTGGGATTACAGCATCGTGACGGTGGCGTGTGAGGTATTAGGCGACAGGTCGGGAGCCGCGAGGGAGGCATTGCGCTCGAGGAGACGAAATTGCGAATGGGAAGTCGAACGTCTCGGCTTGTATAGAATCATGGTGTTGAGTTCGGGTTCGGCCACAGCGCAGATCTCAGCACGCCACCTAAAGCGGTGAGTATTTTCTGCCCCGCTAAAAAGTTCGGGACTTCATTTTTCCCACCAAAGCTCAAGCTTCCATCCTATACATTACCCTTCGACATTTCGACTTTTGGATAGAACCTACCATCCGCCATGTCTAAAGAACCGAAAGATAAGCAAGCCAAGCAGGGGAAAGAGGAGAAGCGGGCACGGAAAGAAGCCAAACGCGAGAAGAAGAGGCTTGCGGAAGAGGCTGCGGCGGTAGCAGAGCCAGTACAACCTGTGCAGGAGGTCAACGCGAATGGATCGAAGGAGAACAAAAGGTCGAGGAAGAGGAAGCTCGAGGACGAAGTAGCAGAAGAGCCCAAGAAAAAGAAGAAGTCAAAGAAGAGCAAAGACGACGAAGTAATGGAGGACGCCGTCGTAGCCCCCGTTGAGGCTGTTGAAGATTCCAAGAAGTCCAAGAAGCCTAAGAAGGCCAAAAAAGAGGACATTGCTGAGAGCGACGCCATTGTAACTCCCATTGAACCTGAGCAAGAATCCAAAAAGTCCAAAAAGTCGAAGAAGAGGAAGTCGGAGGCAGACACAGCGAATACGACAAAGAAGACTACAAACGGAGCATCGGCAGGTGGTGATGTTTCCGAGAGCGAGCTCAAGGCAATCAAGAAGAAAGCCAAGCGAGGTGGCAAGGCCGGGAAGGGCGCTTCGAACGGTGTTTCTGGAGAAAGGCCAGCGGGTGGTGAAAATGCAGATGCCGATGCACCTGCGGTGAAGAAGCAGCGCTTCATCGTCTTTATAGGTATGTATATTTCTAACATTTGTCTGCCACAGTCTACTAATTGATTGACCTACTAGGCAATCTTCCCTACAGCGCAACAGAAGAATCTATCAAACAGCACTTCATCAAAATACGCCCTACTTCCATTCGTCCTAGAAAAGGCTACGCGTTCATGGACTTCAACGACTACGACCGTATGAAGACGTGTCTATCGCTATATCACCATAGTTCATTTGACGACGGTACCTCGCCCGCACGAGAGATAAACGTTGAATTGACGTAAGTTTAGACAGTCTTTGATACCATTATCTAGTCCGGTCAATCAGAGAAATCTAAATGATTGATTGCCTTTGACTAACATGGCTTCCTGATATAGGGCTGGCGGAGGCGGAAATACAGTGGAACGAAAAGCCAAAATCGACGCCAAGAACGAGAGACTCAACGAGCAACGCGAGCGTCGTAAGGTTGAGGAGGAACGCCAAAAGAACGAAGGGGATTCCAAGGGGTCGCGGCCACTTTCGAGAAAGAAGGCAGAGAAAACAGCAGAGAAGAAGCACGCGGAGAAGAAACCAGAACCAACGCCGGAGAAAAAGCCAGCGAAGGGAGAGTCTCACGTTGGTATCCACCCTAGTCGGTTGGGCAGGTTACTATTCTGAGATGTTTCGACAATTTGAATGGACTATTTTGCTTTTTAGATGGTATATTATATCAACTTCCGTTGCGTATAGAGGACGACACTATTGCGTCAAACAAAAGTTGACTTCATCTGGAACTGTTCGGGGTACGGGAACATCCTACTTTGCTCGGTGGTGTCTATTCACTAGTCTTCAAGTCCGAGAGTCTCATCCTTCGACTATTTGGGTACCAGGTACCCCGGACTTATTAGTGGAGACCGACAGAGCGCTAGTACAAAGTGAACGAAGTTTCTTGTACTGACATATTCTTTTGGCGTCAGTCAAGCGTATGTTAAAAGCTCGCTCCATTTATTAGTCGAGAAGGGTGAGCGTTAGTGCACTCTAATTGAGTTATACCAAATGTATTCATGTCTGCAAGCTAGACTGAGACTGTGAGCGCTTCAAACACCTGCCGGCGCCATGGGGTGCCTTCAGTCGATCACTTCGTAAGACAATGTGGGCGCAAGGGTGGCAGTGCCTAAATGTACATATATCACCTCATAATGCCAAAACACCATTTACCCCAACAATGGAAAGCTCCTCAAGAGAGAGGCGGGTTTGCTCTCAGCTGCGTGGACAATGTTTATGCGAGCACTTCAATGAGGCTTGAAGTTCGCCTTTTATAATGGAATGGTCTGTCCGCTCACAGATGCTCAACCTTGACACGAGCAACGGCCGCATGCTATGGCTAAGCCTAACCACTGCCTACCATCCATGTCTCCATTAATCTAATCACGGCGACTCCGTCGCAAAGCAGCACGAGAACCCTGGCAGCAAATCAGTACCGCCTTTTAGCCCACGCCGCCAGGGTCCAAGCCGCGCACAGCAGCTGGGTGGATGCGCCATGCCTAAAGGCCGCTAGCGCCATCTCGCCTCCGCTGGAAGCCAATCTAAAGCGTAGCATCGCCTGAACCACTCAACACCAGGGACCCCCATCACGGCCTCAGACACACGGCCCCTCACACGGCTTGTGCGCACTTCCCCCTCCACAACTCGCAACAACACCACGCTCGCCTCCCTGTTCTGGAAGGGCACGCGGTGGCCCCTTGCACCGGGCCATCGGCCGTGGTGCCCCATCAGTGCCGGCATGCGCGCAGCAGGTGCATGTCCTCTTGATTTGAGCCCTGTAAGATGATCACAACCCGGAGGCGAGCCTTGCATGGCGAATAGGCCGTGCGATCGTCAGGGCGTGCAGCTCGGCGGTGGAGATGCTGCTGTGAGAGGGGGAGCACCTGAACGCTCGCACTGGGTCGGAGTGTATGTTATGTATAAAGGGATCGTCCTGCGGTTTTCGGTAGTGAAGAGGTGCAGACAGAGACCTTGTGGCTTCAACCTGACTTTCTTTTCTTGTCTATACCCTCGTTTTCTTTATACAAGAGTGTCATCATGCTGTCTAAGATATTGATCACTGCTGCGGTTTTGGGTGGGGTGGTGAGAGGTGTCCCGCTTAGGGAGAGAAGACAGGCGACGGTGCCTCAGTTCGTGCTAGATTATGGTAAGTACTTCTTCATGTCTTTTCCGATGGCTGCTCAGATGTTCTGATTCTGACTCTGTATAGCCCCTTTAGTCTGGTTACATTCCCAAGAAGCGTATCTACCATCAGACATATCCGCCCAACTCGCCAACACGAAACCCGAACATGAATTTGTCGCCGTTGCAGGTCCATCACCACTCACTCTGGACAACCTAAACCAACTGAACTCTCCAAACACCACCTACCTCACATCCACAGTAGACATTACCACCAATCCTGCTTTCTTGAATGGAGTAAAGCCTGACGCATCGGGGAAAACTAACGATGCCGTCTCAGCTGCTATCATCGTGAACGACCATGGATCTGGAAACGTGGACGCCTTTTACATGTACTTCTACGCCTTCAACTGGGGAGGAATCGTCCTAGGGCAGAACCTAGGTAACCACGTTGGTGATTGGTAAGGTAGCCTTGATCGTAGCAAGTGATTTTGTCTAATCTGCTTACAGGGAACACAACATGATCAGGTTCAAGAATGGCGTGCCAGATCTGGTATGGTACTCGCAACACTCAAATGGCGAGGCCTTCAAGTACTCCATCCTGGAAAAGAATGGTCTCCGGGTAAGCCAAGGCTGTCTCCTATCTATGCAGCTTTCGCCGTTGCACTGTTCTTTCTCGTCGACGATCTTTCGAACTCGGCTAACATATCCGCAGCCCATCTCATACTCTGGCAATGGCTCCCATGCCAACTACGCCATCAAGGGGAAACACGATCATACTATCCCGAATCTCAACCTCCCCGACGGCCTCATCGTCGACAACACAGACCAAGGCACTCTGTGGGACCCAACTCTTTCCACATACTATTATGCCTACGACCCGGCCGCGTCTTCATTCACGCCTTACGATAGCAGCACCCCGGTGAATTGGCTGAACTACACCGGACGATGGGGAGACGAACAGTATCCGGATAGCGACAAGCGCCAGAAGAAGTTCTTCGGTCAACCTAAGTATGCCACAGGTCCAACGGGACCTGCGGATAAGCAATTGAACAGGACGGATGTGTGTCCTAGCAATGGAAACGAATGTATCCATCGCGGCATACTTGTTCCGCGCGATCTTTAAGGCGATTGTGCTTCTGCATTTTGGACGGCGTGTGGTATACCTATATCCCTACAGGACACGGCTTTGCATAGTGCATGTTTTGGTCGGATTATGTGGAAGTCCCTATTTTAGATGTCAATGCTACTCTAATTAATCACTATACTTAAAGTCAGTTCTAGAGACTGACAAAGCACATATGCTTGCTCAACAAGATTGGCAGTGCAACAACCCATTAGACGGAATATAGACATCTTACAGCCAGTGTACGACTATGCCAGTCACGCGACGATAGCAGGAGAGTGGAGGACTGATATAGCTTCAGTCCTTCATAACTAGGCATCTTCCAGGATAAGCGGAGAGAAGGAATCCCTTCGACCTGGTGATGCAGCAAATAAAGGAGTCGAGTGTGACGTTGAGGTCTTGGCCCGCCATGATTACTAGTTCACGCGTCCACCGATAGCCCCACTTCTCCTTCTTTTCACCAACCGGCGCGGCCACCCGCAGAGAGCAGCGGTGTGACATTGTCACTGCTAGACCACATCGCCATTGAACGTGAGACGACTGCCTCTGACTTACAGCTTCTTCGCCACGGGCTCCGCCGGGTGCCTGATATCCCGCCTTCTGCCTTGGTGGACCCGGCTAGCAGCTAGGCATCCTCACGAAAACACATGACAGCGCGATTTCACCGCCTCTGGTGTCCGACGTTAAAAACACACTGGGCATCTGCTTCTTTTTCTTATCATCTCCCTCTCTTCATTTCCGTCTTCCATTCACATCCCTCACCATCCACGTCTCCATTCCTTCGACAATACGCGGTGCCTACCAGTGATAAGCACACGATGGCTTCTTCTACCACGACGACACTCCCCGAGGTGCCCGCGAAACATGACGGCTTCATTCCATTCGTGGCTAGCCACCCAGACAAGTCCATCGTTGAATTGCTCGAGCCGTACAAACAGTATGACGCCAAGCTCCGGGAAATATACGCTCAGGAGCCGCAGCATCCAGCGCTGGCCAACCCTTTCGTCAACGTTGTTCCTCTATTCAATGGTCATGAAGCTGATCTCAAAGTTCGTGCTCGTGACTTGAGCTCCGAATCTGCTGAGGAGAAAGATAGGTATATCATGTCTCTCGATGATGAGGACCGCAAGCAGAGTGGTGCTCCAGCTGTTGTTCCAGATCTCAAGACTTTTCAGCAGAATCTCACCGTCTTTTCCGAATCATCCCTGGTTGACCTTGACTGGAACAATGTCGTGGCCGCTGGCAGCTCCGTGGTCACCTCTCTCTTGCCCGTTCCGGAGAAATATAAATCTTCCAAGAGGGCTCTCCGACAATACTATCATGAGATAGTAGCCCCTGCTTCTGATGTCGATTTGTTCCTGTACGGCCTGAGCGAGGAGGAGGCAGTCAAGAAGATCATCCAGATCGAGACCAAGATCAGAGACGCCATTCTGACTGAAACGACTACGGTTCGTACCAAGAACGCCATCACGATTGCCAGCCAATATCCCACACGCCACGTGCAGATCGTTCTCCGTATCTACAAATCTGTTTCGGAAATTCTTACGGGGTTTGATGTCGACTGCTCCTGTGCAGCCTATGATGGGAAACAGGTCTACGCATCTCCTCGCGCAATTGGCGCATACATGACTCAATGCAACACCATCGACCTATCGCGACGATCTCCTTCCTGTAAGACTTATCGAGTCAATTAGTCTTACGCGTGCTAATTGATCGAGACGAATCTCGTCTCTCGAAGTACAGTCATAGAGGGTTCGAGGTTTATTGGCCTCTGTTGGACCGCTCCAGGATCGATCCAACTATATTCGAGCGGTCGTTTGCTCGTACTGTTGGTCTTGCTAGACTGCTTGTCTTGGAGAAACTCCCAACATCCTCTGAACGTGATTCTTACATGGATCAACGTCGAAAAGAGCGAGGACGGCCGACGCTCAACACACACAATCGATACAGTCATAGGACGTGGGGTAACCTTAAAGACGACCACGAAGATGAGATCGCAGAATGGGTCGAGCAAGACGACGTCAGCGACTACCATACCTTTGTAAGTTGCCCCCCGCAATCCATCGACACAACTCTGTGTACCTTACCTTGCCGCTATCCGGGGTGCCTCAATTCATTTTCAGAAATACCAATGAGCTAGCACTGCAATGTTCTAAGTACGCTACAAAAAACGCTGGGCCAACTTAGACAGCGCTTTCTCCGCCTGGGTAGTATGCTACCTACAGATTTCTAGAAATACGTTGAGGCACCACGAACAGTCGCAGATAGGTGTACACAGCTATAACGAAACACAGTGTACAGCTTCCAGCGGTGATTACTAACCTCGACAGACTGTCCCATACGGTGTCAAATTCCATGCGAAGAAGATAGAGAAGTTGCTCTATACCAAAGATCTTCTTCTTAACGCGGAATGGAACAAGCCCAAAGACCGAGAGGTCAACCTGCATCGGCATCCTGCTTTCTTCGGATTTGCGGAAGACGTCATTCATGACTGTTGCGGTTTCTGCCCAACACCGTTCACACCAGAGGAGCACGATGCGGCGGAGACAGAGAGCAAAATCTATGTTTCGGGGGAGATTTCTTTCATCAAAGACGATGCGGGAAGACAAGCAATTGGTAGTTTCAATCCGATCACAGACGACGATTGGACCGATATGGCGTAAGTCATCTGAAGTCCATCATTTTTACAGAGGCTAAAATTTCGCAGATATGTAGGAAACACAGCACAATTGTGTCAAGCCATCGTTGATGGCGATCTCGAACACGTTCAGGACTGGCTTTCCCAGGAAGGATCCGATCCCAATTGCCGCGATTATACCGGACGAACTCCGCTGCACTTAGCGGTCCAGAGCTCGACACCAGAAATTGTCCAAGCACTCATCGATCGAGGTGCCCGCTTAGTGGCCAGACTGGCGGATGGTCGCACGGCCCTACATCTTGCAGCCGCCAGGGGTAATGTAGAAATGGTCAGTATGATCATGCAGAGAAGTGAAGCAAACGAAGAAGACGAGATAAAGAAGGAAGATCTCCGCAAGGAAGTTAGAATCGCAGCTAGGAATGTGGTCAAACCCGACGATAAGAGCGAGGCAGATGAGGAGCATGAACAAGATAAAGAGAGCGATGGAGAACTAATCGACGACGAACAGTCTAATGACGACTTCAGATCCACCACAACAAGCTCTTTTGTTCAGGTCAAGGACAAGACGTCTGAGAAAGAGGTAGACGACGACGCGGACGAGGAGCCAGATTTCTATGACGTAAACGTACTGGCTTGGGACACTGGATGCTCGCCACTCCATCTTGCGATCGTCAACGGGCACGTTGACGTTGTCAAAGAGCTTGTTCAATCGTACGGCGCCGATGTACTTCTGCCGATCAAGCTCCTCAACGATTACGACAAATCCCCTCGTGCAGCAATCCTCACTCTAGCTCTGTCTCTCCAGCTTCCCCTGGAAAAGGCCAAGAAAATGACTGAAACACTATTAGAACTTGGCGCTTCTTCGGCTCAGGCTGATATAAATCAGACTACCGCTCTCCATTATTTCGCAGGCGTGAATCCAGAGCTATTGCCCGTCCTCTTTGAGCATGACGAACCTGCAGCAAAGCGCAGTATCAATCATCTCTCAGTCACAGGCTCGGCATGGAGTCCCTTTTCGCAGAGCCCGTTGATGACTGCTATCGAGAGCCGCAATACTATTGGGGTCATGAAGCTGCTCAACGCGGGTGCCAAAACGACGATCGAATTTTCGGATTGGATGAAATCAATAACCGTGAAGTACGATGAGTTTGCTTCACGAGATTCGAAACAAAACCAGTCCGCTTTCGTCAGGGACCTGGAACAGCCAATCATCCTGGCTGTACAGAACAAACTTCCCTCGGTGGCGATAGAGCTCCTGAGCCGTGGCGCTGATCCCAACACTTTGACTAAGGATACCAAGCAGTGTATCACAGACGAATGGATGAGGAGTTATCGCAAAATGGAAAGCCTTCTGGATCTTGTGCAGGAGAAACTGAAAACTTTGAGGGAGTTTACCGCTCTCACCGAGTTAAAGCAGCCCGACCCACGAGTCGTTGATGGCGAGGACTACCTGAAGGAACTGAGGGAAGGCACCTACAAGCATTTTGCAGGCAACATAGCTCTTAATCGGGCTAAGAAGACGGACGAGGTGGCTCAAAAGCAATACGAGCGCAACCTGGAAGACGCCAAGAATAAGAAAGGCATCACGGAGAAGAAAAGGGCTGTGGAAGGCTTAATTCTAGAATTCGAAAAACTAGAGGCGCTTCTAGTCCAGAAGGAATCGAAGACACTGAAGGAGCTGCACCCAGACCTGGACCTGTCTAAATCTAATCGGGGGACAAACTGGAACACGAGATCGCAGGATCCTAAACCGAATCCATTTAAGCTTGAGTTCGGCTTCAACAAAGTGCATGATCTTGATGATGAGAAGCGCGATGCTTATCTGGAACTGTATGTTTTCTCGAGGCGTTTGTTTGCTTGTATATAGCTAACGGCTCTACAGATTTCAAGCAGTCTGGGCCGGAGATATCGACTCGATCAAAAAGTTTACGCTCGCTCCTTGGGGGGATGATTCGGATCGAACGCCCCTCAAGATCGCCGTCACTGACGACGAGGGCTTCTCTCCCTTCAGCATTGCTATCCTTCGCCACCATTTTCCCGTTGCGAAGGCTCTCCTAGAGATAGCGAAAGCGCAATACAAGCCAACCGAGGCCAAAGGCACAGAGATATACAACCTAGCGGAGAGTGACGACGAGTATAGCGAGGAGGAAGAAGATGACAGCGATAACGATATTCGGATCGACAAACAGATCATTGACAAGCCGTTCACCATCGAAAATATCGGAGAGATCTCTACCCAAGTCAAAAGCACCACTCAACCTGCGGAAATCCTTTCATGGTCATGCGACGTTTGGAAATACTTTGAGGTGCTTCCCGATGGCCGTGTTTACTTCTATGGATCTTCCACTCGTAAGGCCGACCTACATAAAGTAGACAGCCTATTGAAATTCGCCATATTTTCGAACGACGACGAGCTATTCAAGTTTCTTCTTGCGCTTAGTACGGAGTACAAGAGCGCCTCGGTGGAAGAGATGCCTCGTGTTCCGACATTTTCGAACTCCGACTTTGAATACGCAATCGGCCTGGGGCGTTTCGATTTGCTCGGCCAAATGATCAAGCATGCTGGTGCTGGCCTCGCGCTGGATGCCTTGGTCAAAAAAAGCGGTGTCAAGATTGAAGAGCGTCCCCGTTACTATCAAGGTCTGAGTGTTCATGGCACTAAGCGCAGCGATTGGGCTGCTGCTGGACGGCGCTCTCAGATGCGAACAACGGTCAGCGAAAGCTGGCCGCCTGCGCTCTCTGCTGCTGCAAACGGAAACATAGAGAGCGTCGAATGGTTCCTGGGAGACACCCCGACGAGATTGTATTTGGAATTCGCCGAAACCAACAAAGCGGACAAACGTCTGCGACAGCTTGCTCAAGCAAATGGAGGATTTGACAAGGTGCTTTCGACTTGGTTGGGCGCCCGACGTGAGTACATCCCTAGCAAATGACCTCTGGAATCACGTTTGAAGTATATCGAAATGGAGCTAACATCATGGTATAGGTGATCTGATCATCCACATGGCGGTGCTCTCGAAGCCGTCTTCGGATTCGGTTCGTCTCCTTGAATATCTTATCAAAGCCGTACCAGACTCTCTCCACACTAAGTCGACGAAAGGCTACACTCCTCTCGCTCTCGCCTTCGCCCTTCGCCGAGTCGCCGCAGCACGCACCCTCATTGCCGCAGGTGCGGATCAGACGACACGAGATCACTCCGGCAACAACATTCTCCACATCCTGTTCAATGGGATCAATTCCCAGGCCCTGTTTCATGGCATCAACTCCCCGGCCAAAACAAAGAAGGATGGTCTACAAAAGATGTTGGAACTGATCGATCCTCGATTGGTGTCTTCCCTTCTGACGGAGCGCTCGCAAGACGGGCCTGGTGCAGCTACTCCCCTTGCACTTTGGCTCCACTCAAGCAATCAAAGCGGCTACTACTATTTTGGACACCACCGCTCAGGAACTGAGAACCAGAATAACGAGACAGAGGAGAAGGTTGCTACGCTTCGCACTATCCTTGACTTCTCCAGCAAGACCGGGTACGAGCATCTTGAGCTTCTTGATGGGGCCGGAGACACCCCTGTCCATATGGCCACCAAGCTCCAGCTTCACGACTCCTTGAAGCTGATGCTTGAGCGGAGGCCTGACCTGCTCTACCGCGAGAACGCGACTGGTCGTACGCCAGCTGAGATGGCAGAAGACGCCTACATCGCTGAGCGAGTCAAGGACGTACCGCAATTCCACAAGAACAACACTAGCATTACCGACCGATCGCAAGAGAGTTTCGTTGAGGGTGCCGAAGATGACGCGAAGAAAGCCACCGAGCGCGAGAAGATCTGGACGCTTTGCAGGACTATCTTGGCGGATAAGCCGGCGAGGCGACGCTTGGTCAGTCTGTTTGAGGCTAATGAGGTCGCGAAGAGGCTGGCGTCGAGGAAGAAGAAGTCGGCTAGGGACGCGACTGGTCGCCCCGTTGTCGACGCCAATGGCCAGGGGCAGGAAGTGGAGGAGACCACTGAGGATGAGGTGTCGAAGTTCTATAGCACTGCGGCGGGATGGGATGAGGATGATGCTATGGACGACGAGCAGTAGGGGCGAGGTGTGTGGGATGATAAAATGGTATGAAAGCACCTGGGATTGTTCCGGCCTTGAAACTGGGCTCAAAAATGCATGGGGTGGCAATGCTCTACGGTAAATGTGGCGAACAACGGTCATAATGGTAGTACAAAAGTAGTCTATTGTACTTAGCTATCCAAGTATGATATAAAACAACATTGTCCAAATACCCCCAGCATTGACATGCAATGGCTCGTTATAGATCCGCATGCACTTCTTTATCACTGCTTGTGGTCCCTCGCCGTATTTTTAGGACTCTCAACTGGTTTGACGTTCAGCGCTTTGGACTGTTGGTAAATTTGTGAGGCCGCCCCAGACGGCGCCAGAGGGGTGTACATTTGGAATATTACACACACTAGTGGAAAGCATACACGGCTTCGTGACGAGGCATGGTAGGACCTAATTAGGTAGTTGGCTGATCAACACTATTTGAAAAGCCAGCTCAAATATCGCCGTGAAAAGGTCCCTCTTGTCATGTCCATATCGGTATGAAATGATGAAGGTGCTTGGTATGAGTGACAACAGAGTCATCTAGAACCCCTTCATAATGCTCGTTGAGTCTAACGAATGTTCGATATCCCGACTTTAAGATCGCAACGCAAGAGTAGAGGTATCGAAAAAAATGTGATTTGATTTCAAAAATATGATACCAAGGTACCGGAGTACCTTTTGCTACCGAGTATAATGAACTCCAGGGGTATTAGACATAAAAGAGAGCATTGGCTTTTGTCCAAGATACGATTGACGATGGTTTACATGGTCGGAATGGTATGCTTGGAATCATCCTCTTGCTGCGCAAACGATTGCTTGAACGCCGCGAGTCCTATCACGCACGTGGCTGTTAGTTGTCATTCAGAAAGTCGGAATGAGGCGTATGCTTACCAGCCAGAATGCCGCAAACCATGAAGAGGAAAGAAATAATAGACCAGATAACGCCCCAGCACTGCGAAGAGCCTCCATATCGCTTCGCGAACACGCTCGCATCAGAGCTGTTTACCTTTCGAAGAATAAGATCGTCGCAGATGTCCCAGACGCTATATAGAGACGACATGACGCCAATAAAGAGCTACCAGACAAGTTTAGTTATCATCCGAAACATCAGCCGGGGAAATACATACCACAACAAACCTAAGCGGCTCGGCATGGTCAATGAACCAACAACCCACCAACAATCCCACGGCCGCCAAAATCGTCACAATAGTAAGCCAATCCTTCCGCGCCCACCACAGGATAAGTAAAAAGCAGACACCAAGCACAATACTCGCGATCTTGCTCGCCACAATATCAAACCCGCAGAAAATGAGCAGCGCGCCAATGAACGAAGATCCAAGATAGCCGGCTGGCAGCGTGACAGCGCTGATGCCGCCGCGCATGTGCGTCACGCCGCCTTCGTGCGGATCGAGCGAGATGGACTCGACCCTCCCGCCGGTGCAGCAGGCGGTGATTGCGTGGCCGAATTCGTGGAAGGCGATGACGAGCATCTGATAACGAGGTTTAGAAAGAAATAGTCGAGGAAATCAGAGAAACGTTACCTTGAAAGGCCATAAGACCCATCGGATATAGGGAATGTTCCATAAAAGAGCAATAACGACGACGTAAACGGCTATTATTCCTAGCGTCACGCCTTGGGTGTGGTTGACGCCGAGGCCACGACGGGCGATGGCAGGGCTGGCGGCGATGACTGCGCGGCTAGCGAGGGCGGCAGCATTCATCATTTTGAGGTCGTGGGGAGCCATGGCGGAGTTATTGGATGTTGTTTACTGAAGATGTAGGTGTCGCATCGACGGAAAATGTTGGGTAGTTGATGTTTTTTGGCCCTGAAACCGCGTGGAACGCGTGGATGAAGAGCTGACGTGGGTGTGGAATGCTTGCGTGGCGCAGCTGGAGCATCTATTTTTAGTATCATCTACCTATCTCACGTGTTTGAAAAAGCCGAAATTCTCGGCGCTGTCGTGCCTTTCATGTTCTTGTATTTTAGTCTCTGGCGGTACGGTCATAGCTACAGTTGTGCCTTTGACTTCGTAGAGAAATTCTCCATGACCTTCCATCATTGCAATTCAAAGAGCCACACATCCCAACTAGGAAATCGCTGGCTCGCTAAGTGCTCAAAAACCTCCTTGCAGTCAAATTCAGGTCTGAAAAGGAGAGGATTTCACGTTAGTCCGCCTTCTCATCTCGATCCGGCGTTGATCCAAACATTTGCAACAGGCTTCGTTCGTAGCTTTTCTGATGCCGAAGACGATTCTTCTCCTTCTTTATCTGTTGCTTCTGCTTCTTCACTATCGTCTTGGCCTTGTCGAACAGTGCCTTCTTTCCCCGCGAGGTGCCCGTGAACCTCTGCGAGAACTCAGCAAAGAGACTGTCCTTGTCCATACTTCCCTCATTTTTTTGCAGCCACTCCGTAATGAACTGTTCCTCCTCTCTCGCGTACGGAATGACCTTTCGTCCGGACTTCTCCGGGGCATAATGATTCATATAGTAGCCCTTGTTGCGCCACTCATTCAACTGTGACACTTGAGTCGGGTCAGACCAGTCCATTGTAGCCTCTGCAGGCCAGCGAACTTCATTGCAGTCTTGGTCGTGGTATACGTACTTCGTAGGGTCCGGTTGATAGAGTACCGCAGGACTCTTATCAACAACAATGACGCCTTCTGGAGTATTAATCTCAAGATACAGTGAGAGATCCGATTCCTGCGCTGGTGAAGCTCTGCTGGATGCCGGGTTCTCGTAGGCAACGCTACTTCCATATGTGACGGATGGAGTCTCCTCAACATTGTGATGTGATTTCTCGCAGGGTGATGAGAGATTCGAGCCCTGTGTCGGTTGAGATCCGCTGGCTGTAGCGTACTCATTGACAACGCTAGCTCCATGTGCGACCGATGGACTCTCCTCAACATTTGGAACCGATTTCTTGCCGGGTGGTGAGAGCCCTTTGAGAAGAAGCTTCATCGGTCTGCAGCTCTCCTCCTGTTCCGGAGTCCACGGTAGATGACACCAACGCCGTCCAGCGCCTTCAAATCTCAGCTGCTGGCTTGCATCATAGTTTTCATCCACGACCCGCTCGCCCGTGCCGTCGACTCGCATCATCTGACGATGGTAGCCATAGTAGTAGTCTTTCGATTCCACGCGTAGGCTTCCGCTAGAGTGGACGACCAGCACTTCCGATTTGCCAAGAACCTGGAACTTCTTCGGCAGATTACGCAAGTAGTCTGGATGAAGGAGGTATCTGCCACTGCCGCGAGCATATGGCTCTGGGTAAAGCGGGTGGATCTTTGCGTTTTGAAGAGGACCTGCCTATCGTTAGCATTACCGCTTGCCATCACATCAGCGCGATTCGATGGCAACTCACTCAGAGACTGTTCTAAGCCTAACTTCAGAAGCTCGATATGCTGTGGGCCCAGGAAGTCTCCCGGAACATCTTGCAGAAGACAATAATTTTTCCATTGATCCCAGTTTCTAATATGGAGTGGGTGAGGGTCAGACTCCTTCCTAGGACGCCGCGTCATTATTCCTAGCTTGACGCTCCCATGAATGAACTCAGAGACCACATCAGGCGGCGATTGAAGGGTCCAGAACTTGCCGGGAAAAGGTTGCGGGAACCAAGAAGGGCGCCAGTGCAGGGTGGTGTTATCTGGGAAAGAAATCAAGACGAGGAGATCGTGCTGGATCAGCTTGAGCTGAGGATTCGCTTCGACATCCTCCTGAGTAAGATAGCCTGGCATGTAGAGTTCGCAAGACTCATCTGGTATATCAGATTCAGCATGAGGTTTCGTTTCCATAGGTAGTGGAGACATGGTGTCTGCGCGGACGGAATCGATATCCATACTGTCTGGGGATTCCTGCCAAGACATATTGAATGCCCCCCGGGTCGTGACCTCTTTAGTATTGTGAAGCGAATCGAGTTCTAGAATATCAGTGGGAAAGTCTGCCAAGGAGTGACATGGACGGGTTGTGACAGCATTCGGTTTGATGTTCGGAGCTCGGTTTGATGTAGGGTTTGCGACACGTCTTTATGACTTTGTGAAGCTATGCTTGGTTGCTAGATCTGGTGAAAGTTCTGGCAGTTAGGTGGTTCTTCCGTGCCGGAGTAGTGGGTCCAGTGAATGTCAGCTGTCTCAGCCCTGTTTGCAAGTGGTGATGAGACACGATTTCTGAAAGACGTGAAGCAGTTTGGAAATCAACGTGACCTGTGCATGGGATTTACCAACCCCGAACACTGCGACTGTCTCATGCCAGAATGACGACAAGCACAAGGAAGAAGCAAGCTGGTACAGCAACGACGTCAACGATAGTTGCAATACTCGTAGGTAAGAAGCTGCGCCGTTAGTAGTGACAGGTTAACTCAGAGAAGTGCACCGTCAGCCATATAGGGCATATTAGTACGCTTTGGCGTTCACGCATCGCCTTGTGCCAGCTCTGCATTCGTCTCGCGCTGCGAGATGGAAAGGACGAGGTTCTGAGATTGGAGATGGGTTGAGTACCGGACACACAAGCCCGAAACCCGTTAGCGTTCTATGTCCTATGGTCAAAGCGTTCCCAGCCTTGTCTCTCCCTCATCGGACCGACACCTAAATTCTAGCCACTTTGTCAGCTTGTATCTAATCACCTTCCAAGACGGCCAACGAGGGAAAGAGTTCATGTCAGTTTAGATCCTTTCACGTTCAATATGCTCACGTATTAGAGAGCGCAGACAGCATTCATCCAAGCTTATCTCCGACCTCCTGGTAAGGGAGCTGCCAAGATGATCCTACGAGCAAAGGAAGACCTCGGTCCTAGCCCCTAGAAGGACCTCTTTTCGTCCGGTATTTAACTCCTACGCCTTCGCCCTCTCGTCTCAAGAAATCCACGGCGCCCATTCCCATCAATTGCGCGCTCAAACCCAGACCAAACAACATGAACTACTCCATCTACGGCATCCCAGCCTACTGGGTGCTGTCGCTCTTTCCACACGTATATGCTGTGCGTAGACCTTAAAATTGCATCTATTTGGGCCCCCTGACTCATCGCCTTCTAGCAACGAATCATCAAGAACGCCAGCAATGGTCATTGGGACAATCGCAATCCCAGGGGAGTCGACCTACTGACGCAGTACAAGAGATCAGTGCCTGCAGCAGCCTTTGCGAAGTTTGAAAGAGCGAGAGCTACCCATAATAACGGTATGGAAAATATGGCCTTATTCATTGGAGCGGTGGTCGTGGGCAATATGGCGAAGCTAGAATCAAGCAAGGCCTCTGGAAAGGAGAGTATGTTCTCTTTAATATCGTATTTATAGGCACTCTCAACACCGTCGTTGGAAGCTTCCCCGCCCTCCGCGTGGTCTACACGGCGCTGTACATCACCATCACGAACAAAAAGTACAGCCTAGCTAGAAGTACCGTCTGGGCTATCAGCACTTTGCTGCTTTTCTATCCAATCGTTAAAGCAGCAAATATGCTAGTTTACCAAACAGACTCTGCATAGAGCTGTTGTAGATACTGTATTGGTGCATTTGTAGATATCTTGTTCAATCTAAGCTCTTTCTGATCCCCAATTTCCTCAAACGATTGTGTAAAACACTACGTGATGTTGATGCCTTAGGCCTCGAGCTGAGTACTCACGAGTATTTCTCTTGACTTAGTTAGAGGCCTCAATACCTCGCACTATATCCTCAAACTCGACCCTGAATTGAAGCAGCAGCTTCCACCGCTCTGGGACCGCTTCGATCCCATCTCTTGCACCTAGCAGACCTCCGGCAATGGCGCCATTAGTATCAGTGTCTTTTCCTACTCGCAAGACATCCACGAGGACATCCTCCAAGGTCCTTTGGTCAAGGATAGCCGCGATAGCCAACGTCAACGACTCCAGCACATAGCCTCCAGCTTTCCCAGGTAGCTCCGGTCCCGGTCCGTTCTCCACAATTGTTGCCACTGAAATCGTCTTGCCTTGTTTCACAGCTAATTCGACGGGTTTGCAATCCAAGCCTTCCACCTCCTTCATAGCTCTCAATCCAATCTCAATAGCTTCGACAGCGTTCACACCATCTACCAGAGCCGCGGCAATCTCGTTGTACACCGCGCAAGCCACCGTGCATCTCCGATCATCATGCGTTACAGCACTAATCTCAATACTCTCCCTCACCCTTTCCTCCCTGCTCTTCCCAAAGAGTCCCGTGGGCAGACACCTCATCAAACTTCCATTCCCAGCCTGATCTGGGCCCGCGCCCGCCTTTCGCGGGTCTCGCGTCTGCTGATACTTCGCCAGCCCAACTTGCGTCGCACCACCAATATCCACAGGCTGTGACCCTGGCTTACGCCCAGGCCACGAGGTGCCCGTCGACCACGCAACCATGTAGTCGGCTGCGCAGCGCACAACATCGAACGTGACGCTGCCATCTTTCTTGACGAGATACGCCGGCCGAACTCTGAGCTCTGCGACCGCGGAGCCGTTGAAATCCTTTTCTCCTGCAGCTGCACGCTGGTCTTTCTCTTGGGCGCGCTCAAAGTCTACACGGTCGCGGTATGCGAGGAGTACGGCGCGCGTCATGTCGGTGTCGTCGGTGGCATGGCCGGCAGACCATCGGAATGCGCCTCCGCCCACGATGTCGCGGAGGCCGGTGGGGTATTTGGCGCGGATTGAGGACCAGGTCCTGAATTCGAGGGTTGCACCTAGGGAATCGCCCGAGTGGAGGCCTAGGAGGGCGCCTAGGATGCGGGATTGGCGGGAGGAGGTTATTGGTGGATCCATTGGGAGGCCTGCGACACTGTAAGGAACGGACATGGTGTGGTGTTGTCTAAGAATCAAATTCTTGAGGAGAGTCTTCTTGTGGATGTGGGACTAGAAAACGTGGAGTGAATGGATGAATAACGAGAGCTCAGGACTGAAGTGAAATCTCCACAAGTTTAAAGGACACGAAGTGACGCAAAAAGAACAGTCGCCCTACCGTAAGATTATGAAACTGGGAATGAGGCATGAGACATAGACTTCGTGAAGTCTGTAAGTTCTTGAATGGCACTCGCAGCCATATATTTAAGAAGCACATATTTTGCACAGCCACCACCATAGCCACATTAACTCCCCAAACGCTGATTACCCATTTGCCTAATGCAATCTTTTTCTGGGGCCAATTCGTTGGAGCGAGACAGCTGTCAAACTAGGCTTCAATCCACCGCCGCAGAACAACGAAGGATAGTAGTAGTACCTTTGTAGCGCTTCGAAGAGAACAGGGCGTCAGCGTCATGTGAGAAGTGTGAATAAGGGTCTATGAGTTGAAGGAAAGAAACATTAAAAAGATCGTAATTAATTTTAGAGTACTTTTAGCCTACTATAGGCCCACGGTATTGTGTCCGAGTTGTATTTCAGTAGATCGTGACCTTGACGACACTTTCGGTCTAGCGTGAAACTACCTAGATACAGCATGTTGGTCTCCAATCATCCAACCTCATCCTTCGCGCACCTTCAGCATCTCTCTTCTCATCATGATCACGCTACACACTGCCGACGCTCGTTAACGCGCTCATGCGCCGTGTTTACCTACCCTCGCAGCGTTTCGCCGTCACTTCGACAGTATGCCGAAGCCACGCGAAGCCCTCATCGGACCCAAACTGGTGCTCACCGACCCTGCATGCACCCTTCACCCGGTAAACCTTATACGCAGCATAGCGGGTGCTTTGACCGCGTGGCTCGGCATTTCGAGAATCCTACGGGCGTGAATGGGGCTGTAGAGAGAATTCCAGGGTCACGCACTCGAACCCCGGCTAGCCAAACGAAACATTAATCTAATTGATCACAAGTAAGACCATGACTGTTATTTCCGCTCAACGCGGCCCTTTTATGTATCTCGGAGTTCCTATCGATGTAACATCCAGAGATTGCAAGTTCCCCCGGGACTAAACACCTACTATCTCGGATGCAGACTTGGCGCCTTTATAGCCTTTCCTTCTCAGACGGTCCTCTCTTGTCCCATCTAACAGGTATTTACGCAAGCAGGAAAGTCTCAAAACGGTCAGAGCACAATGAAAAGGAATAGCGAAACGTCCAGCTACTCCATGCATGTCGAAAGTAGGAGAGCGGCGTTATATTCGACTAGTGTTCCAATGGGTCCAATCGGAGTACTATGTCCTGATCGCAACATCATCAATACTCCAGGCCCTCTAGCTAAATCCTTCTCCCGACAAGGTTCCCACAAAAGTGAACTTATTCTTCAATCATTTCCAACTCCTGCTGATCCGATGGCTCGTTACTTTCCCACCGTCGAGCAACTCATTGTCCAACGCACCCTCAGTGACATTCCTAAAGGGGAACTACTCCCGCTCTTCCCTGGTTTCCCCTAATCTCCTTCGTCTCAGACAAGGCCTTCCCCGCAAGACACTTGGAACATCTCCGCTTAGCCAGCCATTCTTCAGGCGTATGGTGGATGTCATCGGTTCTGTCCATCGCAGAGTGACATTTCTAGCAGCTTCACATGGGCTGAGTTGAACGTATCACCTGCCTAGTCTTGCATTAATGGCGCGTAAAAAGTCAGTGCCTACTACTATAAAGCTAGCATCAGCGTAGCTCTCAATAGTGCTGTACGACGCTCATTCCTGTTCTCGATCATTTGAAACTAGTCATGTCTTTAACGTACCTCCCCCTCTTCATCACGCTCCTTAGGGGTGCATCAGCTTTGCCTGCTACAAGCTACTCGTTGATAGACACGTACGATTACACGAACTGGCTCAGCAAGTTCAGTGTCCAGAGTGTACTTCATCCTCCATCTGCACATCTCAACTAAAACTAACTCTTTCAAGATCTCAGACCCAACTCGTACGCAGATTTATCACTTGTCTATCTGTCATTAGCTTATACAAAGCCTCCAGATGGCTATGTAAACTATGTCACTCAAGCTCAAGCCCAATCGGAAGGATTGCTCAAGACCGTCGGCAACCAAGTCTACATTGGCGTTGACAGCACGAGCCATCTCGACCCTAATGGTGTCGGTCGCGACAGCGTAAGGCTGCAGAGCAACCCATCCTACAATCACGCTTTGGTCATTGCAGATATCGCCCATATCCCAGGCAGTGATTGCGGGGCTTGGCCAGCTTTGTAAGTACACTCATATCCGATATAAAAGAACGAGAGCCTGAATATGATCAGTTGGATGGTCGGCCCAAATTGGCCGAATGAAGGGGAAATTGACATCGTAGAAGTTCGTATTACTCTTCTACCCTAATCCCTTTCCCACAGTCCAGGCCTGATTCAAACCAGGGCGTCAACCTCAACACCTACGATCAAGTCACGCTGCACACCTCCTCTGGCTGCGTCCCATCCGTCGGCTCTGGCGGTATGTCCGGCACGTCAACCGGGAACGCAGACTGCGGCGCCAGCGGCGGCTACACAGGCTGTGGCGTTGTCAGCGGTTCTGCTACGAGCTACGGCACCGCCTTCAACGCAAACGGCGGTGGTGTTTACGCCACCCTCTGGACCAGCTCGGGCATCGAAGTTTGGTACTTCCCCGAGAACAGTGTTCCTGGTGACATCAAGAGCGGCACACCGAATCCTGCGGGCTGGGGCCAGCCTATTGCGAACTATGCGGGCTGCAATTTCGATGCGCATTTCCAGAATATGAATATTGTGAGTTTTGGCCTTGCAAACTGTTGGGTAGTAGGCTAATGCAGGTAGATCTTCGATATCACCTTCTGCGGCGACTGGGCGGGGTCCGTCTGGAGCTCCTCGTCGTGCGCGTCTATCAATCCGAGCTGCCCGGCATATGTGGCGAGTGAACCACAATCGTTTGCCGATCAGTACTGGCTTGTAAACTCTGTCAAGGTCTACAGTGTCTCGTAGGGTGATCGAGGACTCCTTGAGGATAACTTTCCTTGTATATATTTCAGCTTGGCCGAGGCCGTGTCCATACTCCACGTCTTCTCTTCATGTTCATATTTCTCTTCACGTCCATACTATTGTTCGATTGATGGTAACTTCATTCTACGCTGGGAATTGTAAAGGGATATCGCGGTCGCTACAGTGTATATAGTCCGTCCAGTGCCATCTTCTACCTCAAACCCAACCACGCAAACCGCTATCTCTCAATACCACCTAAAATCAGCAAGCCACCTCTCCCTCATCCCCCCTCTTCCACCCAACCCCAACCCAAGCCCTCATCCCCACCCTAACCCCTCCATCAACCTCCTCAAACGTCCGCAGCCCCTTCATCTCCTCCTTAAGCACCACCTTCGCCTTGCCCAACTCCTCCTCATCGAACCCCGTAAAAAACATCCCCTTCGCCATAAACATATTCTCGACCAGCTTATCTAGAGTTGCCGCACTCGTATACGTCGGCACAGACTTGATCTCAACATTCTTCCCAAACCCCCCTTCCTCCAGCTGGCGCAGCAGCCACGAGCCGGTAAGGTACTCCGGCTCCAGCGCCATTGCATTCTGGGGGACCGCGGTGGGGCGGATGCGGTGGGCGGTTGAAGTGAAGGCGGCGGGCCAGACGCGGTCTGTTGGTACTATCAGCATTCATCCTTTCCTACTATCCCAGGCTGGAAATAATGGTGAGAAGGGATGGATGAACACACCCGCCCACGTCGACACCACCACCACGCCCTCTTTCTTAACCACCCGAAACATCTCCCTCGCCGCTTTGATCCCGCTCTCCTGATCCCCCGGCACCGGCAGCGCGAGATTCGCAAACACGTGCGTGAAACTCTCGTCGTCCAATCCTTCTAAGTTCCTGACATCCAGCATGGCGGTCTCGACACCGCTCCACCCATTCTGCTGGATCTGCGCATCGACTTCGTCGAGCATGGCGGGCGCGAGGTCCGCTGCCATGACTCTTGCGGCCGGATGGCGGGACTTGAGGAGGGAGGTTACGACGCCAGGCCCGCATGCGTTGTCGAGGACGTAGGACGCGGGCGTGATGGGCGGGAGGGAGGGAAAGGAGAGCATGGTGTTGGCGAGGTGGATGGTGCAGCCGCCTGTCATGCGAAGGTAGGCTGAGGCGAAGGTGGCGGTGGAGGGTGGTGTCATTCTGGTGATGGGTAGAAATTGGGTTAGGATGGAGAGGAGGCGTGGTGTGGTGGTGGGCATGAGTTTGAAGGGGAGATTTGAGATGATGATTTGAGGTGGGACGTTTGGGGTTTATATAAGAAGGTTGGTTGGAAATTGATGGGTAGAGATTTCGGAGGCTTTTGGGATATGCGCCAAGCGCTGATTCGTGAGTTGGTGATATTGAGAGCTGGTTGTTTACTACTGCGATGGAAAGGCTCTCGATTGAGCGAATTTGCTAAATCTCATTCCCTTCAAGAGATATCGTGTGTACGTTTGCTGCCTACGGAACCTTTGAGCAGAGGCCAATTTCTGGAAAGAGATATACATTTCTGGAACTGAAAAGTCTCCGGAAGCATGTAGACGGGTATTGGCCACGCTGTAGGATCGATACCAATCGGCCTTGCTGAGTCATAAACGAAGCAAATAATCGAAATAGATATTGAAGGGTCACCGTCGGTTCAGTGACTGTCTGGCCTGGTAATACCAGGTCCCGGAGACATAAGAAAGTCGCCGGAATACGCTAGTACGGGATAGGAAACCTTAATCAGTAAAATCGAACAAGAAGTGTTGGCTCAATCCTTTTGCCGTCGAGACAACTCAAGGGTAGTAGTGCCATAGATTCCCTGGGCCTCTTCACAGCGAATCGAAAAATCATGAAGCGGTCTCTCAGTTGGTAATGCGAAGATCATATCTTTCCAAATATGTCCGCCAGCGTGAATCTGCTCGCGCTTGGCCACCGCTATAACTTCGATCTCTGCATCAAGCTCCAAGGCTTCGTCCATTTCTGGAATCCGCGGGATTCTGAGCATCCTAATGCTGTCCAGATTCTCAACATCCTCCACAGCGATGGGTACCGGATGAATCAGGCGTAGCGTTCGAAGCTTCCCCGACATGAGCAGAGTGACTAGCTGGCGAACGGCAGGCCAGAAATACGCTCGGCTCTGCAAGTCCCAGAGCCTAGTCTGTGGAGTCTTATCGTTGCTGTGTTTATACGGTTGCCTATGGAGCTGAGGGTCGAAGAAAGAGACATCGAACGGTAGTTCCACAGTGATAGAGTCAACATGCATGCGATTGACGATGAACTCGAATAGGTCATTCCACCCCTGTTGCTGCAATCTATCGTCTTCGGCGAGGATCGTATACATGAACATCCAGACGTCGAACTGCAGATGTCGTATCCTTATGAGCGAAGTCGGAGGTAACGTCGGGAGTATCTCAAGCATCTCGCGCGGATGAAGAGCGTTGTCTAAGAAATGAAAGGATCTTTCGTTATAGACTAGCTCTAGGGCTTCCATAGAAACTTGATGATTGGTGAACAGTATTGGGAGACGGTCCCTCAACTCCGCGAGACCCCTTGCACGCCTCTGCCAATACTCCCTTTCGGACTTGTCGGTCGGTTCGCCGCTGGAAGCTCTGTCGTCTTGTACAATTATATACGGGACTACGCATGGCTTGTTCAAAGCTAAGCGCTCAGGAATGACGGCTCGGTAGATCTCGTCTCGCAGCTCCCTAGGCAGCTCGAGAAACGGAATCGTTTGGGGACGGAGCGGGCCAGCAGATTCCCAGTAGAGCTGCTGCTTCTCCAAGCGGATCTCTTTAAATTGACGCCTCTGCTCTTGCCGGAGCATATGTGCGGGGGAGTAAGGGTATCGAACCATTGCGAAGGCCTCTTCTTTTGACAGGTCTAAGCCCATGGCGTGGTAATCCTGTATCGTGTCTGTTTGAGCGTCTGAAATAATAAATCAGCAGGCGGGGACGATTAACTACGTTGGATGGCCCTCGACGCAGTAGTTGATTGTGAAGAAGACACGTACCGCCATGTTGGACAGCAACCTTGTCCACGTGAGCCAGGCCGAACTGCACTGCCACATCGAGGAATTGTCTTGAAACAATGAAGGTTTGACATAAAAGGCACTTTATGTACCTATGTAGACCATAACTGAATTCAGTGTGGAGTCCAGTAATATATGTACTGTACTTGTGAGCATGCAAGATGGGAGGTCCATTCCCACGTAATCTACCGTGCCACAAGCATCAAAGTGCCGTACTCACATCTTGTGCTCTGGAGGAACATTAAGCATCGCAAGGAATCGTTTAGTCTCAAAACTCTATTGGAGCCGAAGGCGATAGCGCGAGCGAGATTTTCGATGGGTGCCAGACACAAAGTGAAGGAATGAACGAGGAATCAGTGCGCAAAGTTAAGCATCAGCATTTGCACGGATTCATGGCCGGTCAATTCAATATTAAAGCATTCAGTTCATTAAATCGTGACCTGCTTTTCCCAAAACCATTCATGATATAACAGGTACTCCGCAGTAAATACCGTCCCCTAGTACCCTTGTAGGCCAAAAAAGTACGGGTATAACAAAAAGATCCTGTATACAAATCAACGCCTTGCTACCTATCCCAAAAAAAGTCGCACTTCGTTTCTATTAGTACGGCGGTGGGGGTCGCGAGAACGACTCTGGGTTGTAAGGCCGATAGTTTTGTTTCTGGTCTGCGGGATACTGGCTGTTTCGGTCTTGGCCCTCAAGCTTCTTCAGGGCATCCCGTGATCCATCATGCTCTTCGCGGGTTTCTGCCATGGCCGGCAGCTCCGCGGCGAAGCCTTTCTGCTCCATTCCGGGCGATCGCATGCTGCCATGGTCGGATGCGTAGGACGTAGGGCGGGAGCTGATGGAACTGTGATGGTCAGACGCAGCGACAGACCATCGGCCGTCGTTCGAGTTCGGCGAGTTACTAGCAGCTTCCGAGGCATGCGAGTATCTATCGGGAGCTTGTAGATGCGCAGAATCTTGTGGTGCGTGATAGTAGTCGCCAGGGAGTTCCATGACGACATTTTGGTATGTCTGCGGCACCCCTTGATAATGAGGAGCCATTTGCTGTGGAGCAAAGGCCGGTGAGCCAGGAGGCTGGTATCCACCACCGGTTTGAGGTCTGTAGCGATTCGTTGGCGAGCGCGGGAGGACGTACTGCTGTCCCGGAGACATGGGCATCGCAGACGTGAGCTGTGGGGACATGGGCGTGGGCATAGTGCTAGTACGGTCTGCGGGATTGAGCGTCCTCAACTTTCCATCCTCCATCATTGCGTGCAGCACTCCCGCATCCAGCAATTCGGCCTTCTTGATAAGTCTGTCAACAAGGATCTTGGAAGCTGCCTTTGTTTCTTTCTTCACGAACGAGACCATGGTGAAGTTGCACTTGATCTCGATGTCCTCGCGCAGATACAGGCCCTCGGGCGGGGCTCCGATGCCCATCTCGCGCTGCTCGGGGGGCTCGCCGGGCTGATTGCCGCATATCTGCCATTTATTGCGCAGGTCCACGCCGGCTGGCGCATAGATATGTGTTTGCAGCCCCCAAGGCATGTCATGGAAACAGCCATTGAAGTTGATCTTGCCGGACCCTAGCTTGCCGGTGCCAGGCACGTACTGGATGCGCTGGGTGATGTCGTACCAAGTGGAGTAGAACTCGTCGGCGGGAGCCTCACGGGGCGCTTTCGTGGGCTTGTAGTCGATAACTAGCGGGTTGAGCTGGATGACTTCGCCATGGCTGTGGAGGATGTCGATGGCAAGCTGGCGGGGTATGTAGGACGGGATGGGGGTGATGTTGATGTAGTTGATCTTCTTGCGCATCATCTTGGCGGCCTAATGCAGATATGCGCGTTTGCTATGAGAGGGGTTGTGGTGGTTGCTGTCGGGGGTGCGAGAGGGCTCGAGGAAGTTGTTCCGAGCGGGGAGGGACGAGATTTGGGGCTGACGCCTGTGACCGGCCCTACTCATATGTAGGGAGGCAGTGTGATATTGGCGCAGCATTCCTCAGCAAGCTTAAAATGGCCGGCCCAACGCCTCCGTCAGCACCCACAGGGGGCCTGCATCCAATGTGCAGTTGTTTCGCACTCAGCCACGTCATGTTGCGACTGCTGATGGTGGAAGCGCCCGACTCTTCTTACAGGCCAAATGTTTCCCACGCCCAGGCCTCTTAAATCTCCTGCGTCCTGCCCAAAGCACACGTCTCATTTCTTTGGCGCCGTATTCCTCGGAAGCGCAATTGATGCTTCCTGGCCTTCTGCTTTGGCTATTGCTACAGCCTCATTTTCTGTCGTTCGCCCAGAACAGTTCTCTATCAACAGTTTGCTTAGCCCAATATGCCCCCACCCGCTGTCCACTTGCGGTTCTTGGATGATGCTGTCTCCAATACGCTACCGGGTCCCTAACTTTCCGGTCGGGATTCTCGCGCGCTAGACATTCACTCCACGTGACATGCCGCCGGGCAGATCTATTTCGGAATTGTGAGCATCCTTTCATTCGGTTCCGGCCAGATAGATCGCATTCCTCGAAGAAACCTCCCTCAATCTATCATCACCGCTCTATTGAATCGAAGTTACTCGATATATTGGAGAGTCGATATGCCACGTGATTATTCACGTATCGGGTTTGGAACTTCGTGTCCCATCTTTCATCTCAGTTCGAACTTGCACTCTTCGACTCACGGATCACAGTGCGGCGGGCTAACTATAGACTTATTGACCTCTACAAATTACATCACCCCCGGTCGACTCTGTGAGTTGATGCAGTGAATTTAAGGACCACCTAGCGTGTCTAGGGTATGTATAGTCATAAACACAGTCCAGGTTCCCAATAGCTAGCCCGATGCTTATGACGCGGGGCTTCAGATGCCGTCGATTTTGCTCTCATTAAGTCGCTCGCCTTCTGGATCTTGAAAGGAAGATGTTCATTCGTTACAATACGGGGCATCAGTATACGGGGGGAGAAGAACGATATTGGCGGAAAGAATGATCATCTCCTCTTCACAACACTCGATTGTAATGGATGTCAGCTAAGTACGAAGTGGACTAGCATTACATTCAGGGAAGATTCGGAGTTTAGAATGCCGAGAAACCCTTCGTCGTTATGCTTTACATCGACTAGTAAGTAGCTACTGTTTCAGTCCGGAGCCAAATCCATTGCTAAAAATGCTCTTGTTGAGCGCGCTCCTCGGAGTTCCTTTTGTTTCCTCCTCTGCATTTCGACTGAGATTTCGTCTCAAGATACTTGGACCATGAAGCGAGCGAGGAGATTCGGCCATTCCTTCACATCCATGCATCATATATCTGTGTACGCTATTTCGCCACGGCTTATGATGCCTCCAACGCACTGACTTGAGTCTGGAAAGACGTGTCACATCTATTCTGTGGACGCTGATCCACCGCTACTTCATGTGACCTAGCAGATTTAATGATTGTTCAAAATGATAGTTAGACTTCCATACAGACTTCGTTATGAGAGCACATAGAGCATGAGCGAAAGAGTCGAGAAACGCAGTTGCAAGCTTTGGCGAGCCAGCAAGCAGGTATCGCTTATCAATGGCACAGTTCTGTTGTGATTTTATGACGCAACTTAAGATACGACAGCCTTTCACGATACGGCGAGCTGATCACGTGGATAGATTTGGTCGAGTCCCGAGCCACTTCGTCACCGCTTCACTTCACTCCTCAACTCACTCGGGCCGGGCGGCTACACTTTAGTTGCCTTTCGCAACCTATAGCCTGTCGCCTTTCTCTCTCTCTCTCTCTCTCTCTCTTTACAATTAGTTTTAAACATCTGGGACCCTGGATCTGCTAAGACGCTCCCTTAGACAGTTCAGTCTGTTAAGCAGGAGCGAAAGATTCAAAGCAACCCACGCGCCTCCCATTTGCGACAGGCAGCCATGCAGAAAAAATCCTCTGCCTGGACATCCCCAGCTGTATTCAGATTCGTCCAGCCCTTCGATACGGCTCCGGAGATTAACTGGATCTCACATCCAATCACGCTTCCCGTCGCACCTCCGAAGATACCCAAAGACCTAAGGCATGTAGAGCAGCACAAACTTATATCGTTCTACGATGTGTTGAAGAGAAACTTGATCATGATACTTCCGGCTTTGGATGTTCATCCTTGGTTTGCAAGAATCATAACGAATGAGCTGCGCTTTTCTCATTCGTATGATTCCTGACAACTGATCCTCGACGACTGGTCCTTGAATAGAAAAATGGCTTCGGAACTGGAAACTGCGTGGAACTGGGCTGCTATGAAATGCACTCAACACTTTGGTGGATATCCAATCGAGATTATCGTTCCAGTGGGTACATCGGACCTAAATCACCAATTCGAACCTCATGAAGAAGACGAAAACAAATATGGGTCTGATCAAAGGAGCATTCCGTCCTCGAGAGCTCTTAACGATGTCGATGAAATAGTTGTCTACAAGACTCAGCATTCGGAATCGTCAACGTCTAAATCTACCCCTGTGTCTCAGCTGTCTCATGAAACGCGAGTAAAAACGTACTCAACACCATCACAAAATCAACCCGTCGACTGGTTGCTTCTTTGTTCCGACGAATACACGCGCAAATCGGGCGAAGCTTACATGAGCTCCGTCACACTTTGCAACAGCGAGCACCGAATCAACAGAAAAGAAAAACGGGACACAAAATGGTACCAGAAAGTTGTGAATGAGATCTGGAATTGTCGCATGTCTGGAACGAAGACAGCTTGGAGTTTTCAATTCAAGCCTACAAAGGAAATACCTAAATTGCTTTCGAAGTTGGCACGTGAGGCAAGGGTATCGGTGCAGTTACTGGAGATGCTGATCCCGGCGTCTGAGAGGTTTGGAAATGGACTTACTGTCTGCCTTTACAAGATCGTGCTACCAACAACGCTACTGTCATAAGAAGCAAACCTCTGGAAAGATATGAAAGCGGAGTCAGACGTGTCCGTGGAGATCCTCAAAAATGGTTGTATGGATACACGCAACGATGCTCCAGGTATGGCACTGAATGCCCCTTCAGATGCTACCAGTATCATGCATTACGGAAAATGCTCTACCCATACCTACTACCCCCAGGAGACCTGTTTGTTGGAGACTATCCGCGACCTGAAGAACGTCCGGATCCCAAACCAGTGAGACGTACATTTTACGGTTACCCAATTCAGAAGCTCCCGTGGCCTGCAAGCATCACGACTACGTACTACGTTCGGGGCAACAAATTCAAGCTGAACGACATGCATCTTGGAATCTCCAGTGTCACTAGAATGACGTATAGCGAAGTATCGGCCGTACTCTACGCCCGGAAGATTCACTTTCACGGCAGCATTCAGAGTGCTTTAGCCTTTCTCCACGACTGTGCCCACCATCTGGGCGACCTCAAGAAGATCAGTCTCCGACTCTTCCCTGATCTAGAAACATACGCCCAGCAACCCGCTCCAGCACCGGAAGGTACTTGGACACCACCAACTCCGATGAATCTCTGGCGCAAGTTTTTGAACGTCATGATCCATAACTGTCCGGGCATCGAGAAAGTGGAGCTTTTCGTCGATAAGACTATATGGAATGTTGCTCCTTGGAAAAAAGGCATCTCTACCGTTATGGAACGCCCTGACGATAAGCCCTTGGTGATTGACTTTGGCTGCGCGGAGGACAACGGTCCGCGGAAGAGCTACCTCCAGCACGTCGCCCGCTTCCACAACGGGTGCAAGTTCACTTTAACCATCGACGAGCCAGAAGGATATTGTCAAATCTCTCCAGAGATGCGGGTCAAGTACCGAAAGGCCTTAGAAGAGTGCACGGAGCAGGAAATGGCGGACCGTCCGCGCTTCGATACCAAGTGTCGCTGCAGTTGTATGCAGGATAATCTGAAGCACCTGGTGCTGGACTGGTCCTGCATCCTTCGATGGGAATAGATTCTCGGCTGTTCGATTCGCCTTGAACCTGGAACAGAGGATATTACCGAAGGAGAAGATGACAGCAAAATGGAACCTCGACCTTTCATGAATTTCTGGATATGATGTTGAATCATAGCAACTCGAACTCACAACACACAAAGTACTCTTTACATTGGCTTTCTAAAATTTTAAATTAGAACAGTGCTCACATAAGCTTCCTCTTTATCAACGGTGCAAAGCGGCATGCTATACTAAGCTCTGGCCACTGTCAGGCCTAAGAACCAATCAAACTCTTACTCACTGGAAGACATCAAATTCCATGCATTTCCTCACTTGTTATGAATGTGGCCTATGGTGTCACTATTGAGGTAGATCTTGGCCTGAAAACAGAGAAGTTACGCAGCTCGAATTGCACCTTGTCCCGCCCGACCCTCTCGCAGTGATTCAGGTGACTTCGCATCTTAGCAGATCCTTCCACCTCTAAGTAATATCGCCACCCTAAGTCCAGACTTACTTTCCAATATCTCTAAAATGTCACCTCTACACCAGCTGAAGCAGCCGCGTAAATTCGATCCTGGCACCCAACTCGCAGCTTCTCCCTCGTCCAATACTAATCTTGGCATGGACAGGCCCCCTTCTCTCACAACGCAAAACACGGTCGCATTCTTCACCTGCCCCTTCTATTTTTCTCTCCTATAAACACCAAGCGACTACGATGTTTGGCTCAGCGCACCTTTCAGCCTCTCAAGACTCAAAGACGCAGCGACCACGTGCTCAGGATGGAGCGATCTCCAAAAGCAAACGTTGAGTGCTGGACCGAGAAAAGTATTGCCATCAGCTGAGTGAATCTCGGTGGAGAATGATGCATGGCAACGCTGGAATGATGTGGCTGCCGCGAGGCGGTGCCTTCACAAAAGATCGAGGAGGGCTGACGCAGTGCGCGATTGAGAGCGTCCAACGGTGATTGCAGTGGTTGACGGTAATTTGGGAGTACTTCTGGCTGCGGTCGGAAGTGGGAACGGGAGTCCTGCTAAGATGTATGTGATATGGGATGATATTTAGCACCTAGATTCCAACTCTTTATCAGCCCAAAGCGAACATGGCGACCGCCACGGCCACGAGTAACGCGATAGACTGTCCAGGCGCAGCATCCAGCATGAGCATGACTCGGGATCCCTGGGAAACGGAGACAGGATGCTGAGGTTTGCTAAACCGCCACCACCTGGATTCCAGGACCGTGGAACTTTGGGACGTCGCTCTGGCTCTGACTTTAGTAGCGAAAACATGATTTGATAAGTGCTGTACGTACAAGTCCTGAGAAGTCGTAAATGCCGTTGCGGTGTCGACACTCGAGTCCTGAACCACGACGATGTGGGCAGTCCTCGAAACTTCAGATGCGTTTACTGCGGAGATTGACAGAGGGACTTCCGTTCTCACATTGCTATCATATTGGGAGAACCTATTGGGTGTTAGAGAATAGCTTTAAACCCAGAGGATAGTTCATTTGTACCTTGCAGCTATCCTGCGAATGAGTAGATTTATGCTGGTCTCGTTGCTGCTGGGACAATGCGCCGCAGCGGCGAGGAGTGCCAGAGCGAGAAGACACGGCAACAGAAGAGAAGGAAAGGATTTCATCTTGCAAATATGATGGTGTCTATAGAGAAGAAGAGCTGAAGGAAGTCGGGTACACGAGTCGCTCCGTACACAAGAAGAAGTAATTATGAAAAGAGTCCTCCGGGTCTACCTGAAGGGAAGAAAACAATGTAGCAGGCCAGCATGTTACGAGGAAGAAGAGAAGAGAAAGACATGAAGATATGTGTCCCTACGAATTATTGCAGGGCTGTGTTCGCGAGAATGCCCTGGCTCAGCTTTCGAAGCTGAACATCGTGGGGCTGAGCAACGTCGCCCCCAGCGAAAGGATCGTGGCTTTTATGCTTTTCACCCCGGACGCTTGACCAGCGTCAGGAGCGACAGAACATGAAACGCTGACGTCACGTCCGCGGACTTCATCATCATTTTGAGGAAGAATGAATGATCAAGCCCCGATGTGGGGACCGGGGATTTCATTATGCTAATTAACTGGACGGCAACCCTCAGTCAGTCGTGATCCTGTTCATGCGGTTCCTCGGCGCCTTATGGGCAATCGAACATAACTCCTTCGAAATCGTCGTCCCCTCCTTATAGTGTACTTGCGACGATGGTCGCAAAGTCCATTTAAGACCACCTGCAACTTCTCCCGACGTGCTATGCAGTCTGCTAATGCAGACTAATGCAGCCTCGGAGTCGCGTCCTATGATAGAGTGCTTGGGTCCCGCTCTCGAGACCGGCCGCAAAATGAAACCTTTTCTGTTCATCTGCAGACCACCGGGCGGTTTTCAGCATCTACGCCGATTGAGAACATGCTCTATTAATTCCCCGAGTCAAAACGTCTCTATGACCGACCAGAAGAGTGGTACTGGTGCGACGTCATGGGCTTTCACCGCTGGATCGATCGTGGCCATTCCAGATTACCGTGAGGATCAGACCAGACATGCTGGATGGGATCCGAACGAGGTCAAACCGGAAGGAAATCTAATTCTGTCTCGGAGGTTTTGCAACTGTCGAAATTCGAGTAAGGAGTACCGCGTTCTGGAAAGAGGATGTCGAATTCTGAACACGGTGACGATTTAGTTCTCGTCTTCTTCGCCTTCCAGCAAAACGTATTCCAGGATGTCGCTGAGTGTCACCATGCCCTTAAGATGTCTATTTTCGTCGATGACGACTAGCCTATGGACGCGGGACCTGCGGATAGTGTCGAAGATTGTACTCAAGCGATCGTCCGGTGAACATGTGTAGATACCAGGGAAGTCCTTATAGCTGTCAGCAGTGTTCATCTGGCGTGATGGCGGACCTACATCTGACCGCTTGAGCAGGGCGTCCCCGACATTGAGATTCAAGTCGTCGTATGAGCCTCCTTTTATAAGCGTAATTATATCCACCGCTTCGAAGACGTTGAGAACATGGCCTAAGATTGTCAGCTTTCGCCACTTACAAAAAGCCAATGTACCAACCATCTGTGTCCAAAATCGGAACACTTGATATGTTCTTCTTGACCAGCATGTGGATGACATCCATGACAGGTGTATCCATGTGAGCTGTCTGAAGATTTGAAAATGATCCCATGCCGATGTCTTTCAAGGACTTCCCTAACATCTCTGTCTCTGTTACGTTGACTGCAATAAACTTGAGTATCCTATATTGTGTGACGACACTAACCACCATGTGACGCTGAGTCTCGTCGTCTACATCCACGAGCGGAATTCTTCTTGCGCGTGACTCCAGCATCCTCCGACATGCTTCGTATAGCGGCTTATCGGGATGTATGGAAACGGTTTCGATGGGAGCTACGCCAATGGCCTTTTCCACCTCTGTACTAGTTAGCTCCTTGTGCCATTGTTTCTGTAGACTCTTCATACCGCGGAGACTGTTTAGGCGAAATTGATCCACCTGGTCCAGCGCATCAGGGTTCTGCCAATAGTATTGAATGACGTTCATGTAATCGGAAGTAGTGAGGAGGCCTGCGAATGTCGACGACTTCGAGTCCCACAAAGGGGCAGAGACGATGCCTGGACATAGTCTGATTAGTCCTCTGGTGCTTCCCTTCCGCTGAATGACCATACCATTCTGAATGAGTATATTCAAGCTTTTTTTCACGAGCAGCGACGTGTCGAGGACTATCAATCGGAAGCTGAGCGGCAGGACGTCGTAGCTGGTGCGGACTTTGAGGAATGCTCGTATGATTCGCTTTGGATTGCATCAGCCAGTTACTAGTGTTGTCTCACGCAACCCCGCGCGCGAAGGGTAACAACTCACCAAGCCTTCCATCTGCTCTCGATCTATTGGACTGAGTGTTTTCGGAGTCGCAATCGGGTGAGAGAGCTCTAGGTACGTCCGGGGTTGCACGAAGGCTGGCCGTGCTGGCGCAGCGCTCTCATTGACGCTGTGCACGGCCTGGGCTATCGACTCGCTGTTGTCTGGTCCAGACATTGCGGCTAGGTGGCAGATTAGCACGTAGGCACATAGAGCTACAGCTAAAACGCGTCGGCGGCGGCGAGGTGACGGACGACGTGGGCTATCGTGAGTTTTGTGGGGTGAACGATGCAAGCTCCAGAGGTCGGCCCGCTGGTGAGGTTTGATGGAGGGGTATCACGTGATGAATGATGGGGTTCTATACACAAGCCGTATTCTACTTGTTTTAGAGACACTAGCTCATCAATTGGTGTGTCCAAAAAAGAGGGCTAGTCACTCTCGTCGATGGCAATACAATATCAGCTCTTGCAAGTTACTCTGTTCCGTCTACCTAGCGAACGTGGATCCCATCTTCTGCATCATACAATTGTAGCCCCTCTCATGAACTAAGTCGACAGGAAGGAGAAGTATCAAAGCTAAGTCATCACTGCTGAGAGACGTGCCCTTTTCACAACAAACTATGCTAGAAGCACAGGGCACAGGCCCCATGTAAGAAAGCGACCAAAAGCTTGTGAACCGCCAACCCTGGAAATGACAAGCCCCCGTGAGGCAAGTAGACTGTAAAGGAGGAAAACACGAAGCAAAACCGAATAGACGCCCTGGTAATCATCAGCTCTTTTTGTGCGCTGCTTTAAGAGCTTCGGCGTTCAGCTCGGGTCCCGGCTCCGCTTCCTCTTCTTCCACAATCATTTCAGACGCTGCCTTTTCGACCGACTCTCCACTCTCGCCGCCAAGCTGCTTCCTTGCTTGCGAGACAATGGCATCTGCCTCGCTGATACCCCCCTTCGCAGTTAAATGATCACCATCAACTCCCATGCTGGACTCGTTCTTGCGTTGCTTGAGCGCATTGTTGTCGAATCTCACAATCATGCAAGATAAGTTGTCCGTGGAGAATCGCGCAAGCGCATGTTCGACCAGTTGCTTTGATGCTGCCTGGGGGTCTTGGGTGTGGCGGACAAGGTCTACGGCCTCTTGATCGGAGCAGACATCCCATAGCTAAAAGAGTTAAGTTAGTCAGAGACACACTTTCGTTAGTGAAAGGGTTGACATACCCCGTCACACGCTAGGATAAGAAACTCATCCTGATCAGCTTGAATAACTGTTTCGGTGGTGTATGGATGGCCAGTGACCAGATCTTTCATGTAGGCATCACCGAGAGCGCGTGTGACAGCCAAGACACCATTGACACGGTTGTTGAGAATAAGACCCCCGGCGCTAGCAACTCGACGCCCTTCGTTCTCGTCGCTGCCTTTGTGATCGTACGACAATCGGAGAGCTCGGCCGTTCCGACACAGCACAATGCGTGCGTCGCCTACATTCGCTGTGTATAAGACCCTCTGACGGCTAGCGTCATTCCGTATCTTGGCTTCTGCAGCGTGCGGCTCTGTGGGTTCGCCCGAGGATGTTTCTGCGCCGGAGTTCTGAGACTCCGCTGCGCTTTTAACGGCCGCAACTGCGGCGGGCGCATACAACACTGAGCCAGTCGTAGACTGGGAATTGGGCACTCGATCCTCCCACCTGAGCACAGCTATTACCGCGGTGCATCCGCTGTTCTTCAGAGGTAATTTCTCGAGCTGCTGATCCACAGCAGTGAAGGTCTGATCCAGAAGCTCGGGAATGGGCGTATTCGGGTTCTTCCTGATGGTGTCTTCGAGTAGAAGATGGAGCTTCTTCCCACACCAGTCAGCAGCAAAGGTCCCTGCGTGCCCGTCGAAGATAGCGAAGTAGCCATTGTCTGTTTCCGTCACAGGTAACGTTGTGGCGTCTGAGACGGACGAGCTGGCATCAGATACAGAGGTCCTACTCCTGGAGCCGGCGTCGGGGCCATAGGCTGGAGCGGGAGTACTGAGGAAATTATAGAGATAAGCATGGGTATCTTCCATAGTCCTGCGACATTTCTTGTTTTTATCTTCAGTAACTCCAACTCTAAATGTGGACCGTGGCCCTGGAGACGACTCTCCGGCCGAGTTGTTGAGCGCGCCTTGAGGGACACTTAGCGCGGGATCTGCCTTACCAAGCTTCTGTATCGGCGTCTGGGGAGCTTTGTCGGGACTGGTCGTTGACGAGGTTGGAGAGGAGGATCCATGAAGATGGAGCGACTGTTTTGCACTAGAGAACATGTCCCGAGCGCGTAATACCCCACTGCTTCTCCGCTTCTTCTCACCGCTGGCTGGAGGGACCTCATCGTTGGGCTTCCGATTTGGGGGACTGCTTCCGCCCGTTCGTTTGTCTCCTCCATTGCTCGAGTCTGAGGGGACGCTGGCGGTCGCAGCCTTCGGAGCGTCTGTGATAGAGGTGGACTCGACTACACCCTCGTCCTCTTTTCCGGGAGTTCCAGAGGAGCCGAACATCCTGTTCAACAGTCCTCCCGAGTTGGAGAAACTCCTCCGCTTGTTTCCTGCCAGATTGATGGCTGTACGGCTGCGCGCGGATCGGGGCTTCTAGAAAGTCGGTAAAGTGCTCGGGATGCTTCGCGGAGCTGGGAGGAACGGCAGCTGGTGGAGAGAGTCTTTGGAGACTGGGCGGCACGGATGTTGTCTAATTGAAGCGCGGAGTTAGCCTTGATTGCCCAAACATGCCTCTTCCGAGCCAGGACTAAGGCTGGTGACGATGCAGCGCATAAGCCCAGCGGCCACGGACAAGCGGGCCAAGCGCGGGCGGGGAACACGAATGGCACGGGAATATGGGGGAAATGGCGCACGATATAGGTCTTACTGACTTTTGCGTGGAAAAGCTTTGAGGAAAGGCAATCCCCGCGGTTGGAAAGCAAGAGTGCGGGCGGACCCTGACGGCAATCCGTGAATGACGTATTGTCGCTGGGAGATCAGAATAGAACACAAGGTGTAAAGGACGCAGACGACCAGTGGCTAATGTGTTCAAGGGCTGGCTGGGATCGGTGGTGCACGATTGTTTTGGTCGTGTTTGGAACAGCACCGAGGAGGGGACTAGGAGGGGTTGTTGGAAGGTTGGGTCGTGCAGCAGGGCGATCGTCTGGCACGTCAACCTTGGGCTTGGGCTGGGGACGGCGAGTAAGCCTCCAACGTGGCGCTGCACACAGCAGGTCACGGTTCCAACGGCTAGGCAGCCTGGCGGATAGGAGTAGGTGGCCGTGCAGCCGTGGAATCCAGGCGCAAGCACTTTGTCTTCACCAGGCATGAATTGGCGCCAATCATGGGGCGTTAGGTGGTTCGGACAAAGGTACGAAGGTACCCGACGCTCGAGTCTAGCGTTTTTTGATGAAATATGTAAATGCAAAGTTGATATTTCTAGGCAGTAGAATTGTGGGTCAACCTGAGGTATCAATAGAGCCAAGACTCGAAGCACACCAAGACGACGTCCACGCAGGAAGCGGTAGCACAGGACTGCCTTGCCTGACTTGGTTGCTGGCTTCAAGATCAAACACACGAACTCGGCACCTGGGCTCTTCGCTTGGAGCCTTGACAGCTGAGTGTCCTTGCATAGGTACCACAAGGCGGATATGAGAGGTTAGGAGGCCTTTGGACATGACAAAGGATGTCTAGATGATATGAAGTCTTATACTAGCTCTGTAGCTCCAATGTCGTTTCGCTTACATCGTGAGACATGCCACTACCGCAAGTGAAGACAGATATAGGGCATGGAAATTCGATCCGATCGAGGCACCCGTCCCATAATTCCTGAACGCCACCGTTAACTCCAATGCTGGCGACTTGAACCAAAAGCCGACGGGATGCTCCCGAGAAATGTGGTATCATCGCCGCAGACTATCTAGCCGTGCCTGGAGGTCGTCGTCGCCTGGATCTCCACCAACCGCCTGTGCCACCCGCCCTTCAGCGACAGCTGTGCTCTGTAATCCGGACGGAGCCTCCCCAAGCTGTGATGAACGTGTTAGTGCTTGCTCAGTGTCTGGGCCAGATAAACGAACCGCTTGTCCGAGGTCAATGCCAATCTCGTCTAGGACCTGGTTAACAACCTCCTCTCCCTCCTCCTCATCTTCTAGTCCTGTAACGTCGTCGATGGCGTCGTCCATCATCTCTTGGCGCTGGTCCATGATGTCGTTCTCCTTTTCAAATTCCATGGCGATTCGCTGGAGAGCGGGGAGGTTCATTTGCCGGTTCATGCTTCCCAGAAGTGCTGTAGGTTATTAGAAACTAATATTTAGAACGACTGTTGAATGACTTGCCTGTGGCGCCCTTCATGGACTGCATCATCTGCTCGTTGCTCCGGACCGTCTGCAGACACTATTAGATCACTCCATAGACAACGCCCCACCTGATGAGACGAACCTGAATTCGTAGAGAGATTGCCTGGAGCTGAGTGCGCATCTGGTAGAACTTTTGGATATATCTGCGCGTAGAGTGAGCACATAGTGTACCTAAAGAAAGCCGTCTGTTTAATAGTGGAAGCTATACCGTCTCGTTCTGACTAGGTCTTTGGCTTGTATCCTAAGCGGGCCCATTTGTCCATTCTTGGCGCTCTTCTTGATTTCCAGTACCAGCTTCTTCTCTTGGTTCTCCAGCTTCACTCGTTCCCGATCTAGCTCGCGTTGTGTCTTCTCAAGAGCCCTCTGATGCTTTCGCAGCCGCTCGGCCGGCGTCATACGCTGGCGATAGTTCAATAAAGGACGTTTTGTGCGCGTGTGGGAGGTATACCTTTCCGAACGCCCATTCTACGAGCTGAGGGTAGAGTGTTAGCTAAGGTGGGATGCGCGCGGATTCTACACTTGCATTCATGGTGAGATCTGCGATCGCGGGATGGATAGTGACAAGATTCAAGACTGTATCTGGATATAGTGGTGGTCTTGGTATGTTCTGCACGGCAGCCCTGCAAGGTGCTTTCGTTTCCTGGTTTAGCTGGGTGACGATGCGGGAGTGATGGAATGGTGAACGGCCCCCCGGCTTTAGCTTTTGCTTGGCATTGATGTGTCGCCACTTTCAAAAGTCGTACCGAGGACCTCACTCCATTTCTATGACATCCATATCATTAACCCTGTGTGTCTCCACCATCGACGACAACAACGACATGCCCATCCGTCCTCGCGCACGACTGCCTCTATCGCCGCAATGAAGCCCGAGAACGAACACGATGAAGGCGCGTCCGCCGCCGGTTCGTCATCGAACCACCGCATCGAAGCACCCCAGCCGGAGTCATTTCTCCCTCGCCACGTTCCAGGACGTCCCAATTACATGACCGTCGGCACTGGCTCAACGCCTGAGGCAGCTGCGCGTCTGGTCTCGATGCTTGACCAGGATTCCGGATACGGTGGGAGTCTGGACAATGGCGAGAACAGCGCCCCCAGGTGGCACAGCGGCATCTTAGAGGACCGACCGACACCCAGCCATACACCTGTATTGTCCGGTGAAAGCAATCCTGCTTCGGAAAATGAGAGACGCGTAGTTGCAAGCCATGTGCTTCAACTCTACTACAACCAGAACAAAACCGCCCTCGGTCGAGCGATCCATGGCACCATTGACACCCTGAAAAGGTTCCAGGAGATGAACTTGAAGTGGCCAGCCCATTATCCCTCAGTTCAGGCGGAACAATCACCGACTCAGTCCCGCAACGATCCCCGCCCTGGACTACAACACACTCAGTCTACCCTGGACAACCACCATAGCCCTATACAGAGCCCGTCAAGGCCAACGGGACCAAGAAGAGCAGGGACGTCCCTTGGCGAGGATTCAACAGTAGCTGAATCTAGCTCGGCCGCGGCCCATAAGCCCGCCCCTGAGCCCAGACTAGTCACTCCCCAGCTCGCTCAAGACTTTTCGGTCCTGAAGCTGGAGCTGAAGATGGGCGGCCGGAACCAATCGGATCTCGTCCACTCCTTGGAAAAGGGCTCCATTGCTTCGTTGCTTGATGGCCAGATACAACAGAGTATTCGACATCTCGGATCCCTCAAGGAGAGAATCGAGGACACCGCAAGCAAAGTACTTGTAACTGGAGATCTCAACGCCGGAAAATCGACGTTCTGTAATGCTCTATTGCGCCGTAAAGTTTTACCGGAGGACCAGCAACCATGCACCAGCATTTTTTGCGAGGTTCTTGATTATAGGGAGAACGGTGGCGTAGAAGAAGTTCACGCGGTTCCAATCGGATCCGTCTATAACCGCCATGACGAAAGCACGTACACTGTATTCTCTATCAAAGACCTCGAAAAAATTGTCATAGATAACGAGCGCTTCTCCCAGTGCAAGATATACATCAAGGACATTCGCTCCGTTGATGAATCCTTGCTCAATAATGGAGTGGTCGACATAGCCTTGATCGATGCGCCCGGCTTGAATAATGATTCCTTGAAAACCACAGCAATTTTTGCCAGGCAAGAGGAGATCGACGTGGTAGTGTTTGTAGTATCCGCTGCAAATCACTTCACCCAGTCGGCCAAGGAGTTCATCTTCAATGCAGCCCGTGAAAAGGCCTACATTTTCATGGTGGTCAATGGCTACGACAACATCAAGGACAAGCAGAGATGCCAAGAGATGATATTAAAGCAAGTGGCACATCTAAGCCCCGCAACCTTCAAGGAATCGTCTGAACTGGTACACTTTGTCTCAAGCAACGCCATTCCAGTCGCACCAGCAGGCGCTCCCGGTGGTGGTGGTGGACCAGGAGGATCCGCGTCTGGCTCTTCTGGAGTGGCAGCTTTCTCCGACGATCCAGACGGAGATGATGACGACGAGCCGAAGGGCAAACACGGCGAACCTGGTTCTCCAGGCGGCAAGGGCAAAGGCAAAGAGCGGGAAAAGCTACAAGACTTCGAAGAGTTAGAATCGTCCCTACGCCGATTCGTTTTGGAGAAGCGTGCTCGATCGAAATTGGCCCCTGCGAAGACTTACCTCCTGAACGTGTTGGGCGATGTCAACAACCTCGCATCGGTGAATCGCGAGGTTGCACAAGCAGAGCTCGAGCGTGTGAAGACAGAGTTGGACGAGGTTATGCCTGCATATGAACAATCCAAGAAAGCGAGAACCGAGGCCGGAGAAGCCGTTGATCACGAGGTTGAAGCGGCCACTTCCGAAGTCTACAGTCACACAAGGGATACTGTAAACAGTTCAATCGAGCGCGTAGCGGAGCAGGATCTTGGGATACCATACCCGGGACTATGGAGTGCTTACCAATATGCCGAAGATATCAGGAACGCCATGCTCCAGGAGATTACGTGGACAGTCCACCAATGCGAAGAATATGCCCGTAACCGAGCTGTACAAGGTTTCAATGGTATTAAAAATTTGGGAATATTGCATCTCGGTAATAAACTCTACGCGGACGTCATGTTTTTGCCAGAGAGAATGTACCGGAAGCCGATGCATGCATTAGCCCGTCAAGTTGACGTTGAAGTTGAAGTGTGGGACTTCTTCGACGTTGCAAATCTCTGGGAGAGACAGGAGAAAGTCGCCGGCACTGGTATGGCCATGACTGTTGCTGGAGTAATAGGTGGGAGGATGGTGGGTGGTGTTGGCTGGATGGACGGGGCTGTTGGCGCTGCCAAGATCCTGGGCTCCAACAACATGCGTAGGCTGATAATACCCGGTCTCATCGCTACCGGTAAGTGCCCTGTCTGATTCAGAGCGCTTCGCTCGCAATTACTAACGTCACCTAGTGGTTGTCGGTGTGTCTTACGCATTGACGTCCATTCCCCGATCGTTACCTCGACGTCTAAGTACCAAGCTCTCTGCCCAACTAGCGGCACTTGATTACACACATGCCAATGCCCTGCGTATCAGCTCGGAAGTCCGCAGAGCACTTAAAGGACCTGCCAATGATCTCCGTATTGGTCTCCAACGCAACGTGGAGAAATTGCAAGTCAAGAAGGAAGAGACCAGCAAGTCAAGAGCAGAGGCAGAAGTAGCCCGGAAATACTTCTCGAACCTTGTTCGCGAGAGTAATGACATTCGGCATGGTGTGCAACGAGTTGACCTTGAGGGCGCGCCCCCTGGATTGGCGCAATACGGCCACTAACGCTTAAGATATATATGAGGCCACAGATTCAGGGAGTTTGGGCACGGCGTAGGCGAGGTTTGATTGATGATTACTGCGGAGCATTGGTTTGGCGTTTGCGGAAGCGACTCTCGCTGATCATACCATTTTGATTTGACCGTCCCGAGTTCTGTCTGAATGCGCAAGGTTGAACAAAAGGACATCACCTCCGTCCTCTCCACACATCCACGTACATAGATGAAACACACTTATCAAGACGAAAGCTTTTGCAGTCCATATCGCTATTGTTGAACCATATTCTGTCAGTGAACTGTACGTTCTCCACGAAAGCGCATGACGTAATATTAAAGACGTGTAATATATTGTTCACGTTTCACGTTTCGCCAGCGGCGGGCGAGCTCCAAACTACAACCAACGTGCCACCTCGAACCTCTGCACTGCCTCTCCAAAGCTCGACCCATGGCCCTTGACGCGGATAATCAGCGATAGATGGCCCAGCGAGATCCACGGCCCCTGGTACTCCTAATAATCTTGTTCCTGATTCTCAACACCCCCGAACCGCAACAGCAAGGCCTCCCCTACCAATCGCGCTACGAGAACGTTCTCACTCGAGAGAGAGATGCGCTCGATGTCCTCAATACTACCCGCTATGATGACTTCGATGGCGTTTCTCAACACTGGCTGAACTTAACTGGGCTCAGGGAAGATGATGGACTGGCCTGGGAGCTGCTATCCCCAGTGAAGCAGCGAGCCAGGGCGCAGACCACATATCTACTGGGAGAGGGAGCGGAGAAGTATCTAGATGGCTCTGTGGAAGGCGATGAATACCCTGCCCTATATAAGAACGTCACCGGATACGTGCAGGGAGAATGGGTTAGGTCCCAAGTCGGTCGAGGAGTCCGGGCACCTCGCCTCAACCTGTCAGCTATCGCACCGGACCAAATATTCCCACTATGGGACTTCGACAGAAACCTCACCGGAACCAGTGGAGATGTACGGTTCCATTTCAGCGAACTAGACTACAGCCGAGATACGGCAGAGAACGACACTGTATCCTCGATCATTGCTCGGATGGTCATCGGCGAGGACAGTTCTATGGGCAACTGGTGGGAAGTCAAGCTGCACGGCGTACATTTTGTCGAGTCCGGGGGCATTCTTCTCAGCACGACGAGTGAAAAGTGAGTTGTTTCTTCGTGCCGACGGTATCGGTATACTTACAGTGTCCAGGTTCGCGGGTATATTTGCCCTTCCTCATTTCGCGATATCAGAAAACCAGTACCACAAGACTCAGACCCTCTTGAACCGTACTATCCAGGAGGTGATTAGCAGACAAGAGTCTCAACCATTTCCGATATGGAACCCGTGGAACTCCGCCACAGAGCCTAGTGAGACAATGTTTCCACCGGCACATTGCGAATATGTGGTCTACTTACAGCAACATCCGGTTGCTTTCCGAACTCCCTTCAAGCAATACCCTACCAGCAATCCCTACTATCTGCATAACATTGAAGATGAGATCCGTTTCCCGACTGGATCGCCTCTTCCTGGTGCTTCGCCGCTTTCCATGTCAATGATGGCATTCTCACCTGACTGTGGGTTTGTAATTGAATCCAAAGGGCCTCCGGACTACGCTCGTACGGAGGCCTTGCATCTTAGAGGAGCCAAGGTGGAGATATTCATGGAAGTGGCGAGACGCAGCACGCTTGTGTTTGTGTTGACATTGGCCGCACAGCTGATGTTCCTTGTGAAGCAAATGAAGGAAACCTCGACGCCATCCACACGCAATCGTGTGAGCTTCTACTCAGTCGCTATGATGGCTTTGGGCGATGGGTTCTGGTTTTTGACCCTCGTCTTTGTGCACGTCTTCCTCGATGAGCCACTACTTGTGCTCTACGCGACAGCCTTTATGGCGCTATTCTCAGTTGTGTTCGAGCTGAGATTCTTGATGGACATTTGGACCATTCAAGCTACAGAGCGTCGACGGCAACAAAGACAGGATGCATCCACGAGCTCCGCTACTCCAGATCCTCGCGCATCCTCCAGTCCAAGTGGTCCCCAAAGTAATCAGCCCGTGGTTCCAGTAGTTTCTGCCGCCGGTGTTGATACTTTACCGTTGCCCGTCACTGCGAATCGCCCCGTGGTGGATACTGGGGCAACGCCAATTATCATTCCGTCGGATCAAGACCTAGATGCCGCTACGGAGAATACTACAACTGCCACTGCAACGCCAGGGAATGTTGAGCCAGTGCCTACTAGAGCTGAACTTGGCACACTGTATACACGATACTGCCTCTTACTCATAGTATTCTTCTTCGTCACTCTCCACGCAGGGTCCTGGCCCGTCGCAGCTCGATCTGTCTATTGCAACATCGTGTCTTTTATCTACCTATCCTTCTGGTGCCCTCAGATTTACAGGAACGTCATGCGCAATTGCCGAAAGGCTTTACGATGGGACTACGTGCTTGGTCAAAGCATGGCGCGACTGGTTCCTTTATCCTACCTTTATGCCGTTTCCAGTAACATCATCTTCTCTCAGAACGACCTCCAAGCGTTGATGGTCCTCGTTGGATGGGTGGGCCTACAAGTCTTCGCCCTCCTCAGCCAAGAGATCCTCGGCCCACGCTTCTTCGTCAAAGAAGGCTGGGCACCGCCAGCATACGATTACCATCCCGTGCTACGGGAAGACGAGGAGGGCGCCATGATGCCAATCGGCTCCACCCAGGTCTCCGAAGACGAGCCAGGCTCCTCGACGAAGCCGGGCGAGGCGATGGACAAGGACAAGGGGAAGAAGATATTCGATTGCACGATTTGCACGCAGGACATCGAGGTTTCGATCATTCCGAGCGGTGGGTCTGTGGAGAGTAATGCGGGCATTGGCGGGAATATTCTTGCGAGGAGGGCGTACATGGTCACGCCTTGTCGGCATATCTTCCATACACCGTGTTTGGAGGGTTGGATGAGGTATCGGTTGCAGTGCCCGAATTGCCGTGAGATTCTCCCGCCCTTGTGAGGAGTGGGGTGGGAGTACTGGGGTTGGAATGAGTTTATCATTGTAATGAACATCTTCTATCGTTAATCATGTTTGCTATGCTGTGATATCAATTGTGCCTAACAAGGGATGGGTATGGTCCGACCTCGTATAATGAGAATGGGGAGCGGCGACTCTGGAATTTGCGTAGCAAGATCACTGCCGTGACTCGCCCGAAGGTGTTTCTAGGGGCGGTGACCATCTGGCTGAGCTTTGATCATCATCTAGAAGGTTTTAAGAATGAAACTTTCCGGAAGTCTGAGACGACCGGTGCTTTGTGAAGGGTCGATAACGCCGCCCTTGCGCTCGAGAAATTTAGTACAAGCCTGTAAAGTAATGACATAAGAACACTATTGTACAAATTATACATAACACCTAACTCGGTGGTTTTGCATCCCATGCAAGCCACGTCTCCACTTCGTCTATCAACTGCGCAACCTCTGGATCCGAAATCCGTTTCTCTCTCTGCTCTGGAGAGGGGCCCATCGCCCTCACCTTTCTCGGTATGATACGATCGGGAGATGGAACCTTCCTCGGTCTGATACAATCGGGAGATAAAATCTTTTTCAACCTTACACGGCCGGGAGATGAAGCCTTGCTCGATCCAATTGATTCGGGAGGAGACGACCTTCTCGACCTAGTACGATTGAGGGATGTTGGTTCCACAGCAGAGCGTCTGAGACTCCGTAGCCGTTCCCTATCCCACGCTGTCCACCGTGCGCGAAGTTTTTCTCCTTCCGTGAGATCTTCGGAGTATTTTTTATCTTCACCTTGTATAGGAACCTTGACCATCAGCACGTCCGCGTCCTTGTCCGCTGCCATAGCTTCCGCGCTCCTAGATGCCCGCTTGAGTCTTCCGTTCCACACAGCGGTGAACACTACCTTCCTCAGATGTTCAGGGACCACGGACCCGGCTATTTTGTGCAGTCTCGATTTTATGGGGAGGCTGGCGAAGTTTTTCGATATTCTCCTCGGGGTTCGACGTGTTGGCGGGTTCTCTGGCTCTCTTGTAGGAACAATCCGAATTTCAAAGGGAGTGACAGGGGGTGTCATAAGAGGTGTAGTCGTGGTTACATTTTCGTTTTTGGTACTTTTTCGCCGTATTCTCTCTTGTCTTGATTCCTCGTCGAGGTAGACATTGGTCTTCAATGCATGATATCTTATGTTCAAATTTCTTTCTGATACTTTCTGGGCAGGAATGGGTTGCGGAATCTCAACTTTTCCAGTAAATATTCTCTGGACTTTTCGGATGCCGTGAGAGCCTAGTGTAGACTCAGTCTCAGAGTCTAGAGCCGATGGCAGTTCTTTTATCCCGGGATACCAGTTGGAATAGTGTATTCTAAATTGATTGAGTCCCTTCGCTGATTCTTCCTCGAGAATTTTAGTGTTCTTCGTTACAGAGACTTTTCGGATGGCAGGAGGGTCTAGTGCAGACTTGGCCTCAGAGTCTAGAGAGGATGAGAGGGATTTCATCCTGGGCTTCAGGTTGGAAAGGCCGCGTATTTCGAGTTGATTGATTCCCTTTGTTGATTCTTTCTCGAGAATTTCAGTGTTCTTAGGTACAGGGTTTTGGAAGCGACGTATCGGAAGATCTTTTGGATCTTTGTTGAAGCTTCTAGTCGATTTAGTAGCAGGATTGCGAAAGGGAGTCCTGGGAAGATCTTCCGATACTTTGTCATCGGGAATCTGATGTTCGGCATCTGTAGTGTCGTCATCTTCGTATGCAAGACGTATAGACTGGGAGTTGAGAGCACTGGCGAGATTGCGTATAGAGGCGGAATTAGACGGATGTCTTGGTGCTGACCGCATTTCCGGTGCTTCAGTCAATGCCTGTTCCGCAGCTATTTCTTCTACTTTTGCAGCTCTTTCTGCTTTTTTTGCAAGTCTTTTTGCTTGTTGTTTCGCATTCCTCTTCAACGCCTTCTTCTCTATCATTGCGCTAACATCCTTCTCGTCCAGCTGCAAAGCGATGAACCTAGAAAACGGTACGTCTATTTTAGACCGAGTCTGTACGCCTTTTTCGCCGTTAAAGTGCCCATCTACTCGTACGATACTCATGCCGCCTTCAGATAAAGCCCCAAAATGGCCATGGAAGACGTGAATTGATTCTTTTAGCGGCTTAACCGACGCATGCGACTGTTGCTCTATATTCGGTATGTTGTCAATGGTGCTGGGGATTGTGCCAAGCTCCAGGTATATTGGAACAGTTTGGGAATCATCCAGATGCTCTGTGACCTCATGATTGAGACGTGCTAAGTCATCAGGCCCACGGACGAAGAACTGGATGAATTCGCCAGGCTCAGCAACTTCCTTCAATGCAGACTTTTCTACATCGAATAGCTCCAGCATGTCAATGTCTGAATCTAGAGATGTTATGGTAGGTTCGTCGTAGAATATGTCGGGGTCAAGTGACAGCAACCCGGCTTTCTTGCCCCATCCTCCTCCACCGCTTAGCACACGATGGAGTCGAGCTCCACGAGAGATAGCAAAGGATACCGCATCGTTCCATACCGGACGATCTTTCTTCCATAATTCCTGGAATGCTGCGTTGAGATGGAGAACGTCTTGGGCTGCAGGATCACTAATAAAGAAGCGACTGACAAGCTCTGTAGTTACAGAAACCATAGCATCCTTGGGTATAACTAACGCCCAGACTTTCATAGCACAAGCTGGAATATTCTTCGTAGCAAAGTATCGCGGTACCGTCTCTTCTAGTTCTTGAGAAGCAGTAATGCTCTGGCTGTTCTCTCCTTGGATCCGACGTATTATATTGCCCATGCCAGCCTCGATCTGTCGTGGCATGGTGATGGGGGTCAAAGGAACTGAAAGAGAAGCACTTTGCACGCCTGTGCTATGCCAATCAGGCCAGGCGAATGAGGTGTGTTGCAATTGCTCCTTCGATACCAGCTTTAGGGCTAAAGAACCCTTTTCCTTTTTCCACAGCGTCTGAAACATGGTTGAGGAGTGTCCTGTATGAAAGACTGTGTTCGCCAAAGGCAACTGGAGCACACTGTGAGGGATGGGCGTCTCGGACGCGGACGCTATGCTAGAGTCAATATGGATATTTATAGTGCCTGGCTTTTGTCGTGACCCTTCGCCCATAGGCTCGTGCAATGCTTCTATGTGAGGTGGTAGGAATTGGCCTGCGTTGAGCAGCGTATATGCCATCCCCTCGAAACCAAGCTCTGAAAACGGCGGAGAAGGGGGCGAGGGGGCACACCATCGTCCCTTTCTATAGCCTCGGCCAGGATGAGCGGGAGTAGGCAGCCTGTCGACCACAGCGACGAGGGCGTGATAGGATCGTTCTAAGTCAGGGTCTTGAAGGTTGAGATTGAATAGTCTGAGCAAGGCGGGCTGGAGGAATGTTTGGTCGTCCAAAAGCCAGCGCGCGAAAGTAGGAGTGAGGAATAACACCAGGAAAGGGTCTTGATCCCATGTGAGATTCGGAAGCTTATCGAACTCCATGAGAAGATGTTTGGGTAGCTGAAAGACGTCAATGTCGGTAGCTCAAGAATGCTAGGCTTAGGGGACTGACAATCGAATCTACCTGGGACGAGACAGCCACAGTTCTGCGATAGTGAAAGCAGCCAGGGTAGCTCCAGGAGCCTAGTCTGTCGCGAGGCGCGACGAGCTGAGGGAGTGGAGCAGCGGTTGAAACAAGGCGTCGCTGCGCGCGGAGGGAGCTCCTCTGCAGGGCGAAGCGGCGCAGGAGGGGTGAGCCCATGGCGTGCCATTGCCGTACGGGCCCTGGCGGCATGAATGGCCGTCAACGCGGGTGCATTGGGGCCTGGGGGTGCAGTAGAGGACGAGGCCCGATTCTGGGGTGCTTCATGATGCGTGGTCGCGATGTATGATGTCGGCATCCCAAATAAGAATATTTAGAGTAGTCTTGGCACCTCCGGCCCCGGTCCGCGTCACGTGCTGGCACTCTCAATTGGTACTGCGAACCGTGGACCCGTGAGACCCCTCGACCACTGAATCTCCTGGCGATAGTTTCTTGTGTTTACTTCTGCGGCACGAGTCCTCGACGCTGCTGTGCGCCCATTCCTTCCGAGCGCACCCCGTCGTCGCGCAATTAAACTCAGCTCCAGGGCTGTCCCGAAATCTTCGCCGACTACCGCATCCCGCGGCCACCTTTCACCTCCCTGTGCATCACCACGACCACTCCCGCCTCAACACCACAGTCCTCGATCGCCGGCGCCGCGCCGCTCCTCCAACACCGCTGCCTCCTCATGCAACGCTCATAGTCGCCCAAGTCGACCCCGTCTGAGCCGTTGCAGAGCGTTCGGCGCCCCGGCCGCCTCCTGTGCACTCCCTCGCCATGCCTGCTCGAGGCTTAGGACGACGCAGCAGCCCCATCACTCTGGTGCTGCTAGTCGTCCTCTTGATAGGATTCTTCCTGTTCTTTTTCTCCTCGCCCAACGATGCCGCGAGCAAGCTCCGAGACTCGACCCACACCGCCTCCAACGCACTCTCACCCCCCTCGCTCCCCTTCCGCAAAGCAAAGGCCAATGAGCGACCCCCGCCGCCCCCAGTGGTCCACTACCACATGAACAACGTGACGACCTCGCGGAATCCGGTCGAGAACCAGGAGACGGTTCTGATCCTCACGCCGCTGGCGCGCTTCTACCAGGAGTACTGGGACAATCTGCTCAGCCTCTCCTATCCACACGAGCTGATCTCGCTGGGCTTCATCCTCCCCAAAACAAAAGAGGGCAATGCAGCGACTGCAGCCCTGCAGGCGCAAATTGCGAAAACCCAGTCTGGGTCCCAAAAAAAGCGCTTCGCCAGTATCACTATCTTGCGCCAAGATACCGAGTCCCCGCTCATCACCCAGAACGAAGCTGAGCGCCACAAGATCGAGAACCAAAAGGCGCGGCGGTCGGCCATGGCGAAGGCGCGGAACTCGCTGCTCTTCACGACCATGGGCCCCACGACCTCTTGGGTGCTGTGGCTAGACGGCGACATCATCGAGACGCCGGAATCGCTAATCCAGGATCTGGCAGCCCACGACAAGCCAATCATTGCCCCAAACTGCTTCCAGAGATACTACGACGACGAAAAGAAGGAGAAGGCTGTCCGCGCTTACGACTTCAACAATTGGGTGGATAGCCCTACGGCTAAGGAGATGGGCGCGAGAATGGGCAATGATGACATTCTGCTGGAAGGATACGCCTCAATGCCAACATATCGGAGCTTGATGGCTATGATGCACGACGAATCGCAGGACCCGAACATTGAGGTGCAGTTGGACGGTGTGGGTGGGGCGACATTGCTGGTCAAGGCCGAAGTCCACAGAGACGGGGCCATGTTCCCGCCATTCGCATTCTACCACTTGATTGAGACAGAGGGCTTCGCAAAGATGGCGAGCCGATTGGGATGGAAGGCATGGGGACTGCCAAATTATCTTGTTAGTCCCAAAGGTGCTCGCTTGACACTCGAACTTCCTGCTAACATGCTATGAAAAGGTGTACCACTACAACGAATAAATTCACATTTGGCTTCTTCTTCTTCTCCTGTTCCCTGTGGAGATATTGGGGACGGATAGCTTTCTTTCTTTGTACCTTAAACATTGGGCGGCGTCATGGACTTGATCGCTTTCAGGAAATTTTGTACCTTATACTTCGGATTTTAGACTTCTGGGCATGGTGCGAGAATGACGAATCTGCGAACTTGGAAATACAGCTACGACAACTGTTCGACAGTATCCCACTTAGTGGCCGTGATACATATCTCATGTACCTAGCGATTCCCTATCTTAGAACGAGCCTAGTATATCTTGAAGTTGATGAGTTCCTGATCGTTATTCCACGCCTCCCCACACATCATGCCTTCGATATAGGCCTCCAAACTTCTTCATTCCTGGAAATCATGTAGAGGATTACACGACAGTGCGTGATCAGGGTGGTGGATGTGGCATGGCAAGGCAGCGCTTGGCTAAGAAGCTGCTGACTACGAGTCTTGGTTTAAGCATTGAAGGTACAGAGAGACGTTACGTAATGAGTGTTCTGATAGTTAGCTATGTAGAGAGCTCGGGGGCCTAGAAAAACACTCTCTTGGTTAAAAGCATCAAGTACCGTTCTTGTGCATCTCGTTTGAAATATTGAAACGTACGTGGTATATTTTGGACAGTAGTGAATAACGTAAATAAGTGTCGAGGGACTAATGACGTGGTACAGTCTACGGGGCAGTTCTAGGATGATCTAAGTCAGGACAGCAATAGTATTGGCGTGCAGGCAATTCGACAAGGCCGGCATTCAAGGCAGGCAACAAGAGGCGTTCAGGTGAATGGAGGCAGACAGGGGAGCCTGGTGCATCGTGCGTTCGCGCATTGACCACACCGCCAGCAAAACGGCGGCGATATGTAGAGGGGCACAACCTCTCTAACAAGCCTCCTGCACCCCACCACCACGACTCTTTTTTGGACCGGCTCGTAGCATCGTGTGCCAGCAACTCGAACCATCCAGTTCCCCACCTCACACACCCGCACTCACACCTCTCTGGCCACCAACATGGCCGACTCCGCCCCAAAAATCGACCCCTCTGCAGAGCAGACGACGTCCACCGGCCCTACCCTCGTCAAGGATGAGACCGCCAGAGTGACCGAGGAGCTAGAAGCCCCCAAGCCCGCCGAGGAAAAACCCGCTGCCACCATCGCAGACACTGCCACCAACGCCGCCACGGCGGTGAAAGACAACGTCTTTGCCATGTTCGGCGGAGGGCCCAAGAAAGAGAAGCGGGAGGAAGTCGACGACGTGGACGAGCCTTCAGGATCTTCCAAGGCCAAAGCGGCCGAAGTGAGTTATTTCTCCTCTAGAATTCACATGCAATGCTAACATACTGCAGCAGGAGGATGAAGTCGAGAACGTGGAGCCCGACGTCCACTTCGAGCCCGTTGTGCGCCTGACAGAGAAGGTCGAGACCAAGACGAATGAGGAGCTCGAGGAGCAAACATTCAAGATGCGCGCCAAGCTGTTCAAGTTCGACCGCGAGTCGCGGGAGTGGAAGGAGAGGGGCACCGGCGACGTCAGGTTACTGAAGCACAAGGAGAACGGCAAGACGCGCCTGGTTATGAGGAGAGACAAGACTCTCAAGGTCTGCGCCAACCACTACGGTATGCATATCTTGTGGGGGATGATATACACGTTCTGACGTAGTACAGTTGTCCCTGACATGAAGCTATCCCCCAACGTCGGCAGCGACCGAAGCTGGGTCTGGAACGCCGCTGCGGACGTCAGCGAGGGCGACCCAGAGGCTCAGACTCTGGCCATCCGGTTTGCGAACAGTGAGAGTATGTTGCTTTCTCTTCTGGCACTGTCTATACCCGCTAACACGCATTCCAGACGCCAACCTCTTCAAGGAGGCCTTCATCAAGGCCCAGCAGGAGAACGAGGCTCTCTTCAAGGCTGCCGAGTAGCTGCGATTCTGACATGGCGAGAGAATAAAGGCTGCGATCCATTGGGCGACTGGAAGGCTGAGGGTGGTTGAGAGGCTTTCGTATGGTACCATAGAGTTCTCATACTGCACATACTAGCAACAAATTGGCCTGGCTATGCCTGCAGCAAATCATAGTTAGATCAAACACTCCCCTGAACACTACCTCAATGCGCATACAACTACTTGCTTGTTCTGGTTTTGGGATTGATGAAGAGCCTAGCATCCGGTTTGATGGCAGCATTCTTGTCGTCATGGTGGATAGAGAGTAGCAATCACTGATTCCAAGCACCTCGAGCATCTGATAATGCCAAGCACATTCTTGTCTTTACCTACTTAGGTACCTAGCTTTATGTACCATAAAAGTGTCAAGTTTTGGTTCCATGCAGGTTCGATCAACTGCATTTTGTATAGATAGTAGATCGCCTTGCAGCACTTCTACAGTTCACATTGAATCCCTTGTCGTCTAGATGAAGAATCAAAGACACTGTTCCTCAGGTGCTCGCATTGCTTCGGACATTCACTCCCGCGCAAAGGATCCGCCTTGTTGTGGCGACCTCACCTCTAGCAATCAAGCAACCTCAATTGAGCTCTGATCCTTCCACCTTTTATTCAGCAATATCCTACGAAGGCTCAAGAGCCTGCTGCTGCCTCCTCTCCTTGGCAGTGGAACAGTTGAATCGTGACTTTGTTGTTGCTCGGCTGCTCAACATCACCCCGCCATCTCTTTCTCCATCGCGGACTCCCCCAGTTCATCATTCACCTCCGCCCAACCCCCTCCCACCCACTGTAGTTCACGCAGTCGCCGTAGCTCTCGCCCTCAACCCACGACACCCACTACCTCATTACCGCTCCCACTATCCCAATTGCCAGAGCGCACTGCCAACCGCCACAATGCCCGACGTGAGTTCTATCCCGCCCATCAACACGCGCAGCAGCTAACGCGACTCCACCATGCAGATCAAGCGCCAGGTCAAGCTCGTAACCACCCAGAGGGTGATGTACGTCCCCCTCCTCCCTTCAATTCGCGCGCCTGTAGCCAGACCAGCCGCTGAATAGTATACCATTCCAGACAGGAAGATTCGGGTGTGGAGGGCTTTCCCATGCGCTCATGGAGCATCGAAGTTTGGCTGCTGGACGACCAAGGCCATGAAGTCCCCGCGACCGTGTTTGAGAAGGCCACCTACAACCTGCATCCTACATTCGAGAGGCCTAAGCAGAGTGAGTGATGTTGCACATACCTGTTCCTTCATTTGCACCAGGGCCGCTGCGATGGACTTGAGCGCCGTGGGCGCGCATGCGTGTCCTTTCCGGGGCTTTCTTCCGCTACAGTTTGAGTGGAGTGCTAATGCAACTGCGACGCAATCAGCTTTCAAGAAACCACCCTTCCGTATCGACGAGAAGGGTTGGGGCGAATTTGATATGCAAATCGTCCTCACTACGATTTCCAAGGGTGGTGAACATACTCTGGACCACGACCTCAACTTCCAGAACGAACGCTATGAGGCCAAACATACGGTCACCTTCCGGAACCCGAAGCCGGAGCTCCTGGCCGCGCTGCGGGAGTCTGGCCCAGCTGGCGATGAGAACGGCGTGAGAGGTCGGAAGGATGACCCTAGAAAGAAGAGCCGGAAAGAGAAGAACGTGAGGACTGTGTTCAGTCGGACTTTGGGACATGAGATGCTGACACGACGGATTAGGTCGACATGGAGAAGTTGGCCGATGGTCTTCAAAAGCTCAGCGAAGACGACTTGCTGCAGGTCGTCCAAATGGTCCATGACAACAAGTCCACCGATACTTACACCAAGAACGACGTCGAGAGTAAGCATAGGACCCTATGGGCGCGTAGTCCAGAATCACAGTGCAATGTTAACGCAGCAATATAGACGGCGAATTCCACGTCGACCTCTACACCCTTCCGGATGCTCTCGTCAAGATGCTGTGGGACTTCACAGCTTCGAAAACGGACCTATAGACTTTGTCCAAACTCGATCAGCTGCGATACTCATTCAGGATACGGATATCTACATCGACCATGAACAGGGGTGTTTGGCGCGGAGCGTGTCTTTGCCTATGAAGGGAGTGCTTTCGATACCTTCATTCATGACAATGCACTCGAACTTGGGCACTACAATGGACTTCCGCTTGGGCAACATACTAAGGTAGGCTGCTAGCTCTCTTTGGGGTTCATATTGGCTATCTGGGTCGGTCTCCTTTTTCTTTTTCGTTCATCAATACTCCTGCTTGAAGCGCTGGAGTTTGGAAATGGCTAAAATGGGTCCCCCTCTACACCCACCCACGGTGATTGTATTGCAATAGTTGCCGAATGCGACGAATGCTTTAGTCAATGGCCTCTTTAGCGCGTGATAATGTTTGCCTCTACGTCTCGCTTTCATTGAATCCGGTGTCCTCCACAACGAACCCATCACACTCGATGTTTCCCTTCTCCACTTCACTGAACACCTCTCTTCGCTCTTTTCGCGCATGGCCATTCTATTCGAACCCAATCTGCCTTCCGACTACCGCTACACCCTTCGCCCGCCAGACGCTGGTATCGCATTACCTCCGGGATCCCTTGTTTCTTGAGCACCATCATCGCCACATCATCGTCGACATCGTCAATGGCATCATGGACTTTTTAACTCGAGTTCCTCCCGTAACAGCAACATCCAGTAGCCTTCCTGCGAGAAAAGTCCATGACTTTCATGACTTCCATGGCTTCCATAGTCTCCATCAGGTCCAACTTAGAGGAATGCTATTGACATCGGCAGCCCGTGCGAGACCTAAAGATGATGTGCGGTCACCACGTCGGCGAGCTGTTGGTCCCAGGCCTGTGTATGGGCCGACCGATGTCCACAGCCTCTGAGCTAAGCTTCGCGTAATATCAACAGGTTACCGTAGTTATATCCCGAAAACCAAAACTCCTTTGCATCACCAGCGCCAAAACAAGGGCCAATGTCAACAACCTTCGAACTTCCGACATACCTGCAAAACATCGACCTCGCACAACCCTCCGCGCAAGAGCACGCTTTCTCGAGCCGCATACACACACACACACACACACACACACACACACACCAGCCACGTACAACGTACACCGGCTATCAATAACAACAGAAGAGCCGCAGGATAGCAATAGCGTCCTACTCCAACCCAATTTCCCACACACACACACACACACACGTGCATGCCAGCCTCCGCCTCCGCCTCCCCATCCTCCCTCTACTGCCCCAAGCTCTACCCGGCCCCCACACCCCTCCCAACGTCCAAAACCGTCATCCGCCGTAGCCCACCGCCACGAGGAAAAAGCGAGGAGTGCCTAGGTACGGAAGCGAGGCTGTTGGCAGCACCCACCAAGCTCGAAGAAGCCCGAGTCAGAAAGACGAGGGGAGGGGCGATATGGCGTTCACGGCGCTAGATGCGCGGGGTAAGGATGAGATGAAAGTGCGGGCTGTGGAGGGGAGCTTGGGTGGGGTGGGAAGGGGGGGAGGTGGATTACTGGTGTTGAGTAGTAGAGTAAAGGGAGGGGGAGGAGGCTGAAGAGGTAGATAAGGGGGGATGGGAGCTGGGAGCATGGCTGTTTCATGGGGTCGGTGAGAAGATGAGCGATGGCTTTGAGGCGGTCGTGCGAGGCCGATATTTAAATTTTTTAGATATGAGATGTTCATGTCAGTATAATTTACTAGGATTCAATTGACACGGCCAAAGCTCCGTCTGCATGTATAGTATGAGAGAGAAGAGAGACAACAGCAGCAAACCCATGGCCCGCTCTCAACCACCACACCCGCTCGTCGTCCCCAACCACACATGTTGCCTCTGTGCCATCTAGCTTTCGAACCTCAAAACTCGCCGGGTGGTATTGAATGAAGCAGGTAGTCGAAGTCTGCCCGCTCTTCGTCCTAACGAACGCCTTCTCCATGATTGAGCCCCGGATATATCATTCATTAAACCAAAAATTCCCAAGGAAGCAACGCCTAACCATGACCATGGTAACACACCTACCTACCGCTCCGTCTGCTATGCTTCTTGCAAGGCTTGCCCATGCGACGCTCGCAACTCGGTGCGTTTTTGGTGTTGTCCTCCGGAAGACCCGGAAGTCCCAGCTTCCTCCACAGCTTCTGGGAATTCCTGCGCGCCCTCAGGACAGACCTGGAGGTCCTGGCAGATCTCGTTGCTTGCCAGATTGTCGCCGGAACCTGTGTCGTTGTTTGCCAGCCGCGATGAAGTCGCTGTGAAATCCCCTTTGAAGCCCTGTACCCAACGGCAACTTGCTGTGCCGCTTCGCGCTTCGCCTCTTGCAAGTGTTCTGAGACGCTTTGAGAAGATCGTTTCGCCTTTTCTGTCCAGAATGTGGTCTGATGAATTAGGGCGGTAGTTCCGTGCTCAACCGTGAGCCTTCCATTGCGGAGGCCGTCAATTAGGGAGTTGGAAACCGTCTTGAGGCCTGTCTGAGCAAGAGCGACATCATTCTTCACAGTCTCCGATAAGATTCCAGCACTTTTTGCCCAAGCAGATAGCTTCAGCCAGGGAGATCCGAAGCTGACGGTGAAGTTTTGCGCTATCAAGGGCTTCGACTCCGTCCAGATGGTAATGTTCAAAAGACCACTAGCGTGTTGTCGCTCGAGTTCCACAGCAAAAACCCCCTGGTTAAGTTTGGAGACTGATGAGGGAACCCAATGACCTGTTCGAACGACTCGGACAAAAAGCGTCGGTGGCTTTCTCAGTTTTAAAAATTGCTGTGGCGGAGTAAGAACGAAATGATGGTCGCCGATTATGTGGACCTTAAACTCCTTCGAATCATTGAGCTTCGGCGGTGAAAGGGTGTCTGTGTATGGGAGACCCAAAGAAGTTTCCCCGCCTTGTTTCGAAATGTCTTTCGTAGAATGTACTACGTCTTTGTAAGATTGAACCAAATCCTTTGCATTTTGCATAGCGGTTTGTATAGCAGCGACCGAAACCTGAGGCGGCCCGGTCACCGGTGCTGGGTTCCAGGAGAGCACGGAGGATGAGGAAACGATAGGTTGACTCGTTTGGCCATTGTAAAGCCTGTTGTAGACGCCTGCCTGTTGACCTAGCATACCAGCGGTGATCAAAGATAGCACGAGAACCGCAACAGCAAATAGAGGCGCTCGACTTTGCCAAATGCGTGTAGTGGTGTTCTTGACGCCTGTCCACCACTCAGTTTTTCCAGAAATCCAATCGCTGACAGCTGATGCCAACCCCGGTCTGCTTTGGGAAGCCTCCGCTATCTTCTCGCTAGCAGTGGCGTTGGCAGTGCTAAGCACCCCGCTACCTGACCGGAGAAGGTACGCCAAATGACGATTCAGCTGGTCTGGGTTGATGTCAAGGAAGGATGTGATGTTGATAGGAAGTGTTTCGAGTACGCGGAATTCGATCTCTCCCGGACCACGACCTTCAACACACAGGCGGAGGCTCTTCGAACCGTAAATGTAGGATTCGGGACACTGCCGGAATGGGACTACGGTGGCAATGTCCAATATAGGGATCGATTGGGACTCCAGAGCCTTACGGATGAGTTGGTGCTGGCCGATCTGGTCGAGAGAGTGCGACAGTTGGTATGCAGGTGCATCCGGGTGGCAGAATATAGCGATATCAGGGAGGATAACTGGGACCTTGTCGAATTTAGAAGCTGCAATTGGCAAGTCCTTTCCATCACTCATATGGAGCACAGTGACGGCGGCAAAGCTAGCACCGTATCGAGACGCACCGACGCACTGGTCTACGGTCAACTCGATATCAGTGGAGTCGATTAGCTGGAGGTTGGTAGAGTAGCCGGTTTCGGTTGGCACTCGGATGACACTGAAGCGCGAGGATGATTGCTGGGAGCTCGAGCTGGAGTCCGAGATCGAGTTACGTCCCGCGGCAAGAGCGCTGGCGATCTTCTTGATGGCCTCGTCCCGCACCCAGTCGGTGGGTGCCCCTGCAATCAGTATCCGGAACGGTCTCTTGGGTGGCATGTATATCTTCGAGAGGCTTTGTTTGAAGGTTATCCTGATCTCAGGATATCCGTACTGCTTAATCACGTCGGGCATGTTCTGGACGCCCTGGAGTGTTTGGTAGATGTAAGTACTAGACACGTCGTCCTGCTCGGGGCGCCAGTCGGATTCCACAAACTCGATCATGGCTGCCGGCTGTTGTCTGGTGTCGCCTCTTGTAGTTGCAAGGCTGCTTGCGCCAGCATCGTTGCTCGAAGTATATCCGAAAGGGGGGGATGCCGAGCTGGCCATGGTATTGGAGCGGGGCTCGGAAGTCTCGAAGATGAAGCTGTCGTCGTCGGACTCCTCGGTGTCTGCAACAGAAGACATGTCGTCGGGGGTGTTTCCGTCTACTGAAGCCAAAGACTCGGTGCGTCCTTCATCGTCTGACTCAACGGACCCGTCGTTGAGGAGCTCGTAGGAGCTATCCTCCAGCGAGGACGCCGCCTCGTGTCTCTTGGTGTTGGAACGCATGGCGGGGGCTTCGGAGGCAAGACTGGCGAGGGCGCCGTCAACGTCGAGAGAAGGAAAGGCAAGGTCGTGGGATGACGCTGACGAGCTATTGTGAGACATGGTTAGAGCTGGGCACCTGGACGAGACAGAGGTGCGGCGTAGAGGGCGGGAGGTGAAGAGGAGTGAAAGAAGAGCGGGCAGTACCTTTTGCAAGAGTGCCTTAGTCAGTGTTTAAAGGCCACAACCACGGTACCCTGATCCGGAGGGCGATGACTGCCTGCTGAATGGAAGCGAACGGGCCTCTGGGGGAGCCTTGTGAAACGGGGTGCGGGGCAGGCTGCCTCGCCAGCTCATGCGCGGCTTGTGTGGAGGCCGAGTGCGAGCAGAGCAGCTGCAGGATTCTGCAGAGGTGCGTGGTGTCGTGAAGGCGTGTACTATGTATGGCGTCGGGGCGTGGAGGGATGGCGGTAGGAGTGACTGAGGCGGGGGACTTCATTGACGGCGAGCCCCACCAAGTGCTGCTCTTATCGACGCTGATAGGCAGCACTGTCACGCTGACCCGTGGCCCACGCCATCCAGCCCGGCCGCGAGCCCGGCCACGAGCCCGATATACCTCGCCGTGCTTTCGAGCATACGGCCTCGGGGAGCGTGCCGTTGTTCTGCGGGTTGCTACTGTTGCAGGAGCTCCCGGCCTGGTTGGCGAGCACGGCGAAAGGGGAACACGGTGACACGGGCATCAGGGCGACAGGGCGACAGGCGAAAGGGAACAGCCGCTGCTTGGCGATATACATGACGACGGCGTCTCGACGTGATGCGGAGTTGCTGCCCATCGAGCGGCCCCAAGCGGGCGAATAAATACAGTGTGCAGCCGTCTAAACTCCATGATACATCCCAGAAGTGTCTCCCTCCATCCAGGCCAAACCTCGTCCCTGGCCACCAAAGAAGACAAAAGCCATATTCGAACGGTATTATGAAGCTTAGAACCCACACGCGTACGCCGTCTCCCATGTCTATGGTGATGCCCAACCCCCAGCCACGTCCACCCATTCTGCGAGGCAGCTGCCCTGCTTGCCCTCGACGTCCACAATGTCCGTGTCGCATTTACATCTACACCCCACGCCGTTTTCTTTTGGTGGGTCGAACGACGCCCAGTATTCGTCCTCCTCGATCCGCTTCTTCTCGTCCTTTGTCGTCTTCTCCAAGAACGGTATCCGGGGGAGCTGGCGGGCAGGCGCATTGGCCGGGCAATGCTGAATCGTCGTGTGCCGATACCCAAAGTCTCGGAAGTAGTGAATGTCCTTTGGACTTAGGAGAGCCCCGGCTGCCAGTGAATGGATCGGAGCATCTCCCCACTAGTCGTCGTTAGCTCACGTCTGCTCATACGCCAAATGGACACGTACCCGCTCCATCCAAAACCCTCCGCTGCGGTCCATCATCTCAAAGAAATCGTTGTATTCTTTACTCCGGAACCAATCCAGCCTGGCAATCTCAAAGTTACTCCAGAAATGGCACATGTTGTACTCCTCGCCCTCCATCGCGTCTAGACTGATCTCCGGTAGTGATCCCGCCCCAGGTTCGGTGTTGAGGATCTCCTCCGGCAAGGGCTTCTTATACTTGGGATCGTCCTTTGGCAGCGACTTCTTCTCATCGGGCTTCACGGTAAACATCTCCCATAGGCCCTGTGAAGTAATGTTATTGTTTCGCTTGAATGCCGATGCGTAGCGGAAAATGTTCGGCACTGTTTCCTTGAGCTCCTTCACTGCGATGGTAAAGCCATACGTCTTCTTCTCGCGTTCCATGTGGATGAACGGGTCGCTGTTAAGCTTAGCATAGGCCAGTTGACGGGAAAGGGACTGCGCGGGAGGCTTACTAGGTGATGTCGCAGAAGTATTTGATCTCGGGCTCCAGCCTCCAATACCATTCGTACTTTTGCAATAGCTCGTGCTTGTAGAAGAATCTGTGACAAGATTAGCCGCCATGCTTCCCATAGAACGCGAAAGCATCAACCCACCCAGAGTAGAATCGGCACATATGGTGATAGCTCTCCATGCCACCATACATGATTGCCGCATCGCCCTGTTTCGCGATTCCCTCCTTTGCAACCGCCATGTCCGTCCACGATGGATACCCCCACATTGTCGAATCTATCTTTCCCCATTCCACCGATCCGCTAGTATGATTCAATATCGCCTCCTTGAACGTCGAGTTGAAGTCGCCATCGTTGAGGAAGACATATGGGTAGTGGAACCAGCGATTGAAGTGCCGTTCGATCGATTTAATGGATTGGAGCACGCCGTCCAATTCCTTGTTCCTCGCTAGTACCACAAAGGCTGCGTTCGCTCGAGGACCGTCCACCTGGGGCTCCAGGCAGCCTGTCACGAAGACTTTGTCGTACTTGTCGTTGATTTTCCTATAGTATGGTCAGCATGCGCGAAAGTGTGGTATCCCGATGCGGAGGCGATAAAAACCTGACCGCCGTTGAATTCCTCATCGCTTTGGACCTGGGATTGGAGTTTTTGAGCAAGGTTGCGTACCGTATCGATGGAGGCGCCCCAGCGGGCATCATCATAATCCCCGGTGATTGGGGATGCCGCACGAACAGTATGAGTATTAATATTATGACCAAGCATGGGAAGAGCAGAACAATGCCTAGGGGTATCGAGATGGACGAGTTCCCTTTTATTCGTATGCGGCGGCGGAAGAAGGCTAATCGGGGAGACAGCTTGTCCGCCCGTCGTTGTAGGTCATCGAGGCCGGGAATGCTGGGCGAGGAGGGTATCCTCTTGACGAGATTTTGTACAAGCCCCATTTGGTTTTGGTCCTGGACCGCGATGGACGTCGACCGAGCTCGGGGGAGGCGTTGAGAAGAAGCCACTCTGGATCCAGCCAGCAGAGCGGAGCGCTCTACGGAACTACTGGAATCGCAATAAAGAGGCCGAGTGTTGCACGGCGCCGGGGGGGGGGGCGGAATAGCAACGGCGACGGGGAAGAAGATAAGGTGAGGCAGGTAACGAACGGCTGGAGATGCCTCCAAAAAGCGAGCTCAACCCCCGAGGGCGGCGGGAGGAGTGCCAGGGGCGGAATTGCTACAGACTCGGCGGGGCGGCGGTGAAGATGGACGGGAGAGCGCGCTATGGCGGAGCGTGAGGGTGGTGGTCGAAGTGTGGGTGATGCCAGGCGCTGGAGGATCGCGGAGACCGTCGAGCAATCTGAGAAGGAGGCGAAGAGATGCCAAGAGCGGGCCAGGGTCTCTCGTCGTCAGCTTGCTGAGTTGCACGTGCATTTAATTGTTGGGGTCGGTGTATTTATGGTGAAGCAGCAATTGCTGTGTCAAGCGTGAGCAGATGAGTGCTTAACTCGAACTTTTGCGTTCTGTTCAGCGCTCGTAGAAGGCATTCTTGCGTACGTTGTTCTCTCGTGAAGCTGAGATCGCGGCCCCTTTCCTCGCCTACCCACTACCCACCCGCGCATTCCATTTGGCGATATCTCCATTGCCACCTCGACATAGGAGACACCTAGCACCCGGCCACGAGTCCCAATCGGCAGCCCCATCAACTGACAGCCGCTTCACTTGCCCGGCCCGTGGTGCCCATCCCGTTCACCGTTTATCCTAGCGCCTCCAACGGCGCCCAGCGCTGTGTCGTCCTTGCGCGTCGAAATCGAAATATCGCCGTGGGCTATGGCACGTGACTATTGCCGATTCACTGGACGCTGGATATCGATCATTCAATTGGAGTTCACCATACACATCATCTACTAGTCGTTACCTCATTCAGCAGACCAGAGCGATCCAAAGAGCAAAAAATTGACAAAGATCTTATTCACGGATTGAGGCGACGTGACACCACCCCCAAACCATCTACTCGACGAACCTCAACACTATCGAAGTCATCATGAGTAACAAACTCAAAGGCCTGACCTTCGAGGCCAACGAGCCCGCCTTCTTGCGCCGTCTTCGCGGTGAAGCCACCTCCGGGCGGGACGCCTCCCGTCACGAACGCCCCGTTGCCCGTCCGAAACGCGCCAAAGGCGATGACGATGACGATGCGCCGACCTACGTGCTCGAAGACGGGAATGAATCACTTTCAAAGGCGGAATATGAGGCGCTGATTGCTGGGAAAGACGCTGACCAAGGACCGGGCGTGGAGGGTGCTTCTTCGGGAAAGAAGGGAGACGCAAAAGATGCTGAGAAAGAGGAGGCGTCGACGCAGCAATCTAAGCACCAATTGACTGTAGTCGGTGCTGTCTCAAAGAAGAGGAAAGCAGTCAAGGTTGTGCAGGCGAGTGATGGGGAAGAAGATGCAGACGTGAAGCCGAAAAAAGCAGTCAAAAAGCCGAAGAAGTCCAAAGCAGTCAAACTGTCTTTTGGGGACGACGAGGGATGATTGTCCTTCGAATGAGACATCATGTTCAGAGCAAGAGCGGTACGAGACGTTGTCAAATATTTAGGTAGGCCGGCTTCTGGGCCCCTCCACGTCTACCCGCAGCCTTAAACAATTGATGCCCCACATATTGCTCGACGCCCACTGACGGAGGCAGAGGTTTAGACGTCACATAAGGATGTTGAGTCGAGCGACCACTTTGGGAACCCCAAAACACCTCTACTCGTCACTCGCGCATGCAACTGATCACGACATCAAGATTATTGCTTTTTCCAGGAACAATTTCATGACTGCGCCTCAAGGCCATCACTTTGTCACGGAGAGCGGGCTCGATGCTGTGAAGCTACGCAGCCTCGACATAGGCTAGATAAAGCGTCTTCGGTTTGTGGGTATCTCGTACAGCTATCGGGATTGGGCCGTATTTATTGAAGCTCTGAGAGAGAAGATTCGCAATATCTTCAAGAGCAACCGTGGGAAGCTGTAGACAGCGGAATCCCACCCATTCATATAACACGCATTAGTACACGGGGGCTCTTCCGTGTCTCAGTCCCCAAAATCCCTTGCAGAGCCGGTGTGGCCGATGCACTTCGCTCAGCAGTTTCATCGCGGACCATGGAGAACCTAGATGCTGTGCATCATTGGTTGTTGGCTTCTAGTTTAGCCGGATCAGGCGCGCCCACACCCTCCTACAACGCATTTGGCAAACGCAAGCAGCGGTATATGGGGTCTGTCGGGCTGAGATCTCAGCCTTGAGGGCCGAGATGCGCTTCTAGATGCGACCTTTTCGGCTGCCGTCTGCATCCGGCGATTGTGGCTTGCACAAGCGACCTGACTTGAAAGCCCTATCGTGCCTTGATGGCGCCTAGCCTCAGGTAACCCGGGATCTGCAAGGGCTTCTCGGCGTTGAAGGCAGGCTTTTTCCTTCTATTGGTCTGGCAGCGGACAATAACAGCCAGTTCCTCCTATAAGTGAAGCTTCGCTCCCTCGTGGGGTGCTATGATCATACATTCTCCCGTCCTAGCAATATCTCTTCTTGCAGCCTTCTCTCAAGCAGTCTCTGTGTCTAGCCCTTGGCCTTGCCACCAGACGTCCCTCAAGCGCTTCTGAGCATCATTTGGAACTACGACTGCTATTATTTGGCACTCGCATCCGATAAAGTCATGAATATAAGGCAGGGAACAGTGGGGGCGAAACCTAAGAAGAGAGGTCTACTGAACCGGTTTCAGACGAAGATCCAGAAAAACTCACGAAGTCTACTCTGCGACACCTGCCGTTCCATCGACATCAAATCTACTCTACCGCTGAACTCGTCCCATCCGACTCCGCCTTTCCCATCAAATCCAGCTCCGGCTGTGCGGACTTCCAAACCAGTGGTACTCGGCAGCTACAGTGACTTGCTATCGAATGCCTCCTGTCCCTGCTGTCAGCTCGTCTTGCACCTTGTACGGCAAGACGAAGCATCGACTTCCATTTCACTCAGTGCCCCTGCGGCAAGATACGAGTTGCAGCGATCCAAGCACGGTTTTGAAGTAAAAGACGCCACAGGAACACTGGGCTATGTACTCCCCGCCTCTCACGATATGGCTTCAATGTCTTCAACCATCTCCTCCGGTAGACCCGTGCCAGCTCTGGACATTGCTTGCGTGCGTGGATGGCTGTCGGATTGCGAGACCAAACACGTGACTTGCGGGATTCTAGAAGACTCGCTTTCCACCAACGATCCGGTCGATATCATACTGATTGATGTACGGAACAACCGTATTGTCAAAGGAAATACTAATGAAAGATACTTGGCTGTGAGTTATGCTCGTGGCGGAGTCAAATGTCTTGAAGCCACCAAAGCCAACTTCGACACATTGCAAAGAGATGGTGCACTGGATCAGCAGAAGCTAAAGCTCCCGAAGGTCATCGAGGACGCCATGAAATTAACCATGTCACTCGGAGAGAGATATCTTTGGGCTCATTGTCTGAGTATCGTACAAGATGATCAGATGCACAAGGACAGTCAGATCAATAGCATGCATCAAATCTTCGGCAAAGCAGCTATGACGATTGTTGCCGCGGCAGGAAGGGATGCAAATTCAAGACTTCACGATGTTGGAGCCGGGTCAAGGTCTTCGTACTTGGCCGAAAATTTTATCGAGGGAAGAAGATTTATTGCTCGCCCAGCCAACCTCCGATATCTATTAGAGCACGGCTCGTATGGCAACAACGCTTGGGCTTACCAGGAGAGGATTCTATCGAGACGTTGTCTCATCCTTACACAATACCAAGCCTATTTCCACTGCCAGACATCAACTCATACTGATGCAGGAGATTGCGAGCCACAAGATATGCCCTCAGAACGAGACATGCCATCAAGTCCTCTAGCCACGGTCCAAATGGAGCGAAGCCTAGACGGCAAGTCTCAATTCGACACCTTCTCAAAGGGCGCGATGAGCCTATACTCCTCCCTCATCCAATCTTCCACTCGACGCCATCTCTCCCACCCTACCGACCGCCTTCCCGCCTTCGATGGCATCTCCGCCATCCTAAAATCCTGCTACGGCAGCCCCTCCATAGCCGGCCTCCCCGAAGCCATCCTCGACGTCGCCCTCCTGTGGGTCACTTCAAACCCTCAAACCCCAACCCACCGCACCCGCTCCCTCCCCAGCTGGTCCTGGGCCTCCCACCCGGGCAGCATCGACTACCTCAGCGGCCCCCTCGCCTCCACCCTCCCCAAAAACTCGCCACCTATCCGCTCCGAAATCGGCGCCATCGTCCTCCGCACGCAGAAGCACCTCCGCCCCGTACTCCGCGTCTACGGTGACCTTGTCCAGAAACTCCGCATGGACTCCGCCACCACATCCGACGTTAGCGAAATCCCCACCCCCTTTATCTCCCGCGACGTTGCGACGCTGTGCTTCTCCGCGCGCGTCGCAGACGCAGACAAATTACACCTCCGTGCCTTTGAATGGGATGCTGGGCGCGTGCTCGTGTATGCGAAAGGCGCGACGTCTAGCGTGTCGCCGCATCCTACCTGCTGCGGGAAGATCTGGCCGGACAACGCGGCTGATTTCGCGGAAGAAGGGGTGATGCGTGAGCCGGGAGTGAGGAGGGGGTTTCTGCTGTTGAGTAGCGTAAGGGTGCCGGATATGACGGAGCATTTGGGGCTGGGGAGGCATTTTGCCGTGGGGGGGTTTGCGGCAGGAGTGCTAATGAATGTGCTAGTGGTGGAGTGGAGGGGGGATTATGCGGAGAGGATTGGAGTCGGGCAAATTCATGAGGGGGCGTGGGAGGCGGTGGAGGGGGGGCAGGAGGGGGGGGGGGGGGGGTGGGGGGGGGGGGGGGGAGAGGAGTTGAATGGCAATTTTTTTTTGGTTGGTAGTGGGATAATGTATGAGGCTCTGATGGTAACAAAGAATGGAATAGGAATATTATGTAGCACATTTCTACGTATGGGTCCGTTTGCAACTAGGAGAAATACTAAATCCTACTAAAGATAGAAAAGCCGCGTACTCCTGCAATTTCCTCTCTAGCGCCATGTGATCCTGCACTCACGCATACGAAAGCTATAGCTTTCAGATCACCTCAACATATATCCAGACAAGCATAGAATAGTCGCTAATGTTGACAAAAGATTACCGCAGTATCGCAGCAGGCATGTCCACCAGGTCCAAATAGACAAGAAATGAAATCCTTGTATATCCACTCAAAAGATGGGAATCGAGGGGTGTGTTCACCTAGTCAGCTCGGCGACCACGACCGCAGTCCGTGAAAGGATGTTAATCCTCGCCAACCGAGTGAGGCTGAAAGACATTAGCTATTACAAAAATTATGGATGAAAGAAGAGCTTCGCATCCGTTAGCCAAGCAGCACAGCCTTCCGCTGCGGCCTAGCACGTAGCCAAAAGGCCACCGGGACCAGGATCTGTGCCATGTTGACCCGGTACGCAATGCCTTCGATCCACTCAACCAATACAACGAAAAGCTTCCGCGATGAGCGCTGTTCAGCTACCGCAATGAACTCTTGCGACGATGGGCGCCGCAGCAGCCAGTCCTCCGGCAAGCCCAAGTTCACGAGGATGTAATCTGCATGCGTTAGTATGTCCTCTTCGCGGCATGGTGTGCACGACATTCATACCTTCGTAATCGAGGACCTTACTGCTTGGGATTAGCTTAGAATAATATGCCGAACCTTTGAACCGCTTCTCCGATGGCAAGACGACAAATTTGGCGGAGCTGGTGTAGAACGCTAACACATGCGGCGGTGTTCGCCAGGTACGGAGAAGGACTTCCAGCCCTTCCTCCACCGGACGCCGTGGTTGACCGAAGTGTGCTCGCAAGAGAGGGTGCGACATAGGCGCTAAAGCCTCATATCTTATGCGGATGACCTTGCCGGTGCGCGAGAGAAACCACGCCGTCAGAATCGGATCGACGTTCACCGGAGCTGGGAACATCACTTTAGTAGTCGAGGAGTGGACCCAGCCGGCCCAGGACCAGGACGGAAAACCTTGTCGACGCTCCGGAATATCGTCCTCAGACCAGGTGAGACTGACCGAAAACAGCTCTCTAGGAACACCGTAGATGAAGGGGCCTAGGTATGGCCGTAGAGCTGTCGTGATCCCGGAGAATGCGTTCAATATATCCGCGGCTTTCGAGAGGTCTCTGCGGAGATACGAGTTCAGGAGATGAACGTACACGTTTCGGAAGAGGTCCTCCTTCGTACGCCCTTCTAAGTCATCCAGAGCGAGCCGCGGGAAGTCGTGTCGGCGCCAGAAAACGGGCTTCACGGCTCCGAAAACCTCTAAACAGGTATCCTCAATCCAGTCGCCGACCCCGCAGCTGAAGAAGACTTGGTTGGGTAGGAATATCAGTCGGCGGCAGGAAAGTACGCTTTCTTGAAAGGTCCATCCACGCGAGTTCCAGGTAGACCGATACAGCTCCTCGTACACCGATGCTTGAACTGTGATTAAGTCAAGGTCCTGAATCCGAATTTTGGATTGGGTGATGGTGCGTTTCCTGGTTATCCCCGGTAAGCCGGAACTGCAATCAGGTCCTGCTGCGGCGATGATGGTCAAATGCGCTCGTCGGTATATCGAGTCCATGTGCATGATTTGGCTTTCCTTCTCGTCTCCCTCGTCTTCGATTATGCAAAGACTATCTACCCAGAGGTAAGATTCTTTTAATAGACGGCATAAGACTATCGCGTCAGAGATTGTCTTTGGTAGCTCAACTCTGTCGAGTGCACCATGTTGCATGAGTGAATTCACATTCTCAGCAGTCAGCCTAATCTGTCCAGTACATCCCCAGACATAACTCAAAGCCAGGAAATGCTCTTCGGTGGTTGCTTCTATTATACAGGACATGTCGACGTTGATAAGACGGAACCCTACCTTGTGTAGCGCTGAAGATAGCGGGGCCTTGGGGTTACAGACCTGTGGAGGATGTGTTTCGTGGCAGCGCTGTAGCCATTTCGAGATTAACACAAGATCAATGGAACCAGATGTGATGTCTCGTCCGTGGAAGAGGTCTCCATAGTAATCTCTCGGACTCTCCCACAGTGAGGAAGAGCTAACAGTCGTTAATGGAAGAATGCTAATGGCGGTTTGGCTTTCCAAGGCTCTGTTAATGAGCAATCGACGACCGCACCTGCTAGACCAGTCCTCTAGTTGATAGGACGCATATGGCTGTGAAATTCCAGTGAGGTGATATTTCGAGTGTTTCCTGAGAGACTGTAGTGCGGTGGCATGGAACAAGAAGCGGCAGAATGGGCAGCTGCTGTTGTGCACGACCGACTCCGATTCCCATTTGATATCCTCATCTTGATATCTACGGATGTCCGTAAAGAATAACGCATGGAAGTCCAGTGTCTCACAAGTTCGACACAAACGGTCTTCTGTGAGGACCAGAGAGGAGTTCGAAGCATCATCTGCAAGGCTTACAGATGACGCGAGAAATTGTGGTGCAGAAAGATCACTCGTATCCAAAACAGCTGACTCCTCAATAGGACTCTGATTGTCGGAAAGATCGGTCCAGTGCGCAGAATCATGCCTCTGAGAGGCTGCCCTGGGTTGGGAGACTAGACTAGCCATTGATTTGAAGCCCCATTACTATGCATACTTTGGTTGAAGTCAGCTTGGACGTCTGAGTGGAGCTACTCCTTACATCTAAACAACGGTTGTGCTCGTATGAAAGCGAAGAGAACGTCGCCGAGCTAGATGGCTTTCGAAGTCTGAAACCATTGCGAGTTTGTTTGCATACATGCTGATACCCAGTGAGTGTTTGCGTAAGAGCTGCAATTCATAGAAATCTCACGGTTGCCTTCGGGATCAGGTATGGGTAAGGCTGAAAATTGGCGTCTTGGCTGCATTCCGCTTACTTCGTATATTACCCCACGTGGCTCAGGTGCGATGTCACTCGTAGTGAGCGTGGTGTCTAACGAAAACCCTCTGATTTCAATGTACTAGGTGAAGAGCAGGTAGATCAGAGTATTGCACGCAATAGTCGCAGTAAGAGCGAAAATCGACGTTTATACAGTCCCTTGAACTCGTAGTATCCTCTTGCTATTCCCTCAAACCCGATAGCGCTCTAACTCCTCCTTGTTTCTCCGCCAGAAGAAGAATTCATTAACATTGAATAGGCCCTCACGATTTACTTCGCTTTCAAGTTGCTCCTTCTTCGATTTAGGATCGTTCTGATGAGCGTTGTCAAGTGTGAAACTGTCCAGATACTTGATTTCTATGATCTGTCCAGGCGTCGTTCGTTCTCTCGGATGAGCGAAATCAGACTCATTTTGCCAATCTCGTGCTCTCTGAATCCACTCGAAAAGCCAACACCGATCTGACCTGTCTCTGTCTGATGCCCGTCCTACGCAGTCCGCTAACGCGAGATCACTGAAGTCGTAGTCAGACCTCTTCACTATCTTCTCAATCAGCAGTTTGAGAATGGGTCTCGAGGAATTGTATTCCTCAACTGCTTTTATTGAGTATTTTCCAGTAGGTCGAACAGCCCATATCAGATGATCAGAGAGTAACAGAGACAATAATTCGTAGTTACCGAGCATGAGTGCCTCATGCCATGTCGACCAGGGAGGGTACCATCCCGAACGTAAGTGTCTTTTTATCTTGATCGTATGTTGCACCATAATGGGATTGGCTGTCAGGAAGCGAAGAAAGGCAAGCTTGTCAGGAGTAAATGGTCCATGCAGAAGTTTTGGTGAAATGTGGCACTGAATAGCGCTGAGGTAGGGAAGAACGGTGTCGGTGTCCTCGTCTGACGGACTGAACTTCGGTGGATGCACATCGGGTTGCCCAAACTGTTTCCATCTCCTTCTGATTTCGCACCTCCCAAGAGATATACGAAATACTGAATAGTAATATATTGTGTCACTGTCGTACCACTGCTTGTGGTACTTTTCATATGCTCTGGTGACGTATTTCTGAAAAAGACTCCACGTCATCCAGCGCCGTGAAAACAGCCATTCTTGGTAGAGCTCGTCGGGAGCTTCGTCGTCGTAGCAGAAAAATCCTCGGAAACAAAAATGCATATATATGTGCTAAGGGGCTGTGAGATGCCGCTCCATACATTACGAGATGCGAATCTCACCTCGCAGGAGAGTTTAGAACCGATGAGACTGCTAGCTTCTGGTAGGAGTGGTTATCGCTAAGCACGGCAACCTTTTGCAGTATCTCGGCGGGTCGCGTTTCTAGCGGAGACAGCGTAGGAGGCTGGTACTTGATTCGCCAGATTCGAGAAGTCCTATAAGTTCTTTTCTTAGGCTTGGTGACCTTCATGTCCACTGGTCACTCTGGGACCTTTGCTGGTCTGGTGCCTTTTCGAAGTACCATTGTAGAGGTTGTACAAGCTTCCAGGACTATTTTTTGTGGTTGCTGGGGGTGTGATTGGATTCAGCACTTGACATGGGGCGGGCGTTGCCTTTTATGGGGATTGAAGTCTCAGGCAGCAGAGCCGGATTCGCATGATCGGCCGACTTGGCGTTATCCTATCCCCGAGGTCAATCTTACACTTTCTGTCATCACAAGCCGCTCGTTGTGGTAGATAGGAGTGTCGTTGTAGAAGTAATAAGCCAAGCCGGTTAAATAAGGACGTGTCTAAAAGCCCTAGTCCGTAGTGTTCTAGTGAATACGTTTGATACCGGTGAATCTGACCGGAGCCGTGGAGATCCTGCTTAGAACACTTCGAAACAGATTCAAGCTGGGATTTTGAACTTCAATCTGAGAAGGAGATCACGGCTCTGGCTTGTGGCCAGCATTCCACGAGTTCAACCACCATGAAGCGTCGACACGAATAGGATGTTATCGCCTTTCTGAATTTCGTACTTGTCTTCGCCCTCAAGCTCCCAATCGGCATCATTAATGAGGACTAGGATGCCCGGCCGTCTTTGTATAGTTAGTGCTGGACTCAAAACGTGCTCGGGTACAACGCACACGGTACCGTCAAGTACGAAAAGATCTTTTCTCGGGTCTTTCATAAGGTTGTCGCACAGATACCGAACAAGGAAAGCAACGTTTGAATTCAGCCCAGATTCATCCTTTGCTGCTATTGAAAGCTTGTGCTTTCGTTCATTTGAAAAGAGCATTTCTAGTCCACCACTGGAAAGCATTAGAACGAGGGACTGCTAATTTAGTCAAAGGTGGGTGAACGTACCTGAACTCCACGGTGATGGGAACAACGTCTTCAGTGCTGGCTGCCGACATTGTATCGAGAGAAGGTGTTGTGATGTTGATGGTTTGATGTTGGCTTGAAGGACTCATGGACTCGGCCGGGGATGAAGGTTGAGGCAGAGAGAACCACGCTAGTCCAGATTAATCACTAGCGTAATGGCTCAAGCTCTGAAATGAGACCCAAGTTTTCCATCTTCAAAACCAGGTAAGATAACAAAGTCTACAAGTTCCAGACTCGTCCACATGGACTATATATCAGCAGACTTTGTATCTACAGGAGGCAATCGGCACCCTTCCGCCGCAGACTGGGACCGGGAAGGCTCGCAATTACTTGCATTTGGTGCAGACCACAATATCGCATTGTGGAATCCTGAGGTACGTACTAAATAGCTTTCCTATATTCAAAATCAGTGTTTAGCAATCAAACGAAAGTGCCGTAGGATGGTCCTTTGTACTCTCCCAACCGTATCATACTGACTATGTAAGGATGAAAATCTTCGTGGAGTCACCCGTCTGCTGGGCGGCCATGAGAAGCAAGTAACTGTCGTCAAGTTCTTCCCCACTAGATCTTCCGAGCGAACGCTGCTCATCAGCGGATCTGCTGATAAAACGATACGAGTATGGCTTCGTACCCAGCCTAATCTGGATTTTGAGCTGATGAAGACCGTCACGGATCATCAAAGCGCCCTTACTCGTGTCGCAGTATGTCCTGGATCAGACATCTTTGTGTCTGGGGCTTCTGATGGTACAGTTAAGGTGTGGAAGCTCATCCAAAACGCCGAAGATGCCAAGACTGATGTTGAACTCCTCCAATCCATAACTTTACTCCCAAAGTACTTCCCTTTAAGTTTAGCTCTTGCTAAGCTCAATGAATCATCCCTTATCCTTGCAGCTGCTGGTACAAGAAGCACAATACAAATATTCGTCTCTAGAGAAAACCAATTCGACTTGGCAGCAACTCTCACTGGCCACGAAGGGTGGGTTAGATCTCTAGAGTTCACACGAGAGAGCGAAGAAGACAGCAGCGATCTTCTTCTCGCTTCAGCCAGTCAAGACAAATACATACGTCTATGGCGCGTGCATCAAGGTGACGAGCTTCCGGCCGTTAGCAATGCAGCAAGCGACCCATCACTCAGAATAATGGGGAAGTCGCTGTCAAATAAAGCTCATCGAATTGAGTCGAAAGATTCTCGATACTCAGTCACCTTCGAAGCGCTTCTCCTTGGACATGAAGATTGGATTTACACAGCTTTGTGGCGTCGTCAGTGTGGGAAACTTCAACTACTGACCACTTCTGAGGATAATTCGCTGGCCATCTGGGAATCTGATCCAGCATCTGGTGTGTGGGTGTGCGTAACTAGACTAGGCGAAATCAGCTCTCAGAAAGGGTCTACAACCGCAACCGGTAGTGCTGGAGGCTTTTGGATTGGACTCTGGTCACCCGATGGCGATCTAGTAGTGTCATTGGGTCGAACTGGTAGCTGGAGAATGTGGCACTATACCGAATCAGAAGATCGATGGCTACAGCGAGTAGCAATTAGCGGTCACGTCGAAGCAGTCAAAGGAATCTGCTGGGCTAAAGACGGGTCGTATTTGCTCTCCACAGGCTCCGATCAAACAACCAGACTCTTCGCAGAATGGAAACGCGGAAGTAAGCGCTCATGGCACGAATTCTCTAGGCCTCAGATCCACGGGTATGATCTAAACTGCATCGACTCAATCTCCGCTACTCAGTTCATATCTGGTGCCGATGAGAAACTTCTTCGTGTCTTCGACAAGCCGCGAGGCGTCGCGAATCTCCTCAACCGGCTCTGCGATATAGGATCCGACACGAACCAAACCCTACCAGATGCCGCAAACATCCCCGTTCTCGGTCTTTCCAACAAAGCCATTCAGGCCGTCGAGGACGAAGAACCCGTCGCAGAAGAAGACGATGAACGAGAGGCCGTCGACCCAGCCTCTATTGTACGCAAATCTACTCTGGATCTAGACCACCCACCCTTCGAAGACCACCTCGCAAGACATCTTCTCTGGCCAGAGTCAGAGAAGCTGTACGGTCACGGATACGAGATATCTGCGGTTGCCAGCAGTCATGACGGCTCTGTGATCGCGACAGCATGTCGCGCTAGCTCTTTAGAACACGCTGTCATCCGCCTCTACGACACCAAAGAGTGGCTGGAGATCAAGCCACCTCTAGCAGCTCATTCGCTAACCGTCACGGCCTTAGAGTTCGCTGAAGACGATCAATACTTGCTGAGCGTCGGGAGAGATAGACAATGGGCTGTATTCGCACGCACAGGAGCTTCCGCGACCGAGTATAAGCTCGCACATTCAAACCCAAAAGGCCACTCCCGGATGATCCTCGACGGATCTTGGGCGCCGAACACCTCGTGCCGAATGTTCGCTACCGCTGGAAGAGACAAGTTGGTCAAGCTTTGGCGACTCTCCGGCGCTGAGATCGAGCTCTGCACCTCGATCTCGGCTACCGCGGCAGTGACTGCTGTGGCATTCCTGCATACTATACTCCCCGGTCGTCTCGTTCTCGCGTATGGCGATGAGAGCGGGACAGTCGCTATCTGCGTCATCTCCGTGGAGGACCCTACGAAGATTAAAGTCTCCATTGTCGGAAATAAGTTTGCTCCCGCGAAGCAAGTAAATCAGCTTGCGTGGAGGCCGGCCTACCAAGGGGCAGGTCATGAGGAGACACAGGAGCTAGCTATAGCTAGTGAGGACAGCTCTGTGCGTATCCTGCGAGTGAAGATAGGCAGTCAACCATAGGATATATTCAGATATTTTGAAGTCCTAAACAGCATGTGCACCTGTGCGTTTTTAATGAGTTGGAAGTGAAAAGTTTAATAAGGCCGAAGAGAAATTTCACTCAAGTACTCACGTGACATCAAAAACCCTTATGAACCAGCAAAGCTCCACTGCCTTTATCAGAAGACATTTGGTCGTATACTACCCAATCTCCGAAAATGCCGAAGCACCCCCCAGGATCCCTTACCGACCCGAGCGTACAAGTACACCAGCATATCCATGCCATAACCATGCGCACCCTCTATATCCCAACCCCCCCACAGTACGCCTCACAAAATAACCGCCACATAAAACGCATTTCATCCACGCTAAGCTAACATTTCAAAAGAATCCCGCTCCCAAATCTCAATATGCCTCACCACATCCCGCGACACCAGCTTCACGACGCGCATAAACCTGACATCGCCATCCGGCTTCGCCCGCTTCTTGCCCATGCTGATCGTTGCGCCGAGCTCGAACACCAGATCCCCGAACCCGACGTACCGCAGGTTGGCGTACTCGGGCCGCCACATCTCGGTCCCCATGGCCAGCTGGTGCATCTCGGGATCCATGGAGTCGAGCTTGTCCGCGAGCTCGGAGCCGGGCCGGACGAGCATGCGCAGTGCGAAGAGCTTGGGCGCGTAGGAGACGACGAGGCGCATGGCTTCCGGCGAGGGCTCGCGGATGGCGATGCCGAGTTGCTCGAGGTTCGGGCAGCTGCGCGCCAGCTGCGAGATGACGTCGGCGCTCAGCGCCCAGCGGTCTGAGAGGAGGAGGTGGCGTATCGTCCTGCCGTGGTGCGTCTGGATGGCTGCTAGGTAGTCTGAGGCCAGGTGGACCGTGTCGTGGTTGAGCGGGGTGCTCGCTGGAGACGCAGAAGACGGCGATGGTGTTGCTGGGGTGGTGGCCACGCTGTTAGATTTAGAGCGCGCGCTGCGTTTTTGGCTGACGTGGTAGATTCGTTCCAGCCCCTCGAAGCGGGCCATGAATAATGTATGCGCTTCGTCTACCAAGTCTCCCCGCATCGTCTTGAGGTTGACCGGGACCTTGTCTGGTCGGTTTATGCGCCAGGTGTCGTCGAGGAACACTGTCATAGGGTCGCCGGAGCCCATGCAGTTGAGAAACGTGACTTCCTCTAGGCTTTCGTGGCTGATACAATCGTCGAAATCGCCACCATTGCGCGTGTACATGTTGTAGAGGGATAACCGCTTGAGTTTCATTGTGTGTTTGTTGGTCATGCAGCGGCCGAAGTACGTCAGCATATTGACGGATTCCTCGCCCATGTCGCGCATTCGAGGACTCCAGTGTAGTGTTAGGTCTTGGAGCTTTTTCGAAGAGACGAGGAGCATAGAAATGTCGTCTGGATAGCATAAGGGGTCGATGTCGTAGACTTTTAGGATCTTAAGGTTCGGTATCGGGGGTATCAGCACTGTAGGTCGAGGTATGCGCCTGCTGGGCGAGCGTAATGTGAAGGAGGTGAGAGTCGAGCGCGAGTTCAGACTCTGGTAGACGGTTTGCATAGGCTTCGTATTTAGTTCCCACCTTGGCATGTTAGTCGCAACTTTGGAATTGCACGTGGAAGTCTTGGTAGACGTACCCGAATGACTGTATATTTTGCATCTTATCAATGGCAGCCCGCAAGGCAATATTCAGCATCATGCTGTTATCCGGCACCCGCCCTTTCGAGAAGTCTTCAATGTCGGACTCCTTCCACTCTCCTAGCACCCTGAAGTTTTGGACGTAATTCGTAAAGTTGCGGGAGACGAGGGCGTTGAGACCCATGGAAAAGGGACTCCCGCTCCCATAGCCCTCTGGCTTGCCATTGACGTATCGCATCTCGGTATAGGATCGGAGCGTGACACGTTCGTAGAGTCTGGGTAGGGTCATGTAATACAGCAGACGCGACGTCCGCGTAAGGCGTGCAATATCAGCGACATCGTCAATCTGATATATAGGCCATTAGCAAGCCACTCGGAAGACTGGGAGCGTGGTTGGGCTCGGGATTAGGCACTGAAGGCATCCAAAACGTACAAATGATATTATAAGGGCTAAAAGGTGTAGGGGGATATCCTGTCTCTCAGCGACATTCGTAGGGTTGCGCACGGGAGACGTCGAGAGCGTGTGACGGTGAAGCGCAGCAGGGTGGTTTAGATGCGCCATATGAAGGCCGGATGGCGGCGGATGGTGCGCGATGGTTGCAGGCCCTATCATGCATGGAAAAGGTATTACGCCGGGAGACTGAGGAGGGCTGACGGATGCAGTTTTGGTGGTTTCTGACGGTCGGCTTGAGATTCCAACAAGAGATTCCTCCAGGGTTCGACCGCCCCTCGTCCGCCCCGGCCTAGTTCGCATCCTGGTGCACATCGGCACGTCACCTCTATATGGCGATTAGGCGAAGTTGTGCACGCTTTTCAGGCTCCCAGTTGCCGAGTGAATGCATCGGCAGTTTTGATGCGAGGCATAGGGCTAGGTGGCAGAGTCTCCTGTCAGTAATCTTGATAAAGTTGTACGTATACCACCGAAATTGGTGACATTGTTCCGGAAAGATACGACTGATAGTGTATTGATCTCGTTTATCTAGGACGATCGGTGCATTTTATGCAGAGTCTGGAAGTTCTGATGCTCCGTGGACATGGCCTCTTCGCTGTCCGTGCCTAACTCCGTCTAAATGCCGCTGAATTATGCCAGAGATAAGAAAGGCCAGTGCTACGTGTACGACCCCTTTTTGCTGCTTGTACGATGTCCTTTTGCTGCACGTACGACACCCCCCCTAGCAGCCCCTTCACCGCGTTTTAATTGGCTCGCTTATCGGGCCGACTACTCCGGAGCATCGATAGATTCCAAATGCGTATATCAATCAGCCGCCTAGGAAGCGCGGTAGGCCACCTAAGAACTCAACACCAGGAGGTCCTACAAAGAAGCGACGTGCGAATACCAAGGCAAACCTTGAGCGGAAGATTGCGCTACTAGAAGCGCAGGTACGGGGTTTACAGCCTGTCGCAGGAAGTACAGCGCAGTCGACAGGCCTGCCGCAGCCTCGTGAGGCAGCTCGTGAGGCGGCTGATGAGGGCTTTGATGAGTATGCGGAGGATCTCGTTAATGAGGACTTTACGTAGGTGCTTGTAGGCCAGGGGCGATGGAGAGAGGGCCTCTATTAGGTGCGAAATCGACGGTTTAGGCATTCTCCTAGGCACGTAGGCACGTAGGCACGTAGCTATACACGTAGCTATACACGTAGCTATACAAAATGGGAAGGCTGTAGATGAAAGGGAAAGGCTGCACGTGCAAATATACGTAAGAGTGAATGGCCGGAGGAACATCCGAGCCCTCCAAGCCAATTAAAACGCGGTGAAGAGGCTGCTAGGGGGGGTGTCGTACGTGCAGCAAAAGGACATCGTACAAGCAGCAAAAAGGGGTCGTACACGTAGCACTGGCCATAAGAAATAGAAAAGAAGAGAAGTGAGAATTATAGGTTCTACGTTAGTGACGCTCCATGAAGAACCTATGCACAGGTTAGTCCCAGGCCTCCTTGAGCATTGGAAGGAAATAAAAATGATCTTACCAAGGCTTCTTTGCTCCATACTTCTCCCCAGGATACTCAAAGGGTACATCGACGTGTCCCGCAAACACGTCCATGGGGACCAGGCCCTCGAGAGTCTTGCAAGTGTTGAGCTTCGCTGGTGGGATCGCAATGAGCACGCCGCATTCCCAGTTCCGGCAGTTCAACTTCTCAGCCTTCTTGGACTTATCCATCAATAGCTTTCCCCAGGCGCTTTCTGAAACGTTGGCGCTGCCGACATATGCCCACGCCACGTTGGTGGCATGACCATCTCTTGACACGCGCTGGCCACGAGCGAACAGAATCTAGATCATAGTCAGCTTAGCGAACGAGTGATATCAAGGATCCTTCGAACCTTGTTGTGGCTTAGCAATCCTGTTCTGATTGACTTGTAATCATGCATGCACTCCTTTGGGAAGCGACTGTTGCTATAGTAGCTAGCTTGCAGGCAGTTCGTACCGGCATTGTCTATCCCACCTATGGTCTTCAGGACTGTTTCGTGAAGTGGAAAATAGATACGAAACTTGTCGCGGAATGCCTTCGGTACGTCGCGGGCGATGATCTGTGCCGGGGCCTCTCCTTTCGCACCAAAGTAAACATTCTTCAGAAACGCGTCGTTCAAGGACCCGATGGAAGACGCTGTGAAGTCGACCTCTAGATTGTCGGTTTCCAGATTGAGACTCCGGACCGCTCTGCTAAGGCCGGGTATACCGGTTCTCTTGAGGTCTTCGCCATGGTGAGACCCTCCACTGTATATAATCAGCAACTTTACTACAACTTGACAGGTGGGGAATTTACATTGTATGAACGAAGGCCAGATGATTAGTTCTGGAATAGTCGAAGTTCTTGAGGCCTTTGAGAACTTTCTCCGGCAGCCCTTTTGCCCGAACAAAGTGAAAAAGTTCTTTAGCAAAGGGAGTCAGCTCAGCGTCGGCATCTTTGCCAGAACGTCGGGGCAAGTCGACGAGAAAGACAGACTGCATATGTTAGCACCGTCTTTAAGATAGGCTTCTATGACCTACATTCTCCATGATCCCCGTCTCACCCCAATCATACGAGTTCAGGTTAGCGGTCGGGACCACAACACGGAGATGCGTAGGGTGAAATAACAGCATTAATTTGCTGTGCATGCAGTTGATTTGCCCTGACATGTCTGGGAAACAAAGTTCTAGATTGGTAAGGTCTTCAGCATCTTTGCGATGCTGGTCTTGTGCTGCTTTTCCTTTTGCCTGCATGACCAAGATCAACTTGGTCCTGGGAAATTCGAACTTTCTCAATAACCATTCGATGTCCCAGTCGAACGCGCTGAGAACGGCGAAAGTCAGAGTGTTCTTCTGCAGAACTTCCTGAATCTTGATATCATTGGACCTATCATGGCCGAATGCCCAGGTCCTCTTGGTTACACCGAGTGGATACTCTAATGCCGATTTGCGAGCTTCAGAAGACACGCTCGAAAGGGTTGTTGGGGGAATTGTCAAGGAGCGTTTTCGCAGAGATGGGTCCCTTGTATCGGCATCGAGATCGATGACTTCAGGAACTGAGTTTGTTTTCGGCCGCTTAAGTTCTCGATCTGACGGCGCGGGCGTGTGGCGCTTTATTGGAGGAGGGGAGATAGATCGCTGTCTCTTTCCCCTCATTGTTTCGACCTTCCTGGCCTCATCTCGAGCGAGTCGTTCGAGGTGCATTTGTTTAAGATCGGGTTTGGAATTGCTTGTGGCGGTCATAACTGACTTTTCAGTGATTTCTTTTGGTAAGGCCTCACTGTATGCGTACTGATTCTGCTGTGGGCCAGTAGCGACGGTCGAATTGGGGCTTTCTTGCAGAGACATTGCAATAGCGAGCTTGACTTGCTCATCTTCGTCATCGGATGCGTCCATGGTGACCAGCCCTTCAACATTTGCGAGGTTGCGGTGGTACAGCTTGAAGTGTTGTTGCAGTTTAGAGGCAGTGAGGCCTGGAAGGTGACCTAAAAGGCACAGGGGCGGTTCCCGGCTGCTGCACGTGGCACCGTCTTTATATAGAACTAGCGGCTTGGCAGAATTCACTTTATTTTTCAAAAGTCCCCCTGGCCCACATTCACAACTCACATTTACGCCCGTGAACCTCAAGGACATACATTGCAGACGTCGCCGTCTTTGAAGCTATCTCTGCAGTATATATGAGTGCTTGGCAATGCTTTTCTTAACTCAATCAAGCCTCAGGGCTTCCAGCTATTAACTGATGCTTGCAATTGAAAACATTCCTCTCCAAGTCCTAGACCAACTACCTCAACAACAATAGCAATGAACCTGCTAGGCCTTCCACAGACGTCATCTCCTTGACCTTTGAAAATCTGGATTCCTGGGACATTTGCGAAGCTTCCTTCGTGCACAGCTCCCTCCACGCCTTTGCCCAGAAATATCTATGGGGCGAAATCAAGCTAACATGGTACGCGGAGCGCGACAATTTGAAGCTCTCATATTTTTGAAACCGAACAGGTTGGGTACAAAGAGATTCCGGGAATGAGTGTGCAAGGGTTGAACTTCGAGAATGTGTTGTGGTAGTGGATTTGGGATGATGGGAGGTGTTAGCAAGAGTATTACAGCTACAAAGGGCCTCCCTCCTTTGGAGTTCCTAGCAATGACAGAGACGAGATTATAGAGGAAGCACGCTCGTCATACTTCCAAGTCCATAAAAGGGGGATCTTGGTACGGCAGGGGCTTGAATTCAAATTTTCCTTTTCTTGTACATTATTAGTGGATGGGAATATGTACAGGAGTAAGAACGCTCCGACGACAGCTTCTTTCCAAGCGCCGTTAGAAACTTCCTAGCGATCAATTACATGAAATTTCGGATACATGGGTATGAAATGGGATTACTATGCGCTCACCACGTGATATCCTCAAATGCGGTCCGCAGCACATCCGTACGCGTTTTCTGCATCTCAGGCGCAACACTGCTGACGAGTTCCAGGATATCGAGAGTTTTTCTCACGTCCAGTTTTGCGAGCATGAACAGAGGGTCCGAGCTAGGCGGCACAGCGAATTGGTTCGGCGAGAGCGGCTCGTTCTGGGCGGAAAGAATACGGGCCATGAGTAGCTACATGAAGCATTAGCTATTGTTCGACACACATCGCGTCTGGATGTCCTACTGCTTCCTCGAAAGCTCGGTGCTGAAAAACCCACCAAACCCCCGCGTCGACTCGCAAGAATTCCCAGAAGTCAAAAAAGGACGCCAAGGCCATTCGTGCGGCTTCAAGAGCACCTTGCACATTACAGGAAACGCCTTCAGCGTCGTTGACATCGGCTTGGATGATCATGACGCAGTGCCAGTAGTTCGAGCGGAAAAACATTGATTGGCGCAACACGCGAGGGTTGCTGCTCGCAAGGCCAGATACCATGCCATAATCGGATGCTTTTAACGTGGAAGGGAAACTATCGTGCACCTCGCTGTAGGTTTTGATGAGGTTTATCTTGTCTTCCGGAGAGCTGGTTAACGGGCGGTTGAGAGATCGCGGAGTACATAACGTTCGCTGCACGAGATTGGCGAGATGCCACATGGAACGAATGTACTGCCGGTCTGCTAGCTCGTATGGCGGATGTGGATCTGACATTGGCGCGATGTTGTCGATGCTCATAGGGTTTATAACAGGTTCATGGCCGCCGTTTGAGGTTAGTCCAGCTCCGACGTTCTCATCGAGGTCGTCGGTCAGTAATTCCACTCGGACATCCGAGAACGTCGTCGTTGGGGGTAATTTGAGAAGCACGGTTAGGAACGTGTCTTGGAATAGGACCGCCTGCCAGACCTTTCGTTTCTGCTGTCTTTCGCTCAACGAGCACCGGGGGCACACGATATCTGGATCTCGGTTTAGACCCATGGCATATGCTTGGCGAGTCAAGACACCGCCGAAGCCCCAAGCATCCGAAGCGTGATTATCGTTCATGAGGAAATAGCAGACGAGTACCATGGCTTGGATGGCCCTCACTGATGTCCGGCTCAGATAAGAAGACAATCGTAGCGCTTGTTGAGCTGCTGACACGTAGAACTCGGCAATCTGGGTTCGTTCCTGGTTTGATGGTGTTTGGATGAATTGCGTTGCCAGAGCATATATAATGAAATGCAGGGCGAGCAGACTCGGTTCGGCTATCTGCTTATCTTGGAGAGACAAGGACCAGAAACGCTCATACTCGATGTGGAAGTTCCGTTTGTGTATCATGGGATACACTGGATCGACGGCATCGAAGTACTTGGCCACGAGGATATCCGCTTGGTCCTTGCTTGGTAGGACTCCGACGACTTCGGGTAAGCCGCCCTGGCTGGTCCAGTAATTGGTGAAAGGATGCTGTGAGCCCAATCCAAAAAACATGGACGAGCTTTGAGTAGAATTCGGGATCTTTGATAGCAAGACAGAAGATGAGGCCGTTGATGTAAGCGACATACTTCGGTCCTGTGATCTTGATGTTGGCATCTGAAACAAGTCAGCTTACACGAGGCGGACCAATCGCAGAAGCACAACTCAAGATCACCTTTTGGGATAGACTGCCATTTTCGCTCTCCGTGATAGATGTTTCTTTCTGCTTCTTTGCTTTAGCAGAGTGCGATCGATCGACGCTTCGCCTGGAACTGACGGGTGTTAGCATATCGAGCATATCCTGACTAAATTGCTGAGACGGGGGCCCCTGCGCTACGAAATATGTCTGAGAGACTAGCATAACTCACTCGGCAGAAGCTATTAGGTTTGCTACCTCGGAATAGCGACACTCGGACTGACGTTTGAGGCAGGCGAGACATCCTGGCCGTCCTCTGTCACACTACAAAGCCCAACGAGGTCAATCAGACGTCCATTGGAAGAACCAATCCCCACATACCTTCGTCTTGCGCTCGACACACTCCAGGCAGCTCAGGGTGGGCTTGTTGCGCTTCTGTTTCTTGCGCGGCGGGGTGTTGTCGTCGCGGCTGTCAGGGAGCGCGATTGCGGCCGGGGCCATGGTGGGCGTCACTAAGCCTTGGCCTCTGCGGATTGCCGTCGTTGCCGCCTCCATATGGCTTCATGCCATGCTTGCTGTGCATGGATGTGCAACTGGAGTGCGATATTCCCGGACCTAGTCGGAGGTTGTGTTCTGACTTGCTGCTAGCTTGAGGAATGATCCGCCCAAGGAGCCGCCGCTCCATGGGAATAGGCTGGTTAGCGGGGTACGTTTTAAGCATAACCCTTCTCTTTCATTCTTCTCCGCCATGTCTTTGTTCAATATTTTGCTAGGGCATATCTTTTTGGTGTAATTTTTGGGTGGTTCCACGATACCTTTTGAGGTGATTCCATGAGTCTGCTGCCGTTCGAGATATTAGACTGACATTTGATAGGAAGCACCGCTTAGTTAGTAATGCGGCACGTTAGCTACGTCTCCTTGAAGTTGCAGGTACAGTATCGATTATATGGCCTGGCTTTTAGTCTAATATATAGCACGGATACAAAATTCTAAAACACTTCCAGAAACCGAGAGAGTAAATACAAAGTTGCTATGGACAGAGCGACCATGGGACTTACGTGTGCCTAAGCTCGTTTAGATTTTAAATGGAAAGATGAACTTGCATATCTTTCACACTTTCAGAACTGTGATGAGGCGCCCGTGACAATGGTAGATGGAAACGAAGGTGATCGAAATTACGTTCGTGAATGTTGAGGGTATTGACATTAAAACAGTGAAATTAGTAGAATAACGGGACCATATTTTACAAATCCTCTAAACCATGGCTTCCCTTGCCATGCTCTACGGATCCACCTGGAACGCACTTGATGCTCAATAGGTCAAAGTCGCACACTTGCCCTCCCATCCTCCTTTCTTGATGACTTCTTGGAAAATCCAATGGCCAACATCCGTCTTCCCCACATACCAGCCCAGCGCAGGACCCTGTTCCTTCCCTCTGCCTTCAACGCCCCTGATCCCCCATTCCCACCCGGATCTGACCTTATCCGCCCCCTGCGCCCCACCGCTCAACAAAGTCGGCCGCACGACCACAAAGTTGCGGATCTTGCTGTCCTTCGCAGCACCAAAAAGCTGTTGTTCCATCGACTTCTTGTCTTCATGCGGCACTTGCAACGCCCAGTGGTATAGTGGGTAGAGCAACCACGGCACGTCCCGTTTCCCATCAGTCACACCCGTCGTGCTAATCGTCACGAACACCGGTTTCTCGCCGCTCGCGGTAGTCCTAATGCCTTCGTCTGCGAGACTCGTCAAAGCAGCCAGAACGGTTGCTGTCCCTGTCGCGCAGACGTGGGGATCATCGAGCGTGAAAGGCTTCCACAGCGAATAATTGATGCGGGGAAGGGCCCCGACGCCAAAAACGATCGTGTCAACAAGATGAGTAGGCGATGTTGGTGGCACGAGTGCCTTCTTGACATCTTCCACGGATTTGACGTTGCCGGCGAGGATTGTGAGGGCGCTGTTTAGGGTCGACGAAGGAACCGAGTGGGGTGTTGAGGCGAGTATCTTGCGGAGTTTCTCGGGGGTGCGCGCCACTATGGGATACGTGTTAGACATGCTTGGGTGTTAAAGGGGCGTGGTACTGGTGCATACGAGCTGTTGCTATATAGTTGTCTTTCAAAGCTGCGGTGAGGGCAGCAGATGCGCATCCGCCTGTTGCGCCGAAGAATGCGAGGGTAGGCTTGGTGGTGCTCATTGTGATTCTTGGGACGTGAGTAAATTGGAAAGAATTCGTCCGCCGGGTTCCTCAAATAGACTCGTGAACTAGGTCGGTAGATTGGTATAAGTTGGAGGAATAAGTGTCTCTGATGGTGGAAAGCTGTGGGTTATGATGAATGTTCTCTCGTTCGCGGTCAAGTGTCCTCTTTATACTTTGACGGCGGCCTCAGCTCGCTGAAGTCATGGACGCGAATTGCCGTAATAAGCAGCTCGCTGCGGCCGTAGACGCGCAGTGCCATGCTAGGCAGCGAGTTTTCTCCTGGTCGCGCGAAGTTGGATGTCGAGAATTGAGCGATGGGGATTTCTGGAGGGCTTTCGGGGGATCTTCTAGTGGAATCGGGCTGATATCCACCCGCCTCGGCCACCAGCCCCCGAGAGCTTGCCGAACGCCCTACGCATCCTTCTTGCGAAGATGCGCTCAACATGATTGGTCTGGAGTCACGAGATAGGTAGGCAATACGTATCGTAATATTTGCACCATTCCAATCAAATTGACAGCAATAACCGAACTCGTTTCGTAGAAGAATTGACACCAGTGTACAGTACCAAATGCCTTAATAGAAATTTCCAAGCTTTTGATTATCCTATTTAAGACTAGCCGTTTCTCTCGACGAGACACTTTGCATCGTATGTACTCGATTGCACCCATGTAGCGTTATCTATTACATAAAGAGGGACATGAACAAGATTCAGAACCCAGCTCTCTAATATTCCATTAAAAAACCACGTGCAGTGGCATCACAATGTATAGAGACGTTTTTGAGAATTCCGTAGAGAAAATAGTGCCAACCCAAAGTCTTCGGAAGACGACATAGATTCCTTTTATCCGACGGCCATGATCATTCCATATCAACATCGACCCTCTAGAAGGAGCTTAACCTTCTACATCGTGTCGTGGAGAAAGCGCCCTTCCCCTAGATCGCCGAAGCAACTTCGCGGGCGATGCGGGGCAGCTGTCCACCTTCTTGCCACTCTGAATTTCGGTATCGGCGCGCTCCTCAGTAATAGTGTCTTTCAGATAGCAAAATCCAGGCCCTCCGCTAGTTGGGGGGATCCAAGAAGCAGCAACGCAGGCAGAAAGTGCGTTACATTCGTCGATACAACCAGATATGCTATCAGCCTGTTGCGGGCTCTCAGGTAGATCATTCCCGTACTCGAAAGTAATCAGTTTAAGTACTTAAATATGCATGGGAAGACTTACGTAGTCAAGATAGCAAGAAATGAGATAATAGCCCCCTGAGGTCAAAACGCATTGACCGTCGGATCCGGGGCACGTGGGTGGTGAGGGAGTGACTGTAGGTGGCGAGGGTGTGACAGTGACGGTGGGTGGTGGGACAGTGACTGAGGAGGCAGTGGATGAAGAGGGTGAGCTGATAGCGCTGGATATAGAGGCTGTAGAAGATAGAGTAGACGATAGCATAGATGAAGGCGTAGAGAACAGCGTCGATGAAGGTGTTGACGACGGCGTAGAGGATGGCGTAGAGGATGGCGTGGAGGATGGTGTAGAGGACGATGTTGAGGACGACGTGGAGCTCAGAGTGAAAGAGACCGATATCGGGCTGGACGACACCGAAGAAGATGGTGTGTGGGAAGAGACGCCGCTCGACGAATGGGACGTACTCGAAGAATGAGACGTGCTCGAAGAATGAGAGGAACTCTTCAAGCTCGGAGTGGGCGTTGGCGGGGTTGATGAATGGGAGGAACTCTTTGAACTTGGCGTGGACGCTGGTTTGATCAAAGAATGGGATGTACTCTTCGAACTCGGTGTGGACTTTATTGATGAATGAGAAGAACTCCTCGAACTTGGCGTGGACGCTGGTTTGGTCGACGAATGAGAGAGACTTTTCGAGCTCGGCGTGGGCGTTGGTCTGCTCGACGAATGAGAGGAACTCTTTGGACTTGACGTTGGTTTTGTCGATGTTTTCACCGGTGTGACGGTAAGCTGGGTTTCTGTCAGACTTGCATATGGACACCTATACGGTTCTCCGGCCCTGCTCTTACCGTTTTGGTCACTGGGGTCTCGATGCAAGAGCACAACGTGCTCAGGAAATGACCACCGGTCTTATATGCGCTTGACCACTTAGCAGTACAGTCTTTGGGAATAGCGGTCGTCGAGAATTTCTTGCCGCTGGTTGGCGCGTGTCTGTTGGCATACTTGTGCGGAGTAGAGGTAACTGTGACGGTGTGTTTCGGCAGGGGATAGTGAAGAGAGCAATAGATTTCAGCGGCAGGGTGAGCAGACAAGACAAGAAGGTCCTTGTAAATCCCACTCGAACAAACAGAAGCAGAAGCAGAAAGTGACAATGAAGCGAGCGTGATCAGACAAGCGTGGATATGCATGTTGACGAGAAGCAAGGTGCAAGCGATTCAAACGAGTGAAGGTCGACGGAGCAAAGCAAAGACTGGCAAGATGAGGAGGGAAAAGCGGGAGAAAACAAACAGATGCATGGCGAATGGTGCTTATTATTGGAACATTTAGAGTGCATGTCTCCTCAGGGGCGATCTCCCATCGAAGATGCTTGTCTATCCCGCGCGCAGGGGGCAGGTGTTCCTGGAAAGTGCACAGACCCTGTCCCAGCAGCCATACCACTTGAAACCTCTTCCACAGCCTGTTGATTGGCAAGATTATCGTGAGAGAGCTACTTCATTGTTGCTACCTTTTCGCGTCTATCATTCTCTCATCCAGATGCTCTATAACAGAGTTTGAGCTACCATACGCATTCTTCAGATTTTCTCGATGCAGCTTGCCGATAGAGTACAGGCCATCAGACGTTGTGGGCCACTGCTGCAGCTTCCCGGCGAGGGATCTGAGCGGGAAGCTCCTGTCTCTGGTTCGAGGTAGTGGGCTGTTGTGCCTGTCAAACGGTGGGCGCTAAGCAGATTCGGGTCTGGCATAGGGGAGACGGGTGATGATTGTGGCGGCCTGACGCATACTCGTGGTGGAGATGAGGCGTCTGGAAGGACGGTCTGGAAGGACGTTTTACTATCGGGTGGTCTAAGACTAATCTACGGCAGGGGCTGTGTTCCTGTTTCCCTAGCGGTATCGGGACTATGGCGCAGCTATCGATATTGTGGCGCCTACGAGCCGGAGCCACCATGAACCCTGACGACGCAGAGGATTACAGGCCGAGGGTTCCATGTTCTATTCGGGGGGATGGCAGGAACCATTCTGTGAAGCTGAAACCAAAGACACTCAGAAGTCAGTGCTTCTCATTATGTGGATATAGTCAATAAACTCCTCCCTAAGTTTGTAAATGTTTCGATCGCTTCTACTGACAGGAGACTACTGCCCGTGGTGCCGACTCAACGTACACAGGTATTGCTTCCTGGCTTCATTACTCCAGCACTATCAGCAATCACCTCCTAGCTTAAAAGCTTGTATAAAGTAATTTCATATAACTAAACATTTGAGACTGATAAGTTACGGCGTGTTTACACGTTGCTCGTTCGGGTGCATGAAGAAGACTCGCCCGCCTGCAAGCCCCTAACCTCATTCTCGGAGAATCGTTTGGTGGTAAAAGCTGTCAGAAATCCCGTACTCCAGTACCTACGTAGTACTGAAAGAATAGCTGAGACCGCGACCTCTCTCCCTGTCATCCCGCCACGTGCACTCCTAAGAAGGAGCAAGAGCCAGATAGTCTTGGTATCATAGCTGCGAAATAATCCCGCTCTCAGACACTACCCGATTTCCCTCACGTACTTGCACTTATGGTTTTGAGTCATTCAGAGTCTGAGTTCTCATAAAGCCCATAGCCAATGGTAACAGTGTTATACATGATACACGACCGATCTACAAAGAAGGCTGACCCCCAACGGGATTCTGTCGCAAAGAGTGGTGCGGTGTTGTCGTGCTGCCAAATCCGAAATATCCCTTTCGCATATTTCTCTTAAAAGCCGCCATCTAATCTAGGGCTATGACGCTGAACACAAGATTAGAATAAACGAGAGATATTCTTCAATAAAGCTGTCTTGTTTTAACAAAGCTCTCTTTGCGGTAGCGTGCCGTCGCTCTGGAACAAGCCAGGATTGAGACTTCGTCGAAGTCCTCCTCCTTAGTATGATACTGAATGACTCAGTTCTAATCTGAGTGATATCCAGATGCGGCGTTCCACTGCTCGTATACATTGGCAACCGCCGGCTGGCGTGAAAATTGATCCAGTCACGTGCAAAAACACTGCTACACGACTGGGTGCCGAGGTCTGTGCACTCTCACGACCCCTCCATATCCTCCACAATAACAACTATATCCTCCATGTGTCGCACTGCAGGGCTAGCTCGAGGGGGGGTGTGCCGTGCCTTGTGCTGCTAGGTGGACGGAGGCGGCGGGAGGCAGCGGGGAGTGAATCTTCCAAACGGCTTCGCTGTGGAATTCTCGATGTTCGGTTGATATTCGGCCGCCATGCACGTGATGCAATGGCACGTGATGTATAGATCTACTGTAGGCACGCTTGCTATAGTAGATCTAGTATATATTAGGCCTGCACGGGCCTCTTCTATAAGTATATAACACTAACGACGCCCGGAAGATGGAGGCCTTTTGAGAATTGTTGCCAATCTTACCGCACAGCTTGGTCTTTTCAAAAGCACCAGAAAAATTGGCCACACCGGGATTTCGCTGGGCCCCGTCGACCTTCTCAGGTCCTATTCCAGGTACGATACACAACGAGTGGGCTGGGCCGAACGAGTTGTGGGAAAGGCTGGAGGTCAAACCCACAAAATTTGGGCTACTCGTAAACTTGCCTGGTGTCCTTATCCGGCCGAAAATATCCAGAAGCGGCTGGAGCATTGGTCTACAGTTGGGCACTAAATACACCTTTTAGGCCGCATGCGGAAGTTGGTTTGCCATATCTTTGAATAGGCCGTGGAGTAAATCAAAGGAGGAATCGCGATCAGAGCAGAGCTTGGAAGGCGGCGCAATCATACTCCAGGATGCCCTTCGTCCTTCTAATGTTCTTCTGAATGCCGTGGTCGGCAGGGTCACCGAGGAACGCGATAATGAATATCTTGTCGACGTCTTTCAGCATGGGATAGTCATGAGGGTAGATCTAGAGATGTCACTCATATACACTAGTTTAGCGCGATGTGCGCAAGCTTCGTGGAAGGACCATGATCCCGATACCGAACGATTGTTCATAGAGCGCACCGGAAACAAACTCAGTCCTGAACTTGCAAAGGAATGTCTTGCTAAAGCTAAAGAGGCTTTACTTCGACCCAAGTTGCTCAAATTTTGTCTAGAACAGCGGGAGCAGGCAGGAGTTGTGGACGACAATGGTGAAGAGGTTGCATATATGCTAGTGGAACTCATGCATCAAGTCCGTATCAAGGCGTTCAGCAGCGCGGAAGTTCGTGGTCCACGTCAATGATGGTACGTTGATTGATACAACAGTATTAAAGAGGAAAGTGTACATACGGTCTGATGCACGTACGGGTCATAACGAATTTATGATGTTACGTTTTCAATATATCATGTTTGAAACCCAGTGTTGAAAAATATTTCATGTAGCATTGACAGTCTGGTAAAGTTGATGTCCAGGAGAAGCGTTTCATATCATGTCAATCTAATCACTTCAAGTCGAGTTGTCGAAAGAACCTTGAAGTCGTTTCGCTATCAGCTTCAGGAGTGAACAGCATGTCAGTCAATTGTTGAAGTCTTCGTTGACGCAATCCTACCCAATATTGAAGGGGTATACGCTACTTTCTAACAAGGCTTGACGCCTTTATCGAATTCCTCTTAACCGAAACTTCGTTACTTTGCTCTCAAGCACCCGGTTTTCGCTCTAGCCGGTTTGCTTTCCAGTCCTCTATGAGGTCCAAGAACCGCTGATTCTTGGACCGCCTCGCAAGCTCCACCGCGTCCCAGCCAGCAGGGTCCATGACAAGCCCCGGATCTGCACCCTTCTGCAGCAGAAACGTGACAACCTCACTGCAGTCCCAGTTGGGATTCGAATGTGCGACGTAACATAGCGGCGTTCCCCAATGATTTCCTAGTGACCACCCGGCAGGCTGGTCTAACGCGTTCGGATCCAGCCCGAGCGCGTCTACGAGATGAACTACCACAGCCATGCGCTCCGAGTGCAGTTTCGCGCGGTCTTTATCCAGCATTTGCGGTTGCTCTCCCTCTCTATCTCCGCTCTTGATCGCTGCTCTTGCAGCGAAATGTAGCGTCCGCCGACCTAGCTGTGCGCCTTTCGACCTCAGAAGCTCGAAAGTCGCCACTGTGCTCTGTGACGCAGCAACTTCTAGTAGCGGAGGGCAGCCATATTCGTCTTTTCTGCGCTCATCATCGCTAGCGGGGCCAAGATCATTCGGAATTGCAGTTGCGCCGTGGTCCAGGCACCATGCGACGAGGTCTCCGTCGCCAACTACTTCCCACAACAACGGTCGATCTCCAGGACGTCGGGCGTTGATGTCCCAGCCGTGAGCGACTAGGATTTCGAAGATTGCTTTGGAATGGTCCTCAATGTTGAGACTTGAATATGCAGGCACTTCCGCGCCATGGTTGAGGACGTACGTTAGGACGTTGGTTGCGTTTCGACGAATGGATTGCGTGACGGCCCGGGATAAGAGTTCTGGGACAGTGTCGCGCGAGTCTGAGGAGGCAAGCGAGAGAGCTTGGGAGATGAGGGAGACGTCGTCGGTCTGGCAAGCCGTGAGGATTAAAGCACGCGGCCGTTGGGGTGGAGCAGCACTGGACACGGAGGTTGAAGCAGTAGGGGCGGGCGAAGACATCTCGGTGACTATTTGGATAAGTGGAATCAAAGGTTTCTAGGGATCGGAAACCTTTTACGATGAGCCACCACACGGGCAGAGGAGTGGACGACGTGAGCGTCGTTGCAGATGACGGATGCGGTCATCACGTGCACGCTAGCGCATGAGCCGCAAGGCTCGGCTGCCCCTGGTGCGCAGGCCCACTTCACCTGCGATGTCCGATCTAGCCCTTGAATGCTCGTTGCGAGTATAGTCCCCGTCCTTAAAATACGCATGCCTCCATCTCCATCATCAGGGAGTCGGCACTGAAACAACGGGGCGACAAGAGGCAACAGAGACATCCGTGCAGGTACCCGTCCCCCGAGACACGCCATCCTGCAAGGGGTACTTTGACAGCCGCAAGCCGCGTCATGCAAATGAGCTGAAGGCTCCGATGCTCTGTGCCTGGCCCCCATTGTTTGGACACGGTCGATCAGAGTATACTCGTAAGTAATTCATACGTGCGGCTGACTCTCCCAGGATTGCGCTTTCCTTAATCGTCTACCCGGCCGCTCACCGCTGTCGGGCGATGCCATGGACCCGCCCTCCTGCAATAATGCTACGTGCCGGCATCCCTCGTAGAAGAAGCGCCATGAAACGACCCGATGGAGCCCCATTGAGGAACAGGCTGTTTCGTTCAAACGCCTTCGTATAACAACAGGGCGCTAAGAAAAGTCAATGTGTAAGCTTGATCCTCCGTTTCCTTGTCGTTTTCTGTCATGGTGCAAAAATATGTGGTTCGCTTCGTCGAATGTCAACACTCGTATTTCACTTTGGCTTTTTGTATTTGAACGCGACCATTCCTACTTCTGTGAACAGCAGTACTTTCCTTCCTTAGCGTTTCTCCACCGCTAACATGGTATCGACTACCGTTTTTTCTGGTCTCGTTCTTCTCCTTTCACAATCTTTTTTCACTCCGGCGCTTGCCCTGCCTGGCGCAAGGCCAGCACCTGGCCGTTGGGATGCGAGAGTCCCTCCGAAGCGTGCGCCGATACCAGGTCGCTTCAAGCTAAGAGATGCTTCGGAGACTTTATACAGCAATAGTACGACCGCGGCTGCCGCCACGAGCAGTTCTCTCCTCGGTACCGCTGTTCCCTCGACCGAGTCGGTCATCTCGAGCAGCTCTGAGAGCAGTTCTGAAAGCAGTTCTCTCCTCGGCACTGCTGTTCTCACGACCATATCCGTCACCACTACCAGCTCTGAAAGCAGTTCTGAAAGCAGTTCTTCTTCCGATATCTCTCTTCCCACAACCGTGTCTGCCACTACGAGCGATTCTGAGAGCACCTCTCTCACCAGTTCTTCCGATACTGCTCTTCCCACAACCGCACCTATCACCACCTTCAGTTCTTCCTCTGTTGTTGCGATTCCTACTGTACCATGGGGTGTCTCGACTACAGTCGTCTCGGGTACGACATATTCGCTAACGTATGTCTCTACCACCGCTACCCAAGACACGACAATCGTCGAGTCTGACGCCTCAACGACCACCACTGCGTCTTATACAGCTGGAGCTGCTATCTGGTGGATTCCCAGCCTACCTGTTGGCTGGCCATTGCCCATTCCTGGTCCCCCTCCAATCGCCCCACCGGGACCTGGAGGAGATGGTGGCAATACTGGCTGTCAATTTGGCTGCGAAGACACTAACCCCAGCGACACACAAGGCACTCAAGAGCCCACCAGCAACCAAGAGTCTCAAACCACAACAACCGCGTCGTCTTCGGAGTCCTCGAGCAGTTCCAGCTCCTCTAGCTCTTCGTCGTCATCTGGGCTCTACTGCGAGGTGGGTTGCGCAATCTGCAATCTTCGTCGCGGAGTAGCTGCACCAACCGCTACTCCAGAAAAACCAAAACGCGAAATTGGCAATTTTATGCAACACGCTACTCAATCTCGTAAAAAACGAAACATCCCCGGAGATGACAGCGATGGCGTTGCTGAGACCTACAGCGAGGTCAAGACTAACGCAAACACCCAAACAGTCGAACTTGCGGATGGACCGGTCCCCGGCAATGCTGTGGCTAGGCAAGGTGTTTCTTCATCAAAGTATACCGCTTTTGATGAGGCAGAGCACAACATTCTTGTTGAGGGCTTAGAGGGTTGTACCTCTGTCATTGTCGTATCTCGTAAGGGCGCATGGGCAAGCCATTTCTGGGAGCGTCCCTCCTTTACATCGGGGGATGCAAAGTTCCAGGCAGACGTAATCGGTTTCTTGAACACAGATCTTGGGGGTTATGCCGCGGACTGGGCAGACAGCGCTACCACCAAGGTTTTTATCATGACACCAGCGCCAGAGGTCAACGATTTGAATGGCAATGGCAATCCATCCAATGGCAACAATCCACAAAAATACCCCGACCAGGTTGGGGCGATCATCACGGCTCTAAACACGATCGTGCCTGGCGCAACTATCCAAACATTCGTTTATCAAGTGCAGAGAAATGAGGTATTCTTAAGTTCAGGCGCCTATGGAAAGGCAATGGTAAGCACTGGCAACACTCTTCATTCTTCCACGCTAACTCTCTCCCAGATTCTCTACAGCAACAACCAAAATTTCGACCCTGATACGTTCGGTGACTGGGATCCAGCTCATCACTTGTATCAAGTTTGGACGCAGGCCCAACTGATCACCCACGACGATTGGGTTCCTTGCACCGGCAACTCAAAGCGTGATGGATCTTCGTGCCCCATCAGCAGTTCTTCTGCATTCGCTTCTAGCACTACAAGCCCGACTAGCTCCGGTATAGATTCCAGTACTGAAAGCGCTACTGTTTCGACTACGGATTCCATTAGCACAAGCGCCGCTGCTTCCACTACGGATGCCACTTCTGCCCCGACGTCATCGCCATCTGGCACCGCTTATACCTGTGAAGTAGAGTAAGTCTCCCGAAGCCGACCCAGAGTTATGAACATGTACTGACATACGACAGCGAGGGTGATCGCACTGACACTACCTGTTCCTGCACGCCGCAAGGATGTGAAGTCGGAACCAAGGGATGCTACGCGCTGATTATGACGAAAGAGAAGGATGGGTGTGATGATTCTTGCAACGGCTGCCAGCCGCCGGCGCAATCGAGCGCCGCCGTCACATCTGACCCAACTTCCACCGCTGAAGCACCTTCTTCAACCCCAGACCCTACAAGTACCACGCCACAGCCCACGCCTACGCCTACGGAAGACCCCAACAAGCCGACGAATCTCAAGTGCTATGGCGAAGGCACTGCAAACAGCCTGATCTCTTTCGACGAAAGCGCCTCTACGGACCCCATTAGCAAGTTCTGCAACGATTGGATCGGAGATGATACCTACGAGGTTGATCATGTCTCCATGGCACAATTTTACCCTATCGACGGCCAATCATATGATGCTTCTACGCGACTGGTGCAGATCGAGGGTATTGTGAAGGATTACGACTCTGCCAAGGCAGGGAGCGATGAAGAGAAGGCGGCTACGATAGCGAATTGCATCAAGGGGCTGACAGCCGTCGTGTCTTATTGTGATCCTGGCAGTGGGACTAAATGGGGCGGTGTCGGACTGTGGAGTGGCCAGGTTTTGGGTATCGGTGGAGATACCGATACCACGACGCTGCCTCTGGGTTATGACGGATAGGAAGCACCTTTTTTTTTTAACTTACTTTTCATTCTTTGAACATATTTAATATTTTGTACACCAACTGTATAACTATTCATTTTTTTGATCAAGAAGCTTAACGTTGCTGTCAGAAGCGACGTGTATATCGGTTCCATTGACGCGATTCTGAGCAAGAGCGAAAGGATATCCGCTAGTTTTTACAAGACGAAGTTGCTTTAGGAAGAGTCCTCCCTGCCTCTACATTCGCTATGATTCCCTGGCCGCCAGCTCTATCTCCAGCAGCAACCCTAAGGTGACCAATATAACAGATTCAGCAAACCTAGTCTCTTTCGCCCTCACAATCCAGCCAAAGACCATTCTTTATCTCCTTGCAGCTACCAGCGTTTTATGTGTTGTTGGTCTAATTCTTATCCTGCTATTGAAACGACATCTGAAAACAGTAACAAAAGACAACTTAACTACAGAGAAGCGCAGGCAGTTACTAAGACGCGCCTCGTTCAGGTTGCTATGGGCGTCGGTTGGGCTTGCTTTGGCGTCAGCAATTGCAATCAGCCAGACAACGAGCGCGATGGAGTTTGTCACCTAGGATGGGACCGTGTCAGCCTTCCAAATCACAGCCGGGAAGACTTTGAGTGTTCTTCAGTGGCTCATCTTATTCTCGCGCGCTTTTTTCAGCTGGGGTATTAAGCATATTTCCAAAAACAGGGCGGCGTAATTGGGTTGGCAGGAAATGGAAAGGCTATGGATGATGGTAGCATATATCCCGCCCCCTCGACCTACTTTTAAAATGCTGCCATAACTGTCTCCTTTTGTTTGAGATATAATGGACAGTTAGAAGAAGATGGAGTGCAACTCGTACCTTAACCTGTAAATTTTAGGTGGTTAGCACTAAGAATGTGCTTTATTATTTTTGGGAACTACGTGTACATATACAAAATTAGACTCTCTCGTTTTATACTCGCCGAAGAAGAGGTATCTACTTTTACGCTGGATTAAGCTTGTCTAAATTACTAACGACGGCATTATTCCGGATAATCAAAGCGGTAACAAGGTTCAACCAAGGTCATAGCACCTTTGTGTTTCACAGCCAACCTATTACGATCTGTCAGAGAGGAACTTCGGTTGCCTTTACATCTCGTAACAGGAAGTGAGATCACGATCGACATGGGCGCCTCAAGGGCGACCCGACATGCCGACCAACCTCATCAATATTCCCGTCCAACAAACCGACTAGCCTCTTATTGCATCCACGCTACATAGCTCACGCCGTCGCTGATAAATGCTGGCTGCCCAGCGGCGCAGAAGATAGCACGGCCTAAAGAGATACTGTGGCGATCTGGGGAGTGTTCGTATTGGGTTATGTATGCGCTATCCTTGGTGATTCGAATAGGGATAACTATCTGACTAGTTGTGCTCCCTATATATGATCCGGGTGGCCCAACCGCTCGGTAAATTGCTGAGCGACGCGATAGCTGGTATATTTAGATACATGTACTAGTGAAGGCTAAGAGAAACGTACGTTTGGAAATTGCAATTGCTTTATTAGAACATTTGTTCTGACTTTCCAGGGCATCCATCTCCCCCTCTGCTCTACATCTCTCTAGTCTAGCTGCCCCCTCTGTCTTTGCGGCAGAATAATCCGCCTCATGTTCCGCCTCCCACTTTTCTAGTCCCTTATCGATATCTACCGGGAACTGCTCGAGATGCGATGGCATGGGTAGTGTAGGTAGATGGAGTTGGTGGGTTGCTTGTTTTAGTAGGCTCCGCGTAGATCTCTAAATAAACAGCATGTTAATAAAATGGGAGAAGGCTGTAGGCTACACAAACTTTGCTGCAAAAGGGGGTGTCTTCAAGGCGTTGTTCAGTTTTGCACATATTGGTGGAGGGGTAGGCATCTGCTCAAAAGTCTAGACCATGTGACTGCCCCACCACCTGGTTGGGCTCCAATTTCCGGCCCCATCCGTCTCGTCACGCGCCACTCTCCGTGTTTTGCCGGCTAGCGTAGTTCGGCGACTAAGCCACAGAGCCTCATCGAACGTCAACTCTCATGCCTTCCTTTTTGACTCGGAGCACATCGCTGAAGGCAAGAGGTCATACAACCCGCTCCTCTCTGCCTGTAATGGGCAGCCGAGGAATTATTCTCCGCATGCATACTCATGGCGCCCGACATGCCATGCAATCAGCCGACCACGGAAACATACGTCTTGCACCGCAGGGCCTAGGCTCCGCGTCCTGGTGCGAAACTCCGTTCCGCGCTTCTTCGATAATTGACAACGACATTTATACGCGCCAATAAAAGAGATGATGGCAGGTCGTGTGGGCCGCTCCTAGCATCTTCCGCCCTCGATCTAGTCTCTTCTGGTCCTGGTAGGATTTCATTGCTCTGTCTGCCGATGCCCCGAGCACATTGGAGGCAAGTAGCCATGCAAGTCATACCGCTTTGTACGGCCGCTGACACTTTACTCTCCTCCGCAGGTATCCTCATGCCGCCCTCTCCTCTTCATACAGTGAAATGGCTGCATGTTGCCTCACTCCAAACCATAGCAGCGGGATGGGCCATCGTGCGATGGCAGATAGCATGCTGACTCACTTTCCTATTACAGTGTATAAAAGCTTGCGGTCCTCCTTTGATCCATCAACAGCATCCACGCCCTTCTTGTCTGTTTCTTTGTTCTTACTACCCGTCCCTCCAACGATGTTAGTCTTTGACGAGTTCTCTGACGAGTTCGTTGTTGTCGAGTTTGAGTCTGAACATTTCGTTGTTCTGAAGTCTGCCTTGAATCCTGCACCAACCGACACAGCTCGTCCACCTCCAGCATCACCAGTTTCATCTTCAAAAGTTTCATGTTTAAAAGACTGCGGTTGCCAACAAACAGTCTCGGACCTTCCATCTCCCCCAGCTGGCAGCTCGGCTCAAGTAGCTCATAGGAAATGTCCACAAACAATCTCTGTCGCTGCACCGCCTCCACCCCCCCCTCCTCCTCCTCCTCCACCACCACCTCCACCACCACCTCTAGCATCTCCAGTTCTCAACGATTGCGGTTGTGAACGGACAATCTCTGTCGCTGCACCGCCTCCACCTCCCCTGCCTCCTCCTCCTCCTCCTCCTCCTCCACCACCACCTCTAGCATCTCCAGTTCTCAACGATTGTGGTTGTGAACGGACAATCTCTGTCGCTGCACCGCCTCCACCTCCTCCTCCACCACCACCATCTTCTTACTTTTTGATGCCGCCGCCGCCGCTGCCGCCGCCTCCTCCACCCCCTATATCACAACAACCGCTTCCATGGCAGATGCAAACAGGATCATCGGATATGCCATACTTCCCAAACAAGTCAAAGAAACAACATATCGATTTCAACGTACCACCCCCGCCCCCACCCCCACCTCCAGGAATGGTCATCATGAACCAGGGCAGGGGACGCACCTTTAGCCGAAGTTCCAGCATCGATTCTTACCGATCAGCCAGTTCGCCAGTCTCGAAGCACATGGCCGAGCGTGTCAGTAGCCACAGCGATCTTATACCCCCGCGATACTCTGGGGAAACGGATCCGGATGCCGATAGGATTGTGAGAATACCTATATTCAAGCGCAATATCTATGTTCCATCTCATGGTGCATCTCCGGCCGACCTGGCGGACTTTATGTGGCTTCTTAAGTTTGGTGGGCCAGAGCAATGGTATGAGAGACCAGAACCAGTTAAGCTGGACCGGATGACTGCTCTTGATGCTGTTGGATGCCCCCCAGATAAGCTGAAGCCTCTCGACAACCCTCGGCCGTTGTCTCTTGATGTTCCTCAGATATGGGCATCCTCAGCCTTGAACACTCCCACCAATGATGATGTCTTCGACTGCATGGCCGGCCACTCGACGGACGGAGATTTTGCTGGAGCTTGTCACCAGTGTACTGATGAGAAGTGTGAGGCTCTTGAGAAGACCTCCTTAGTATACACCCTTATCCTCTCAACTTTCCAGGCGAATGAGTACTATTCTGGCAAGGTCAGCCTTTCTGGGAATGGAAAGAATATTTATAAGATGACAAGATGCGGTCGAAGAGAAGCAGCGGCTGCTGCCGCCTTCTATGCTGCTGGCGCCAATGGATGGAGCGTGGTATTCTCCTGTGTAATGGTTGAGGGAGAGACTGAGTTGAGAGGTAATGGTGTCAGTGTTGAGAGGGTTAATAACTTGTGGCAACTTGCAGTCAGGCAGCGATTAGGAAAGAAAGTTAAGATGATGTTCTACTAACTAGACAGCCTCGCCATCTTTCTACTGCTCCTTCTCCGCTTTATGAACTAGGACTGTGTTTAGAGCGCGGCGAGAAGGCTGGGAAAGCCCAGAGGAACACCTCGATGCGCTTGTTGCTGCTTTGAAGGAGTACCGCGGATGGACAACTTGACGAAATTTTCATTCTGGGTGGCTGTTATTTTCTGTTCCTATTTTTCGCTCCTCTCGGTAGCTACAGCTTAGTGGCAAATTCTATCTACCATGCAACCCATACCGCAGACTCCTCTCTCCTCAAGTGGTATTGTCGTATCACAAAGCCCCAGCTTCCACGACCGCGACGCTTGCAACAACGCTTCTAAACAACCCCAGACCGGCAGCCCCAAACAAACACCGGCGAGTCACCGATAGGGACGAGGAGAGGACCGACATAGTAATATATAGAGCTAGTTACGCCCGGATGCACGTTTGCCTTCAGTTACAGCGACTCCAATCGTTCTACGCCCATCCCAAACCTCTGGTTCGCATCTTTCCCACAACTCGAAAGTGGCTTAGTAGTCTCTGGACGAACACCTCTCTATTATAGCAGGGAAAATACCTTTGTACAAGCTCGTGGTGCTCGGGGACGGTGGCGTCGGGAAGACAGCTTTAACTATCCAGGTGGGCCCCTTCCACATTGTACCGCAAGCAAGTGCAGATTGATCTCCAGTCATGCACGCTGGAAGTGCTTGACACGGCAGGCCAAGAAGAATACATCGCGCTGAGAGACCAGTGGATACGGGACGGCGAGGGCTTGTGCTGGTCTATAGCATCTCGTCTCGGTCGTCCTTTACACGCATCCAAGAATTTCACCACCAAATTCAGCGGGTCAAAGAATCATCGCTATCCGGATCACCAACATACCCCGGCTCGCCACCAAGCGCATCATCGAACGGGTCTGTTTCGGCCCGGCGCCAGTCATGTTAGTGGGTAACAAGTGCGACAGGGTGACAGAACGTCTCGACCAGGAAGGCAGCGCGCTCGCTCGCTTGCTGGATGCGATTGTGTGGAGGCTTCCGCGAAGAATCGCATGAATGTTGAGAAGGCCTTCTACGATGTTGTGCGGCAGCTGAGGTGGCAACAACAGTCTTGCGACCAGGACAACAAGTCATCGCGGGCAGACAAATTGGAGAGGAAAGCTCGAGGATATGGTTACGGTAATTGTGGCGCAGGGTATCCTCGAAACCAACGCGGTCCACGGGGAAAGCGTGGGAGTGGGAATAACACAAAGTGTGTAATCCTATAAATCGTGTATGCATGTTTGCCTTCATATGCAATAGTCCAAGAATGACGGAGACATGCAAGCGACCATACTCTTGCGATGGGCTTTGATGGCGCCTACGATCAATGGAGTCTAGTGGCCTCCAATTGAGCGTGGCAGATGTCAGCAATCAAGGCTGCCCTTCCGTAGCCCTCTTCCCGTATTTGCCATTATGCTAGAACGCAACACCTGAGAATGTGGGTCTGCTAGCGATAAAGTTGAACGGGAGGGACTGATAGGCCATGACCATCTGAACAACAACGATGTGGTCCCCGTGGTATGCCCTGCTGCAAGCTGTTATTGAGGCGCGATGTGGCTTCGAGCCTTGCTTCCGGGCGGCATTCTGCCCCCACGGGCATCTTGAAGACAGTGGCGTTCTAGCGTGCAGCCATGGAGCGGAATAGAGTTTGCCATGATGTACTCGGATTAGATCTCTGCAGCCCTCGTATTAGCAGAGAACGGCCCCCGGTCGAAAAGTGCAAGGTGGCGTAGACCCCTTCCTGCAGACCTACATATAAGAAGGCCCTCATCACACTCCTGCAGATTCGCGACCCGCTCCAAATTCCCTTGCATCATCAACCTTTGTTCATCTGCCGAAAAGTTCCTACATCCTATCACCAGCTAGGCGGCCGCTGGGCCATATTGGCTAGCTCCCTAACCACAGCGAGCCGCAGCGAGCCGGAGCCAGGCAGCAGCCCAAATCGCTGTTATGATAGTCCGCGCCGGAACTTGCAGAGTTATCGAGGGATGCGATAAGAAGCCTGGACTCATTCGCGACGGTCCCAGTCAGTCACTATTCGTAGCCTAGCATGTACTTGAGAACTACGCTAAACACTACATAGACGACCGCACAGACGGCGGATTTGACCCTGAAGCGATTGACTGGAGTGAATTCTGAAGGATACCTTCTTTTGAAAGTTTGGAAATAATCTCGCGAAGAGGGAGTCGCAAATGGGGGTCTTGTGCGGTAGCATCCATCGCAATACTCCTGAGGAGCTGGTTTTCCGTATCATTGCCTGAAACAATTGCCATCATTGAGAACATCTTTCCAAGTGCCCAGATATCATTCTGTATTCTTGCTTCCACGGGTTGAGATAATGGGTCGTCTAGATCCTGCATTTCTGGCGATAGCCATTCCTGAGTTACGCCTCCAATCCCACTAATATCAATGAGGACAGCGTTATTCTCTTTGCTGATGACGATGTTTGCGGGTTTTAGATCCATGTTCGGAACGTTCCTCTGATGAAGAAGGTCGAGCGCAATGGCTGTCTGCAGTGCCCATTGTCCCCACGGGCGTTTCCTCTTTTGTGACCGCAGTGCATCCTGTATGGTGCCGTTTGGATGATGCTCGAGAATGATCCCGCGTAAGACGGCCGGTCTGTCTTCTTCGTAGCCATCGGTAGTTTCGTACGGGTTTTTAGAGATGACAGCAGCGATCAGTTGAACGACAGCTTCCGTGCCACGAAACAGTTCTAAGTTTCGTAGCTCTTGTTCCAAAACCTTACTATCCCTTGGCTCGTAAAGAGGCCTGCCAATTTCCTTGTAGACATATAATTCCTCGTCGCCGTTAATGTGCACTTCGTACACCCCTGGAGCGAGTTCCCTTTCCTTCCTAATTCCTGACAGATCTTTTATAGGTATATTGCCGCCACTTCCAAAGGATGGAAACCGTACTCGAGATGGGTCCTCTTGTATCTGGACCCATAGATGGTCGACGGTGGCTGTGTATTCATTTCCTGTGTCTAGCGGTGTTTTTAACCGGAGCCTCTGGCCTTGAACAGTAGCAGCATTGTGATCACGCGTTATGTAAAGCTCTGTAACCGTGTCATCCAGGAGCTGTATGTAGTCGAAATCGATATGAACACAGAGATTCTGTAGATCTTCTCGCCGTTTCCGTACTTTGGCGAAGGGTGCGGAGGACTGGTCGGATTGAAGCGTCCCATAATAAGCGACTTTGATATGCCACTTTGACTGTGAGATCCGCGAGACGAGGCTCAGCCAGCGTTTTCGAGGCTCAGTCCCTTTTTTCAATGATGTCTCTCCGTAGCTCTTTGGTTTAAATTCGATAGTGCGCGAGAAGCAAGGCATATTCGCAGTTGTGGATGTTGGGTAAGGGTCCAGCACCTGTCGTGTCGTAATCCTTGGCAATCTCAGAATATAGCAGAACCTTGGGTGAAGGTGTAGGCGCGTAGGTAAATATGGGGCGGGGGATAGGCGCGGTGTCAAAGAGAAAACGAAAAAACGTGACTAAAAACCTGCCAAGGTCCGTCTGCCGCAAATTCCTCCACAGCAAACCATTTTGTTAGCAGCGCTCAACAACACCCTGCGCATGGCTGAAGGGGGGTGGGCTTTTAAGATATAGGGAAGCTGAATCTTGAATTCTGCGTTCATACTTCTATATTTAGTAAAAAGTTGGCACAGATTTCAATAATCTCATTACAAGATGATGTAATGAAAAGTCCAAGACTGAGTGGTTTAGTGGTAAAATTAGCCGTTGCCAAGCGCATTATCGGCTAGCCCCGGGTTCGATTCCCGGCTCAGTCAATGTTTTTTTCGCATCCCGAAAGCTCTCATCAGCGTTCTAGAAATGTCATGTTAGAATTTCATGTTTTTTTGCCTAGAGAGGTTCAACGTTGAAGGAAGTGCGGGGAGCCGTCAGTACGCCACCATGGCACAAAACGGCCCCGCATTGGCGAGAACAAGCTTCACAATCTCTTGCTTTTTTGCTCAATTATTTGATGGAAGAGCCATGAGGAATTTGAATCTATATAACTTTCATTCAATGATGGCCCATTGAAATTATCCACGCGCTCACAGTACTTCGTATTGCACAGTGCACGTATAACTAGTCATGTGAACGGCGTCCAACTTTAAGTCAGGTACACGATGAAGATCGATACCTCTTACTCAGAAGTCCGTTGGTCCCTGGGTACTCGTCACTTGCTTAAAGTATCGTCGGGTGCACCGAGAATCGTCGTCGCTGCCGGATATGACCCCAACCCGTTCTGCAAAACATAATTTTGTGAAACCCAAGAGCCGAAAACGCTTGCTTGAAATCAACGTTACAGAGCGCTGGAGAGCGGCTTGGCTTCGGGTTCGCTGGAGCGGGGGCATCCTTGCCCGGCGCGCAGAAGGATTGAAGTCCTGGATCTGGCCACCTAGTCGTTGAGGCCTCCACGATCCCCAGATTCCTTCGCGGGATTGGAGAGGGTAATACGATGTGTGCAGCGCCATTCCATTTGCGCACAGGAAGCTGATATGATGGAGTTAGCCTGAATTCGCCCATAAGCTTTTCCATCTCCTAGTATCCACTCCGAGTATCTTGGTGTATTCAGCTACGATGAGCTTGAAACTCTTTGATCGTTTGGTGTGCAGCTTGGAGAGCCTTCTCTGCCGCGTGCCACGCCGGCGCCCCGTGTGGAGCACCGTGGCACGCTTATCGGCCCACCAAGCTCCTCTGGGGCATGCCGAGCCGGCCAAGGCGCCGGTCGGGCCGAATGATTGGGTGAATGCACGCACCCGCACTGCGGGGTTGGCGGGGACGTTGCTGGCATCGGTCATGGATGGATCGTCACTGCCACCACACCACCAAGCACGAAGCATGGAACGATCATCGCACCATAAAGATCAGTGCCACCCCACTCCTCCCAGCGAGGCACACCAACATCGCAGACAGCCTGACTTGCTGCCTCCCCAGTTGGCCGCGCGAGGTGAATTCCCCGGAAAATACTCGTTGACACGGCAGAGCCCGCGAACGCTCGACCCGTGGTTGAGCACATCCCTTACGCCGTCGGCAGTTTCTGACAGCATTCACCAATCTTCAGCGACCATCCTTTGCCCAGAGCGTACCTACTGTGTGTATAAATCCAGACCAGGCCAGCTCTCTTGCGAGTCTCCCACCACGTCTGGACAGCAGCCATCATGGACGAGAAAAATGAGACCGAGTACACCGCCCAATTGGGCTCCGGCGAACCTGCAAGCCCGAAAATGAGCGCCGGCCGCTATGCAGCCACCCGCTTTTCCACTCTCTTGCCGACCTTTGACAAGGTTGAGAACCCCTTCACACTGCTCGCCCTACTCAACAAGCAACAATGGATGTTTTTCCTCATATCTTTCTTCGCGTGGTCTTGGGGTAAGCATCACGTCCAACCCTCCTTTCCTCTTCTGATCCCATTCTGACCTCGAACAGACGCTTTCGACTTCTTCACCGTCTCACTAACTGTCGAGAACCTCGCCGAGACCTTTGACGTCAGCAACAAGGACATCACGTGGGGCATTACTCTCGTGCTGATGCTGCGATCAGTCGGCGCCATCACTTTCGGAATTGCTGCTGATCGATATGGCCGTAAATGGCCCTTCATCGTCAACAATGTCCTTTTCATCGTCCTCGAGATGTCCACTGGATTCTGCAACACCTACCACCAATTCTTGGGCGTGCGAGCGCTCTTTGGGATTGCCATGGGCGGACTTTACGGCAATGTTGCTGCTACCGCCCTAGAAGATTGCCCGGAGGCCGCTAGAGGTATTATCTCTGGTATGCTGCAACAGGGATACGCTTTTGGGTACCTGCTCGCAACTGTCTTCTCGAGAGCTTTTGTGAACACTGTCGGCCATGAATGGCGCCCGCTTTTCTGGTTCGGCGCTGGCCCACCAGTTCTGCTGATCATCTTCCGTCTCATGCTCCCCGAGACGCAGGCATTCCAAGAGCGCGAAAGGGTCCGCAGAGCAGGCCACAGCGTCGCACACACCTTCATTGCCGAAGGGAAAGTCGCCCTGAAGAAGCACTGGCTCATATTGATCTACATGGTCTTGCTAATGGCTGGATTCAACTTCATGGTTAGTTTTCATCCTCGCAACCTCTAGTCTTTTTAACTCACTAACAAACTCAACCAGTCTCACGGCTCCCAGGATCTCTACCCGACCATGCTCACTAATCAATACAACTTCAGCCCCAACGCCGTCACCGTCACCCAAGTTGTCGCCAACCTGGGCGCCATGAGCGGTGGTACCGTAATTGGCTACTGTTCTCAGATCTTCGGCCGCCGCTTCAGCATCGTCTTCATCTCCATCGTCGGCGGCGCCCTGCTCTACCCCTACTGCTTCGTCACTGACACCAAGATTATTGCCCCGGCCTTCTTCGAGCAGTTCTGCGTTCAAGGCGCCTGGGGCGTCATCCCCATCCACCTGATGGAAATGTCTCCAGGATCGTTCCGGACGTTCGTGGTCGGAACTGCGTACCAGCTCGGAAACCTCGTGTCGTCCGCCTCCAGCACCATCGAGTCAACGATTGGTGAGCGCTTCCCGCTGCCGCCGAAGATCGCGGGCAAGAAGAAAATCCCCCGGTATGAGTACGGCAAGGTCATCTGTATCTTCATGGGGTGCGTGTACGCGTACACTATCGTGTTGACGATCTTGGGGCCTGAGTTCCGGAATCGCAACTTTGAGGTTTCGCATGATGAGGATATGACTGAGGCGGTGAAGAAGGATCAGGCCGAGATTCAGAAAATTGTGCAGGGCGGCGATGATAGGCGTGAGGATGTCGAGAAGGCGACGCAGTAGGCTAGAATAAGCCACAGACCTGCGAGGAAGAGCTCTGGTGGGTTATGGGAATTTGATGCGTTCGGGTTTGATACCTTCATACGAGTGATAGAACATGAAACATTCCGATGCGACTACCTGACCTTGAATTCCTCTACAGACCTCGTCCCGTGCTAGTGCCTTTGAAACTCGAAAGTTGATGAGTTTTGCTCATGCAACAGTTTCTCTGAATGTGACGGATCAACTTTTCTCTTGCGAATAAAGTCTCATCGAGCTTCGCATCTACTTTTTTTTCATTATGTCTTTTTCGGAAACTCAAGTGCAGAACCCCCTTTGGCCTATATACAGGAATTATGAGCCCACCACATGTTGTACAAGCTACCTCTCCGAACCGTTTAGCGCCATCGAGCCCTGAGTATGTTTCATGCATTTGATATAGGGGAAGGAAAATATAGGACGCTTGGTAACACAAAGAGATAGACCCCGTTACATATTTAGAGTTAAGTCGTGAAACGCAAAAATGAGTGCCAGGTGCCGCTGTTGGAGTATTTGAGAAAGTACAGATGATGCGCTAGAACTTGCTGATAATGCTTCGATTCCCTCCTGCAATCAAACGGTCTATTCAGCCCGCGATCATACCCATTCGCAGACCATATTCCATTTCGTTAACTTTGTCCTCAAGCCGATAAACTTTGGCCTCAAGACTCTCATCAATGTCGAAGGGGCCGAAGCCGTGGGGAGGGAAATAGTCTGGAATATTATCCTCGAAGTCGTCTTCGACCCACCCAGGACTCATGGGAATCCCATCTTCGTCCAATGGCCCGGGAACACCAGGGAAATCTTCAAAGAAGCCCGGGTGAAACTCACCCATCCGTCGTGGTGGTGGTACTCGCGGTGGTGGCGGCATACCGCGGTGCGGATTTCCGGGTCGCAAACTTGCTGCATACATCATGTCCCGGAGGAATTCGTTCAGAAGGCGGTGATTGCGGGCCGTTCTATGGTGGACTTGGGACATTATGCTGGGCTTCCCTTTCAGTATTTGTTGAAAGCACATCGCTTTGTCCGCCTCATCCAGGACAAGTTTTCGAATCGCCTTCCACCACCTTATGATGTTATCCGGGTTCTCCTTCCTTGCGATGATGGCCCCATTTTGAAGGAAGAAAGTGCTCAGAATAGAGCTTATGGGTTGTGATTTTGAGTATCGCGCAACATTCGCCAGAGACCCGAAGAGAGACAGGCATTGTGGGAAGCGCGATAGGCCACGTCCATACGTTGACATTCGTTGGGCGTCTTGTTGCAGTAAACCCTCTAGGCGTTCGAGCAAGTTGACTTTGGAGGCTTCGACACCAAGTCGTCTCGAAAGCGTGTCGACGACTAAGGAAATGGCATAGAAAAGACTGTTCGAATTGGCATCTCCTTGGCTCCGTCTGACACGCTCAGTCATCTGGTAGACATCCATGCGCAATCCCCGTCTTTCTGCGTCAGTCGCGAATTTTGGGAGCAGGTCTAGCATTGCTTTTCCGTCGACAGGAATAACTGCGTCATGCGTATCGATGAAGATGGAGGGGTACCGGCCATGGCCCACCCCCATTGCATGGCTCATCATAAGATTCATGCTTCTTGAGGAATGAAGATTTTTGAAGTAGAAGTAGTGTAGCTTACTGCTTTGCGCGGAGCCGACGAGAACCTCCAAGAGTATTAATACAGCTGCCCGATGACCCAAGTAATGACAAGCTCATCAGTACGACGGCGATTATGTGCTGCACGGTAGCACAATGGTTTGTTTGCTTCGTCGTTCTTGATAGTCAGGGCCCGGTGCTCAGCCCGCTCGACACGTCCTGTCGCTTGATAGAGAGCAAACAACGTACTCACTGTGTCCCTGTGGCAATGGTAATCGTGAAAGCGTTAGCAACGTTTATTTGCCTGCATTCCGGGAGCTCCTCAAGGTCTACGGCCGATTTCACCGCTACTTCGAGAGTATGGCCCAAGCAACGCCGCTTCGGAAAGCTGCATTTGGGCTCGACCCAGCCGGGTAGATTCCGCCAGCTTGGAACTAGCCCTGCCATACTTCAGCCTCAGATCTACGGCTTAAGTGGTCACGCAGATCTTGATGCGCCGAGGGTATGAACTGTCTTTGTTGGGTCCTTTCTGAGTCTCGCCACGAAGCAAAGCTACCAGAACCACGAGACTCAGAACGTACTGGATGATTGCGAGTGTTCTAGACTACGACCCGATTTTCGTAGAAAGTAAGCAAACTGAGTGTCTTTGCAGACCATTCGTTGGACAAAGAGGCCCAAATAGACCGCGCAAGCGAACGGGTATGTGCCATGACCGCGATGTGACTGAGAAAAGCGAGGCTAACGGCTCCACGCAACAGCGTTCTCATATACTTTATCCTACCCCTTGTGAGCCCTAGGCTGAGCGAGTGAGCCGAGCGTCGGAGTCGACAAAGTTGTGTTCATCTAAATTGTCTAATTTTTATTGTTTCAGGTGGCGGTGCATTTACATCAGGTGATACGGAGTGTATCTTGCTTGACAGATGGCTTAACAATTAGCATACCAGTAAATAGAACAACTAACTGTCCAGTCCTAGAGGGCTGTGTTAACCAGTGATGCAGAGTGACAGAGAAGTGATTAAGGAGGCGTAGTTGAGTTCGGAGCTGCGTAGGTAAACCCGATCCCGCTCCGAGTTCCGAGCAGAGAAAGCCGAACGCTTGATTGAACCTCGCTCCTTCATCAATACCTCTCCACTGACTTCCTCATACAACTCCATGGTATTATGGCCATGGCAGGGTGATAGTATCCCATTTACTCTATGAAAGTTAGAGCGCAAGTAAAGGGCGTCCTTTCACTTTACCCCTTTCACGCGCATTGCTCGTTTGGCTAGAGCAATCACAACGTGGACATTTTGACTAATCTGCTATCCACGTACTTTAACAAGTGCTCACGTTGACTCAATTACTTACCAATTTGCTATTTTGATCCTAGTCTATCAACACCATTGTTGGCACTCTTTTTTTCGAGCTTTCTACCATCTTCATTTCTCAATAGTATCTTTCTCCGGTGTCAACTTCAACAGAACCGAGTTGAGCCATACAACAATCAGAAAGCTCCTAATACCTCTCATTGTTCGTCCTTCTCTTCAAATGGACCAGGTCCATGACTGAAAAGATGGAAAATTACAAGAAAATCTCAGGAACCCATTCCAAAACGAGGAACGGACTTCGTCGGCAACCTACCCATAGCTCGAAAGCGCTTTTCAAGATATCTTTATCAATAACAGGGGCATATGAGGAGGTGCGAACTGTCTCGAGGGGGCTTTAGTTTAGATAAACATGGAGATATGTAAAACATTTGATGCTAGGCAACCTAGGACGGGTATCCAATAGGCAGGACTTGGAACATGGCGTCCGAACTCTCGTCTGGGTTGCAGAGCACAATAGAAGGATTTCCTGTAGGCTGAACTGTACTGGTCGCCAACTGCAAACGCCGCCATCAGATGATGGGAGGAGTAGCCCAGAACGACTTCCATCTTCGACCCCTCATAGAACAAGCTGAAGAACGCAAACCAGGCGGCGGAAGAACACTTCATTATATACTACAGCCAACCTGTCTAGTAGGTTCCAAGGGCGATAATGGCAGATACTGCCATCCGAAACGCCGTTGGGGGCGGCCCGAACCATATCGATGCTCGACCTCAAATGGAATAGGTTGAAGAGCGCAAACCAGGTGAGGGAAAGATGATGCGTTCTCATACTGCGTACTACGCTGTAGCTCTTCTTACCAGTCGCGTCAGTTGCTGTCTGTGTTCCGCTATGAGCACCGTGACTCGCCTTCGGCTTGTCGCTCGACCTGAGGAGTACCGACACCAAGAGCCTGTACTATTGCCTAAACCTCATTGCTAGACCAGGGCTTGATCTATGTGCGTATTCCATACCTCCGTGTGAGGCTATATGGAGGAATGTGAGTTCGTTGTGTTGACCAGCCGGCGATTACCTTCCATGGCTACCAAAGGACGCGCCATCTACCAACCCAAAAGAGACTGCCACGCCTCCCCGCAGACCTCCAAAGGTACCCTCGAAGGTCTCTAAGCAGCTAGATCCTCGACTATTGTTTTGCTATTGTGCTCGTCTAGGCAAGCATGGGGCCGTCTGATTGGCCGAGGATTTTCACCTCATCCCGATTGTAAGCTTCGCACAATGGGGGAGGCAGGCAGCTATGGTGAGATCGTACGAGGCTATCTCGGCTCCTCACTTCACTCCTCCCGCCTGCGCTAGCTCGGATCTCTACTTAAAAAACCCCCGGTCCCCACTGCCTAGATCTCTGCTACATCACACTCCTCGAACCCTCGCAACACCTCGTTCAGAGACTCTCAACTTCATCTCAACCTCTATACCAGCTTCCGTAAACGCCTCCTTCGCAATCGGAGATGTCTGATTCCAAGTTGTCTACTCCTCCCATGGAGAACTCCGAGGATCATGCAGCCGCCGTCTCGCAGCAGATCGAGGCCGAGATGGTGGGTGCTCATTTGGGCGCCTTAACTCCTCGAAGCAACTCACCCAGCGCCATTACTGACAAGATCCAGGGCGTCAAGGCCAAGGCTTCTGACGCCGACGATGTCCCCGCTCCGCCTGAGACCCCCAAGGTGAAGTCTGTTGGCAAGAAGACCCTGAAGACTCCAAAGACACCGAAGACACCAAAGTCTAACGGCAAGCGCGCTGCCCCCGCAGATGGCGAGTCTAGTGCTGCGAAGAAGGTCAAGAACGAAGACGGCACCCCGAGCGGCCGTAAGGGCGTAAGTCACCGTCTGTGGTACATAACTAGAGACATTCTCAAGGCTAACATTGTCAACTACAGACTAAGAAGATTGCGACGACTCTGGACGAACTCACTACCGAGGACAGACTGCTCATCTCTATGCGCGATGAGGGCAAGTCATGGTCCGACATTGCCGACATGTGGGCTAGGGAGACTGGAGCGCCCCCGGGTGGAAAATCAACGTTGCCGAATCGCTACTCGAGGCTCAAGGCCAACCTTGCCCAGGTCAGCGATGAGCACATGGAGCTCCTGGTCAACGCGTACAAGAAGGTCCACGAGCAGTTCGAGCAGGAGAAGGCGCGCTTCGAGGTAGAGAAATGGAGTCGCATCAAGACGGTGATGGAGGAAGCTAAGGGCGTCGCAGATCAGAAGTACACGGTAAACATACTCCACCCACCTGTGACAGATCAAAAGCTAACCAAAGTAGGTTGCTGCTCTCCAGAAATACTACAAGAAGGCCGTGGATGCCATTGCCGCGAAGGCTGCCTCTTCCACCGACGGTGACGCTGGCCCTTCTGGCGCTATTCCCGCTGCTGGATCAGAGGACGCCGGTGAGAGTGATCGCGCTCGCCATGACTCTGCAGTGGCCTTCAAGGCAGAAGATGAGTAGCTTGCTCTCATCCGACAATGCTGATGATTTGTTATCTCGCCCGTGTGCTGCTTCATTTCAATACTCCGGCGGCGACGTCTCATCATATCAGCATCGAACATGGGGGCCTTGACATCACTTTTCTCAGGTTCTGGGCGGCTAGGATTGCTATTCAAGGTGCTTCACACACTTATATCGTCGGGTCGTGCTTTAGAAGTATGATACCCGGTGTTTGGCATGCGGATTACCTTATGCTTGTGTGTGGGCAGATAGCAATCAACGAGATCTTTCACTACTACCCTCTCTCAATCGTGATGTAAGATGACTTTCATGCGCCACATATTGAATCTCCTGCATGTAATGGCAGAAACCCGAAGCTTGTCGTTCGGAGCGTCTGGTAAGCTCGACATGCCACCTCACACGGCGGCAAACACATCAGACATGTATCGACAACTGTAAATTATGCGCGTGAGACAAGCTCCATCGCTTTTCCTGAGGTTTCGTACACTGGCTCCAGTGTCTGCGACTGCTGGGGGTTTTCAATAGGTCCTCCAAAATGCGGATGGAAATGACCGTCTCATCAATAGTATCCCAAAATGATCAACAAAAGTTTGAAGAATGTACATAGAATATAAGGATAGAAGGAAATATATGTCCACAAGACTTATGCAATAATATTGCCTACTTTGCAGCATCCTAACGCAAATCTCATGTAAATGCAAGCATCATCTCCACAACCTTTCCGCATCTAACACCTCACCAATCCAAGCCCCCAGCACCTCTCTCACCTCCCGCCAAAATCGCCGCGGCGGCCCCCTCTTGCCCCTTCCCGCTCTCCAAATGACTCGCCTTCGTGCTCTTCCTCCCCTTCATCTCCACCGCCTTCAGCTTCTTGTCCAACTCCACGTACGGATCATCCGTCTCGCTCTTTTTGATCTTCCACTTTTCCGTCCCCAGTACGCCATCCAGCTCTTCAACGGGCGGCAGCTTAACATACACCCACCCATCCTCGCGCTCCTCAACCGGGAACGTCGCGATATTGACCTCGTCGTCGTTGCCGCACTTCCCCGCGTCCGCGCCGCCGAGCTCGTAGTTGCGCTTGTGGTACGGACAGCTGACCCACAGCTTGTTCTTCTCGCGGTCGTCGCCGATGAGGCCATCGGAGAGCACGAAGGCGCGCTTGTGTGGACACATTTGCTGCGTGCAGTAGTACGTCCCACGGACCTTAAAGACAGCGAGTTGGGTATCGCCGCGCTTGACAGCTTTAGAGTCGCCAGTCGGCGTGTCTTTGAACTCCGAGGCTTGCACGATGGGCTGCCAGGAGAGCTCGGTCCATTTGGTACCGCGGAAGTCTTCTTTGACGGAGTCCTTGGGCCAGTAGGAGGGGCGCTGTTGGCCGCGCTCGACGGTGGGCTCGATGGTGTCGACGATGGTGTCGGATGTGTTTGCGAATTGGGAGAAGAGGGCGCGGCGGGCGGGGTTTTTGATAACTTCAGTCCATTCGCAGAAGTAGGAGCCGACGAGGTCGGCCATTTGCTGCTCGAGGTCTTTGCAGATGCCGAGTTTGTCTTCGAGAATCACCTCTTGCAGGTACTTGATCCCGCCGGGGAGGTTCTCGATCCACCGTGCTGTGCGCTGTAGCTTGTCGGCTGTGCGGATGTAGAAGGAGAGGTAGCGGTCTAGAATAGGAATGATATCGTCCGGGGGTACGTCCTTCGCCAGGAGTTCTGAATGCCGTGGTTTCGCGCCGCCATTGCCACCGACAAAGATATTGAAGCCCTTCTCTGTTGCAATGAGTCCAAAGTCCTTGTTTTGAGCTTCAGCACATTCGCGCACGCAGCCCGAAACACCGCCCTTGAACTTGTGAGGACCACGGATGGACTTGTAGCGCTCCTCCAGGCGGACGGCCATACCGACACTGTCACCGATGCCAAAACGACACCACGTCGTGCCCACACAGCTCTTGACTGTACGAAGAGATTTGGCATAGGCATGGCCGCTCTCCATGCCACCCTCAACCAGCTCGGTCCAGATGGAGATGAGATCTTGCTTCTTGGCGCCAAACATGTCGATGCGCTGGCCCCCAGTAATCTTCGTGTAGAGGCCATACTTCTTTGCGACAGTGCCGATGATGATGAGTTTCTCCGGTGTTATTTCACCGCCAGGGACACGAGGGATGACGGAGAAGGTGCCGTTGCGTTGTATGTTAGCCAAGAATCTATCGTTTGTATCTTGCAGGCCACGTCGAGACTCGTCCAGAAGATGTTTGTTGAACAACGAAGAGACGATAGATCCAATGACAGGTTTGCATGCTTCGCATCCAGTGGATTCTGGATGCTTGCCACATTCTTTCATGACATCTTGGAATTCCTGGAGCTTCTTGACGTAGATGATGTTGAAAAGATCAGCGCGGGAGTATTCGAAATGTGGGCATAGATGATTCTTGACTTCCTGGCCCATCGATGTCATGGTCTTGTTGAAGATCGTTTGTACGAGAGGCATGCAGCCTCCACATCCTGTACCAGCCTTCGTGCAAGACTTGACGTCGCCTATGCTCTTGCAGGTACCATCCTTGACAGACTTGACGACGTCGCCTTTGGAAACATTATGACAAGAGCAGATCTGAGTATCGTCATCACTGTGGAAACATATCAGTTTGGTGTGTCTGCAAACGATAATGGCGACTTACAGATCATCACCGTCGTCATCGCCTTTGGGAGCGCCGATGATGAGCTCACTTGGTGGAACCTCCAACGGCTTTTGGTTCTTGACCATTGGCACCAGTTTGACGTAGTCTTTGGTGTCTCCAATCATCATACCACCCAGTAAGTACTTGCCGTCCATTGTGAAAAGATATTTCTTGTAGATCTGCTGGAACGGATCTTTGTATGTCAAGGCCTTCACAGGCGGCGGCGCCGGACCGTCTGTCAGTTTCTTGATACTTGTCCTGCTTTCAGTAATGCCCTCCTTTTTTGCGACACGTACAGGCAATTGCTTCGGGCCATCGCGGTCAGCGAAGAAGTCTCCGAAACTCGCAACTTCAACCCCTAGAAGCTTAAGCTTCGTGCTGAGATCTGGACGCTTGAATTTCCGGGGGACATGTGCTTTTGCTTGAGTAAGATTGAAAGCTAGGACATCCGCCATTTCAACACCAGGTGCGATCAGGCCGAATGTCTGATTCTCCCAGCTTGCGCATTCCCCAATGGCGTAGATGCCTGGAACGGAAGTGCAGAGATCAGGCTTGACGACTATACCGCCGCCCCTGTCTGCGCATTTAATGCCTGCTTTTCGTGCAAGCGCATCTCGAGCTTTGATGCCAATCTACAGATATCAATATCTCTCGCAGAGCTGAAGGGTCTTAGCACTTACTGCAAAGCATACACATGAGCAGTCCATTTTCTCCCCATCCTCAAAAACCACGCCCGAAACAGAATTGTCGTCATCCGTTAGAATTTTTCCAACCCGCTTGCTCAGCAGGACATCAAGCCCTAGCGCTTGAACCTGCTCCACCACCATACCCCCAGCGTCGCTATCCAGCTGCCGTGACAAGACCCATCGATTTCGCTCGATGAGTTTGACCTGGCCGAAGTCCTCCAGGTCCATCATGGCTTTCGCGGCTTCCAGGCCGAGCAAGCCGCCACCCACCACCGCACCCGTTGTCCCCTTTCTAGTCGCTGAATACTCAATGAGTTTTTGCAAGTCCTCAATGGTGCGGTATACAAAAACGCCTTTGGCATCGTGACCAGGTGTGTGGCGAGGCAGCAAAGCATCAGAGCCTGTAGCTAGTACGAGTATATCATAGGGAACGGTATCGCCGGCAGAGGTCCTCACAACCTTTTCGTCCTGCACGATCTCGGTGACGAGGGTATTGAGGTGGTAGTTCAGCGAGCCTTCGGGCATTGATGAGTACTTTACATAGATTGAAGGTTAGCGATCCATCCTGAGGCGATTCGAGTTATCAAGGTTGCGGCATACCCATTCTTTCGGATTCAAGTATAGATTCTCAACTTGTCGATGCTGGAAGAAGCTCGTCAAGCCCACGCGGTTGTACGCCAGATGCGCTTCCTCTCCGATGACAATGATATCGTACTCGCGGCGTTTGACATCGTATTTCATGAGCTTCTCACTATTCAACACCTTCGCGTTAGCAATTGCTGACGGCCTTCACACGCGCCAATGCTCCTCGAGATGTTGACATCAAGACTGGAGAAGAGCTTACATGAACGCAATGCCCACCATCCCCAGCCCAACAACCACAATCCTCTTCCTCTTCGTATCCTTTGGAATCCCCCCATTGGCCTCCAACCCCTTCACCGTTTCCGGGAGCTTATTAGCCTCGGCATCATTCCACTCGCTGTTCGACATTGTCGCCTTCGATGCCGAAACCGCCGCCTTCAATTCACCCAAAGCAGCTCGGATGAGCCTTCAACCTCCTTCACGTTCAAATTCCCTGAGACGCACTTCACTCAAAACTCAAGATATCACAGCACAAACCCAACAAATCGCGACCACAGATTTTGATGTAGTAAAGAAGAAGAGAGCAGAAAACCGCGCTCTCAACATCTCACAGGAGAATACCAGATTTACTAGCCCGCATGCGCCTATCCAGCCAACCACGGGCGTGATGATAAAAAAAAAAACAGTGCATCATCGCGTCCAGCCCCAGCATCTCCGGCCCCCGCGGACTACGAGATACGCCCCCCACAGCGCCACCGCGATACACGCCGGGGAGGGGCTGGATGCTGCTGCGTGTTGATGATATCTCCGGGGAGGTTCGCCTTTGGTGATGAGGGCGATCCTGATAAGAGGAGGCGCGTTGGTGTTTGGCGTTGGTGGAGGATGCCAAGGCGGCGGGACGATAAGCGGAGATGATCTCCGGTATGCCGCTTTGGGATGGAGTAATAATGTGGTGTTGAGAATGGGGGGTTGACGGGATGTATGAGTGTGAAGAGGTCAAGTTTTGGGTAGGAAAGGAGGAAGATCATGACTCTGAAACATGTGGATCTGAGATATTTCAGTTTCGTGCGCATATGTTCAGGATGATATGGCCGTAGCTATGCTTATATACAGATGCAATAGAACAGAAGACAAATGCTTCATCCTCGAACTCCAGGCCTTAGAACTAATGCCATATGCCGCAAATGCACCCGTTCGAATCAAAAGAACAACAAATCCGAGTCCGGCCAACCTTGCTCATTCAACGCAGAATGCACACTCTTCTCTAATGCTTCTGGTCCACAAATCAGCACCATCGTGTCGCCCTCTGCCCCCTTTATACAGTGCTCTTTCAGCAATGGCGCCCCAATTCTCCCCCTAAGACCCGTCCAGTCTTCTGGGCCCTTCGTCAGCGTATATAGCAACTTGCACCTGTCGACATTGTCCCTCGCGAAAACGTCGAGATCTTCCTTGCAGAGGATATCCTCAACCAGACGATTCCCATTCAACACAACGCACGTAGTAGGATCTTCCTTATCCTGCATGACCGCACGAAGCACCTGGAAGATGGGCGTGATACCAGATCCGCCACAAATCATGATGAGGCGCTTGACGCTCCGCTTGACGGCGTTTATGGCGCACACGCCGCGGCCAAGGTACTCGAACTTGCCGATGGGGCCTTTGAAGTCGATGAAGTGTCCAATCGGGAGCGCGTCCATCGCTTTAGTCATTTTGCCGCCTTCCCGCTCTTTAGTGTCGAAGTAGATCTTCACAAGGACATCGGCATATCCCTTTCTGGTAGTTTCTGAGATGGGGGTGTAGCTGCGGATGATTGCTTCTCGCGTCACTGGATCCCGGAGACGGATCATCAAATGCTGGCCGGTTGGGAGGCCGAGGGACTGTTCGTCGTGCTCGAGTTTGAAGGAGAAGATGCGCGTGTCCCATGATACGTTCGTCTTGGAGTGCAGGATTGCCTTTGTCCAGTTGCGGCTGTTGAGGAAGACAGGTCGAGGCTCATTTGATGGATCTTGCTGAACTTCGCCTTCGCTGAGCACGCGGCGTGAGGCTTCGTCTAAGGAGCCCACGTGATATGCTGGCATCATAGCCTTTGCAGTTTCGCTATCTGCGTATTGTCAGTCTCATGGCCTCGAATCAAGCAGATCGCACTTACGAATAGCCATGAACTCATCTGTGCTGTCGAGCCCGGCAGCAGAGATGATACTTTGAGCACCTCCTGGGTGCCCATTGAGAAACGCGGTCCCATCATACACTTCTCCGTTTACCACAAACCACGGGCTTTCTTCCGTATCGTGTTTTCTCAATTCGTCGATTGTGATCACCTGGTTGACATCGTCCTTTGTCATTTTGACTTCAGTAACCTGTTCCTCGACTGGTGCCTCTGGTTCTACTCCGTCTATCCTCTCTCCCCAATACCCATTCATGAGATTCCCACCAGATTTTTTCACCCTTTCCATCCACCCACCCGGGATAAGTGCCGGTTGCGTCGGATGTTCGAACCTCAGGTAGTCATTTTCATGACTTATCGTGATGCGATACCAGGGATTGTTCATCATTCCGAGAACCGACCAGTAAAGGTCTCTCGGTTGTATGTTCATACTTTCATCCATCGCCCTCACCAAAATATCTTTCGCACCTTTCAGCTCCTCGACCGGGATATCGATTGCCCAAAAACACCAGCAGAAGCTTGACTCGCGCCAAGGCACGTCCAGGGAACCGCCATATAGATTTTGTTCGTAACCCTCTCGATACCTGTCTTCCGCGTAGTCGATGTTAGATAACCTCCAAGTTTTTCCCTTGTCAATGGACACCTCTACCCGGGTTACCCTCCGTCCATCACCACCGTATGCGTATCCTTTCACTCGGTACTTTTGTGGTGCTCCTACAATGCACAGCTGCTCCTCATGTGCAGGATATGCAATTGCAGAATTTGTACTCAACCCATAGATGGCGTATCGATCATCCTTCCACCACGATGGATTGCTGGCCGATTCTTCTGGTGATACCATTGTACTATCTCCTTTAGTAGAGTTAATGGAGAAGGGGCTGTGGAGACTAACGGTAGCACTCGGTTGTCGTATATATGATACCAGTTATCACTCGGCTGGTCTGTGAGAATGAGTTTCTTCAACCACTTCACGCTTCGGCCGCCGATTTGACCAGGTATCACCGCTCGCAGTGGCTTGCCATGATCTGGCCGTAGCATCTCGCCATTCATCTTGTGTGCTAGCATGATGCCGCGATTTGGGTCCATTACCCAATTGAGCTTCACCGAGGTGCCGTAGTAGCCGTTTGGCTGGGACGGTTAGTAAAACTCTGAATAAGGGTAACAGTTTCGACTCACTAACTTGTCTGCGCCTTCCATGCACACATATCTTGCTCTTCTGATTGGTTTAGCTCGCCGAATGACCTCTGACATGAGACAGCCCGTCCAAAGCGCGGTAGAAACACCCGCTGCGCCCCATGAAAAGCCTTTCGTCTTCCGAACTACATTCTGCTCCTTTCTCCTATTGCCTGCACAGACAAGAGTGATTGGAGCGGTCAATTGCTCGTAATCTTCTATCAGTTCCTTCAAAGAGATAGTGATAGGATTTTCCACCAGTCTGATCATCAATAAGCACATGATCCAGTTATACAGGCAGGCCTTGATACTCACCCCTCCACCGTGAATTCCCACGTCGGAATATCTTCATCTTCCACAAGCGGCACGGGACCATGGTTGCGAACATAAAACAGTTCGGGAGTGGTCAGAAACCCTTCGTTATATAGGGCAGACAACGGTGCCTCGACGTTAAAGGGGTGGACTCCAGTCAATCGGATCAGCCGTGGATCTCTTGGAACATGTGCATCTGGCGTTTTCTTATCGACTTCGAGCACACTTGTTGGAGGATTGCTCGTAGGTGGTAGGGGAAATAAGGTCAAGTCCTTCGAGTCTTCGTTTTCTTTCCGCTCCTCCCCATCGACGACAGTTTCGGGCGGGGTTGGTGGCAATTCGCCTTCCATATGTGGTGTGTCTATATGCTCTTCATCGGTCGTAATACCCATGATGCTGAATGCCAAGAGAACGCCAGCAAAAGCTACCGAGCGAATACAGAACTAGAATTAGGGTATCTCAGAACGCGAGCAGGAAACAATAGGAGAGAGGCTCAGGTGATGAAGAAGAGTGAAAAAGAAGGCGATTGACGAAAAGAGGTGGTCAACCCACGCTCGAAAGCCCAAGCGTGGTTGACAGGACCTGGCTCGAGCAGTCAATAAGGAGCGAAACGCAGCTCCAGAGTACAGCGCTTCTTGTGGGCTTCGTCATAATGGTGACTACAAGCGACTGAGCCCGGAGAAAGCTGATGCACAGCGGGCTGGCGGGTGTGCTTGGGGCCAGGCCCCGATGCGGGCTGACGGCGGCAGAGGCTGCGCAAAGAAGCAGTCAGGATAGGCGCAACTGGGCGATTGGGATCGGTGGCAGAGGGACCACATCGCCGCCGATGTGCCACCGGCGATGGGTGCGAGGAAAAGAGACGGTGCACAAAGATCTCCTTCGCCGCTATGCACCGTTATCTTTGCCACCTAATGCGACTTGAGCTAGCGCCAGAACCCGCTCCGAGTCGACCCCAAAGACATATCCAGCATTTGCTACTTCTGCACCCCTGAACCGTGCTGCAGCCCGGCTGGATGAGAGTTTGAAAGCAAGTACTCTCATCGAGGACGATATAATTGTTGTTGAACAGTCCAACGGAGACATTAAACTAGAGACATAGAGATCATATCCGTGGAGAACATATTGCAAGACTCAAGCATGTAAGACAGTGTAGATGAAGATCGTCCTGAGTGCAAGAGCCTCCCTGCATGACACAATGTCTCCTTTCATTTCGTGTAAAGCGATGCTCGTGGTGTTGATAAATACCTGCCTACCTAGGTGACTTCCAATACATTGCGCCTTGGGGACCTGCTCTATCGAGAGATCGCCCTCTCATCTCTCGTTGAAAGCACATTCTTGCTCGATGCGGTTGCTTGCATGTTCATGGTTTGGCACTCAGTCCACCATTGCATGAATCAGCTCGGAGTGTCTTAGAACTCATGGTTGTTCTTTTACAACAAAATTGTTGGAGGGACCTTCTCCGCGGACGTTGGCGCGCTCTCGTCCGAAGGATTACCGAATGCCTTCACGCTCAGACAGCACGCAAATCCAGTTGTTAGAGCAATGCGACGCTTTTCCCAAACTCGACTACGGCTAAAACTACTCTACAAAGCGTGCAGCGGCGCACGCTTAAGAAGCATCCTCCAACACCTGACACGCCCATGAATACCTCGCGCAGCGAAGGCTAGACCAAGTATCAAGTACTAACCCTACATATCCCCAATGCTTCCGAACATCTTACTCGACTAATGATAGCACCCAACTACCTCCCCCTACTTCCTCTTCTCTGTTGTTGTCCCATAACTCCTACCCCACCACTAAAACTGCCCCGGGGACTTCTTACAACTGGCGTCATGAGTGGGACGCGCGGAATCCCCAGCTTCGCCTCAAAGATGCGCATCACCAGCGCCTGCACCACCCGCTGCACATCTCCCACCATCTCCGTCCCCAATAGCCCTACAACCAGTGGTGCAAACACCTCGACATGCTTCTCGAACTCCGGCTCCGGGAATCCGGTGTACCCGTCTAGTACGGTGACCACCACAGGCCGCCACGTGACGATGTTCCGCTGTTGCGTCTCCTCATCGAGTTCAATGTAGCTGGCGACAATGTCTTCGCACAGCGGCACGAGCGCAGCCTCGGTCTCGGCGCGTGAGGCCGCCCGCTCGGTTGACGTGTCGTGGTACATACGGAAGAGGATGCTGACGTATACAGACGCCGAGCCGGATTCCTGCTTGAGCAGATTTGGCGGCTGCTTCATGAAGCCCTCGCGGAAGAGGCGCGTGCGGAGGTCACGGTCCGCATTGAAGCGTTTGGCGAACTGATACGATTTCTTGAGCACTGCCATGAGGCGGAGGAGTTCGCCCGACGGGATCTTCTCGTAGACGGCGTCGTTGGTGAACAACTCCTGCACAGTTTCGATCATGAGGAGCTGCAGAACGCATTTGGTGATTATTTGATTAAAGAAGCGACGGCGTGCGGCTGTTACAACTACCGGGGCTTGCTGGAGATTGTGGTCATCTGGTCGGTAGTCTTCTAGCTCTGCAGTTTGCCGTTTGGGGAGGGGCGACGGCATACGGGTGTCCGAGGGCGTGGTAATTGACGCTTCGGACGATACGGCTGAGGATCGACGCGGTGTCGGGAGGCCATTGATGCCGAGAGCATTGTCTTGCGACTCTTCAGTCGGAGTCTGAGAGAGCGGTAGGTCCGTAATGTTTGCCTCAGCAGTCGGCGTCTTGGGCTGTGACGCGTTGCGATACCCGTTAGAAGGTGTCGAAGAAGTCGGTGTATATGATGATGCTGTAGCTGCTGAGAAAAGGGCAGTTGCTTCCGTCCTGTTGAACAGCTCTACAAACGCGTTGACAATCTTATGCCAATGCTCTGGTTGGAATTTCTGCACATTCTGTAGAATTAATTGCTGCAGGCAGTTGCTCCCAATCCTTGCAAGGGTGTCATTCTCCTGACATATGCAAAGCGCGAGTAGATCAAGGAATCGATCCAACATGTACTCGAGAGACTCGAAGAAATGTGTGAAGAGTTTGATCATGTTCCTCAGAGCCTGGATCATAGTTGTGGACAGCCAGACCGACAGCTCTTCGTGGTTAAGAACCTTGTTCATCTCGGATTTTGATTTCAGCACCATAAAGATTGGATACAAAAGTTGACGCCAGAGCATATCCCAGAAGTCTTGTGGGAAGTTGTGACCATAGGCGATGAGAGTTTCGAACAGGTAATTCAACGACCGAGACCGAACTTCAAGATCCTCGCCGGTCATCAGCACGTCGTGAAAGGCGAAGAGAACCGGGAACCAAAATTGCTCCTCCTGGGTTTGACGGGTAGGCTGCTTTGGAATAGAAGACCCTTGTTCGCTGTCCTTGACGAATCCAGCTCTAACTGAGAGAGGACATTCTGGAGTCCGTAACATCTTCGGGACTGACGCCTTCAGTAATTCGATGGCCTGTAGCGATTTCTTCTGGAATTTGTAGTTCTTCGAGAACTCTGTCAAACAGACAATCAAGTCTGCAAATGCTCCTTGTGAGATGACAACGCCAAACCTGGTATTATACACTTGAGTGATATTCTCGAAAGCGAGGCTAACGATGCCCTCTACTTTTGGTTAGACTTATTAAGTTGCAGGTTGAGGCTTGAGACTAACCGTATGGTTCCCTAGCAGCAACAGTGAAGACGCCAAACATTGTTCTCCAACCGGAACGAATATTTTCACCGCGAGCCTGGATCATCTGGATCAAACAACGAAGGACCATGTCCTTCACCTGGACGACGGTCGTGTTGCTAATGATGTGTTCGAACGGTTTAAGGAAATCCTTCTGGAATTTGAAACCAGGAAGTTCCTCAATCTCCATAAAGCGCATGGATAGTTGTCGCAGCGAATTGAGAGCAAAGAAGACCACGTTGGTGTTGGTATGACATCCAACATCATTGAAGTGAGCCCCAAGGATTTGCCAAATATTCGTCCACTCAAAACGAACACGAGTCATGTTGTACCCGCTGATTTCTACTAGTTTCTGCAAACTGTAGGTACGTGGTGATTCACTCTGTCCAGACGACTCAATCTCCTGCCAGCTGACCTGCGTTAACGCTTTCACGAAGTCCACGATGGCCTCTCCCGAGAGATTGGCAGTGTTTGTGAATATTCGATCGACAGCTCGTATCATGTCTGTGGAGCGGCTCTCCTCCGCAATATCGGCCTGATAGTGAACGTTGCTGTTATGAGGCGCAGCTCTGCGTCGGTTCGGCACGGTTAAGGATTTTCGGGACGTTGGGGGTTGCATGTGTGCCTTTAGGACATCTGGGATTGCCCTCTCATCCACACCAGTCGAGATGAGTTGGAAGCGATCAAGCTGTGACACACAAGTAAGGATATCTCGCCAGGATTCTTTTAGGTGGTTTCCTTCGTTGTGCGCGACTTCGAGGAGCACTTTTAGTGCCTCGACGTTCTTAGCCTTCATCTCGCTCAGGTTGTAAAGGTTCGTGAATCTTGCCAGCGAAGCAACGAAGGATTGCCGTGGAGTCTCGAGATCGAAAACACATGCTACACGAATGGCAAGCTTCAATCCTTCCATGCATAGCCTGACGGTTTCAATATTGTGGCCCTCTTGTGCTTGACCTGAGAGTGCTGTAAGGAATGGCATCCATGTCACTTCAAACATAGGACCGACATGTTTGAAAGAAGACGCGGGAATGAACTTCGACACAGGCATTTTCGTTGCTGTCCGCCGTTGAGCTCGTAGTAATGACTTGTAAAGCTGTTCAGTCTTGTTCGCCATCTCTTCTGATGCTTGTACATAAGCCTCTCGCTGTAGATCTCGCCCTACAGTCGCCAATGCCTGTCCAATATTTGCAGCAATTCCGACAGTAGGCTGAACTACGATGCCCTGGTTCGCCGCGGCCGCTCTCTCAGTGTACAACACGATCTCGTTGTGTGCAATTTCATCGTAGATCCCAAGAAGATATTCCTCTGGAAGGTCGGCGTTGTCGTTGATACCGCGGTTGTTCTTGATGAAGTCCTCGGGTGTCATGCGGCGTCCTTTCATTTTTGTGCTATGCTGATCGGTGTTTAACAAGATGACAGAGTAGGCGAGTACGTATGCGGTATCAGCGTTAGCAAAGGCATTAGGGTTTCCAGTGATGTACCGCTCAGCAAATTTAAGCATGAAACGATCAATCTTTTGGGCCTCTCCAGGAAGACGGAAACTCTGGAGGAAACGCCTCAAAGCATCCACAAATCGTGTCTTGGCAAAGTCCATGTAGTCTACAAACGCGTGCATGATGGCTATGTTTGCTGCATCGCCCTCGCCGAGGAACTCGCCTAGTGATGCCTTGTCAATGGCGTCGTTGTCAAGTAGGAAGCGAGCAACGTCCTCTGGCTTTTCAGACTTGATGAAACCATCTTTCAAAAGCGCTTTCATGCCTCGCTTAGGCTTGAAATTGAACAGCCTCACAGCGTTCGTCAAAGCCGTCTTTCGCTGCTTCACTTTCTCTAACTGATTGGGGTCATCCTCAGCTAGCGGCGTTGCTGTGCCTGAGTCAAATCCAGGGTGTGGCGAGTCTACTGTAGTCCGGTTATCTATCGATTCCCGGAAGTCATCAACAGATGCCCTTGACTCGGACTCGCGAAGGGCTGCAGTAGCTTCCGCGACGCCTTGCTGGGACCAATTGACAAGAGAGCGGAGAATCTCGACCAGAGCTTCGAGTGATTCCTGCTTCATAGCATATTCTAAGGGATATCCTTGGTCAACTTCGTGGGGGGAATGCATTGACGCTGTCGAGAGTGCTGGTGGAAGTGTGCCCCGAGCTTGCCAGTCTGACAGATTTGACTGCTTGCCATGGTGATCTTGGTAGGCTTGTTGTTGGATCGGCGTGATCGCAACAGGAGTACTAGATATCCTAGAAAGATGTTCTACGATCCTCTGGTACATGTTGTCCAGGGCCGTTCGATCGCAGTCGTAGTTGAGATATATCTCGACCAGCGCCCTAGGATCTGCTGCGAGCCTTCCCAGAACAATCAAGATGTACTGCTTCTGAAAGACCGCTGCAGTTCGTCGTTCAAGAATGGCAAGGTAGATCTCTTTCAAGAACACCTCGATCTCTTTCTTCAGCATGACCCGCAAGTATTTTAGCATCAGCCAGAAGATCTCACAGCTGACTTCGAACACCCGGTTCACAGAGCTAGCACCATTCCGGCTTAGACTTAAGCATAAATACTGCTTGATGGCTTGCACAAAGGTCGTCGGCTCATCGCTGCTACTACTCCGTATCGTGGCATATGGTGATATAAAGACGACTATGTTGTTGTGGAGAATGGTGTGTATTATGTGGAGGGAGAGCAGTTTCGACCGCATTCCTTGAGATTTGATATCCACGGCGTGTTCCACCTGGAGCGATTTGGTGCTGAGTCTGCACATGGCGCGGAACACGAGGTATGCATCTCGAATGAAGATTTCGTCTTCTTCCTCTTCGTCAGAGCCTTCGCCGTCATGCTGAGGGTTCGGGGATGCATCTTGTCCAGATATGGATCTGGGTGTTGCTCGTCCCTTGATTCTAGTGACAAGGGTGGGCGCATTGTCATGGATTCGGTCGTCATTGAAGCTCATGTTATTCTCAAAGCTCTGTAAGGTAATCTTTGGGCCGGTATGCTTCTCCACAGGCTTGTCGCTGGGTTCGTGTGTTCCAGCTTCTGAAGCTTCGGGGGTCTCTTCTTCATCTTCGTCTTCCTCCGCAGCGACCTCAGATCCATCCACGCCGACTGTGCTTCCTTCAATCTCTTCCCGGATGCTTTCATCTGATCCGCTTTTGCCGTTGTCCAGAGATACCTGTGAGACATTTACTCGAGCTTCCTTAGCTGATAGCCTGCCCTTGACTCTTTCAAAAACAGTTCCCACCATCTGAGTGAGCGCTCCTTGCGCAACCTGCTGGTTTGCACTAGATTTGGACAGCAGGAATATATTGTAGGTAAGCCGCACGGCCTTCAGGAGGCCTGCCCCATGCACAACAATCTTGTCGTTCAGAATGGCTGCCAGCAGAGACTTCACAATCTGCAGCTGTACGTCCGGGTGTGTCGCCTCCCCCTGAAAACAATCGCATATTGTGTCTATAGCCCTTTCGATCAAAGGCGGAGCGTCGGAGGATTGGGCGTGTGGATCGGCAGGGACGGAGAAGTAGGAGTAGCTAATTAGCTTCCCAATGCAATCGAGGGCGGTGATAGACACCGAGACAGTGTGGGCTTCGGAGGCGAGCTGGAGGGGCTCGAAGAGGATTTCGGGGTTGATGTGTGAAGGGTCGCCTTCGCTCTTGATTGCAGCCAACGCCTGAGCGGTCGAGTCCCCGAGCTTCTTGTTCTTCCGTGCATCCTTGGACGCAGAGATTGTCTCCAGCGCTGTTACAACGAATACTAAAGAGCTGCGGGTCGAGGGTCTGGTAGCGGTGGTCGCTGCGGTGGACTGGGAGTCGGTTCGCGAGCGAGCATCTGCATGCATTCGATGGTCGAAGAAGTCGGCTGTGCGCGGAGTTTCCTGTCCATTGGGCAGGTTGAGCGTCGGGGTCTCAACTGAAAGCGTGGGAGGATCCGGGAGTTCCTTTGAGGACACGGAGTCCTCTGCGTGTGATACCGTTCCCTCCTCCGCTAATTCAACGGCGGAGGGTGCTCCGTGGTAGTCAATGCGCTTCTCCTCATCTGCTGGAGTAGCATGCTCCTCGGCGTGGCCGTTGGGAGCGTTTTGCGTTGCAACGACCGGGGCGTCGACGTCGGCCATGGTGGTCTATTCAGGGTGCCGCGTATGCTGGATGGAGCTTCTTTGAGGCCTGGTAGGCGCTTCAGAGTAGCATTTCGAGGGGGGAAAGTGGGGTCGAGGACGTCTGGGCCTACCGATCAGGCGCGAGACTGGGCAAGGTGTAAGAATGGCAGAAGAAGCGGGAGTCCTTCTCGCTGTGTAGATACCTGTGGACAGAACTGGTAACGTCGAGGGATTGCTATTATTTCAGCCTCACCTTACTCAGCGCGCCAGGGAATCAGCGACCACAGCCACAGGGCCGGTCCGAGCCACGAGTGGATTCACGTTCATGAGAGCCATCGTCCCCTGCGAACAGCTGCAGGAAGCCGCGGGGGCTCTAGAAACTATGTAGAATCAGACGAAAGACATTCGCGTCCCTGTTGATCCTGTCAACCCTTCCGGCCCTGTCTCGGGGCGCCGTGGTGGACATATTGGCTGCAGTCGGGTTCCTGTGCCCAGGTGGCTTTCTGCTGCCGCATCCCCATCAAAACCCCGATGCCCGAGCTCGCTCGACACTTTTCTGATTGTTGAGCGGACCGACAACACCAACTCCCACCCCCTCTACTCCATCTCTTTCATCTCTCGGAGGCGTCTGCCGCTGAAGAGCTCCATTCCCTGCCCCTCCGCCCGTCGTCTGTCGCCCTCGTCGCCCTCCCATCTCGTCCCGCCCCCAGCGGCATCCCCGTCACAATGTCCGCGACCACCATCCTATCGCGCTCTTCCGGACAATTAAGTCTGCGAGGCGGAATTGCTCTAAGAGGAGGCTACAGCACGTCGAGGTGCCAGGAATTCGTCGCGTACGCCGCCCTGTCCCCCTCTCCCGTCCTTGTATGAAGCCTCGCTGACATTTTGGCGCTCTAGACGACGGACTCCTGCGCTGTCAGCTCTGTCGCGATACTATGCCTCCAAGTGTAAGCCAGCAATGCTCCAGAACTAGGCTCCAATGTGTCAAACAAGGCGTCGAAGCTAATTGAGCTTTTCTGGCAGCATTTCCCCCCCACACCGTCGTCAGCATGCCGGCACTCTCCCCGACCATGACCGCAGGAAACATTGGCACATGGCAGAAGAAAGTTGGCGATAGCATAGCTCCTGGCGATGTCTTGGTGGAGATTGAGACAGACAAGGCGCAAATGGACTTCGAGTTCCAAGAGGAAGGCACCATCGCCAAGATTCTCAAGGAGTCTGGTGAGAAGGACGTTGCAGTGGGAAGCGTGAGTACCTCCAATGCTGCTCAACAGCAGATCTGTCCTGGCAGTGGTTTCGGATACAGAATCTAAGCCACTTGCTTCAATTGAATCTATCACTAACTCCACACAAGCCTATCGCCGTTATGGTTGAAGAAGGCGAAGACGTCTCTGCTTTCGAGTCCTTCTCTGCCGAGGACGCTGGCGGCGACAAAGCCTCCCCATCCTCTGCGCCAAAGGAAGAAGCCTCTGAATCCAGCGAGCCTCCCTCGGACACCCCAGATACCCCCGCAACACCAAAGTCATCTTCGCCCGCCCCTGAACCAGAGGAATCAACGTCAACTGGCGGTAGGCTCGAAACGTCCTTAGATCGCGGATCTCCATACTCCCCTGCTGTCAAGAAGCTTGCGCTGGAGAAGGGTGTTCCTCTTGCAAGCTTGAAGGGCTCCGGCCCTGGCGGCAAAATCACCAAGTCGGATGTCGAGAAATACAAGCCCACTAGTGGAGCTCCTCCCACAGGTGGTGCCACTACCGGCCCTCCCACCTACGAAGACATTCCTGCGTCAAGCATGCGCAAGACGATTGCCAATCGACTCACAGAGAGCTTTAACAAGAACCCGCATTACTTTGTCGCCTCTACAATCTCCGTCTCCAAGCTTCTCAAGCTCCGGGAAGCTCTCAATGCCGCTTCTGACGGAAAGTACAAGCTCTCGGTCAACGACTTCCTCGTCAAAGCACTGGCCATCGCCGGCCGCAAGGTTCCTGCCGCCAACTCATCCTGGCGTGAAGTCGATGGCCAGACGGTCATCCGCCAACATAACGTCGTGGATGTCTCAGTCGCCGTTGCCACCCCTATCGGTCTCATGACGCCCATCGTAGCGAATGTCGGCTCTCTAGGTTTGCAATCCATCTCCGCGCAGATCAAGGATCTCGGCAAACGTGCTCGCGACGGCAAGCTCAAGCCAGAAGAGTACCAGGGCGGAACCATCACCATCTCCAACATGGGAATGAACTCTGCGATTGACCGATTCACCGCTGTCATCAACCCTCCTCAGGCAACCATCGTCGCAATCGGTACTACAAAGAAGGTCGCTGTGCCAGGCGAGGAGGCAGAAGACGGCACCGTTGGTGTCGAGTGGGACGATCAGATCATTATCACCAGCAGCTTCGACCACAAGGTTGTCGACGGAGCGGTCGGGGGGGAGTTCATGAAGGAACTGAAGAAGGTCATCGAGAACCCTCTGGAGTTGATGCTATAAACGAGAGAGGGGCCGAGATGATTACTTTTGCGGAGCATTTTGCCGTGTGGTTGAGTAAGTAGGGGGCAGCTGGGGGGAGCGAGCTATCTTGTACAATGACACTTGTTTTATCGCCAAGCCTCCACACTTTGTATTCCTGTGGGTTTTTTAGTATGCCTTGGTTTTGCTCCCTCTCCGTTTAGTCTCCTTTTTCGAGAAGCTTCGTTTGAGCTCTTTTGTCTTGCATGGCAGCGTGTAACAAAAGATTTTCGAAATTCAATCGAGGCTCGGTAGAGTAATCCAAAATATGTTATAGATTTTTGTCTTCGGTTTCACGAACTTCCGGTGTTCTGCCTGCCACCAAGCGGTCTACCTTACGAAAACTGATGAGGTTTCTTTGGTATGTGTCGCACGTCGCTCCGTGCCACGAAAAGCCAAAGCTACAAAGCCAGGCCACGTGACGCTAAAGAACAATACTAATGGCGAAGTCCTCGAACAAAGGCACAATGCCCCTTTTGCAACGTCCACCGCCGGAAAGAGGTCTCAGAACAAAAGTTAGGTGGTCTGTGCCTCGCAAATTAGGAGAGTAAGTAAGCGAGTATCAAAGCGTAGTCAGAAGTCGAAAAGTCACAAAGTCATCAGTCACAGTGCATCAAGAGGTCAAGAGTCGATTGGTAAAAGAGTGTAATTCCAAGCTAAACTTGGCAAAAGAAGACCTCCACCCCCACCTCCACACGCCGTCCCAAAAGGTCATCGTACGAAGCAGAAACTCCTCGCAAAAAAAACCGCGGTCCAGAATGTGTCGAAGAAGAACCGTAGCGTCCCAAGAGAAGAAGTATGTCGGGGTTCAGGTAGGTTGAAAAGCACCGGTCCCCTGGGGAGAGGAGGCCGCGCGGGGCATGTGGCTTTCTTCGAACCAAAAGCGGCGGTTCTGACGCCGTCCGTCTTTGGCTGAGGTGGTGTAGAGTCTATGAAATGGGGGTTTGGTCGAAGCGAAGAAGGTTGTGTTCGTGGTCAAGACAGGATCTGGGGTTTGTTGTGTGATCTCCGGCGGCTGGCTCTGCTCTCCTGACCCTGCGAGAGATGGAGGAGGCAGATGGGGCGGGCGTTCATCCGGCTTCGATTCAGTCCAAGGTCCGTCCCCCCCGGGGGCATGTGTACGCGGCAGCGCTCAGAACGAGTCTGAGGCGTCTGGATGCATGCAGGGGCGTGGATGGGGACCAGGTCACCGACTGAGGGTTTGTGGTCGATTGTCGAAGCCGACGGGCGCGGACGATCGATCATGCATCTGGTGTAAAAGGAATTTACATGACGGTGCAGCCGGAGCCTCCAGTAGTGCCAGCGGATTGAGACATGTTGCTTGGTTGGTTGGGTAGTTGGTTAAACCTGAGTCTGTGTGTCAGTTTGATGTTCGTTGGAGTGTTTGAGTATTTGGATAGATCGTACTGTAAATGATTGTATGTTCTGGTGGGTGAGGAAAGAAAGTTCATCTCGAGCAACTTCGAAGAGGTTCTTATACCTAGAGCTCGGTAGAGCCTTTGATAGAGACTCGGTATATCTTGGAAGCTTGTTCGAAGGTCGAATAAAGAAATCATCTTGAATGTCTGTTCTGAAAGTCGTGTTGGTCCTTGGAAACGTGGAAGATTGGACGGGCGCTGCTTTTGGTGGCGCAAATTTGCCGTTAGTATTGTTCCCCTTAGTATTGTTCGACCCAAACATCATCCCAAAATCTTCACCCCACTAGACTTGCTTTCACTCTGCCGCATTCATTGTCTCGCTTGAAAGAATGCATTTTCATTGAGAAGGGATAGGTAGTCCTGTTAGTGCGGGTGTTTTGCTGCATCTAGGGGCACGAGTTGAGATGATTTGACGAGTCCGAAGCTGATTACCGCGTCTCCTCCTGGGAGCCTCGTGGAAGCCACATCTAGAAGCAGCCAGAGGTCGCTGTCGCCTCAAAGATTCCCTCGTGTTGGTAATGTCTTCTGGTCGCTAACGTCCGTCAACGGAAAGCCATTCCAGCCTTATGGCTCCCCTCTACTGGCGCCTTTCCCGTTCCAGCGTCCACCGCACCCTAACGACCTCGTGGCAATGCAGCCGACACATCCACTCAGCGTCTTCGACAAACCTTCTAAGGTGCGTCCCTAGGTGGCGAGAAACTCCCCGTGCCGAGAAAAATATATTATTCGGGCATCTTAAGTCTTTCCTCGTGAGCCTATGAAGTCATAGCCAATATGTTAATGTTCTTTAGACATTTTTCCTCAGGAGACCAGTCTGCAACCAGAAAAATACGACGATCCTGGTCATGCTGTCGATCGTTCCGTTCACGGCATCCAGAACCATATCAGTGTTGCACCCCTGCTCCACTACGACTATTTACACAGTTTTAGATTTCGGAGCCTTAGGACAATAATTCTATTAAGAAAGAAGATAGCTCCGAGCTTTAAAAACCCTCCGCCCTGAAAGGCATGCATAATAAAGTTTCTCCGTGCAAAGGATTGCTCGGTGTCTTGGCGCACGGATTTAGTGCGCTTACGTAGTAGAGTATTATACATTTACCTAACTGTATTATATTCTTCACCCTTGCCCGTTGTTGCAACACCGTTTTGCTCCAGCCGGCAAGCAGGGGTACGAATGCGAGTCTTAGCATTCCAGCCACGATTACGCCACAGACCAAGGCACGTGATTTACCACTGTACCAAAGAGTACTTCTATCAGAGTTTGGAGCCCCACAAGCGTATGGCCGGAGCGGGTCGGCCGTCCTCCCTGGTAGCGCAGGCGAATTCTGTAGACCACAGGACGAAGCTGTGTACCTATACCTTAACCACGCCACCGAAGGCAAAAGCTTGCCGTCTTATCCCCGCAAACTAAGAATTGATAGGATGTTACCTCTTCTTGCTGCCGCAGCCGATCCAGCTGCTAGCTTGAATAGCTACCTGCCCGATCGCCCAGTCGCCCATTCCACCGAGGGCGCAGTACATGCCTCACAAAAAGTGCAAGGCTGGAACAGATGCAGTGCGGAATATTGATCGCTCAGAAGAAGCTGAAAGAAGAATGACGTATGGGTTGAGAGGTCCAGCGCCTGCAGCGCCAATCACGCGGCGCCACCATATGTGGCGCAAAGGCACACCTCACAGCTGACTGGCCATCACCGCGACAGAAGGCTGAAGAGGCAGCAACCAGGCTGAAATGATGCTTTCTGCACATCTCCTTCGGCCCATCCTGAGGAAAAGGGTGTGTCTCCTGTGCCGCGATATCTGGTGTTCACACCGCTTCAACCCGACCACATCTCCAACTTATGGCATCGAGCAGCAAGCAACTCAGTTGCGCCGACTACCACGTCGCGTGGATATGCCCGCTCATCGACGTCGAGCTGCTGCCGGCGCGGCTGATGCTAGACAAGGAGCACCCCACCCCACCGTACGACACGCACTACGACGAAAACACGTACATCTGCGGCGCGATTAACGGCCATGCCGTCGTGGTCGCGACCTGTCCGCAGGGCGAGACGGGCAACGTCAATGCCGGGCGGCTGACGGGATTTATGTTCAAGACGTTCCCTAACATCAGGATGGCCGTCCTCGTCGGCATCGGAGGTGGGATCCCTCGTTCACCGCCATCTGAGGATCCGCTTGAGGACATCCACCTGAGAGATGTGGTGGTCGGGTGGCCTGGCGACGAGAAGCCGGCGTGCGTCTACCACGACCGGGGCAGGTTGAAGGTGGGTGGCCAGTTTGAACTGGTCGGCACGATGCAGGACCCAGAGTGGAGACTCACGAACGCGCTCGGCGTCCTCGCGTCGGACCATGAGCTGGGTCGAACGACGTTCGCTGATCAGCTTCAGCGACTGCAGAAGCACAAGAAGTTCCCCCACAAGTTCGCTCGTCCTGGCCTCGAGCACGACCGGCTCTTCAAGGCCACATACTATCACATCGGAGACTACAAATCCAATTGTGCGGCATGCGATGGGACTGAGCTCGTCCAGCGACCGCAGCGGAGCGCAGACGACGAGCATGAGCTCGTCTTCCATCGAGGGAGGATCGCGACGGGTAATGCGGTCATCCAGGACGGCGAGCAGAGAGATGTGATTGGCGCCAGATGCGACGGGGCGCTGTGCGTTGAGATGGAAGCCGCGGGCGTCGACGTTAACAGGAAGTGTCTGGTCATCCGCGGCGTCTCTGACTACGCAGACTCGCACAAGAACAACATGTGGAAGTCTTACGCAGCTGGAAATGCGGCCGCATTTACCAGGGAACTGCTCTGCAGAACACAGTCAGATGTAGTTAAAAGGAAAAGTGTGTCTGAAGGTTAGTGATAGGTTTACTTTGCAATGGGCTGCGTTATATGCAGAGCTTAGCAATACATCAATGGCACTCTTATTTAGGCTAACTTCCTTAGAATTAACCTTACTAGAGATGTTTCAAGGCCGGGGTGTACCTATTGATATGCGCTTACAATTACCGCGAAGATCCGGCCCCGTCACTGACCCACTAACTGGATTTTCATCGAGATGGATGGCATCATTTAGACCGTCTGATTATGACGAGAGGTTTCAAAAGATTGCTGATGAAAGACACTCCTCTACCTGCGAATGGATACTTAGTTGCGAAGCGACGTCGTGGTGGTGCGCCCGAAAATGGCCCTCTATTCTCTGGCTGTCCGGAAGCCCTGGGATGGGAAAGTCGACTGCTCTGACCCACTTGGTGAAAGAACTCTTAAGCCGTCGATCCGTGTATGAAGTAGGGCGTAGAAGTGCTATGGTTCATAGCTTCTGCGTTAATGGGCTGAACAGCACCGCGAGTAGCGTGCTTTCCGTCGCCATTCATCAATTGCTTGTCCAGTTTCCCAAGGCGAAAAATAACACCTGCACGTTCGATCGCAATCTTTACATGGTCGCAGAAGCTACACATAATTGGACACCGAAATCTGGGAAATCCCGCCCTTCCTTTCAACTCTGGAACATATTCTGTAAGCTTATGGAAGAAGCCAAGATCGATACGCTGTTCCTCGTTATTGATGCACTGGATGAATGCGATATCCAGTCTCAACCCGAATTGCTTCGACTTTTCCACGGATCCGTAGCCCAAAATCTCTACATCAAAATCTTGTTTTCAAGCCGGACGAACCCCGAGCTTGAGAAAATATACTCGCGATACTCTGCACAAGCACCACAAGCTTTTCGCTATGAGAAGTTGGAGCACCTAGAGGACCGTATCAACGATGATATAGGACTCTATATCCGCACAGAGGTTGCTAGGATCGCCAAGCTGATGTACTACTCTACCGAAAAAAAAGAGCAGATTCTCGAAAAATTACTGAGCGAGCGCTCCGGGATGTTTCTCCCGGTGGTACTACTACTCCGAGAGATCGAAGGCGCAAACTACGGCTCTTTAGAGCAGGTTCTCAGGTATATCCCGGCAAATTTAGGAGCATTGTATGGGAAACTGTTTAAGCATCTCTTATATAACCTGCGGCCCGAGAAGCAGCGGCTGCTAAAATATCTGGCGTACTCGATCGGAGATATAACTCCCCGCGACATCGCTTATGCGTGCTACACCTTGGAAGCTCGTCCACCAACCCCTATCGCTTTGGCTGAGGCTTTAAACGAAAGTGATTTAAATGAAACGAAAAGAGAGCTCCAATCTATAAGTACGATGGTACAATTCCAAGAAGACGAAGCTCCCGTGTCTTTCATTCACATTACTGCAAAACAATACCTTGCGATGCTGTCTGAAAATCGAGCTACCTCAAATATTCTTCCAAATCCTTGGAACGCTCACACGGATATTGCTGCTATCTGCTTAGCGCTTATATACGCAACCGTGAGGTCCAAGATAAAGCTTCCAACCGGACATCTGAGCGCGGGGGAGGAATATCAACGGCTCCATGCCATCGAAAACATACCTTTTCTTGAGTACGCCTTGCGGAATTGGTACGCCCATTTAAAGCAGGCTATTAACAGAACACCCGAAACTGAAGAATTAAACAAGAGACTATTAAGCGGTATTTAAATATTTGTCCAACTATAGAACCGCCGCCCTGAGGGCTTCTGTTATACACTAATTCGTTATTGGGGTGTGGAAGGACTTGGCCAGAACCTGGAAGCAGAGATTTCCATCATCGAGGTTTTCAGTGTATTTGGCCTTACCCGATGCCTGAGAATGCTGCTCGAAAAGAACTCAAACATCTACCGTTCCGTCACCCCAACAATTCGACGTGCAGTACTTCTCGCAGTACGGGGCGGTCACGAAGGCGCGTTCGATCTACTAGTAGAGTACTTTAAAATTACATCTCTCGACGGAAAAGAGTACAAAGAAATAATCACAAACTCGGCATGGAGCGGCCATTTTGGTGTCCTTGAGAAGATCATGCACCTCCGAAAACCAGACCTCAAGGAATTTATCAGCGCGACCGAGGCCGCATTCATTACTGGTGACCGTCGCATTCTGAACAGGATGATAGCGGATAGTGCAATATTTGAGGACAGAGATGGACAAGGAAGAACAGCCCTCCACCTATTGTTTGTGGCAACAATAAGGAATTTCTCGGTGCGGGATAGTAGCACGGATGTCAGCCAAGGGTTGATGCTTGCGCAAGCTGAGTTTTATGCGAAGCATGGGGTCGATATCAACGCTCAGGATCAGTTTGGATATACAGCGCTTCACTACATATGCTATGCGCCTCAATTGTGTAAACGAGATTTGCTCGTTGGCCTCCTCACTCGCGGTGCGGATCCGATGTTGACGACTAAGGGAGGCCTAACTCCCTTACATCTTGCTGCGCGCTTCGCACGACATCCAAGCGCTATTCAGGTATTACTTGACGCAACGAACAACGAACTTGCTCGGATGAAGTCCTTAGGAGGGAACACTCCTCTTCATTGGGCGGTCCAGCGACAAGCTATCCCACTCGAGCAAGACCATCAGGATAGCGTCTTCGGGGATGATGTGGAAACAATGTCGGCACTTCCTGGGATTCATAGCAATGAAGGCAATTACCAACGGAGTGGATATACTTGGGAAGAACACTCACCTTCGTCCTTCATCCTGCAACTTCTCATCGACGGAGGTGCTGATCCTTTTATTCGAAATAAGCGCGGGTTGACTGCAATTGACCGCATGCGAAACTATAGGGTCGGTTGGCTGCTTAAATGGGGATATGCACATCCGGAAATCGTCAGGACCTCCGTTGCAGCCTTTCGAAGACTGAACCCAACGCCGAGATCAGCATTGCCGTGTCGTAGCCACTCCATAACAGAATCACTTCTTGCAAGAGGTTTACCGTCATCCGTGGATCTTGAAGATGATATGGATCTAGGTACCCCAACCGAGTCCTCTGACACAACGAAATCTTTCTATACCGCCGATGAAGCAGTCAAAATCGACACAAATCTCAAGATCCAGAAGAAACGATTATGGAACTCTTGGCGACCATCTTGAGGTTTTCCAGAGTTCGTGCGATTCTTTATTCATTCAGTTCACTGTATGGTAAAATGAACCTCCATCAGTTTGTGTCTTTGTAAGTTGAGGAAATCTAGAGAAGTTCATCACTAACTAGCTAGGGAGAGGTGCGTCTCAACAGACATTCCCAGACGACGGAAACCCTGCCGACCATTCAGGCCTGCTGTTAGCTCACGCGTGGCACCAGTACACATCAGGGATAGTACTACTACCCCGGGTGTGTATTATATCCCGGAAGGTGATTTCTTGGCCCTCCTTCCAAGTATGCGAAAGGATTGCAAAGGGAGGGATTGTATCGTCGCCTACGAAGTCCTTCATGAGGCTAAGCTCCCCAGTGGGGTCACGTTGCAGAAGACGCATTGCTTCGCAAAGAGTTTGGACGGACGTATGCGGTAGGAATAGGTTTGGCCGGGGTTTAAATGAGCCGGGTAACTCGCTCGTTTATCGAGTATAGTCCTAGCTATCGGGGTTAGCGAGTATATAGAAAGAAAGGCCGTGAAATTATACCTAAGAAACGCGTCTGGGTGCGAGACGGTGTAAGAGTGCTGTGGGTTGAATGTTGTAGTTTCAATTTGTGAGGGTTAAGCAAACTCAGCTTGGATGGGATGTGGCTAGTTACTTAGCCCACAGTCTGGCGCAGTGAGGCTCTCATGCTGTATTAGACATGAGCGGGAGGCGAATTTGCGAGCGACTAGACCAAATATACTGACATCCTAAGGAGTCAACGAACACCTTAGTGACGCTAGCAGGGAGGACGGCCGACCCGCTCCGGCCACACCTTTGTAGGCTCCAAACTCTGATAGAAGTACTCTTTAGTACAGTGGCAAATCACGTGCCTTGGTCTGTGGTGTAATCGTGGCTGTAATGCCAAGACTCGCATTCGTACCCCTGCTTGCCGGCCGGAGCAAAACGGTGTTGCAACAACGGGCAAGGGTGAAACCGCATTCGCTAGCGGCTGTACTGTAATGAAGGGATTAAATGAGGAAGTGAGAACGTGTGCGATAGCCAGCTTCCCCGCATCTTGTTATTCCGGAGTCGGATTTTTATATATTCCGAGCATCAGCAAGGGTCCGCGCAGCCACGCCCAGCCACAGGCCTGACAGCCACGGGCGGGGCTTACTTGATTTCCATAAGTAAATTACACCGTAATGATTATTTTGAACGTACGGAACTGTCTCACACTAACCGGTATTGGTGATCGCTTCGGTTGGAGGTACCGATCCGCGTGGCGACTTTGAATGAGTTTGCGTGCGATAGTAGCCATAAGGCTGATGACGACTTCCAGTATGGTAATAAGGCGCTGAGGCTCGGATAAGGCCCTTTTATAAACATCAGGAGTGATAAGAGCTTGAAAGTGGTGCTGTGGCGAAGGAATTCTATTACGCTATGAAAGAAGGCTCTCCGCAAATTAGGCGCGAAGGCGACGATGCGAACGTAATTTTTAGGTGGGAGGGGTTCCGAGTGTTCAGGAGTGGCCACAGCACACGACTTATACAGAACTGTGGGAAATGTTGGTGTGTGCATAGAGTTTGAGTTGCTTGAAGTCAATGTACCTATTGATTTTCTCGCCACGCAGGGTTTCTCGCTACGCAGGGACGCACATTAGAAGACACCTAATAAAGGAACACAAGCCAAGATACCATGGGTGAGGGATTACTACAAGCGATGTGGATGTCCTCAACGCCGGCCACTGGTTGCTCCACTTATCACCAAGAGGAACAGGATCCGTAGTAGCCACATTGTGGACCTGATGACCATCAGAGTAGCGTACTGACAGATGTTTCCAACCGTCAAAGCCTGTGGGCGTCTAAGTCATCAAAGCTCTTCAAGGACGGCAGAATTGTATCGGAAGGCTAGCTCCATTCAGCCGCCAGTGTTGACTGTAGAAGGATACAGGCTCAAGCACCGGTATCCGCATCTGGCATTTGCAAGGAAGTGTTGCGGCTAAGTGAGGTAGCATGGATTTCCACTCGTCTTGAGAACAATACTGGAGCGAGTTAGTATCGAGTTCCAGCAATTTGGGTGAAGGATTGGCCTAGCAGTCCGCACCCACAGCTACACCAAATAGGCGATTCAAGCACGAGGCTTCTCTAAGGTTTGTCTTTGCTAAAACTGGCAGGTGTTCTACAGTCTCATGAGACCTGGTGTTGGTGTCGCGTCGACGCGGCGAGTTGGCTGGACGTGATGTTCGAAAGACGCTAAGCCCAGTGCGGCGGCCTCACCCCAATTCAAGCGTCAAGACCACTGAGGTGACTACGAGAGACGGGCTCAACATTGGCAGGCATTCCAAAAAGAACATGGATGGCCTCTGGTTCTACCAGAAGTAAACCGCTGACGTTGGAAAGCCGTACGCAAGCCAGTCTCATCTTGATTAAATGGCGCATCCTGATCCTGACGTGCGATAGTGCTTCTGTCATCAGATCTATCGGGCATCAAAGTATATGGCAGAAAGCATCTTTTAAATTGTCTTGACAAAGTGAATATATTTGAGATTCCACCAAGTTTTGGCTACGTACTGGGTATTCGTTGGTTTATTGCCAACGTGAGAAAAGAGCTCCGATGTAGAGATCCGCCAGGCTAGCTGACTTTGGTATGAAAAAAAGAACACAGGGCTCGAGGTGCTCAAACACCATTCGGTGGTGTCTAACCCGTGTCTAAAACGCCATGTCCATATCCATGTGACCCCCGCTAAACATATGTACGCCTTAAATGTTAATTCCAACGCACCTCGCAAAATACAGTCGCGTCAAGATGTAAATCGATCGGCCGGATTTGTCGACCCGGAGGGTTTCTTCTCCTCCTTTGGATGATCCTCTTCCTCCTTTCCGGAACCCTTGTTATCGTTCAATGGGTTTGGCATTTCCCTACCCTCCTTCAGGCATCTACCTTTACGGCCAACCTCTTCCTGTAGGTAGGCGAGTCTCTTCTTGTCACCGTCGTCAAAACGGAACGCGCCTCTCCAGAAACCACAGCCAATGTTGCTCGTCTCGCCCCTTTGCACCACCTGTTCTGCTCCTACTCGGTCGACGGGCGGAATTCCCACGAAATGATTCTTCTGCGCCTCAACCTGCGCAATCATGCTACCACCGGGCATGTGGTGGAAAATCTCGGAATTGAGTGTCCAGCATCGGAGGCCGGGACTAGCATATTTGTGACGGAGTTTAGGATCTGGGTGCGGATGTGGGTTGTTTTCGGGCGTGGGAGAAGGCGTGTCGAAGCCATTACGGCACGCCTTAAGAATCGACACGTCGTAGGCGTGAGAGCCCTTACTCTTGCTTGTCTTTAGTTTCGCGATCGGCGCGAGGTCGTTGACTAGATGCTCAGCGGCCGCCCGTGTGACGGCGTAGCCAAAGGTGCAAAGCGGGAACTTGGAGCGGTGGAAGGCGCGCGTCTGCTCAGGGAGCTCGAACACATCAAAGAGAGCGGCTGTGTACGGATGGAGATCTCGTCGCGCTGGTAAGGACGGGTCTTTGAAAAGTTTATGCGGGATCGAGGTTAAGTTCTCTTTGTATTGATGCCCACGGCCAACACCGTGGTCAACAGCGGTGAAGTAGTCACCGCAATGGCCTAGATATAGTAGGTCCCAGGCAGAAGTATCGCCCCAGTAGTGGGTGGGATCCACTTTGAATCTAGACAAGTACCTCGAAGGCGACAGCATGGAGCGTGCTGCATTGGCAGCCAGGGGAACCTGCAGAGAGCGCAGCTGGATGTCCCAATCGACATCATCTTCTAGGATCAGTGCTGTTTCGAGTCCGGATTTCAGAAACCTGGGTAACAGTTAATGAGACATGCCATGTGTGTAGATGGATGAAGGAATAGTAGGTCTCGGAACTGCGTGGGCGAGGGAATACAGGAATACTTACCATTGTAGAGCATTGTTATGGCCCAGCCAGGCGTAGATGGAGCCGACTGTGATGTCGGAGTCTCTACCCTCGCGGAACTTATTGATATCATCCTCGCTCCACGCGGGCTGCGAAGGGATGGTAAGGTCGATGCCTGTGACGTTGGCGGCTTGGAGAAGGCCTGGCTGCCGGTCAGACCCAGCCTTCGACACCACTACAACGGCGCCAAAGCCTAATGTGGTATTCGAAGGTGCGTTCTCAGCAACGGCTAAAGGACGAGCGAACGACGGGAACTGGGTGTAGAGGTCGTGGGCACTGTGGCGGTAGTAGAAGAGCAGCGAGGCTACGAGAGAGAGAGCTATGAGCAGGTTGAAGGGGTTTCTGCGAGGAGCAAGCATGACGGGCGATAGTCCGCAGTCAAATATCTCATCGCTCGGTGGGAGGTTTTGGAGTTGGAGGAGCAGTAGGAGAGCAGCTCTGGCAAAACGGCAGAAGAAACAACAAAAGAGGGCACTTCGCTCTTTGTAGCAGCCAGCAGCTGCGGGCCCACAGATTTCCGATGGGGCAGATGAAGAACGGCAGGTGAAGTCTGTGCAATGAACAGGCAGGGACAAGATTGTCGACTGCAGACGGGTATTGTGTGGCACATGGCAATTTGTACGTCCTATGCGGCCCTCATCGGCGAGCAACCTGCCTGTTACACGACAGCCGTTTCATTAATTCTGCGAGGCCCGTGAGGATTGCAGGCACAGCGTCTACCACTGGCTGTAACGACACACGTCGGGGATCCTCTCCTGACGCTCCCTGCGCCCGAGGACGGCCCCAGACTCACGATGGATGCTCTGCGCCCCTTGGCTGCGGCAAGCAAGCTTTCCGTCATGGTGCTGAGCGCGCGGGCGTTGCTGGCCAGTGGTGGCGGTGGAGTCGTACAGAGGAGTCAGTGCTAGGGGGCGATCACAAGAGCGCACAGGGAAGGTGGATGTGGTGCACGGTCACGTGCCCGCGCTGCGCACTACTCGACAGTTCGTCCGGATCACGACCGGCCGCAGCCTGTGCGCTTGGTGTGGAGTGGCACACGAGTTCCCGCTGACGCCAACCTCCTTGCCCAGCTTCACCACGCCCACGGTGGCCTCATATTATCGCGAGCACCGGCCCGCCTGTGTTGGCACTCTGCATTCTTTCCCGCCAGCTCTCCTGCGCGCTGCCGCGGCCGCCTTGTCTTCCTGAAACGTACTGTGGCCCCTCCGCCATCGCCCCGTGGCGATCCCCGTCGCTCGCTGGACCTCCTCTGTACGGCGCATCGTTGCCCTCTCTATTGATGGATCTTGGGTCCGCTGTTGACCTCGACGCGTGAGTCGGAGCTGTGCCCAATGGCCACGCTGAGCTCGCCTTCTCCGCCCTCCTCGCCATCCCTTACCATGCGACGCAAGGGCTTCGTCCGCCGCGTCGAGCGATATTGCTGGAACGTCTTTACATACTTCCCGCTTGCCTTCGTCTACGGCCTGACATCCTGGGCGGTATGGGTTGCCGCTGGAATAGGCTTCGAACCTGTGCGGCGTGCTTGGACAGGTAAAACACCACATTCTTCGTCGCTGCGCCTTTCAGGAGTCCATGTTGCACCAAAACGGTTGGCGATCCGTCTGCCGAGGCCCAGAGCACGCTCGCCAACAGCTTGGGAGACCTCAATCAGGTATCTGGGCTGTTCGTAGCTGTGCATCCCGCCCAGTCTGCGCCTAAGCTCTCTCGCCTAGACCCAACATGACTACCATCAACTTGTGAACGCTGAAGCTAACGTCTGCGCAATAGGCAAGGGCACCTCGGTCCTCAGTGTCGTTCTCTATCTTCTCCTCAATTGGAGCTACACGACAGCCGTCTTCACGGACCCTGGATCACCTCTGAACCTGAACCTGAACCATGGCTACAGCCACCTTCCGACCCAAGACACAATAGCTTACACATCATACACGGTGAAGTCGACCGGCGACATCAGATACTGCAAGAAATGCCAGTCCAAGAAGCCGGACCGCGCACACCACTGCTCGACCTGTGGACGATGTGTCCTGAAAATGGACCATCACTGTCCTTGGTTGGCCACCTGCGTAGGGCTCCGGAACTATAAACACTTCGTGCTGTTCCTTGTATATCTGTCTTTTTTCTGCTGGGTGTGCTTTACAACATCAGCATCCTGGGTGTGGAGCGAGATTCTCAGCGAAAGCCAATACACCGAAACACTAATGCCAGTCAACACTGTTCTCCTTGCCGTTATATCCGGAATAATAGGACTAGTCATTACAGGCTTCACGATGTGGCATCTCTACCTAGCTATGAAAGGACAAACAACTATTGAGAGTCTCGAGAAAACCCGCTATCTCTCCCCATTGCGCCGGCAGATGCGCCAACAGCTGAACAACCGCAATTACATAGATCCTGATGCGAATGGCCGTCCGAGCATCAGTGACCAGCTTCGCGAGATCCACGCCAACTCGCTCCCAGGTATTACAAGACCAGAGGAAGGCGAATCATCGCCAAATCGATCCTTGTCACGCTCTCCAAGTCCGAACCCCAGTTCCATGAGCAATGACTACTCCCATGGCGGATACGCGAACTCACACTCGTACGAACACCGCGAGCGCCAACGCGACATTGAGCGCTACGATGCCTATCTAGAAGAGAAGGATAGTGACAGCCTCCCTAGCGCCTTCGATCTTGGCTGGCGTCGTAATCTCAAGCATGTCTTTGGACCCTCCCCACTGCTGTGGTTTTTCCCGATAACCAACACCACCGGCGATGGTTGGTCTTGGGAACCAAGCCCCAAATGGCTCGTAGCCCGCGAACAGATACGTAAAGAGCGCGAGACGCAAGCCCGGATACAAAAAGAAAGGGAGCGCGCAGCTGGGTGGGGCGTAGACTCACCGACCGAGGCGGAGATGATGCGGAATGGTGATGGCCCGTACGCGGCCGGAAACAACTTCTCGCCTCCAACTCGTCCTTCAAGACGCCCGGAATGGCAGAGCCCCAGGGCCAACAAAGACGAGCACGAGAATCGCTACCTCACCACTTCAAATGGCGTTGCTATGGTTCCCATGTCTGGTCGCCGGAGCCCAGGGAAAGCTGACCAGATTCTGGGGAGAGAAAGGGGCATGTATGCTGATGGCGACATGCAGCTCCAGACCCTTGATCGAGATAGAAGGAAGGCGGACCAGTACGGCTATGTGGAAGAGGAGGACGGCTATGAGGTCTCGAGCGACGAAGAGCGAGCACAGAGCGCGAAAAGGGGCCAAAGCTCGAAATCCCAAAAGAACTGGAATGACATTCCAGAAGACTTTCTCAAACCGCCGCCGAAGGGGAAGAGGGGATCGCGTTCGTCGAGTAAGCAGAGGAAGACGGAAGAGTGGGACGAATGGGGTGGAGAGTCCTAAGGCGCGTCGGGAATAGTAAGATACTATTCTTTTTTGCATTCATTTCGGCGTTTTAGGGGAACCAGTATGGCATGCATCAGTCGCAATGACTATTAAGAGCGGGCGGTTATGCTTTATGTATTATAGTGTGTGTATACTAGCGTCAAACCTGTAAGCGCGCTTTTAAAATCTGAAAGTCGGAAAATTATCGCAAGGTATGTCCTGGTTACTTAGCTATGTTGGATTTGGAGGCTGGTATGATGGGTGGGTTGGTTTGTAGAAACAATCCCTTTTACACACGTCAGCTCTTCTATTCAAGTCCATAATTCGTGCAATCAACATTGTTTTCCAGTTAAACTTTCAGAGTCTTGCCTATTCGCGAGCGATCTCGACGCGTGATGGCTCTCGAAACATGTTCAGGCTTCCATTTTAGATCCCACCATGTCTAGCATCTCATTAATATGTGTGGTCAGACTCCATTATCGCCTTATATTGCTTAGTTAATTGCTGACGGTTTCAGGGAGTTCCTCGTACTTTCATAGCCTACATGACGCGTAGTTAGATAGGACCAATATTAGCATACCTTCCAAAGTTATTTATCACACCTGCGGCATCGATACGCGTTCAAGATGCAGGACCCCATAGTCTGTAGACTGGATCGTCAATAGGCAAGTCTGATTTGGAGTGTCTGTAGCTTGACATTGTAAGTTTGTTATGAGTCAATGAGACGGGAAGAGTCTTACTGTGGTGCATATACCCTCAAATACACTTCACGAGTCTCAAATCACGCTCTCCTATCTTAGCAGTACATAGTCTAATCTGGGGGCTCCAAAACTTTACCTTGTGAGTTTACTGAGGGTGGTAATGCCAGGGTTTCCTTGAGGTTGTGCGAACACCCTAAAACCGCACTCTATGCTGCTCAAACCACGCTCTCATATCTCAGCAGTACACAGGTCTAATCTGAAGGGTCCAGAATCTTCAATTGTCAGCTATCGAGGATGATTAAATCAGAGGTTCCTCAAAGTCGTGCATGCTCCCGCAGAACCACACTCCATAAGCCTCAAACTCGACGGCATTCACCATGTCCTCGACCAGCCACCCCTTTAAACACTATCAAGGAGAAAAAATCCGCCGACGAGACTTGACTTAAAGTTAAAGACCGTCAACCCACCTCATTTCTCACCCACCTTCGAGTGCTCAACTCCAGCATCTCTACACCAACAGAGATACTTCGACTCCTTCAAACCCCAAGCACTCTCCAAGCTCACGAGCTCTGATTTACACCCTCCAGCAATCATGCCTAGCATGAAGCGTCGATTCGAAGGCGACGGCCAGCAGCCAGCCAGCGCGTACTCCCCAAAGCGCCACAAGATATCCCATCCTGCAGCCACTGCAAATCATCCCCCCAAGATGCCTGTCCTCCCCCCCGACATGCCTGCTCCAAGGCGCCGCATGAGGACGCGTGTAGGCGACGCTGTACGAAAGTATGCTGCGCGAGTTCTACACTTCGGCAAAGGGCACAAGAAGGAGACAGCGGGTCAGGTCCACGACACACCCAACAGCCTCCCAGTCGGGCGCGATCGTCGCAATGGCTCTGGAGACCAGAATGATGTGTACATGGCCGACGCGCGCCAGGTTGAGACACCAGTCTCATACGGAGGTCCATCTATCTTTTCTCGGGCCGTCAGCGCCATCTCCAGTGCCGCTTCCAGTTTCTCGTCTGGCGTAAGTTCATATCGGCTGGCTTGCTTAAACTGTTTGCGCAAGTCACTAACGACTCATAGTCATTCCGACCAACCTCAACTCGAGTGTCTCCCGACCAGCCCCCAGTTTGCGTGTCATTCACTCAGCCGACGTGGGATTGGGCCGCGAAGCAGAAAGGTGTCATCAAATGGAAATGGGATCCGCAGTGGGAGGACCATAATGCGACGTGGGCATTCTACTTTAAGAAGCTTCCCGTCACAGGCATGAAGACAGTCATTGGACCTTATGTTGAACTTGCTGGTGTTGACAAGGACACTTTCCAGGTCGAATATCTTAGCAAAGGCACCTGGAATGCTGCTTACAAGGTCTGGTCTGTGGAAAATGGAGTCACCCACAAGGCCATCCTCAAGGTTCCGAAGCCCGTAATGCCTTGGTATAAGACCCAAAGCGAGGTAGCCACGATGACGTATATTAGAGAGCACACAAAGATCCCAGTTCCACAAGTTTTTGCGTTCGACTCGTCCATGGATAACGCCCTCGGGCTCGAATGGATTTTGATGGAGATGGCCGAGGGGCGGGAGTATGAGCAGATCGAAGAAGACTTGTCGCCGGAAGAGGACCAAGATGCGATTTATGGGAAGGTTGCAGAGTGGACCCATGAACTCCAAGGCCTCGGATTCGACACAATCGGAAGCATCTATCGAGGATGGGATCCCTCTGCCGACAATTACCTTGACTACCGCATCGGTCCCGGCGTCATCCAGGCCCGATTCACAGCCGATAGAGGCCTCGGCCTTCCTAACACATACGGACCGTTCCTTTCGGTGAAAGAGTGGTACACCAGTCTCCTTGAAGCAAAGAAGGCGGATGTCGACAACGATCAAACCGAAAAGGCTAAGAAGCAGGCTCTGATCAATCGGTTTGACGCACGTCTCCGTAATATCCTAGACCAAAAGACTACTTTTGAAGATCAAAGGGCGAAGATCGCCCCACTTCTCCATGGACGACGCCGTGGCCGATATGCTGAGGCCAAGAAGCGCCTACACAATCTTCTCTTCAATACCGATCAGTTGAGTCCCCATATTCGACATGCTGAGCTTGAAAGCTTGAAACGGGGCTATGCCAAAATGATGCCACGCATCGTCAAAGAAGTCGGAGATCATGTCATGCAGGAGATTGCGGTCGGAATCAGACTTGCGACCGCCTACGCCGAAAAAGGCGACGCGTTGTCTGACTTCAAAACCGACATGGCCATGGACGCCGAATACCATCACCGTATGGCTGAACGTATGGAAAAACTTATCCCACTCGTGTGCGGTCAGGAGCCCCTCTCCCACAACTCTGCCTGGCTTGATCACTGGGACATCTCGGAGCGGAATATAATAGTCGATGAAGATACGAAAGAGGAGATGCTCCTTGATTGGGAGCAGCTGATCACCAAGCCCTTTGTGATGGGGCACGACGCGCCACCCATTATTAACCGTCACAAGGAGGTCGACAAGGACTGGTATCAGCACTGCAAGAACGTTTACGGCACTCGGAAGAGAGAATTAGATATAGCGTGGCCTACCAGACTTAACGAAGCGGGCCGGAGACGAGAAGATGACCTAAACCGACTTCTGAGGTTGATCGAGGGCGTGGGCACGAAATGTTGGTCTAATGAGGTGAGGGCAGATGTTGCGGAGTTGTGTACGTTCTACGGGGTGGAATACTATACTGAGCCTGTGGGAAAAAGGGATATTATTTCGGGCTAAGATTCGGTAAGCTTGCACGAAGCGTGGTGCAGTATTTGCTCCGCTTCATTGCAAAATAGCGTGCTCTTGAGGGTTTGTGTGGTTGGTTTAGGGCACGACATGTGCACCTGATCTGAAGGCACTAGGTAGGTATGGCGACATGTTATAAATTGTATTTCCATATCCAACAAACTGTTCAGGGTTTCCAAATTGCTCCTTTCCATCAATTTCTTTTCCTCCTATCAAACACGTGCGAGGTGACTTCCAAAAGTGCTATATGGCGCCAGCTTCTTTTCTGTGTCTGTTCCAAATCTGCATATAGCAGTAAGTCTAAAGCTATAGAGCCGATATCGTGACCCGTAATCGTTCGCTTTGCTCGCCGGGTGAGACCGTCTGAGGTGCCCTGCCTAGGGATCATTCACCAGAATCAGAGTCTTGGCGTCGCCAAGGGTCCTCACTTCTAGAATCTGCTTAGCTTGCCGTTCTCCTACTTCTTACACTCACCGAACAGCACACTCACGACCTCTCGCAGTGCTCTCAACCTCTGCCTCCCCAAGCAATACACACACATACATCGTCAGATTCTTCCCCCCTCTCTAAAATGCCTTCTACGAAGCGCAATTTCGACGCCTTCACCAACAACAAACAGCAGCAGGACTCAAACCCAAAGCGTTTCAAGAGCTGCCCGGAGCCATATTCAACTGTTCGCACGTCCTTCGAGTCCAATACCGGCACAGTGAAGACAGGGTCGACTACCTTGAGTCGTAAACCTTCCGCGAACACTAGCATCTCTTCCACCTCCACACGCAGTATCGAGGAAGCCTCGAAGCTTTCACCCGAAGTGCAAAGCTCCCCAACCCTCTCCGATGTCAAACGGAATCGTGTTCCAATATGCGTTTCACATGCTAGACCTCCTTCGAACCCTGGAGTGCTCTAGAAGACCAAGACGGACTGGGTGCTGACATCGTCAAGCCGTTCGCGCGCTGTTTGGAAGGACCTCATGCCTACCGAGAAAGATGTCCAAAAGATTCGGAATATCGTGCGCCCATACCTCTATCTTGCCGGAATCAGCACGCAGAACTTCGACGTCAAGATCCTGAGCGAGGGTAGCTGGAATCGCGCATTCACCGTTTCATCAAAGGACGCAGGTGGAACGCACATGAGGCTGTTTTTCGAGTCGCGAAGCCAGTAATGCCTTGGTTCAAGACACAGAGCGAAGTGGCCACGATGGCATACGTACGAGAGCATACGAGCATTCCTATTCCCGACGTATATACCTTCGACTCGGATATGAGGAACAATGCTCTGGGTCTGGAGTGGATATTCATGGAAAAAGCCTCCGGCAAACAATGGAGAGCAGCCCGCCAGCACCTTAAGCCCGCCAAAGCGCGAGGGGTCCTCAAACAGCTTGCTGGCTGGGTTCATGAGCTGGAAGGACTCAAATTCGATCAAATCGGAAGCATTCATCGATAGTGGGATTCCACAAAAGACGGCTATCTAACTTATAAACTTGGACCCGTTGTAGACCAGCGCTTTTTTCACAGCAACAGGCCGGACACGACGATTCCGTTTTCATGGGTCCGTATGACAGCACTGGAGACTACGCGTCCGCGTTGCTGACGGCCCAAATGAGGGATCTGTCCAATCCAACTCTAGCGAATGCTTCGCAGCCGAACGTCGGCACAGCGGCTACAAAAACTACAGCAAAGGTGGACGACGAGAAGCGTCAGCGATACGAGGGCGAGTACGAGCTCAAAGAGCGCGGGAAGATGGTTGTGAGAGAGATCACCAGGCAAGAAAAGACGCCAGGAAACGACTTGAATGTTACTCGGATCCTATGGCGCAATCTATGCAATCACCACAACCTTTTTTGCTGAGAAGAGGTTCTTGGAGCTAGACATGCTAGTCTCTGATCACACTGAGGTGGAATACCTTGCCCGTGAAGTCCGAGACTTCGTCAAAGCGGAAACGGAAATCTATGGTGCTGAGCCCGAGGAGAACTTGACTTGGGAAGAGTATCAACAGGCCTCAAAGGAGGAAGAAGAAACCGAATCGCGAAACGATCATACAATCAACGAGAATGTGGATAACGCAATCCAAATCGGCCTCGAGATCTTCCGCCTCATTCCGCATGTGTTCAGGAACGAGAGGCTGGGACCAGATTCCACCTACCTTCATCACTGGGACATCAATGACGAGAACTTACTCGTGGACAGGCATGGAAGTGTCACGGCTCTCCTAGATTGGGAACAACTCACAACCCTACCTTTTGCGCACAAAAGGGAACGCTTCCAGCTGCCTAGTCTCATCTCGCGTTCGCCTGGTGAAGTCGACGCTAGAACCGAGAGAACGTATGCACTGCTCTTCAATAACGAAATGCGGAAGCTGGATCCAGAGTGGAGGAGGGAAACGCAAGTTCTTGTTGATAAGCAGGTAGATGCTCGGTTGAATGATCAGCAGGAACTCGTTCTCATGATCATCAGCCGTCACCACGTGAGGGAGCCCGATGCAGCGATATCGACAAAGGCCAAGCTCGAGAAGATGCCGAAATATGGAAAACCGGCGCCGATCTTCTGAGCTCTGAAAGGGTAGAGTGGTGTGTTTGACAGCTCGAACTGGGATGAGGGGTGTACGAGCAGCGATTTTCACGTTCTTGCAATACTCCTCCATCCTTCCCTTGGAGAAAATGTTTTGTTTTTCAATCGGCCTTGGGATCAAAATATTTGCTTTCAGCTTTGCATAAGCGTTACAACACCGTTTTGTCCTTGTGGATCGCGTATTCAGAGCTCTAATGGCTTCGTAGCTTGATCACAGTGTCCAAACACGAGATATGTATGATGAGGAATCAGAAAGTGCGAAAGAGCTACTTATTGTATTATGCTGATATTTCCTTCCACTTCTCATGAGCTTGCGGTGAAACAGGCGTACGGTATTAGGACATAACCACATGGAACTCAGGTGTCACCGTGTGAAGTCCCTCGATACGTTCTCCCTGGCCTGAGTCAGGGATAATTAACTCATTTAGACGACCTGAAAGTTTCCGAATCCACCTCAAACAACGTTATCTACCATTTTTTGGGTTCAGACCATATTCAGAGTCCGCTTCAACACATACCTTCGGGCTTCATCGGGTAAGAGCGGTGTAAACGGTGGCAGGCGCACGGCACCTCATGTATATACACCTTCTTCTTGACCTCTCTCCTTCTACCCTACATGATCATCAACCACATCAAACACAGCACGAACAGCGTCTACTTCTCTCCTATTATTTGACAAGCTTAGCTTCAAAACAATGGAGGATACTCGCGATGATGGAAACTCTGTATGTCCATTCGCATCGCATCCTGCTTACTTTCTAGACACCTACTGACGGAGGCCAAGTCGTACCGAACTCTTCGGTCTAGAAGAATCCCCGTTGCCTCGCCCACAAGTCTATCTCCCGAAGAGAAAACACCTCCACGACCGCACGTACATAAACGTCGTCGCCTTGACGCCTATGACGGCAGCTTGACATCTGATTTTGATGCGCGGACGACTTCCACGAATTTCATGTCTCTTCCGCGCGAGCTCCGCGACGAGATCTATACGTGGGCCCTCATACCCAGTATGAAACGCGGGGCGGAACATGAAGATGTTGTTGAGGACGGCAACGGGACGATCAGTTTCCATCAACATCTAAACGGAGGGAAATACGAGCACTTCAAGATAACGGAGGCCGTCAACGAATTCCGGGACCGACAAGGCATGGGCCTGTTCGGCACAAATAAGCAGCTGAAAGAGGAGGTCGAGGAGGTCTTCTTCAAGAGAAACAGCTTTTTGATCCCCTTCTCAAGATCTGCGAAAGATCTGCCTAGGAACACCTCTCTACTCGACTTTCATAGGATGTTTTCTTCCGCTGCATTCACCTTGATACGGCGTCTCGAGATGTCTTTATCAAATTATGACGTTCTCTTTGATTCTAGCGCGTCTAACCGTAGGCGACACTGGCAAGCCCAAATCCTTGACAATCACCGTTATCACGACTGGGCGCCAGCGATGGAAGCGGAGCTTCGGTGCCTTGAAGAAGCAGATCCCCAGTACAAGATAAACTACGATCGTATCTGCAGTACAACAACAAAAGAAGTCTCGGACAAAGACCTCCAGCTCTTCGCCACATGGGTCCAAAAGCTCAAATTCGTCTTCAAGATGCCTTCGCTGCAGGAACTCAAGCTCGACATATTCGAATGCCGTTGGACCAGGCACTGGGATTGGGACGTTGAGCAGAAGCCAGCAATTTCAGCAAGAGATGCGGCCCTCGAAGCATTGCTCGCCAGCATGCGCGATCGGAAAAAGAGCGAACTGCAAAGCGTCTTGGTGGTCACCGTCGAAGGGGCCAACCATTGGGGTCTGGATAGTAGTGTCCTCAACACTGCACCAGGTTGGGTTTCAGTTGCGAATGCAGTAGTATGGACAACATGTAAGGGAAAGGTCGATCGGGGGAGCACTGCAGACTGCGATATCAACTACTCGGCCGATGAGCGCTGGGGTTCGTCGAAGAATAAGACCAAAGAGGGTTGATGTCCATTCATAGTAAAATGACTTGGGGGCCGAAGAGGTTGAGAGCACATGGCGGTTCGGTGGATAGGCTGACTAGTTCTTGAGAAGAACGGCGTATTGATTTATGTGGTGATTGTTCAACGCACACTTTCTTCCCATCTTTGAAGTGCTTTGACATGTCACCAAATATCGGAGGCCCCCGACCCTGATCACTTTCTGAAATTGTTGGACTGCCTTAGGAGGCCGTACCCAGTCATACAATGAATACTTATATGGAATGGTACCTGCAAGTACTGGGAAGGGCCTTGATGCGGCTAGAAATTCTGCACAGATTGATGACTAGGGTTTATATGTCGGCGCATGCTTGCGTTCTGGAGACGTAGAAGAAACTTTATAAATGTCCTGTTTAGATGAGCCGTTCGTTGAGGTGGAAAGTACTGAAACTAATATAGAGAAGACGAGTACGAGGTAGATGCTACTTACTAGGGCAACACGAAGACGCTCCTTCTCATCACTTTGATGCATGGTGAATGCTTTGTTAAGGAGTGAGAACCTTCGTGCCTACCCATGACATCATATCTTGAAATTAGTTTCTCATACGACACCCCGCGATTCGACAATGCACCCCACTTGATCTACCCACTACCATAACTGTAATCATGACTATGGCCGACCCCACACTAGCGCAACGGCGCTGCTAGACGCAGTGGACAGAGCAACATGTGGAAGGCTTGCTGTAGGTCAACCTATTTCCGTCCTGTAAGATTGTAGGGCTCATTCATATAGAAGATGCCCCGCCGTCGCCCCACCACGGCAGAGGACCTGGATCAACCGCGCAAGAAGAATAAAACGACGTCGCACGACGTAGAACCCTGTCAGGAACTCGACGATATAATCAATCAGGCGCGCAATCTCACGCAGAACTTCCTCGATCCCTCTACTATCTACGATTATCAAACCACTGGCGAGCAGCTCAGAGAGCTTCTTAAAAAAGCTGTTAAGCTGACCTCCAGCTTTTCTGGAATTCAACTTCCGCAGCGCGAGCCCACAACGTTTCTTTCCCTTCCCCGGGAGCTGCGCGACGAGATCTACATCTTGGCATTGATTCCCACGAAGATCGAAGAGCGAGTAGCCACGTGTGAACATCCCACACTACTGGGCATCCCCTTGGCATTGGTTCCGGACGATAGCAAGAGCGGCGATGAAAAAGATTACTGGTTCACCGTATCGAACCTATCTCGTATCTGCGCCCGAAACATCACTTCATTCGATACACCAAGAAGCAGTATGAGCAGAGGATGAATCAGATGAGTCTTCTGCGCACCACCAAGCAGATCAAAGCCGAAGCGGAGGAGGTCTTCTACAAGTACACCAAATTCGTCCTGCCGCGTCGCTGTAGCAAGGGGTATCCCCAAAAGCTATCGCTAGAGGACTTCCATCGCATCGTCTCGCCAACCGCGTTTGCAACGATACGAAAGCTTGAGCTGACACTCTCATACCTCGACGAGCCTATGCTGCAGGGCGATGCGGTATCCGAATTCGGCTCTGACTCCGAATCCGACTCAGGCTCCGATCCAAATGCCTCGATCGAGCCGGTCTGTTGGGAACTAGACGAAATGGAAGACGAATTGGAATACATACAAGAGAAGGATCCCAAGTATCTGAAAAAATATGGGCGGAGTTGTTCTACCAAGGATGGCGCTATCGTGAACAGGAATCTCTGGCTCTTCACCATCTGGGTGAACAAACTCGACCATGTGTTCAAGATGCCGGCTTGCGCGAACTGACCATCGACACGTCTCACGTTGGGTGGGCCGATCACCGTAACAACAGGATCTTCGGTAAACTGAACGACTGCCCTGAGACAAATGCAGAGTTCGCAGTTATAGAAGCCGTGGCCACTCGGATGCGGGATAGGAAAAAGAGCAAGCTCCGCAATGTTAATGTCACACTAAAGACTACACTATGGCGATCTAACAATTTCGTCAGATATCCCGAGTTGTGGAAAGGTGTTTATGCCGCGAAGCATGAGCTTAGAATCCTTACGAACATTCGTGGGGAATTCTGTCTGACTTCCTGCAGTCAAGCCTGTCTACCGCGACTCGACTTTGACTCTGGGTTATATGAGCACCATGTGAGAGTCTTGACTTACCAGGCGAGCACCGCGGACTGCAATGCTAGATACAATCCCGATGAGCAGTGGGGCTGTAAGAAAATTATACAAACCGGGAGTATGTTCTGGGTCAACGAACCTCGTATCTCTGATACCCCTAGGGAATGTATCTGCGTCCCCGAGTAGGAAGGGCTCTTACTTTCGAGGGCTCCCATAAGCTGCTTTCGGAGCTTGTAGACATGTTGCTGTATCTTAGGGTATATTTTCGTGCCCGAGCGGGGACCATAGCGCCCCGACAATTAGATTACACGACTTCGTCATATGTCTGTGTTCATTCGCCTGCCACTGCGTGAAGTTGTTCGATGCGGTCAACTTATAAAGGTCATTGTCACCATCAGTAACCTCCCCGTGCTACCTCAGACGATGGCAGTTAGGTATACCGGTATCATGATAATCGTTGTCCGTGTAGACTAAATAGAGATACCCCTAATTTTGAAATGCTTGCTCTGTACGCGATGGACCAAATCCAAAGACCGTTGGAGCTTCGTCTTTGGTCTGGAGGCCCGTGCTAAAACCTCACCTCTGCAGTGAAGTCCTTCGCGCCAGCTTCAACTCCATTCACCAACCTTCTTCCTCGGCCCACCACAATCATGGCCGAACCTGGCACCGGCGCAACGGCGCTGCCAGGCGAGATGGAGATGTGATCTTTGGAAGATCTGCTGTAGGTGAACTCCCTTTCCCGCTACACTCTCGAATAACTCCGAATATACAGCTCGATGATAGCTCCGCGTACCAGAATGACTCCGATCAAACCACCAACGCCGGATCATCGTCCAGCATGGCGGATCTCGAGCATCTTGTCGAGACCCTGACTCAGGCGCGCACCCTAGCCCTTCGATATCTCCAGCCAGATGCCAACACCGATCTCAAAGTCGTCGCTTTGGATCTCAAGCAGCTTCTGAGAGACGTGGCCGACTCGACACCCAAAACCTATGCAGCCCTCAGCTCGGGACGCCAGCCAGCAGGATTTCTCAGTCTTCCGCGCGAACTCCGGGATGAGGTCTACGTTCTCGTGTTAGTGCCCGAAGAGAGTAATAGGATTATAATTTGGGACGATATTGCCAACGTCCGCGCTTGGAAGCCAGCTTCTGATAGGTGGCCGTGGGGCATTAAAGAAGACGCGGACCGGTGGAGTTTTCTACGAGCCAACAAGCAAATCAAATCCGAAGCGGAAGAAGTGTTCTACAAGTACAACACCTTCAAGCCATCTAGTTGGACCGGTGGAAAGGGACAGTCGCTCTATGACCTCCATCGAGTCATCAAGTCTACTGATTTCGCAATGATCCGGAAATTGATCTTGCCGCTCTCGCGATATGATGGCCCCACGACATTAGATAGCGATGCACGATTAGGAATAGGGTCCAAATCCGTTCAAGTGGAGGACGTTGAGCTGGACTATCTTCGCGACAGAGATGCCGACCTTCTGACGAAATACGCACGAGTCTGCTTCACCTCGGACGGCATTGTTATGGAGAGGGCGCTGTGGTTGTTCGCTACTTGGGTGAACAAGCTTAAGTTCATTCTCACGATGCCTGCCCTCTCTCAGCTGACTATCGACTTTGCTGGATTGGACTGGCCTGCGCATAGCTACGGAATTCTTGAACATACTTCCGACAGATGTCCTGAAACCAAACCAGAACTCAAGGTACTGGAAGTTGTAGTCGCATGCATGCGGGATCGGAAGAAAAAAAACCTTGGCAATGTTTTGGTCATCGTGAAGGGTGTAGGAGCGGGAGGCAAGGACTTGCCCGGGCCCCCATCACTGTGGAAACAGGCTACTGGCGACCATTGCTGGTCAGACTGCTTAGAAGAGATCCAGGAGTGCACGGTAGATTGCATTTCCGAGTGCAAACCATGGCATCACTCAGGGCAATGGACGCACTCCAAATGTGAAGCCTACCAAGCAAACACTGGGGATTCTGATCTGGAGTACTCACCTGAGGCGAGCTGGAGCTGCTCGGGTCTTATAAAGGAAACTATCGACTCATGGGATTGCCATTATCACATTTGGAGGAAGAAAGACAGAAAGAAATTGTGGTGGTTCGATCTGCCGCGACGCTGCGTAAGTACTCGTAAGCCGTCCAAAGTCAGAAACTGAAACCTAACCTAACCGAAGGACTGCAACCGCGACGGAAATAGGAATTTTTGGTGATAGACGTCAGAGCACCCGACCTGACCCTTGGGGCATTCCTAGGAGATGCCGGAGCATCGACAGCGGCGGTTAGATTGAGCGAATGGAATGAAAAGCTGGTCCAGAACGACACTGAGAGATGTTGCTAGCTTCATGGCTTTAGAGCGTGATTCATGCTGGACTTACATCAAAAGTTTGACGCGTAGCAGCAATGCTACACCTGATCCCCAGAAGGACTCACGGAGTTCAAGCAGATAGACTAAAAAACAAGTCCCACTACCCTTAAAACCTCCTTCATCAAAAGCGATACCCCAAGGGTAAAGGCTACACTATTTCGACATAGGTCTATGTTCGCTTGCTTGCCACTTACTCGAAGTTTTTCGATGTATTGTGTTTCTTCCAGAGGTAATTTTCTTGAAAAGTCAGTAAACTTAGCATGCTACTTCAGATAATGGCTATTAGGCGTACGTAGATCGTGATGAGCCATTGCAGTACTTGTTACCTCTCAAATGCCTGCTCTGAACATGATGCAAAACAATTGAAAGACCTGGGATATTATGGAAGTGACCCTACGGTACCTGGACAGTACCCTAGGCACAGGCACTCTGACGCGTCTTCAAGATTATACGTAGGACATAACATTCTAAACCGCGTGATCAAGACAGCTCTCAGCGATTATGATCGCCTAGCCTTGCATTTGCTTAAGGGACCTCAGCATATTGATAAATGCTTAGATGATACGTGAAATTGATAGCAGAAATCTACGCCCAAACATATGATGTCCGAGCAATGCCCGTTCGCCTTTTTGATATATATGAGATGAGATAGATCGAGTTGAATCGAATTGAGTTTTTAGGAACATAACGTGAAAGAGAACATCACTCAAACTCACCCATGCATCAAAACCCTACCTCATAAACCTACATGCTATATCCCATGCACACCACCAACATCTCCTCCCAGATCGCCAATATCTCACAACCCGAATCCAGCCCTCCCCTGCCAAGCCGCAAGGCACTTGCACCAGGATCCCCCTCGACATCCTCCCGAATCGCCCTACAGCCCGCCCGGGGCTCCCTATTCCCACGGTCCTCCATCAGGCCAACTCACCCATCGGCCGACATCATACCACAGCACGTACTTCGTAAATATAGCCCAGGCCCACCTATATATGTACAATACATACCAAACTGACTCTCCAGATCGCCAGCACTATTGAAAACCCGCGCCAACCCTGTCTCGTCATCAACAACAACAAACACAGCCACCCACGTGTCTCTCTCGGCTTCCATCCGAAAAGACAGCCATGTTGCGAGGCTGTCAGTCGAGCAAATACGGGTTATGGATGGTGAGATGATGCGTGACCCCAAACCCGGGGCCTGGTCGTCAGTATAGGGGAGCTGAGTTAAGCAGCGGCGGCGGCCCAAAGCAGCCGAGTACGCAGGTACAGGGGTGCCTGATCTGATAGGCGACCCCGGGCCGCGCGTGTGTGGCAGGCTCAGCTTCGCCACTGCAGCGTACGTACGTACCTTTTGGAGTGGAGATACATATGAACGTAGTGCTTATTGGGGTTTCTTGCGACGGAGGGTTGGCGGGCGTGTTTATTCGTTGAAAATGGTGAGATGTGTGTGAGGTGAGAATTCGTCTTTTGCATATGGAAGTACAGGCAACCCCCACGCCGCGGTTTCAGCTTGCTGCAAGGAAGCCACGCTCAGGAAGCCAACGGGAACGCCGCTGCGGGATCGCGGGTTCAGATCCGGGGGGTGTGTGTTTCAGTTCGAGGGCGATGCGGGTGTGTGAGGGCTTTCTGGTGGTGGGGGAAAGATGTGAGGGAAGTGGAGGCAGTGGAAAGACGGGTCTGACATGCAGAATGCTATGGCTTGGCGCCACTACTTAGTTGAGGGCCTTGCTTTCTGTCGTATTTGTTGCATTGAGAAATACTACTCGTACGAACGAATGCTGGTTTTTTGCGCACTGGACAAATTAGGTAGATACGGGAGGTGGCCCTCCGTACTATTGGAGGCGCACAGTAATGCCTCCATCGACGGCGATCCAGCAGCAGACAGCTCTTGCGGGAGATCTCCAAGCCCTGTCTCAAGCCTCGTTTGGACATGGAGGCACGAATGGTCCCTGGATGTGGGCAGCCACCCGTCCAAATTGACAATTAACGGGATCAAGCCACAGGTTCGCACAACGCGAGCCCGGGAATCCAGTCCTGGGACGGCCCAAGGCTTGCTGATCTCGCATTGCGAAAGAGCTCAGGGGCGGCGAATCGAGCAGTGCGAGATGCTGTTGACCACTGCCGGCTTCCTGTCAGCTCCGTAGGGCGTTATAGGTGTGGCTGGGTAGGCCAATTAGAGGCCTGAAGTGAGGAGTTCTCGCCAGAGGAGGGATCCGGAGAAGCCGCCAGGCTGATCCAGCGGCTTGCGTGGTACGTAGAGAAGGCCAAGAAGGCCATAAAGGCGCCCAGCAGACAGGTAGAGGGTTTGTAGATCTCGATGTGGCAGGTCTGTAAGGGCACTTGGAGGCGTGGGCTAGCATTCTGCAAGTCTCTGCCAACCGACCTGCCAAAAGGAAGCATGCGGTGCCTGAACACGGCCTGGCGCGCCCTCCCCACAGCCGGACAGATCGGACAGCTCGTCGCGGCTATCTCGGACACTTGCGGAGACTCTCCCTGTACGACGCAGCGTGCCTCTGCGGCGTGTTGCACAGTCGAGGCCGCCGTGGCAAGGCGAGAGATGATGGCTTTGGCGGTTTGAGGATGGAGACTCAGGCTAGGTTTGTGGCACCCCTGAATGCCAATCAGGAGGGCTGCGCCGAGGAGCAGGGCTCGAGCAGCCTGCCAGCACGCCTCAATGGACCCACCGTCACGAGGCATGCCAGATCGCTATGACCTGCATGCTCTAGCCCTTGACAGCTGCGGGGAGCACTGGGTGCGTCTGAAGTGGGCTGGAGCAAAAAGAAAGAGCACGAGAGGCAATGGCGCCGTCGGGGTCACGGCAGCGGAGCTACAGTAGGAGCCGTGGCTGGAGGCGTCGCACGGGGAACACGGTGCAGTGACGTGCGGGTGGAGAGCGGGTGGAGAGTGAGATGGCGGTCCCAATCTGAGGCGAATTGAGGCCCATACGGGATGAATCGCTCGACCCACGACACCCACCAGGACAGCATCATCACAACGAACAGCGGTGTGGCGGCACGTGAAGGACCGACGCAAGCAGGACAGACGGTGGTGAGCAGTAAACAAACGCAGTGGAGATAGGGCAGTCCCGGGCGTCGCTGGCTATTTTAAGGCGCAGGGTTTGGCGCAGGGCGCTGGGCGCTGGGGAGAGGTGAAACGGCGCGCACTGCTCAGCTCAGGGCCGCGGGCGTCGCTGCTCAACACGGCTGTGCGGCGGGCCTCTTGCTCTGCCCAGATCTTCCGTCGCCCAGGCCTTGGCGGTGCTGGTTCCCCCTGCATGACGCGCCGCTGGCTGCACCGAGCGCTGAGGACTGCCGCACTTCGCGCCCAATGATAGAGCCGTGACGAGGGCCTAATCTGCCTGCGGAAATCAGCGTCGTAGATTCCTGTGCCTGGTGCAGCCGTCTCCTCCACGGCGAGATTGCTCAATGCTGTGCTGTGGAGCCCGGCGTCCTCTGCTCGTCCTGCACGTCGCCCGCCCGCTTCGGGATGAACTCCTGGCCCCGTGCACTCGGTGAGGCTGCCGCGTCGCCTCTTCGGGCTTCCTGGGTCTGCGCTGCCCCCGTTCCAGCCTCGATGCGCCCGTGCCGAGTGCGCCGGCCGGTTTGCAGCCGTATGACGACGCGCGCTGATTCGCCGACGCCCTGGAGGCGCCCTGCAGCCGGTCACGCTGGGCCGATTCCGCTATCGTTCAAAGCGTGTGCCGTGTCGTCTCAATCGTGGAGAGCAGCCCTGAGAGCGCTCTGCCGCGCACGACTCCTCGGCACGCGTGAGCTGCAGTTGCCATGTTGCCGGCGAAATGCGTGCCGTCTCATGCTCAGCGTGCGCAGGGCGACGAAATGAAGATGGTGCAGCGGGCCGTTGAGATTGAGCGTCGAAATTTGTCGCAGCGCGGGCCTTCTCCTCTTTTGATCCATGCCGCAGGCTAGCTCCTTCCGCCGCCTGGCCGCCTGGCGAGATAAACGAAGCCTAGGGTCCTCCAGCCAATACGCCGAAGGCCCAACTCTCCAACACCATCGCTTCTCTCTCACCACATCGTCGTCCTCCTCTCCCCCTCACCCTCTGCACCCTCCAGGCCAGCATTGCACCCGCGTGCATCTGCGCCGTTCCGCTCCTTAAGCACCGTCATTCCTTAGTCCCCCATCCTACGAGCCTGTCGTCCCAGGCCGTCGCCGTCTCCCTATTGTGAGAGCCTCTGCCGCATCCTCGCGCAACCGCCCGCCCGCCGCAGACTGCTGACTGCTGACTGCTCGCTGTCTAGCTAATACCACTGTGCTCTGTATACTTGAAGCGCTGCTTCGTGGCGTCTAGGCCCGTCTTCGCACATGTGCCACGACTGCACGCCAGCCACCTTTCCCCTTCTCACGGTACCTGGATCGTGACCTCCAACTTCACCGCTCGCATTTCTCCATCTGCGCACAACGAATCGCTGCTACGGGCTTGGCAGCACACTCCTAATCTCATAGCACTCCGTCTGCAGGACGGCGCGGCTGCCGTCGACTGCTCTGTCGGCCACAATGGCTCAGATTGCCCTGCCACGACAGCACGTTACTCAGCCCTCTGAATCTGACCGCATGGGCTCACCGCTCTACAAGCGGCGAGGCGCCTCTGCTTCGGGTCCCATCGAGCTCATCGCCAATCCGGACTTTGTCTTTCCGCAACCATCGCCCGCAGACACGACCGACTCGACCACTTCGTCCAGACGGCCAATGTCGCTCCAGGCTATGCCTACCGGACGGCGAGGGTCGGCTGGAGGGCTACGCCAGAAGTCTGTCAGTGCCCTGCCGTTGCCAGACTTCAGCTTCAATCCATCTGCAGCAGACCAGTCCGTAGCGACGGCGCCCATCACACCTCCCATCTCACCTATTGCCACAACACCCACGACTCCCTCTAGGAATATAGGACATCGACGACGGGGGAGCGAGTTCATTGGCGGTGACGCAAGGTCTGGGGGTGTGAGCATTCTCAGTTCCAGCCCAACCAAGGCTGAAGCTGTTCTGCCTCCACCAGCTGCACTCCGCCCTGGCCCTCCGGCAGGCCGCCGTGGTCACGCCCACCGTCGTTCAGGTGCTATATCGTCTCATGACCTGTCGTCCATTCTCCAGCCGACCGATGCCAACGCCACGACACGAGCTGGAAGCGCTCCTGTGACGCCAATGGAGAATGAAATGAAACCGTTCCTCAGTCACTCGGTGAACAAGTCTCTATCTCAGCCATCCTTGCATTCTTCAGCCGTGGAGGACGATGTTCTGTTTCAGGAAGGTTCTGATGGTCCCGATTCATCCCCACGACGGCCACCATCGAGGGCACGAGTAGGATTCTCTGACCGTGTTGAGTACATTCGTCCCCTATCGACGATTTCCTCAGAGACAGAGAGTTCGCTATCAACTCTTCGTGGCCATTCAGTCTCTAATAGCCTTTCATCCGTTGTCAGCAATGGAGCAGCCAGCCCACCTACTGCCCGTATGGCCCGCCCTTCTCTGAACACCACATTCGAGGACGACGCACGACCAAGCACAGCAGGTGCCGTGCTTGACAACAAGCATAGGAACAGCGCCTTCGGTGGAGACCTGTTCAGCCGTAAGCGCCCAATGTCTGCAGTTGTGCCGACCTCTCCGGGGTCTTCTGGCAGTCATATGACCACACCACGGATTCCAGCCAAGCGACGAAGCTTCTTCCGCTTAGATCATGGACGTCGTAGTGACTCCTCCCTGCATCTGGAAACCGCGAATCCTGCGAGTGCTTCCGATGCGTCTCTTTCTGCAGATACGCTGGAATCTCCTCCAGCTTCCCCGGACCGAGTTGTAGACCACGACGAAGAAGTGGAGTCTTCCGAAAAACCCAAAGGCTCCTCCCGGAAGACTCAACGAAAACCGCGAAAGGTGAAGTCTTGGGCTAATGCTATCATCTCTCGAAAAACCCGCCATGGACATAAGTTCAAGAACAGGGTTCCTACACCCCCTCCAGAACCTTCTGCGACTGTAGAAGACGAATATGAGGACCTGGACTTCGGTGCCAATTTTGACGTCGATAATACTGTCACTATCGTCTCTCCCCCACCTGAGTCAGTTGAGAGACCTAGGCTGGAGACCGATATCGCCTCATGGAAACCCAGAGAGTTCAAACGACAGAACTCGGACGCCTTGAGCCCGGTGATCGACCTAGATGCTGCTCTGGGACCTTTTAATACACCTATAGGTCCCAACGGACGCGGCAACAGTCGTGGGTTCTCGGGTGCCAGGCGGACGATGCACAGTGCGGGAGGCATTCTGCAAAATCATCGTCGAACTGAGAGTGCTCCTGAACTTGTTCCATTTGAATTCAGAGCTACCGCCATCGCTACAACTTCACCAATGGCAGATGTTTTTGAAGAAGAGGAGGAAGAAGACGCCGAGATGACCGAAGTGCCAACGCCATCTATTGATATCGTCACCGAGGAAGTCGAGGATGAATTGGAGGAGCCTAGCATCGGCATTCAAGTTGTTGACACAGATGACGTTAGCAGTGGCTCCGCCATCAACTGGAATTTCGACGACGGACTCCGTATCAAGCATGAAAACAAGGCTTGCCCCCAAGCATCTGTAGAAGATGTTGCTCCCACTGATGTTTCCTACTCTCGAGAGGAGACTCCTGTCCCATTCGAGCGTCAGGACTCTTCTCTTGCGATGGGAGCGGATCCTGTTGAGGTTGTCGAGGATTATGAAGAGCCCCGAACCTCATCTTTGACTCGCTCTTCCGACTCCACTATCACTCCTACAATGTCTGAAGATGAAGCCAAACGGAATCGACAACTACATCTACCATTGCCTCTCACCACGCACCAGAATCTCATGACCCCAGACACTTTCACGAACTCCTCCTACTCGTCACCCGACTTTAGGTCGAGCCAGACCTCATTCGACACGCAACGTCTTGGTACTGCCTCGTCTTCTATCACCGACTATCGAATGATGAATCCAGCACACTTTGGCGAGCCTGGGCCAGAACTTCGGGTTTCGGTCGATGACGTTCCTTCCTTGACAAGCAGCAGGTCGACAATGACCAGCGCTCTTCATAACACATTCCCACTTATGAGCCCTCGGAACCCTAGCGAACGTACGGGTTCCATGAGCTCGATCCCAAGCGATGTCTCTGAGCGACGTAGGAAGCGCTCTAGCATTGCCAGTCTATCCAGACTCATCCAGGGCTCTTCGTTCGGCGAGAGAAGCAAGCTATCAATTGAGCATAGGCCGCAATCCGCACACATGGAGACGACAACCAAGGACCCTAAAGTCAAAAAGCACAAGCGATTGAGCAAGATGATGCAGTTCTGGAAGCCCAGGGAATCCTCTCAAAACTGAAGCGAACCCTCAACATCCTGGGAAACCTCTCTATACAATTACCCATACCTCACTCCTCCTCTCACTCACTTTAATAACCGGACGGCGAGGTCGGACCAACTACCGGCCTATGTTGATGGCACGACATGATGGATATTTCCTTTTAACAACAACCTTTCTCGCGCTAGCGAGGCTATGAACCTTTGTAATGGCGCATGGCTTTCCCAATCACTCGTTTCGACTCTCTTTGCAACACGGCGTACATGCATCAGTGTACGAACACATAATCTCCGACTCGGGGACAGATTTCCTTCCCTTTTGTTTCTGCATCTACCCATCCGCCTCTGCGACTTTCATTAGCTCGCGAGCGGACCACCGATCTGGCGGACGTCTTGGTTTTGAAGGATCTACTCTTAAAACCAGCGAAGAAAATTCTGGTCGTTGGGCCTACTACCAAAACAGGGCGAAAATGTTGGTCTTTTTTTTTTGACAGACGAGGGATGCTATGTGGTGGTAGAAAGCTTTTCTCTTCTCTTCTCTCTCTTTTCTTCATTTTGAAGGCTGGAGGGTGCTTATACCTATATCTCCCTCTCTCTCTTTACGGCTTTTGGTTCTGGCATATCGATGTCGAGGGTAGGCGAGATATCGCCTATACGGCTTCGATAGGGATTGGGATGGATGGATGGAATCAGGCAGTTTGCCTATGGACTCGGGATGGATGGGCTTGCGGGATTATGGATGGATACGGCAAATGCACAACTGTCCTTTTGACTCTATGATGTGTTTACAGTGTCTTATTGAGTGATGTTGCTTAGCCGTGTGATGTTGGCTCGTTCTTCGGACACGAATAGCGCGTAAATTCTTCCTATGATGTCTCTGGAGCATAGCCCACTGAACTGTGGGATTACGCGACAAGCTACTCATGTCCTTTAGAGACGACGGAATGTAAATCAGCCGTTGTGAAACCTAATTCACGTGCCAGGAGGCACGTGACCTTGGCATTAAGCTCCACCTCACCTGGGCGAGGTCGAGTCTCGTACCGAATTCCTCGAACTCAGAACCCCACCACTACACACCATGACTGACGCCGAAGACAAAGAGAAGGCCGAGAAGATCGCCGCGGCCAAGAAACGCGTACGTACAGCTTCAGTCCTTCAACTCAATGGTGTTTGCGTGAAACCTCCCCACCTCCATCGTCTGTCCTCTTGTATAGCTCCAAAACAGCTCTGGGCCCTCCCAACCCCTCCATCCGCAACTCTGGGAATAATACTAAGCTCTTGAGATAATGCTGATCTCGGTTTCCTATGTAGTACGAGCAAATAAAGAAGCAGAAAGCCAAGAAGGGCGGCGCGAAGAAGAAGGACGACAAGCCTGAGACCGACGACACCGCTACCTCTGCTTCCACTGAGAAACCTGACGATGCCGCCGACGGTGTTGAAGCCGCTGGGACCACGGAAGATACCGAGGATGGGGCAGATACCACCAAGTCCGCCCACGCGTCGAAGCCCTCCATTACCCTCGAGTCGCGACTCAGGTCTAATTCCTTTCGCCGCAATACCTTGACGTCGCCGATACTACCACCGCTGAGTCCTGTGGATGGAGCAGGCGCGGCGGGAGATGTGTTTCGGAAGCAGGCCTTGCGAATTGAGGAGCTGGAGAAGGAGAACAAGCGTTTGCAGTCTGAGGCTGGAGATGCAGAGAGGCGTTGGAAGAAAACGGAAGAAGAACTGGAAGAGTTGCGGGAGGCGAGTGGGGAGGTTGCTGAGCTGAAGAATAAGGCGGATCGGGTAGGCGTGATGGGTGACGAAATGGAGAAGCTGGTATGTCACAGCAGAGCTCAGAGGGCTACCCAGTCTACACAAGCCTTAGTTGCATCTGGATCTGGAGATATAAACAACTTGCTAATCTGACATCCACCCACAGAAAACCGAACTCGCATCTCTCCAACGCCAAAACGCCCACCTCCAAACGCAAACCACCAAGCACGCCCGCCGCATTTCAACGTCCTCCCCGTCATACACCGACACAACCGACCTAGCAGCTCAACTCGCCTCCAAGGCCGCCACCATCGAATCCCTCGAGCTCGAAATCTCAAACCTGCACGCGCAAGCCACCGCCGCACAATCCACAACCTCGGCCCACCTAACCCAAATCTCGGGCCTCTCCACCGCCCTCGCCAAAGCCGAAAGCGCCGCCGCGTCCTCCGCGCAAGAGCTCGCCGACCTGAAGCAGAACCTCGAGCGCGCCTCGGAGCGCGCCGTGGCTGAGGGCTCCTCGCGCAGCAGCGCCGAGACGCGCATCGCGCAGCTCGACGCCTCGCTGGCGACGGCGACGCGCCACGCGGCCGCGGCCGCGGAGCGCGCCGAGCTGCTCGAGCGCAAAGTCGAAACGCTGACGACGCTGCACCGCGAGTCGGACGTGCGCTCGCAGGCCCGCACGCGCGAGCACCAGCGCGCCGAGCGCGAGCTGGCCGAGTGCCGCACGCGGCTTACGGGGCTGGGCAACGAGAACGCGCGGCTGCGCGAGGCGGCGCAGCGGCGGCGCAAGGCGGAGGTCAGCGGCGTGGACGACGACGACGGGGGCGTGCTGGAGCTCGTGGACGAGGAGCGCGAGCGCATGGCGGCGATGGTGCGGGAGCTGGAGGAGGAGGTGTTTGAGCTGAGGCGCGGCGTGTGGCGCGAGCGCAGGAGGGAGATGCAGCCCGCGCTGGATCCGGACGCGGCGGGGTTCCAGGACGTGGATCTGTCGGGGGACCAGTCGCCGCAGCAGCAGCAGCAGCGGGCGAGGGGGAGGGGCGTCGGGAGTAGCTTCCAGGACGTGATTAGTAGCGGGATTAGTGCGTTTACGGGACAGGCTCCGAGGCGTGAGTCGTCGGCGGCTAAGGGCGTGCAGCCGCGGAAGCAGAGTCTGGGGTTGTTGAGTGAGGATGATGACATGGAGTTTGATGAGGAGGCGTTCCGGAAGGCGCAGGAGGAGGAGGGTAGGAGGAGGATTGAGAGGGTTAGGGAGGTGAAGAGGGGGTTGAAGGCGTTTGAGGGGTGGAGAGTGGATGTTGTGGATGTGAGGGCGGGGGCTGGAGGGGTCTTTGAGGTGTAGGTCGGATATGGGGAACATTATGGGGGAGTATAAGGGGTTGGCGCTTCTTCAATACTGGTTGCTAGGCATGACTAGATACAATTTGCGCTTTTGCTCTGAAAAGGAAAGTCTTGGCGATCAAGAGTGTGGAGTACAGAATGTATTGAAGAAATTTTTTTAAAAGTGTCAAGATTCTGGAATCCACTGGGGCCGAGCATGAGGTCTGATCTCGGGGCTATTGGCAAAGGGAATGTGATTTGGTGTGGTAATCAGGACGGTATGGTCGCTGGGGCGAGAATCAGGCGTGATGTTCATGGTGGCTGGAGCTTGGGATGGCGTGTTGAGGTGCTTCGATCGGGGTGAAGATGTGGGAAATTCGCAAGCTTCTGACCTACAAGCTGGTGGCTGAGGGTTTTGTGCTTAATAGGGAGGGCTTTATTGCTAGTCAACGCGTGCAGGTATGCCACGAATGTCACGGAATTAGGTTAGTCATCGCGTGCAATCATTCGCCATCCTCTTATTGGTTGCTGTAAGAAAAGTTGGGAGTTACATTCGAAAGACTGTGAATCTACATATGCGGCATAACCTCCAGCAGTTGGAAACTGGTAGATCTATCTCTAAGAAACCAAGGAAATAATTTTTGTCGGAGAGCTGAATCTGGAATACTGAGTAGTGCTGGAGACCATGACTATCCCCATCCCATGTCACCGGAGAGCCTCTTGCCCCTATCTTCGCTCAGGCCACAAACTCCCGGCGCTTGCGAGTGTCCTTCGGAGGGCGTGGCGGGTCGTCGTTGTACAAAGACGGCGACTTTCCTTTCTTCTTCTTCTTCTTCTTCTTCTTCTTCTTCTTCTTCTTCTTCTTCTTCTTCTTCTTCTTCTCATCGTGCCCCTTCGGCTCCGCGTCGTCGCCATGCTTGATGTCGGCATCTTTATCGTGCTCGCACTTCCAGCGCAGAGAGTACATACCAAGGCCATCATCATCATCAGGCTCGGTGTGGCACTCGCCCTTACCGCCCAGCCTCGACTGCTTCGGGTCGGTCGTATATGTCACATTGTCGATACCTTCAGCTCCTCTCTTGGATGGTTTGCATTTCCAGCCCACGTAGGTGGTGACTAGACAGGTGGGAAGGAGAGTTAGTCACGCGGGGGAGGGGGATTGATACTGGGGGCTGGGGAGAGCTTACCGCTGCACTTGGAGCCGTGGTATAGTTCTGGAATTGTGAAGCTGCGATACCCGGCTTTGAAAAGTCAGCAGCGGTACGAAGAGACTGTATGTGACCATAAGTCTGGGCACACCCACGTGCCCAGACACTTGGCCAAACAATGGAATAGCTTACGTCGGTAATTGATGCACTCCTCGCCATTGTAGAAGCGCTCCAGGTGCTTTCCTTCCCAGTTACAATCAGTGTCCTCGAAGAGTACCAATTTGGTACCAGAGACGGTGGTGGCGGCGGCAAGGAGGGCCACGGCGGCAGTCGTGAAGGAGACCATTATGCTTGAGAGGGAGGCGTTGAGGATGTTACGAGTAGTCGGAGTAGAGTTGCAAGTAGTTGGGGTTGAGTTGCGAGTAGTTGGAGTGGTGTTGCGAGTAGTTGGGTTGGCAGCGCGAGGGGGTTTTTCTTATAGCTCTGTAATAATCAGAGCGCGTGGTGCCCGCTGGACGCTATGATTATTTCATCCTTCTACCAAGGTTCCATCTATTACAGGCGGCGTATTGGGGGGGTTTTATCATGCAACCAACCATGGCACCAACCACGTAGGAACCTTGGTACACTGATTTTCGAAGGGAGCGTGATTGAGAATTAAGATATTGAGATTGTCAATCAGATACACCTTTAGAGATCTTAGGAAGACAACTTGAGTCTATTTGAGCAACCATCCTCTACCAAGAATCAATAATCACGAAAATATGATAGACACCATGGACGATATTGCTAGAGATAACTGTGCTGACAAGGAGGGTAGCGATAGCAGAGGCAAAGGGGAATGTAATCCGGCAGTAACCATGATGGAATCAATACTTTCCTGTTGATGAAGCCTGCGCGCTGTGTCCACTGGACGAGGTCTATGGAACAACGAACGTACAATTGTGGATTTTGATGCCGAACTATGGAATTTGCGAGGTTTATTCCACGGTTATTAGTTTCTTATGAAACGTGGCCCTAGATTTTTTTGGGAATGCGCGCCATGAAATCTAAACGAATCACGCTCCCTAGATATAATGATTGGTTTAATAATACCCAAACCCCGGAACAAGGTAACTAATTCTACCAGGAGTTCAACTTGAATCTTCGCAAAGCGCCTTGGCGACCAATCTCAATAAGTTCAGGTCTCTAAGCGACTATTCATGCACGTGAAGAAGAAGTTATGATCTCGGTGATATAGTAACACCAAGAAATTACATTGCATTGCATCGCTGCTTGCGTGGACGGCTACGGTACGAGGTAACATGGCGCACAATATCAACTATCGCGGGCCGTCCCATCCATTTCGAAATGGTAATCTCAACGGGTCCTGGAGTCTGAGCTTGTACTGTACATGAGCCGCGAGACTGCATTTGTTGAGGAAAATTTTCGCGGTGGTGAGACATATGAACTTGACGCAAATAGGAAAGTGTATGCAGGCTGTGGTGGCAAACGCTATACCTCGGAGCACCTGAGACTACAAATGTCATTGAGTTCGTAAGCTAAACTCTAATTAAGGGGGAATACTCGGGCGAATGATGAACTGGGGCGTCCACATCGTGGGTGAGCGATGGCATGAGGTTCTCATTGCTGCCAAGACGCTAGAGTAAATAGCGTAATCCTGCCGAGCCTCGGATTACTGTATTTCGACTGCATGTCTTGTGTACAGCCACAATCTTTGCTAGATATCGTGGGACTGCAATTCCGTGGACGTGTAACTGAGGGCACTACCAGTACATCTTCAGAGAGACTGAACAAGGGACTGAGAGCCTTGGAGCCGGGCTTGAACTGGGATAGAGCTTATGCCTAGCAGCCACGAGTGGGCAAGAGCCGAGGTGACTTACTTTAGCTGACATGCGAAAGTCATACCTCCGCGGTTGCAAAAGTCTGTTGTTTTTCGGCGATCACCGAGGCACGGCCACCACAATCAAATGAGCACAACACCATCAAATTACAAGCTATCTTTGTATCTATTGCTGTAGGCCGGTTCTGCGTGTTTTGATCTGTGTGCCAGGCCTTTCCAATATTCAATTGCCATGCGGTGTTGTACCTTTTTCTCAAAGGTTTCTGAGTGCTGCCAAACAACAATCATTTCCTTCTCCCTTTGGGCCTGCACAGCAGCACCAGCGCTCGTGGTGTTAAACCGAGCCCTGGCCAATTCCTTCTTCTGATCCTTGTGAAGATGCT